TTAAAACTTTTGAGTGAAACAGAAATCTTGAATAGAAAAAGTTCAAGAAACCGCGACCGTGACGCGTTGAGCTCCTCGATTTTTGTAACAATATAAAAAATCATGGCCGCATTTAGAATGGCCAAGGAAATTTTTGTCGGACTGCCAAATTTGCATAAAGCATAGAAATCTCAAAAATAAAAAAAAATTTTCGAGTTTAGTCTATTTTTGTGACCTGAAAAAGTTATGGCCGCATTTGGAATAGCTAGGACGGAATTTCGTCCTGTTAACGAGTATAACTTTAAAGTTTGTGTGAAACAGAGATCTTAAATATAAAAATAATTCAAAAACCGCGCCGCGACCGCGACGCTTTCAGTTCACCTCCTCGAGAGATGTCTTACCAGGGAATGGTTTCCGGCGCCAATGAGACCAAGTTTTCTAGATGTAGTTTTTTACGCTGATTCCAAATCTGGTCTCAAGAACTGCCGAGGAGACCTGCGAAAGAAGTTATGGACCCTCAAAAGTGGAAAATTTTGCCGTTGCTGCTGACGGCAATACCACACCGCGCGCGCATTCCCTCACGTATGGAGGAGCTTCGAAAAAAAAGATCAAAAATTTTTTGCAAGGAAATTAATTCGTTTTTATGTTATCAGAAGAACCAGAAATATATATGATCTAAAAATGAGCTCAATCGGAGACACTAAAATTTTCGACTTTTGAGGATCCATAACTTTTTTCACAGATCTTCTCGGCAGTTTTTGAGACCAGATTTGGAATCAGCCTGAAAAACTACATCTAGTAAACTTGGTCTCATTGAAACCGGAGACCATTTCCTGGTTACAATGCACCAGTTTGAGTTAAGTTTCACCTTCTATTTTTAAGCGATTGGCGGAAAATTAATCTCCAATATCTTCCATTCGTCCTGTGTGAAAATAAGAAAGTTTATAATTTTTTTTTCTAACAACCGAAAAAGTCATGACCGCATTTGGGTATGCTGGAAAAGTCGGTCGGTTGATTTGGAAAACTAGGCCATGCCGTAATTTTGCTCCTTGGAAAATCGAATTTCAGACTTTTTTCTCTTTTTCTATACTTTTCCTTCCTTTTTATCAGTTTTCTAGGATATGGGACACATGCTTTTCACTTCAAACTAAACTGTTCCTTATATATCATTGTTTCCCTAGGTAATGTTTTTTTGTTGTTGGAGGTAATTTGTTTCTTGCCTTTTTTGTGTGTATTTTACACATTATCTCATTTTCCGATTACTTATGATTTTTAATTTCACTCATTTGGTTATATGAAGTTATCTTGGATCCAAAAAAATTGATACGAATTTTCAAAAATTGAATCAGTTTATAATTTTGAATGTAGTAACCATCGTATTCTGCCCGCAAGAACGATACAATTGAATGAACATAAGAAAAAACCTTCTTACCATTAGTAAAATCAAAAAAAAAAGGAAAAAAAATTCAGAAAAGAAAAAAAAGTTGGAAATTCTAAGTGTTCCATGGAGCAATATTGCGGCCTAGTTTTCCAAACCGACCGACTTTTCCAGCATGCCCCGCAATAGGAATGGCTAATTTTTCCTACCAAAATTTTATAGACTGTGTGAAACAGAGAAATGTTGAAAATATGAAAGATCAAAAACGGGCCGCGACCGCGACGCTTTGAGTTCATCTCCCCGACTGACTTCATAGATTGTACCAGTTCGAGTTAAGTTTCACCTTCTTTTTATAAACGATTATTCTTGACTTGGGGTGATCGATAGTTCATCATTTTTGTAACAACTGAAAAAAAATCCAGGTCGCATTGGGAATGGCTTGTCCTATTAACGAGTGTAACTTCAAAAAAACAGAGAAATTTTTTGAAATTTTGATTTTTCTTATTTTTCTTCAAAACGAAAAATAAGGTACCCGAAAAAAAAAATTTTAACTTTTTTCACACTCTGACTTGTCTGGGATCTCTTATCTCTCACCAGGAGAGATTGGAATGAGAGAGAAGAGAGTGCAGACAGGTCAGAGAAATCTGAGTTCTAGGGAAGGATCCATTTTTTGAGAAGTTTCTGATTTTTATATTTGGAGACTCTTTCTCATTTTTCTTCAAATTGATGAGAGAGAAGAGAGTGCAGACAGTTCAGAGGAATGTAGGTTCTTTGAAGAAAGTATATTGATCAAGAGCCATTTTTTTGAGACTTTCTCATTTTTCTTCAAAACGAAACTTCCCAAAATAACTCGAATTGTAACTTGTTTCCGGTTCCTTTCCCTTTCCTGGAGAATTCCCTCCCAAAAACCGATCTTCTTGTTTTTTTCTCTCCTTCCTCTTCGCAGTGAAAACCACCACTTGACTCTCTTTTGTGCCGTCTTTAAATCGGCCTGTTTTCCGCACAACAAAAAAATGCGAACACATTTTCCTCCCTTCTTCCTCATTTTTATCGGTTTTTGTGTTCACTTTGAAAATAAAGTCGAATATTGGTTTTTTGTTTCTGAAATTGGAAAATTAATTTCTCAACTTTCTTCCAGGTTTAGATTAACCAGAAAATTTGTAAAGTTGAAGTTTCGTTCAGTTTTGGAAAGAAAAAAAAGGAAATGAGATAGAAAGTTTAGAGATCATGTGGGAAGAAGAGACACCCAGACAAGCAGAGAAAAATGACTGTCTGGGTTTCCCCAACTTTCTCACACTCTCTCGCTTTTCGATTTTTGAGCCCTTTTTCCAATTTTCCGAGTTTGAAGCAGTCTAGAGACCAAGTAAAGAAGGAGATACCCAGACAAGCAGAGAAAAATGACTGTCTGGATCTCTCTGATTTCCTCACACTCTCTCGCTCTTCGATTTTTGAGCCCTTTCTCCAATTTACCGAGTTTGAAGCAGTCTAGAGATCATATGGGAAGAAGAGACACCCAGAGAAGCAGAGAAATATAGCTGTCTGGGTTTCTCCAACTTTCTCACACTCTCTCGCTCTTAAATTTTTGAGCCCTTTTTCCAATTTTCCGAGTTTGAAGCAGTCTAGAGATCACGTAGGAGAAGAGAGACCTAGAGAAGCATAGAAAATTAGCTGTCTAGCTCTCTCCGATTTTCTCAAACTCTCTCGCTCTTCGATTTTTGATACCTTTTTCCAATTTTCCGAGTTTGAAGCAGTCTAGAGATCAAGTAAAAAAGGGAGACACCCAGACAAGCAGAAAAAATGACTGTCTAGCTCTCTCTGATTTTCTCACGCTCTCTCGCTCTTAGAAGCCCTTTCTTCTACTTTCCGGTTTCAAAGCTTGCACAAAACAAAACTTTCTTGATTATTGATGATTCTCGCAGAGCATGATTATTCCTTTGAAAAATTCATTTCAAGCCTAATTTTCAGAAAAAATATGATAGTATGATAATTTTGAGCATGATTAAATCCCTCGAAATCGCTCTGTTTGATAATTTTCAAAGTCTTGTCTTATCAAAAATCATCAAACAGTACGATTTTCTTCCATAGCTCTCAAAAAAAGGGTGGTCGTAAAACAGAAGACATTTCGATGACAGCTTTTTCCTAATGAAGCTCGTTAATTTCGACAAGGAACAACAATGGCTTATCTCCAAAAGTGGCCACTTTAGGGACCAAACACTGGTGCCGTCTTTATCAATTGATAATGGCTGATGGCTGATGATTTTCGGGCCTGTAATAATAAATGAGAGGGGAGTGGCCGATTCGTGTTTGTTGGTTGGTTCGGAAGATTTGGAAGATTTATTGGCGGCTTTTATACGCTAGGAAAATGCGCTCTATTGCTAAAATTAAAATCCGGCCGTTTTCATTCGGAAAATGTGCTCCATCGCTAAGATAACTTTTTTTTTTATCATGAACCTGTCAGAAAGATTAATCTTGTTAATAAAAATCGAATTTTCAGTACCGGCCGTTTTCATTTGGAAAATGCGCCCCATCGCTAATTTGTTCATTTTTTCCTAATAAACTCGTTCTAGAAAGACTATTTTCGCTGTAAAATTTTCAATCTGTACTTACGGCCGTTATCTTTTGGAAAATGTGCTCCATTGCTAATATAGCTTATTTTTTCTTATAAACTTGTTGAAAAGGTAAACATTGCTATTAAATGTCCAATTTTCAGTACCGGCCGTTATCTTTTTGGAAAATGTGCCCCATGGCTAGTTTTTCGATTTTTTCTCATAAACTCGCGCTAGAAAGGTGAATCTTGCTATTGAAAGTCTAATCCGCAGTACCAGCCGTTTTCTTCTGGAAAATGTGCTCCACTGCCAAAATAGCTTTTTTTTATCATGAACCTGTCAGAAAGATAAATCTCGTTAATAAATGCCCAATTTTCAGTACCGGCCGTTTTCATTTGGAAAATTCGCTCCATCGCTAAAATAGCTTATTTTTTATCATGAACCTGTCAGAAAGATAAATCTCGTTAATAAATGCCCAATTTTCAGTACCGGCCGTTTTCATTTGGAAAATTCGCTCCATCGCTAAAATAGCTTATTTTTTATCATGAACCTGTCAGAAAGATAATTTTTGGTATTAAATCTCCAAATCAGCTGTTGTTCTGTTCTTTCGACCTTTGTTCCATGGAACGTGCGCTCTGATGCTAGAAAAAAGGATTTTTGCTGGATTAAAGTAAAAATTGAATTATTGACGGCTGTTTTTTGAAGTTAATTGCGCCCCACGGATAATTTACCGCTTTTTCTTCTTAGATTGCACTTGAACAGCTCTCTAGTGCCCACTTGAAGTTTCACACTCTGAAATCAGCTATTTTTCGTTTTGAAACTCTTTTTCAAATGCTTAGGAATCGCATAAAAATGTTGATAATGACCCCTTCAGTGGTGAATCCGGCGCTTAAGGGCCCACTTAGGGCCCTGCTCTTTTGTACCAATTTATCTGCTCCAGGCCTGGATCATTTTTAACAACCTTCACTTGTCGAATCGTCTTCTTTATCATTCTGACATTTTTGAACTGTATCCGTTCGTGGTTTAAAGACTCTTCATCCCCGTCAACTCCCACCCTTTTTCAGTACCCATCCTACCACATATTTTATGCAAAAGCCATGAAAGACTCGAGTAACGACGTGACGGCGGTGAAGGACGAGGAGGAGACGCCGCGACCGACCTGGACGAAGCGACTCTCGCGACGACTGAACAAGCGAAGCTCGTCGCTGATCGCCTCGCTGGTCCCGTCGTTCCGTGGCCCGCGGGGCAGTCGCGACGACGACGTCGAGACGGACGAAGACGCCGCGGCGAAGCGACAGAAGAACCAGGCCCGACGGGCGAGTGCCGCCCCCGGAATCATGTCGGCGTCGGCTGTCGAACACGCCGAGAAACGTCGGAGAAGGAGCGTCGACCGGATCTACGCCTTGAAGACGGTCAAGGTGCGTTCCGAGATTTTTAGAAGGCCATGCCCTTTTTTTTTCATTTCCGTCTGGACCCTAGAGTGGTCCCTAGAGGAGTTAGGGGGAACGGAAGTCCCTATAGGGGACAAAATAGCCCTCCCTGGAGGGGTAACATTTGGGTGGTCGTTATAGGCGAACCGAAAGCTCAAGGGGTCCCTATAGGGTTTTTTTTTCTGTTTCGAAAACTACTGGGAAAGCTTTCAGTGGACTCTTCAGGGTTTTGACGTCTTAGTGGCCACTTGAGCGGCTAGAAATTAGTGACCTCTTGAGGGTTTTGGCGTTCTAGTTGCCGGATTAGTGGCCCCTTGAGTTTCCAGACTTTTCGGAGCCGTTTCATTTTAAAAGTTTCTTACGTACCACTTGTCTGCACCCCAGGAACGCCAAAGTGGTCCCTTGAGGAGTTGGGGAAAGAACAGTCCCTATAGGGGACAAAATAGCTCTTCACTTGAGAGATAACTTTTAGGTGGTCGTTTAGGATCTGACCAAAAGCTCAAGGGGTCCTCATCTTTAAAATTCTTGTTATCGTTTGGAATCATTTTTGAGGAAATTTTTAGTGGCCACTTTAGGGTTTTGACGTCTTAGTGACCACTATAGTAGCCGGATTACAGACCACTCAAGTGCTTAAAGTACAATGATCCCTTCAGAAGTCTTACTGGAACTACTAGACCACGAAAACTACTAGAGTGACCACTAAGACACGAAATAGTGGCTTCTGTAGTGATAGTTGTAGTGGCCACTTAAGGATCCTCTTCAAGTAGTCACGTTCTTCAAGTAGACACGTTTTTCGCAAAACCTTGAAAAAAAATCCTAAAAACCTGGTCATAAAAAGTGACTTCATTCTATTTTCGGCAACCTAACTCAAAAATCACACTTTACCAAACAGAATTCGAAAGTAAAAATCGACAAAAACGTTCGCACTTTAGAGGATTATTCAGTATAATCCGAGGCTTATCAATGTTTTGTTTTTAAAGTTATAATCTTCCTCATTCATCGCATTTTTTCGGCCGTTTTCAATTGGGACTAAAGATGAAAGTAACAAGATTCTAATCGAAAAAAGGAAAAAAAAGGAGAAGAAATAATTGGGCTGTTGATAGTAATGATAACGTTGGATTGACGTCAATCTTTGCGTCGATAATTTTAGTTTTCCGTGAACTTTTGTGTAGAAAACAAGGTTTTTCTGAGTCTTAATTGGAAAGAAAATGATGGAAAAAGCCTTTTTTGACATTTTGACTTCTCCTGATTGGAATTAAAATTTTTAAAGCATAAAATGGGAGATTCCAATTAGTACATTCATCACTGCTTTTTCAGCAAATAACCATCTGACTCACCCTATTTTCTGTTGAAATGACTCATTTCAAGCGTCAAAACCCCCTTTTTTTCCCCAAAACCATAGTTCATGCTCATTTCCCCTTGTTTATCACCACGTTCGCTATCAGCCGACGATTTCGATCGGGTCCACTCGAAAACTGAGCAAACGAGACGGTTTGGCTCCGAATTTGCTTTGCTTTTCGCCCTCATTCCCCGTTTGCTCACCTCGATGAACTCTGAACATCAAAACCGAAAACGGCAAAAAGGTCTCGCTCCCGGGTGGGCTCGAACCACCAACCTTTCGGTTAACAGCCGAACGCGCTGCCTATTGCGCCACGGAAGCAGGTGGTGGCCGACGAGGCGCGGCGCCCCCATATCTCCTCCCTTCTGAAGGCCTATTGTAACACAGCTTTTTTTTTGGTGAACTTCCGGTTCTTTTCGATTCTCTCTTCTTCTCTCTTCCCAAAAAAAAAAAGCCGATGACGCAAAACCTGGTATTATTATCATTTTTTGTGCCGAACAGAAACCGCCATTCAAAACTGACATTTTTCAAAGGAATATGGAAATGTGTTTGCATTTTTATTCTATTGATGGAAGTTTGTGTGGTTCGAGAGAAAACGGAGGAAAAAGAGAAAAATTTTTGCTTCAAAATCCTGTTTTTTTATTGAAGACAAAGGTAGTTATATTTATTTACTCATATTTTTGAAAATTAACTTTTTTTGTACGAAAAATTTCGCTTTTTTTCAAATTTTGAGGAGTTTGTAGGAAAAATTTAATCCATTTTTCTTAGTTTTAACGAATTTTTTTGAATTTGAAAGTTTACTCGAACCTTAAAAAGGATCAAGTTCAAAGTTCAAGTCAAGTTTCTATTTTTTTAATCATACAAAAAATGAAAAAAATCTAGAAACTTTTTAACTAGTCTATGTGAACATAGCTGTACTAACAAACGGAACGAACGATATTCTACAAAAAAATTTTTGTCGAAAAATGAGGTTTGGTGCTGATTTTTTTCCCCACTGATCAAAAGAACATCTGGGAAAAGCTCTGAATTTTTTGGATTTGAGGTCGGTTTTTTAAAAATATAATTGTCTAGTTTTCATTAGAGACTTGTTTTGTTGTAGTTTTTTTCTTGGAATTTCCATATTTTCGCAATAAAGTCATCAAAAATCATAATTTTTCCTACGGTTTCCGCCGAAAATGCAGGATTTTCAGTCTAGTTTCTTTATTTTTAGAGCCTTAAAGCTCGGTTTTCCCGTTTTTAATCAACTCAAGTCTTGAAAAATTTTCAATTTAAGAGCTTTTGAGCTTCAAAAAAGAAGTTTTGAACCTTAAGGAACGTGTATTTTTTTCATTTAAACTTCTGAATTTTTCCAAAAAAATCCTTCAAAAAAACTCAATTTTCTGGATTTTTTTCTCTATATAATTTGATTGAAATCTTGAAAAAAATCTTCATTTTTGAGAGTTTAGGAGCTCCATTTTTTTCATGTTGTATTCTTTGAAAAAAAGTGTAATTTTTTTCATTTTTTTAATTTCTATTTTTTTGCAAAAAAACCTCAATTTTTCACGCTTTTTTTCTCTATATAACTCGATCAAAATCTCGAAAAATCTTGATTTCAAAAGCTCTAGAGCTACATTTTCATACCAGTCATCCTAAATGAGTGTATTTTTTGATTTGGAACGCTTCAAACTTTGAATTTTTCGCGATGAAGCCTCAAAAAAACTCAATTTTTCTGGATTTTTTTCTCTATATAATTCGACCAAAATCTTGAAAAAAATTATTCATTTTCATAGCTCTGGAGCTGCATTTTTCATGTTATATACTTCGAAAAAATGTGATTTTCCATTTTAAATTTCTATTTTTCGCCAAAAAGCCTTCAAAAATCTCAATTTTCATGCTTTTCCTCTGTATAACTCGACCAAAATCTTGAAAAATCTTCGTTTTGAGAGTTCTGGAGCTTCCTTTTTCATGTTTGTTACTTTGAAGAAGAGTATTTTTCAAATTGAAGGCCTTCAAACTTTTTTTTTCACTAAAAATCCGTAAAAAACTGCCGTTTTTCCCACACCAATCGATGCAAATCTCTCGTCGAATCGTACACGAGCTGGACGGGCTCGACGAGCCCGATCCGCTGGTCCCAAGAGCTCGAGGCGATCTGGTCAAATAAGGGAGGCCTTCGGGGGGCGACGACGTCGACGACGTCGACTGTTTGCGTCTCTCGCCGCGCCGTGCTCTCTCGCCCCCCGTCTCGCTTATTGACGCAGGCCGTTCTCCTCCAACACGGAGAGCAACGCCTCGGGGAGCACCACTTCCTCTCTTTTTCCGCCCCCCGAAACTCTACGAATTTTGATTCGTTACTCTTCTCCTGACATGTTATGTTCTGAGTTAACTTCCCCGCTTTTTTCGAATCAAAATGATGATTTTTTGAGGATTTTTTGAGCTTTTGCTAACATTTTGAAGTTAAAAAAATTCGAAATCGCCTTTTTTCTGACTATTTTTGAACTTTCCCTTTGGCGCTGAAACCTTGATTCGTTACTCTTCTCCTGACATGCTCCTTCCTCGCTTTTTTCAAAGTTGAAATGGTCAAAATCGACCTTTTTAATGATTTGCGATTTCTACCGGCAGAGAAATACTTTCTTATCCTTTTTTTTCTGATTTTTTTCATTCCTTACTATTCTCCTGACCTTCTTTGGGTGAATTTTGTTGCTTTCTGAGGTTTGAAACATGAAAATTTGCCTTTTTTAATGATTTTCGAGCTCGTGAAAGGGTTTTTTTCAGTGAAATAATTTTCTTCTGACCCCAAACTATACGAATTTTGATTCGTTACTCTTCTCCTGACCTTCTCTGAACGAATTTTGTTGATTTTTGAAACTTTGAAACAATATTTTCTTTTTAAACCTGTCTTGAAGTAGACTTTCTTGACCTTCTAAAGCCGGATTTTCAGAAACGGCTTTTTTCAACTTTTGAAGCGGGTTTCATCAATTCAGTTTCAGAAAAAAAGTCGTTTTTTTATTCAATAAATTTGTTGTATTTTTGGCCCTCAAGCCTACGAATTTCGATCTCTGAGCGAATTTTGTTGATTCTTTAAAGTTTGAACTATCGAATTCTGCATTTCTGATGACTTATGGAGGCAGCAAAGTAGATTTTTGAAGTAAAAAGTACAAAAATCAAAATTTTCGAGCTTTGGAAAAACGCCAGGCTCTGTTCCTTGTACTTTTTGTTAATCAAATGAAATTATTTTTGTTCCAATTTTTCTGCTCTTCTTAGTCCTCAAGCGACCGAGGACGAAGAACTGATCAATTTTGATTTTTTTAAAGAAAATCCCCATTCTTCAACATTTTTTTCTCCCTTTTTTTGCACTAGAATCCGGGAATTTGCCAATTTTTTTCCAATTTTTTTATTCTCAATTTCATCTTTGGACTCTTTTTTTCCGACTCTTTTTGACGTACAGATTTTTCTATTTTTTTGAAAAAAATTATTATATTTTTTTAAAAAAATTAACGTAGAATTTTTCAATTTAAAAAAATCTAAAAAAAGGCACTTTTTCTTGATTTTTTTAAGATTTCTAAAAAAAGTTTTTGACCCTCTGGAACGGAATTTTTGTGATTTTTGAAACTCTCAAGGCTCGAAACGGATGCAATTGGACTGGAAAAAAATGTCCTTTCTTTCCCTTTTTTTCAATGAAATTTCCAAATTTACGGCCTGTTCCCTTGTTTCGGAACTCCCCAAACGTCTTTTGCAGAAAAATTTGCTTCTTATTTTTTTCAAATTTTTTTCGGATTTTTTTGAAAGTTTTTGAAGTTGAAACTTATCAATTTTGTGAGGAAATTCGAAAGTCGTCACGTCTCGAATGTCTGTGGTCGCATTTGGAATGGCTCAATTGACTAAATAATCGAAAGCGGAAGTCGTTGTAAGTCGGTCGCGGTTTGAAGCTGAAATTTCAAGGTCTTGACTTTCTGGAATATAATTTTGGGATTTTGAAGCTCTCATAATATTAAACTGATGCAATTTGGACTGGAAAAATGCCCTTTCTTTCCTTTTTTCAATGAAATTTCCAAATTTTCGGCCTTTTCCTTTGTTTCGGAACTCCCCAAACGTCTTTTGCAGGAAAATAATTTCTCATTTTCCACATTTTTTGATTTTCTCCTTGAATAAACATTTGAAATGAAAAAAAAAATGAGACTCTTTGATTCTTTCTCAAAAATTCCATCAGAAATCGAATTTTCAAGGTCTCCAGATACTCAAAATTTATTCTAACCCACTATTACTCACCTTTTTTGCTTCCCTTCTCGGAAATAAATTTGTTATTCTGATATCCAAGTTGGCCGGTTTTTGACCCTTTTCATGACGCGTCAGTTCTGTTTATGAATAATAATTTTGGCTTTTGCAGATTTTCCAGTTATTTTTAGGCTCATTAATTCTATAAACACTAATAATGTCATTAAAAAGGATGATTTTCCCATTTCTTGGAATGATTTTTGACGCTCTTAATGACTGAACTATTTTTTGCAAACTAAAAAAAAATTAATTTTATTGGATTTTAGAGAGTTTTGAGCTGTTTTCTAGTGAAACTGAGGCTGTATGAGAAAATTGGGACCATTTTTTCCGTCTCAAAATTTTCGTGGTCGCATTTGAAATGGATCAATGCGTCGCGGTTTGAATTTATGCTTGAAAGGTTAAGGCGAAAACCGTTTCAGGTCGGTCGCAATCAAAAAATGTTCCTTGAGCCATTCCAAATGCCACCTTGACCTTTGAATTTCACACCGAAAAAAAAAATCGCCCAATTTTCCAAATTTAAACTTTTATATTTACATTCTCCGGCAGGAAATGACATTTTTGTTGTTCAGGAAATGGGGAAAACGAAAATTTTCGCCTTTCGACGAGATTTTTTTCTCCAATTTTCGCTTCTTTAAACATGTTTTTTTAGTTATTTGACGATTTTTTTAAGTCATAAATGAAAATTTAGTTTTGATTTTTGGAGATATGAAAAAAATTATGTTGTAGGTTAATAGTAGTTCTAACACTTTTTGAGCAACTTATATTTTTCGAATAATTTTTCAAGCCTCAAAGGAACCTCTAGAAGAAAAATTCGAAGTTTTTTTAATAATCCACAAAAAAATTTTTGAATTTTTTTAACTTTTTTCCTTGTTCAAAACAGCCATTAAAAACCGAACTTTATTTTTAGCCTTTTTTCCTAACTTTTGATCTCATGATCCCAAGCTTAGCAATTGTTTTTTAAGTTGCGCCCGACCAGAAACGACTTGCGCTTGATCATATCCGATATCATTCCGTTCGGTTCTGAACATTTTTTCTTCTTTTAATGAGTCATTAAAAGCATGAATTGAATTTTTTCCATTTCTCGTGATCCCAAGGAAAATGGCTTCAGGCGTAGCGAGGGTTTTTTTAAACTGCGCCCGACCAAAAACTACTTGCGCTTGCTCACATCCAATGTCATTCCGTTCGGTTCTGAACATTTTTTCTTCTTTGAATTAGTCATTAAAAGCATAAATTGAATTTTTTTTTAACTTTTTTCGGTCGCAAGTAGAATGGCTTCAGGCGTAACGACTTTTCAAACTTCGCCCGACCGAAAACGACTTGCGCTGTATCGCATCGAAAAGCACGAGAGAAAACTTTAAGCTTACGAGCTTTTTTTTTTCCTTTTCTTCGACCAAAAACGTCATTCAATTTCTGCAGAAAAATGTCTCCCAGCCCTAGTTTTGATGTTTATATTTATTGCAAAGCCAATTTTCCCGCCAGGCCTAATCGCTCAGAAACCCGAGCTTCCTTGTGAACATATTTGTCGGGTTTCTCTCCTTTTCGCTCATTTTTCGGAGTTCTGAACGGCCCGAATATGAAAAGTTAAGAAGATTATGGAATTTTCAAGCGTTTTAAACCGCATTTCCATGCGGAATATGTAAAACACCTCGTTTTTTGCTCTTTTTAGAGGATTTGGAGCGTTTTTAGAAGGTTTTTGAGGTCAATAATGCTCTGAAAACTGTTTTTGATGTTTTTTTTTCCCTTTTCTGTTCCAATTTATTAAAAAGAAAAGTCCTTTTTGACATTTCCGATGATTTTTACAAATTTATAACGAAGCCCCGCCCATTTTTCCGCGCCCCTGCAATATTACCGCGCCTCGTTTGCATTTATTTCATTCAAGGCCATTTTTGAGACCCGATGATTTTCAATGATTTTACGAATTTGAAACGAAGCCCCGCCCATTTTTCCGCGCCCCTGCAATATTACCGCGCCTCATTTGCATTTATTTCATTCAAGCCCATTTCTGAGAAACCAGCGTTGATAGAGATTTGTTAATGGAACTTTATGGCCAAATATAATTTTAAAAAAGCCAGTTTTTTTGAAAAATAACTAAAGTAGTCACTTAAGAGAGGCCAAAAAGCGGCTTTGAAGTGGCCACTTCAGGGATTTTCAATGGTTTTCGTATGAGAAACATTGAGACAACAGTAGAAATTTATTAATGGAATTTCAAGACAAAATATAATTTTAAAAAGAAGATTATACGATTTTTCTATGAAGTGACCACTTTAGTGACATTTTGAAGCCGGTATAGTTTGAGTGATCTTTCTAGGGAAGTCGGTTTTTTTAGAAAAATTTTTTTCCTCATTTTATCTGGTAAAAAAATTTTCAAAAAAAAAACTTGGAACCTTAGAAAATCCCCACAATGTAGAAAAAAATGGAGGCCTCGAAATTATGCTCAAGGTAACGGGAGTGGAGGGCCTCGTCAAGGTCCATTTGGCCTCGTATGTTTGCCGTTGTGAGCGCAGTCCGGTCGGAGCTCACATCGATCGATCCAGGCGGTTGCGCGGGGTGAGCGCGCTTCGGGAAACGCTCACAGCGACGCCGGCGACGTTTTTCCCACGCACATACACAACAACTTTCTCTCGGCTCTCTTCTGGACCGCACGCTCTCTCGCTTTGGTCGACTTCATTTCGAAGTCCCTGGTTAGGTCTCCTGACAACTCACTTAAGAGATCACTTGCGAGTTTCTATTCTTGTCGAGTTCAATTATACTTTGAAGATGCTTATTAGGTCTCGAGACACTTCCCTTGAGTGGTCACTTGAAGATTTCTGTTCTTGTCGAGTTCCATTACACTTTAAAGTTGCTTATTAGGTCACGGGACACTTCCCTTAAGGGATCACTTGCGGATTTCTATTCTTGTCGATTTGGACTGGTTGGGCCTTCTATTACTCCCTTAAGGGATCCTTTCCGATTCTCTACACTCGTCGAATTCAACTACATTTCGAAGTCACTGTTTTGGTCACCCGACACGTCCCTTAAGGGATCACTTGCGAATTTTTATTCATGTCGATTGCGACTGGGTGGGCCTTCTGACACTTCCCTTGAGTGATCACTTAAGAATTTCTATTCTTGTCGTGTTCAACTTCACTTTGAAGTCACTGGTTAGGTCACCTGACACTTCCCTTAAGTGACCCCTTCCAAATATTTATTCCTGTTAAGACTTTCTCTGACCGATTGGAGCTGGGAACAATAAAAAAAAGTTTTCGACTTGTTTCTGGACTAAAAAAAGGATACTCCCCTTAAGAGATCACCTTGAAACGTTCCCATGCGCAGATACACTTTTCTAGGCTCTCTCGCTCTGGTCGAATTCATTTCTCTCCCCTTAAGGGATCACTTGCGGATTTCTATTCTTGTCGAGTTTGACTGGTTTTGCCTTCTGTTACTTCCTTAAGTGATCACTTGCGAATTTCTATTTTTTGTGATGTTCCGTGAAGATTGGACCTGTAAACGTTAGAAAACTGTAATTTCCTCTTCTTCAGGGATCACTTGAGACTTGGTTTTAGACTTCCTGCTCTACTAATATTCATGAGGTTTCACTTAAGAGGTCACTTCAAATTTGCTTGAATCTCTTCTAAACCCCACACTCTCTTGCCTTCACTTCGAAGTTACTGGTTAGGTCGCCTGACACTCCCCTTAAGGGATCACTTGCGTCCCATGGCTGTCAGAGTCTCTCCTGAACAAAAAACACTAAAGTAACCATTCCAAAGTCCCCCTAAAGAGGTCACTTATCGGGTCACTCTCCTGAATGGCTTGTCTGGTTGGATAATTCCCATGGCTGTCAGAATGTCTCTTGAACGAAAACCCTCAAGTAATCCCTTCGAAAGCGCCCTAAAGTGGTCACTCTCCTGAATGACTTGTCCCCTCAAGTAACCCCTCCAAACCCTCCCTTAAGAGGTCACTTACCGAGTCACTCTCCTGAATGACTTGTCTGGAGATGCGAAATTTTGTTACAATGGCACTGATGGCCAGTTGTTCGACGGGGCCGCCACTCCGTCCAGCTGTCAATCTTTTCCGAGACTCCGCCCGCCGCTGGCGATAATCAATCGATAATCAGCCACTGATTTGACCTATTTTATCAGTCTTCCCAGGCCTCTTTTACCTGTCGGAAAGGGTTTCGGCCACTTTTTGGAGTTTGATTTCTTCTGAAGAACTTATTTTTGACTTCAGATTATTGAAAAGTCCTAAAAAGCATGTTAAAAATCGATAATCAGCCGCTGATTCGACCCATTTTTTCGGGATTTCTTGTCTTTTTTGTCTTCCCAGATCTCTTATAGCGTTCAGAAAAGCTTTTGGCTACTTTTAGAAGTTTTATTTCTTTTGAAGAACTCATTTTTGACATCAAATTATTGAAAAATTCTATAAGAACTCTTAAAAAGTCTGTTAAAAAGTCGATAATCAGCTGATTTCAACTGTCTTTGGGATTATTAGTCTTTTCAAACCTTTTCAACCGTTTAGAAACGTTTCGGGCCACTTTTTGAAGTTTAATTTCTTCTGTAGAACTCATTTTTTTTGAAGTCAGGTTATTGAAAAAGTTCTTTTAAAAAGTCCTAAAAAGCATGTTATCAATCGATAATCCGCTTATTTAACCTATTTCTTCAGGATTTCTTGTTTTTTCAGGCCTTTTTAACCGTTCAGAAACGTTTTTAGTCACTTTTTGAAGTTTAATTTCTTCTGAAGAACTCATTTTTGACATCAGATTAACGAAAAGTTTCATGACAATTTCTAAAAAAATGATTTTTATCAATCGATAATTAGCCGCTGATTTGACCTTATTCATCAGGATTTCTGGTCTTATTCTGGTTTTCCAACCTCTTTTATCATTCAGGAAAGTTTTTGAGCACCTTTTGAAGTTTCATTTTTTCTGAAAATCTATTTTTAAAGTCAGATTATCGAAAAATTCTCTAAAAACTCCCAAAAAGCATGTTAAAAGTCGATAATCATCCGCTTATTTGACCTATTTCACCAGGATTTCTTGTCTTATTCTGTTTTTGCAACCTCTTTTATCATTTAGGAAAGTTTTTGAGCCCTTTTTGAAGCTGTATTTTGCTCAAGAATACATTTTAAAAATAAAATAATGAACAATTTTTGTAAGGAACTCCTGACACGGATGTTACCAATCGGTAATCAGCCGCTGATTTGACCTATTTTATCAGGATTTCTTGCTTCCCAGATCTCTTTTACCGTTCGGAAAGGCTACTTTTTTGTTAAATGAGAAGTTTTGGCTAGTATTATATATTTTTTTGCGGAAATTGAGTGATAAGCTGCTGATTAGACCTATTTTAAAATACTTTTGTCTTTTCTTGTCGGTTTTTTAGACCTTTTTGACGTTGAAAATCCACTTTTTTCTTCTTTTTTTTTTTCAAAATTCATTTTTTTCAGAAGTGAATAATGAAAGTGTACTTGATTCGACTTATTTTACCATCGATATTTTGAATTTTTGGCTTTTTTCAGACTTTTCAACAGTTCAGACAGATTTTGATCAATTTTTATGTTGAATTTCCTTTTTTTTAATTTCAAAATTTGTAGGCCAGATGTGCAGTAGATGGAATGGATGAAAATATCATCCAATATTATATCGGAAATGTTTGTCATTTTGCTTCTCCCAACGCTTTGTTTTCCGTCCAAACGCCTTTTTTGAAGTAACATTGTTTCAGAATTCCTGTACTTTTGAGACCAGTTTTCACACTTTTACTCATCTTTACGGTCTAAATATTGCTTCATTTCATCTTCAAGCTTAAAATGCTTATCTAAAACCTCATTCGAGTGATAAGATCAGTTGACAAGCGCCCAACTCACCTAATTCGACCCCATTGGACAATATTTTTCCCTTTTTTCATCCTTTTTATTCAATTGTATTCTTTATTCGCGGTCTTTATCGTCATTCTCATATTCGTGAAGATCAAAACCCTATCTTTCAGCAAAAAAATACGGTAGCTTGACCGATTTCGGCACTCACGGCGCGGTGCGTTCACACCAAAAACGCCGAACCTCACGCGCAACTTGGCGCTGCTTATTTTTCGACCGAAGTTTCGATATTTAAATCACTCGCTTGATCATGAGCTCCGGCTCAGTCGATACCAAGTCCGCGGCTGTGAGTACCGTAGCTTTTAGCGATGGAGCATGCTTTCTTCTTCTAGTTTTAGTCTCGGCATGATTTTTTCTTTAGAAAAAAAGAAGATTTAACAGTTGTCGTGTTGTGACTCTTTAACTTTCTATTTTCCGCTTCGTTCAGTATTTTCCTCTCATTTTTCTTGTTACAATCTGGTTTTGTAGTTTGAACTATTTTGAGTTTCGTTGCTTGCGAGCGGTCGCGTCGCGGTTTTATCCCTTTTTTCAACAAAAGTTCTCTTGATTTTTAAATTGAGTCATAGTTTCCAGTACAAGATTCTTCATAGAAACACCTGCAATTTTTTTTTTTTGATTATTATACGAGGAAAACTCCAGTGATCACTAAAGCGGTCTCTCAAGGGCTACTTGGAGTGGACACTGAAGGGATCACCCCTATAAAAGCCACTTTTTGCGTCTTAGTGGCCACTGTAGTAGTTTTTAGAGTCTAGTAGGACTACATAGACTTTTAAAGAAAAAAACATTTTTGAGTCACTTAAGTGGCCACGAACTCGACCACTATAGTGGCAACTAAAACCTCGAAACCCTCAAGTGGCCACTAAAATCTTTTTCAAAAAACTTTTTGGTTGGAAAATAGGTTTTTCTTGAACTTCTCGACAAACTCAAACAGAAAAATTGTGAGAAAATCTATTTACTTTCACCGTTTCGTGTGTTCCAAGAGGACTTTTGTAGCCTGTAGATTTCAAGAAAATTCTTATTTTTCGATGGGAATTTCAAAATTGAAGGCTGGGAAACTAGATATTTGATTAAAATAAAAAATTTTTTTTTACTCACCAGGGAATGGTCTCCGGTCGCAGTGGAATCTCTCAATGAGAACAATTTTTCCAGATGTAGTTTTTCACGCTGATCTCAAATCTGGTCTCAAAAACTGCCGAAGAGCTCTGTGAAAAAAGTTATGGACCCTCAAAAGTCGAAAATTTCAGTGTCTCCGATTGAGCTCATTTTTGGAGGGTATATAGACCTTGTCCCTCTGGTCAAGAAAAACCATTGAAGTTTTCACAAAAAAATTTCGGAGCCCAGATATGATCTTTCAAAGCCCCGCCTCACACAAGAGCTTGCGAGCGCGGTGTCCTATTGCGATCCGGCGACCGTCGAAGCAACGGCAGCAAGGAGCAGTGGTAAGGCGGCGGACTGGGGATCACGAGGTCATAGGTTCGGTGCCCACTCTGTGCAAACTTTTTTTGCATTTTTTTCTATTTTTCTATGATTTCGTTTAAGGGCTCCTATTTTTGAGTTTTTGAGGCGTATAAACATGAAAATTCTTCGTTTTAAGCCTATTCGAACATCTAGAATTATTTTTCGTCAAAAAAATTTTTTTCATCGAATTTTTTTCGAGATTTTTTTCATGTATGAGCATGGGCTGGAGTGAGAAAAATTTTTCAGAAAAAAATTTTTTTGTTTTTTCATTTTTTTGTTCCTAAAAAGATTTATAAGTTTAATTAGTCATAGATACGCCGACATATCCCACAGAAAAATTTTTTTCCTGGCTTTTTTAGACCTCACCGTTCAACTACGACTTCCTAAGAAAAAAAAATAAATCCGCATTTTTTCAAATTTTTGCTGAAACTTCCAAAGAAATCCCTTCTGATTGATACATAACACAATTGGGACCAAAATCCCACAAATAATTCGTTCTAATGGAACTTGTGAAAGTTCACAGTCCAGTCAGACTTTTTTTCGAGAGAAAATTTCGAGGAAAGAAAAGAAATTTTTTTATTCAACAATAAATTTTTGTTTTTTTGCGCACTCTCATTTTTTTCTACTTCGGGAAAGTCGCGCAAAAACTTTTTTTCAGGCATAAGGTGAGGATCATAGGTAAATCACTGCAACTCTCAAAGAAGTTTTTTTGGAAGAAAAAAAATTACTGTGGTTTTTTTTTGGTGTATGAATGAATAAATGGACTAAAAAACTTTAAATAAAATTAAAAAAAAGAAAAAGAACCAAAAAAAATTTTTTGAAAATTTTCCTCACTCGAGCCTATACTCATACACATGGAAAATAACGAAAAATTACATCAAGAAATTTTTGACAAAAAAAGGCCCAGGTGTTTGAATAGTTTAAAAACGGAGAACTTTCACAGTTTAACGCTTCAAAACTCGAAAAAGAGCACTTACGCAAAAATTTTCCGAAACTTCCATCCGTCGTAGTTGAACGGTGAGGTCTAAAAAAGCCAGGAAAAAAATTTTTCTGTGGGATATGTCGGCGTATCTATGACTAATTAAACTTATAAATCTTTTAGGAACAAAAAAATGAAAAAAAAAAACAAAAAAATTTTTCTGAAAATTTTCTCACTCCAGCCCATGCTCATACATGAAAAATCTCGAAAAATTCGATGAAAAAAATTTTTGACGAAAATAATTCTAGATGTTCGAATAGGCTAAAAACGAAGATTTTTCATGTTTATACGCCTCAAAACTCAAAATAGGAGCCCTTAAACGAAATCATAGAAAATAGAAAAAAATGCAAAAAAAAGTTTGCACAGAGTGGGCACCGAACCTATGACCTCGTGATCCCCAGTCCGCCGCCTTACCACTGCTCCTTGCTGCCGTTGCTTCGACGGTCGCCGGATCGCAATAGGACACCGCGCTCGCAAGCTCTTGTGTGAGGCGGGGCTTTGAAAGATCATATCTGGGCTCCGAAATTTTTTTGTGAAAACTTCAATGGTTTTTCTTGACCAGAGGGACAAGGTCTATATACCCTCCAAAAATGAGCTCAATCGGAGACACTGAAATTTTCGACTTTTTGAGGGTCCATAACTTTTTTTCACAGAGCTCTTCGGCAGTTTTTGAGACCAGATTTGAGATCAGCGTGAAAAACTACATCTGGAAAAATTGGTCTCATTGAGAGATCCCACTGCGACCGGAGACCATTCCCTGGTCAGATTTTCCGTTTCAGAAAGTTTATATAAACAAATTTATACTATTTTTTTGATTGTTGAAGTGTGTTCAGTTGCTTTGAAAAAGGCCTCATTTGGAATGGCTGCTCGCGTCGCGGTCGCGTTGCGGTTTCTTTGAGGGGTCCTTGAACTTTTCCCCTCTTGGGACCACTTTATTACCCTTAAAGCTTGCCCAAGTGGCCACTCTAGGGAAGCCTGCTAGTGGTCCCTATTCCCTTTCAAATAATAGTTACTGTAGGGATCACTTGAGCTTCAGAGGCTAAGTGGTCAGACCCTGAAACCCCATAGGGACCACTCAAACTTCAGACCTTTAGGAAGCACCTTCACTTTTGAAGATCCTTTCGAACTTTTCTACAAATCCAAAAGAACAGGGCCGAAATTTGGTGCACTTGAAACGGGAACGTGCCCCAGCGCCAATTCAATTATAACATTTGGTCGCGACAAATTGCCGGTCTAAAAAAGTGGGACAACCGCAGTTCATCGGCCAACTTCCCCACAACGCGCTAGTTCCCTGAAAAAGTTGATAAATATTCAATTTTTGATCTTATTGCGGCCAAAACGCGGCGCATTGACTACCGTAGTCCAAAGTTTTTTGATCTTTTACCATATTGCGACCAAAACGCGGTTCATTGACTACCGTAACCCAAATTATTTTGTAACTTCGATTTTTCTCCTTCTATTGCTGTAGACATAAACTAATACTGGATTTTGTCCTTGCCTTTGAATTTTCACATGCGGATTAAACTAGCTTGTTTGACTACCGTAACCCTACCTGTAATTTGAAAAAGCAGGTAATCTAATGTTCTCAACGAAATTCCCGATTTTCAGGCCAAATTCTTCAGAAACTCGAAAAACATCAATTTCCTGTTTCTTGTCAATTTTAAAGTTAATTTTTTCGTTAATTTTTTTTCGTTAAAGTTAATTTTTTCGCAGTTAGTCATTATAATAAAAACAATAAAAAATTCAAACTGCGGCCAAAACGCACCAGATCGATTACAGTAACCCAAATTGGCCTTGTTTTTTCAGATGTGACGCTCTTGACTACCGTAAACCGATATCTAAAAATTAATTTTTGCGGTCAAAACGCATCTGATTTACTACCGTAATCCAATTTTTGAAAATTCATTTCTACGGTCAAAACGCATCTGATTCACTGCCGTAATCCAATTTTTGAAAATTGATCTTTACGGTCAAAACGCACCCGATTGACTACCGTAACCCAACTTCAAAAAATTTGTTTTTGCGGTTAAAACGCCTCCGATTGACTACCGTAACCCAACCTTTAAAAATTGATTACTGCGGTCAAAACACCTCCGATTGACTACCGTAACCCAACTTCTGAAAATTAATCCTTGCGGTCAAAACGCATTCGATTGATTACAGTAACCCAACTTTTAAAAACGGATTTTCACGGTCAAAAAACATCCGTTTGACTACCGTAACCCAACTTCAAAAAATTAAGCTCTGCGGTCAAAACGCATCTGACTGATTACCGTAACCCAACTTTTAAAAATTGATTTCTACGGTCAAAACGCGTCTGATTGGCTACCGTAACCTTTTCAACTTTTTTTTTCTTCGCACAAAAGGAAATATGAACTCTTAAACTCTGGCGATATGTTTATCGATGTCAAAATATTACAACGTGGCGATTTTATTGGAGGCTCTCGGGCTGATAAAATCGAACCTGATAACAACGATATATCATTAAACACAACACACTTGGAAAAAAAGCATCACTAACTGGCTTATCAGTAACGGGGAGGGGGGCGACCCCTAAAAAAGTCAACGTATCATCTTCTTCTCCTGTACTATCCGATCGATCGATTCGCCAAGGCGATCATTGAGACGAGGCCACGCCCACTTTTTTGCGCGCACCTTCGTGTCGCTCTCCTGTGTGATTCACCTTCCAGCCGGCGGGAGTACCCGGGGCTAGTTTTTTATTTTTTATAGGTTTTGTGAAACATTCAACTGGCTTAAGACTTTATGATTTTGGATTTTGGATTTTGTAGATCAAATTTGATCTCAGGATGACTTGTTGAGATTGAATTTTCGAATTTTTTGGTCTCAACTTCAGTTTTATGATTATTTACTGTCCTGGACTTTTTAATTTCAAAAAAATTTCTATATTTATCCGAAAAAAATGCGTGGTAAAATAGATGGAATCTCAGATTTTTAGTTGAAATTTTTCAGACTATTCGTCATTTTCTAGTCAAAAATACTCCAAAAAAATTAACATTTATTCATAGATTTTTTTACCGTTTTTTTCAATTTTTTTAAGCATATAATTTTTATATAATTTGGTTTTTACAAATGATTCATTATTCGATTTTTCAACGATTTTTTTCACGTTTTTTTGAATTTTTCGAAAAAGTTGACGGAAAATTCCAATTTTTTCTGATTATTCTCATTATTTTTTTGTTCAGTTTCACTACGTTGAGTAGTTTTCATGTAATTTTTGCCCTTTATCTCTTCTCCGAATTTTTTTTTTTGAGAAAAAGCGAATTTTTCCGAACCTTCATCATTGAAAATCCAAAAATTCAGGGATTCAACAATTTTTTAATGGATTTTTGTGTGTTTTCTGGTTTTCTTTGCAGTTTTTGAACCTAATTACTTGACATACTGATAATTCTTCATACTTTGAACTGATTTGATGATAACTTCGAGTTTAAAATGTGCCTAGTCTGCGGAAAAATTCGTAAACTTTGACTTTTTTTGTCTTTCTTTTTCAGTCCTAATTACACTATTTTCTAAGATTTCCAACTGATTTTTTTAATTTTTAAACTATCTGGAGAGTAAAAAATGAACTCTAACTTAGATGAAGCTGCGTTTTTATAACTAGTTTATTTTTCACGCCTACGGGAAGCCATCGCGCGCAAGTAGATTTTAGTCTGGCGCAATAAAAAAAATTGCTTACGCGTCAAGCCATTCCAAATGCGGCACTTTGAAGTTTCCCAATTGAACTCAAGACTCAACTTTCACTCGTCTAAGGCAATATGAAAGCGGACGTCAACGTCTTCATTTCAAGGCGACGTCTCCTTTAGGATGAGCGTCCAAAGTGAAGTCGTCACCTTGTTTTTTGTGGGTTTCGCAACGAAAATCGATCGCCTTACTGTACTTTTACTCCTCAGATATTTTGAACTATTTTTTTGGTCAATCAGAGTTTCAAATTGTCCTAAAAGCCTCAAAAAAGACCTTAAAGCTAGTTTTTCTCCGTAGGGCGCACTTGATGTCACTTCGAAGACTTTTTCAAGCTTTTTTTTCCTGACTTCGATTACCTAACATTCCTCTAGATCCGCTAGAAAATTTTAAAAATTTTGAATTTCCGGTTTCTATCCGTGGAGCAAACTTGCAAAAGATTTTTGAGTTTTTTTGACGTTTATTTTTTTACTTTCTTTTTGAATTTTTCTTGAGAATTTTTGACAAAAAAATCAACATTTTTTTCCGCCTCGACGAAGTAAAAGCTGAGTTCTGGTGTCGAAAAAAATCACTAAAAAGGACACTTGGAGCTGGTTTTATCCATAGAGCAAACTTGACCACCATTTTTTTAAAACTTACATAATTTTTTTCCTGATTTTTAACCACTTTTTTGCTTCCCGCTAGATTTACTAGGAGTTTTTTTCATTTTTTTCAAATATAAAAAAAAATTAAAAAGAGCCCTTGAAGCTGGTTTTCTCCGTGGAGCGCACTTGAGCATCATTTTGAGAACTTATTGATTTTTTTTTCGGAGTGGAAGCTGAGGCGATGATTTTTTCTGAAAATGCTATTTTTTTGAGCTTCATCCCCACGTTTCCTAGAAAGGTACCTGAGAATTCTTTTTTTTCCCGCCTTGAAATCGGAGTAAAAGCTGGGGGGCCGTCTGGTCGTGTATGTGTCCTGTGAGTGGCGAAAATTGAAAGGAAAAGACGTCGGGAACGGGGACCTCATGTTAATGTTTGAATAGGCCCCGTCCGCGACCAACCCTAAACGGGAGAGACCGCACCTCCTTGTCCTTCTCCGCCGCCCGCCAACAACGCTTAAACTTTGTCTTCACCTGGTTTTCTTACCTGAGCGAGAAAAATAGGCTTAAATTCGAGATTGATCTGTTTTTCGACGACTCAAAACGCTTTAGAACCGTTTAGAAAGGCTTTTGAGACGCTTGAAATTTGTCTCCACCTGGTTTTCTCACCTGAAAAAAAGTTTCTAATTCGTGAAATGTCGGATTTTTCACGGCTCAAACCGCGTAAAATGACATTTTGATCCGTTCTTCACCTACAGCTGCAACCGACCCTAACCGACTTCCCGCCTAGGCGGATCTCTTCATTCTTCATCAGCCAAAAAAGGCTCAAACTTTTTCTCTCTCTGGTTTTTTTGACCTGATATCGTTAGCTTTTCGAAAAGGGGAAGCTCAAATTCGTGACTCAAAGCGTCTTGAAACTGCGGAAAATGGCTCTTGGAATCGCTCATACTTCTTCTCTACCTGGCTTCTTATCTGATTTTTTGAAAAAAAAAAATCGTAAATTTCCCGCCTTGAAATCGCATAGAATGGCTGTTCGAGTCAATTTTGACGATAAAATTGAAATTTTAATTTTGATTCTTAACCAAAAAGCGCATCTCGAGAAGCTCACAATATAGGCTACAAGAGGTCGCGAAAGTCGTTTTTTTGGTCGGGCGCAGCGAATTTTTTTCAAGAACCGAGATTAAAGAGCCATTCTGGACTACAAAGAGTTTTTTTCATTAGTCTCATTAATTTATAAAATTGCATTTTTTGATGCTCATGAACCATTACGAAATCAAAAATAAAGAAATTTCAATTTTTTTGTGTCAAAGCCTTTAATTTTCATTTTCTTGGTGGCTTTGACCTGCAGGACTTGACACTTGAATATTTTTCGCTTTGAGACCCTTTTTGATGTTTTTTTCTATGATCCGTTAAAGACCCAAGATTAATTTTAGGACAGGCTCTTCCATCGATTTGACTTTTTTCCAACCTTAAAAGGACACTTTGGCGTCATTTTAGCGATAAGATCGTGTGACCTACAAGGTCAAAACTCCCAGGATACTTTATTGATCATTTTTGATCCTATTTTTCCATTTTCCTACCTTCTTGAACCCAATCAGCTTCTAAAATAAGGATATTTGTTTGAATCTTCTTTTAATTAGACAACTTCGAAAGGTATTTCTTGGAATAATGACCAAATGACGGGAATTTTTTACAATGTGGGGATTATCTTTCTTCTTATCCTCCTTCTGCATGCTGATTATTCTCCTTTTCCTCCTCCTCCACCTTCTTTTTCAACGTTTGTTCATATCGTTATTAATTCTTTTTTCTGTCGTTCGTTTTCGATTTGTTCTGTGCACGTTGAAATTAATCAGTTTGGTAGGAAACTTGGTTTTTCCAATAAAAATTTAAAAATTGGAAGGTTTGGTGTGATATTCAAATGAAATACTATATTTTGTAAGAAATCTAACATTAAATAAAAAATTTCAAAAAAAGATGATAAATAATTTTTTCACTGTGGCCCACTTCAGTGTAAACACTGTTGCGGTCAATACGCGTTCTCTTTATTTTCACGACTATTTTTTTTTGTTTTCCTTATTTTTTGCTGTTTTTTCAGATCAATTTTATCGATTTTCTATGAAAACATTCATTTTAGACTGTAGATTTAGCGGGATAGTTTTGAAACAGATAATTGACCGTTCTTAGCTCGTTTGCGTTAAATAAATCGGTTTTTTATTCAAACAGTTGTTTTTTTTCTCTTGGATTTTCTCAGTTTTATCTTTTAAATCATTCAAAAAATGTCCAGTGGAGCTTCATAATCGTAAATATTAGGTTTTAAAACGAAGTTCCCTTGAATGAACTTCACGCAAACCAATTATCATTTCTTTTTTTCTTCAATCCCTCACGTCTAATTACGTTGATTTTTCAGGAGCATGTAAGCACGCCCGCGGGGCAAGAGAAGAAAGAAGAAAAAGACAGGAAAACCGCGTCTTCCGCCAATAATCAACCGCCCAACAACAATAATAGCAAGGAATCGTCGTCTTCAGCGGCGACAGCCAATAAAAAACCGACTTCCTCCACAAGTACTCCAGTTTCCAAGGTTTGTTTTTGACTTATACGATCTTTCTTCATGTTATATTTTGATTAAAAATTCGTGTTTTGATATTGTGTTCCGTTTTTTCAACTAAGGGTATCTTTTCAAATGTTAAATTGTGTTAGAAACTTTAAATTTGAGAAATTCATTTTAAATCGTTTTCAAGGGTTTTTTAAACCTAGGATGTTCTTTTTAACATGTTAACTATTGTTTGGGACCTAAAATTTAACTGGAAAATCTAGTTTAGTTGATATTTTTCACCTAGAATGTCTTTTTAAAAGTGGTTTTTTGTCATTTTTATCTATTTTTAGTAGTAAAAAAGCGTTTTACATATTTTTCTAATAGTATTCCGACTGAAAAAAATGGGTTCAATAGAAAAAAATATTTGTTTATTTTTCCGGCCAATCCATCATGACGTAGATTGTTTTTGACAAGTGGGGCTTTTTCCAAGCTGTATAAAGGAACTTTTTCTTTTTTTGATTTAGAATTTTTTATATATTGTTTACGCAGTTTTTGAATATTTTTTTCCGTTGGAAAATTGCTCGATTTTAGGAATTTTTTTCGAGAATTTTTCGTCATAGTTTCTGATTTTTAATTCGATTCAAACTGGATTTTTTTGAAATTTTGAAAACTTTTTTTAGCAATTTTTTAAAAAGGTTTTTTTCGATTTTTTTGTACTTTATGTAAAAAGATTTTTGGTTTGATTTTTCGAAAAAGAATTTGCTATGGAAAAAAAGTTTTTTTCCGTTTTTTTAGACTTGACTATGTTTTTCTCATGATTTTTCTCCATTTTTTTAATCTTTTTCAAAAAAAATTAAATTTTTTTCACTAAAAATGACCATTTTTTTACTGCAAAACCAGGAATCTTTTTTTCTAATTTTTTTCTTCGAGTCAACCAAAAAAAATAAAAAAAGAAATGATGTCGAAGGAGTTCACTGAAGCGTTTGCTTGATCCCAAACGCGATCAGAAAAAATTTTTTCTGGCCCATTTTCGCGGACTTTTTTTGTGCACCCGACCGTGAACGGCTTCTAGGAGGCGAAAATGTAGTCGTTTAACGTGTAAATTCCTGTTTCAGGGGGCTTCCAATAGGGCATTTTTAGAATTTTGTTCAATCTATCTACAGAATGAGTACTAAATATTGAAACAATGGTTTCAGGACTGGCGTACCCATCAAACTTGATAAATAAAACTCACTCATAATTATTTAGAGTCTATACGCCTTCGTGAACTTGAAGTCTTAACATTTTTCTAATATCTTGTCTTTTGATCAAATCATGATAAATTGGAACCTACCAATCAGTTTGCCCAAAAATCAGGTTTTTGGCACGCGGCTAACCATCATCTCTAACAACGGCAAATTTATCTTGTTAGAAGGGAGCCAGCTCTAGCAACCCAAATTATTTTTGTCTTATACTACTAGCGTTACTCTTTATTCTAAATGTGTTTCAGGCTACTCTAGATTTACTTTCTTTTTAGAACTGCAAAATATGCGAAAAAATCTAAGATCAACGATTAATCGCATATTACAGCCCCCCTCTCAAATAAGAACAGCCTAACCTTAACCCAATTATATATTTTTCGAAGCTGAGACTTTGGGCTTTTGTATAATGTAGTCCTACACTGAATTAGAAAAAATCAAGTTCGAGCAGAGATAAAATTCCGTTTTGCATGATTTTGAAAATGAAAAAAACGGTTTTGTTAGCTCTTTTCGGGGAGTGCTCCTATCATTTGTGTTAACGCTCATTGATGGAAATTTCTAAGAAATATTGCGAAAAACCCAAAGTTTAGTTTTTGTGTATCTATTTGAACATGAACGTTCAGATAACTTTTTACCAGTTATAAACATCGAAAAATGACCGCGTGCCGTTGGGGCTTGGGTCCTACACACTTTTCGAGCCAGAGCAGAGCTGAATGAAGATAGGAATTGGATTAGTTTCATGAATTTCGGAATGTACTTGCCAGAATTGCCAACGAAAAGTTTTGGTACGGATCATTCACTTTTCCTCGGAGTTGCGCTTGTTCAAACGTGTTTCAATAATTAGTACTCACTCTGTATATTTGTATGATTTGTATTGTCTCGAAAGTTCAAATCCACTTTGTTCTTTTTTTTCTGTTCCTTACAGCTTGAATTTAATTTGAAAACCACACAAATCAAAAAATAAATTTTGAAATTTTGAATTAAAAGACGGGAGAAAAGGGTGTAGGTGATGGTTTTTCGAAAAAATGGGTTTTAAAAGTTTCAAATGTAAAATATTCAAGAAACAACGATTTATTCTATTCTGGATGCCCTTTAGGCTCCACTTGATCCTTCCTAGACTGTTTATTGGACGGAAAATGAGAAATTTCAAGTTTTACTGTAGAAAATGTTCCTTGGAGGGCCTCTTTTCCATTTGAAATTAAAAAAAAAGGTTTTTTCAAAGTTTTTTCCTTTAAGGCTCTACTTGACCCTTTTTAGTCAATTTATTAGACGGAAAATAAGAATTCTCAAGTTTTACTGTAAAACATTTCCCTTGGAGGACTACTTTTCTGTTTTTTAAATTAAAGATTCTGGTTTTTTTCTTTCCAAATTTTGTCCCTTAAGGCTCTACTTGATCCTCACAAAAGTATAATGATGCGAAGAATGAATTTTTTCGTCGTAGGACCTTTTTTCTATTTTTTTTTAACCTTTAAAACCTTTTATTCAAGTTTTTGTCATTTGAAGCTCTTATTCAAATTCTAAAATACTTGTTTTTTCAAAATTTTATCACTTAAGACTCCACTTGATCCGTCCATGTAAAAGTTCATTTTTTTCAAAGTTTGGTCCCTTAAGGTTCCACTTGACCCTTTCTAGGTTATTTATTGAACGTAAAATGAGATTTCTCATGTTTTACTGTGAGAACTGTTCCTTGGAGGTCCTCTTTTTTGCTCTCGGACTTTAAAAAAAGTTCTCAAAGTTTGGTCCCTTAAGGCTTCACTTGGACCTTCCAAAGTAATTAATTAGGCGGAAAATGAGCAAATATTCTGAAAAGCGGGTTTCTCGTTGGAATAATTCATGTCAGGGAATCGAAGGAAAAAAAAAATCCAATACTTCCAGTTTGTGTGTGCTGAAAGAAGAAGGGGGAAAAATGGGAAGACCATCAATTTATTTGCCTTTTCTTTTTCGTCTACCTTCCCGCCCTTTGGATTATTTGATCTCGACCTCCCCTCCCATTGGCTGTTGAAAACCCGCCAACTCCTATTTTTTTCCTTTCTGTTTTTTTTTCGCCTTTTTTGACGTAATTCACGATTTTTTGATTGATTTTCATGCCATTTTGCTCTTTCCCACAGTAAAAACGTTGAAAATTATCAAAAAAAAATCCAATCGCTTTTTTTTGCTCATTTTTTGAGTTTTTCAACCATTTTAAGTCCGATTTTCATGCCATTTTGCTCTTTCCCACAGTAAAAACGGTGAAAATTATCAACTGAAAAATTCAATCGCTTTTTTTTTCGATTTTTTGAGTTTTTCAACGATTTTAGATCCAATTTTCATGCCATTTTGCTCTTTCCTACACTAAAAACGTTGAAAATATCAAAAAAAAAATCCAATCGCTTTTTTTCGCTCAATTTTTGAGTTTTTCAACGTTTATAGGTTCAATTTTCATGCCATTTTGTTCGTTTCTACACTAAAAACGTTGAAAATTATCAACTGAAAAAATCCAACACTTTTTTTGCCCATTTTTTTCAGTTTTTTTCAACGATTTTTTTCGCCTCATTTTTGATGCCTATTAGCCCCTTTTTTTCACCTGAAAATCTTATAAATTAGTCTTTTTATATCTCGAAAATAATTTCTCTGTCAAAAAAATGGTTCAAAAAGAGGGGATTTATAGGGTTTTTATTCTAATGATTTTTTTCGGTCATTGGTTTTTTCTTGTCTTCAATAAATGGCTGTTAAAAATCCTGCCAACTCATGTTTCCGTTGTTTTTTTCTTTGATTTTATAACTAATTCACGATTTTTATAATTATTTTTTTCAACCCATTTGCTCATTTTTTTCTAATTGAAAAAAAGCGAGAAATGTGTACTTTTATGTCCCAAAAACTGTTTCATCGAAAATCGTTTCCAAAAAAAGTAGAAGGCTTCTTGACTTTTTTTGATTTTTTTACGATTTTGCAGCTCTTCGAAGGTTCCTAACATATTAAAAAAAGTTTTTTTCGAACTTTTTGATCTTTTTTTGAATTGAAACTGGTTTTGGTTGCCTAGAAATACCTTTTAAATCTTTTTTTCTTTGATTTTTTTCGCTTTATTCATGTTTTTTTGTTTAGGCTCCAATTTGAAGGTCAAGTCTGTTGGAAAAAAATGAATATAACTCAATGGAATATTGAACTTTTTTTGAGTGTTTTGAAACAAAAAAATTTTTTTAAGTATCGATTTTTTTGTCTTTTTTTCAACATTCTGAGCTTCACTAAAAATTGGAAAAATTGTCTTGAAAAAAAGTAGAAAAAAATTTTTTTATTTTTCGCTTTTCAGTTCATGAATTGGTCGTGATTGATTGAAAAAAATGTGTGATTTTTCAAAAAAATTATAAGTTTGAATTTTCTAAAGAGCAAAAATTGGCTTCAATCTTACCAGTTTTCTTCAATTTTACCTTTTTTTCCAAGTAAAATTATTTTTTTCTTCGATTTTTTTCGATAAATTTTTTTCCATTTGAATGAAAAATTGATTGATTGATTATTATCATAATCATGCCCTGCTCAATTTTTTCTAGAGTTTAAATTTTTCCAGAGATCGGCGGATCAGCCAAGAGCCCAACGCGAGATGAACGGCGGGACGAAGGCGATGGTCGGGCCCTCCGGGACTCCCGCTCATCCCGGCCAGCAGCCGCCGCCCTCACAGCAGGCCCAGCAGCAGTCCAACACGGCGCCCAACTCGGCCCGAGTTCCTCCCGGCGGCGGGCAGGTCAGCCCTCCTTAAATGACCACTTGATCGATTTTTCGATTTTTTTGATTTTTTCGATTTTTTTTTAGTTGATCCTGACACGAGGGCGTAGGGTTAAGCAAATTCGAAAAGAGCTTTTTTTCAATAATTTAAGCTTTCTTTTCCTTCTTGGGAGTGCTAGAGTGGTCCCTAGAGGGACACTTGAAGGCTCCCCTATAGGGACCACTTATAGGGGCACTAAAGCTTGAAAAAGTGGCCACTCTAGGGGAAAATACCTTTATAACTCTCGAATCACAACAAAATTCGAAAGATCACTATAGGGACCACTTAAATTTTCCTCAAAACCCCATAGGGACCACTTAAGTTTTAGCCCTCTAGGGAACACTATAGAGGCTTTTTTCTTCACGAATCCCTTTAGGGACCACTCTGGCCCTCCCAAGCGTAATAACTTCTTAGAAAAATGTATAGATCGTGTTAAAGGAGAGAGCGCAAAGAAGCTAGAATTTCCAAAAATTGAGATTGAAAGGAGGAATTTTCTTGTGAGACCTTTTTCTGAAAATTACTACTTTTTTTAGTAATTTTTTTATTGATTTTTCGGGCTTTTGATGGTTTTTTTATAAATTTTTCGCTAACATTTTTTTATTTTTTTACAGACATTTTTCAGCCGATTTTTTTGGTCGGAAAATTTTTGATTTTATGGGAGAAAAAAATGAGTTTTTTTCGCTTCAAAATGATAAAAATTGATAATTTTTTTGATAATATCAGCACAAAAAAATAAAGGAATTTTTTTCGTGATGCGTATTTTTCAAAATTTTTAATGTTTGTCAATGTTTTTAAAATTGAAATTGGATATTATTAACAATTTTCAGCACCCCAGCAGTACGGCAAGTGGACGAACGCCATCGTCTGGAAGGTACTTTTTTTAATTTTTGATTTTTTCTTGTTTTAATTTTGAAAAATTGGTAAAATACAGTTGAAAAGTTCACATTACTGTTTCTGGCCGAATTTTTTGTTGACTTGGTCTCTCGGAATTTATTATTAACACAAAAACGGAGAAAAAAAGGCTGGCACTGAAAAATTGTTGAAAAGTTCATTTTACTGTTTCTGGCTTTTTTGATCCATTTTTTCCAGTGAAATAATGACGTCATTTTTTCTAACCTTTCTCGGTCGTTTATGGGCGAAAAGCGGATTTTTACTAATTGACGTCCCCCAGGGGCTGACCAAACACGTCTATTTCCATTCTGCGAACATGCGGCTTTTTTTCTCTCTTAGTAGTTGGATTTTTGGACCTGTTCTGTTGGTTTTGAGCAGTTTTGGTACAGAATTTTGAAATTTTCGGAGAATTTTTGGAAGTTTCGAGGATTTTTAGGCTATTTTTCCACTGGGTTTAAAGTTTCCATAGTAGTATTTTCATTAAAGTTTCGATTAAAATAAATTTGGTTTTTCTGCTGATTTCGTAGAGAGTCAGGCCAATTTGTGGCTCTTTTTCCATTTTTTTGAGCAAAAGTGAGTATCGATTTTTTTTTGGTGAGATTTTTCACGAAGCTCTAGACATCAGGAAGATGATGGAGAGTTCCAGACAGCTAGAGTGATCTGATTCTCTTCGGTTTCTGTACACTCTTTTCTACTTAGGAAAGCCAAAGTGGTCCCTGGAGGGGACAGAATAGGACTTAATTTAAGTGGTCATTTTAGGGGTTTTTCTGACCCGGAACCCATCAGGCTTAAGTGGTCCCTATAGTGGTCTTTTTTAGACTTGAAAGTCAAAAAGACGTGTAGAACTGGTCCGCCAAAGTCGCCATTAACAAAAACCCTGTAGAGGCCACTTTTTGAAGTTTAAATATCTAGTGAAGTGGCTCCTAAAGCGGAATCAAAATTGCCCCTCTAGGGACCCCTCTGCCCGCCCCTGAGTAACCTACTTTTCTACCCATTTTTCCTGAATCAAATTGTTCATTCTCTGATGTTTGAAGCCTACTTGAGAAGCAGTAGGACCTATTTTTTCCATCCTTTTTTTCTCCTTCACACCGCCCGTCGATAAAATATTCTGCAGTGGTGAATAGGCGGCTGTCACGGACGTTTTTTTTTTTGACCTTTTGGACGGGTTTTTTCTCCCTGGAGGAACACTGGAACCATTGCGAAACGCGCCGTTTTATGAATCATCTTTTCTTTTTTTCTTGCCTCCGGAAATATTTACATTGAAGATGAGTTTTCACCGGGTCTTCCTGTTTGTTTTGGGAATTAAACGAAAAGTTTTTTTTTCGGTGGCTTTTTGAATTTTATTCCGTGATTTTTGAGACATTTTGAGCATTTTTTTAGGAGGTTTTTAAGCGCGGAATTGAAGTTTTTAGATTTTTAAGCGGAATCGTGACCTAAAATTCGATATTGTCAGGCCTAGAAGGAAGATTTTTGAAGCCTAAAGCAGGAAAAGTAGAGATTTTTGGAGGTTAAAGCAGGAAAAGTGGAGATTTTTCGGTTTTAAGAGTGATTTCCTGATTGAAAAATTTTTTCTCTGTCTAATTTTGAGCTTCATCGCACTGGGATTTTCAAAAAAAAGTCAAATTTTATTGAAAGAAAGGGAAATTTTTTTCAAAAAAATTGGCCCGATAAGTTTTTGGATTTGTAGAGAAATTGACTAAAACTTGATTTTTTTAACTTCTAAAATGAATCAAATTTAAAAAAATTTCCTCCTTTTTTTGGTCACAAAATCTTCAAAAAAACTTTAAGATTTGACCTTTGAAAAAAATTATTTGAAGCCAAAAAAATCCATATGTTTCCAACTGGAAAAATTGTTTCCTGCCCTAGAATCTAATTCGGAAACGATGACTCACGTTTTATAAAAATATCTGGTTCGTTGGTCATTTTTCCCTTTCTGCATGAGCGCAAAAAACAAATCGTTTACGCTCTAATGACAAAGTGACCGTTTTTGGGGGGAGATTTGGCGCCAGGTGGTGGCGGTTCCATTCTTTTCCGTTGTTTTTGATTGATTTTAAGGTTTTTTCCAGGTTTTTTGAGCTAAAATAGGTTGGAATGATACTTTTTGTGTAGTTGTTTGAAGCAAAAATGTGAGAAATTTATGAAAAATGGGCTTTTTCGGGGCTTTTTTTTTTGTTTTTAGTGAGGATTTTGAACTTTTAAAGCAATTTTAGGGCTCAATTTGGGATTTTTAAAGCTTTTTTTCACGAGGAAAACTTGGAAATCTGAGATAAAAAAATGTGACTTTTTTTGAATTTTAACCTTGAAAATCTTGGATTTTTTTCTCATTTCTTTCAAAATTCGTCATTGAGAAACTTCAGAAAAATTCAAATTTTTCTTCGACTTTGTGGTCAGTAAATCTCAAAACTTTGAGTTTCTTCAATGAGATCATAAAATCCACATTTTCTTACGAGACCCTGTCCTTTTAGGGCGGAAAAATAACACTTTTCGTTGTTTTTTCCTCCTCGTTTTGGGCTTCGATCCCATTTCTAATTGCGCTATTTTGCGCCTTCTTCCCCATTTTTTCCCTTCTCGGTTTGTTTCTCTTTTTGCTGACTCCCAAGACGCCTCTTCGTTCTTTCCCAACGAACGAACAATCCCAAAAATGTCAGAATTTTCGAGCTTTTTCGAAATTTTCTATGGTCATTTTTGGTTTGTGTGAAGAGCTTGGAAGTCGATTTTTGGCTCTTTTTGAGAATATCTGAATTTCCCCATTGTTTTTCCATGTGATTTCGAAAGTTTTTTGGAGATTTTTATTGATTTTTTTGATCGACGAAAATCGTGTATTTTTGTTTTCTCTGCCCTTTTAGAAGCCTTTTAAATAACTCGAAATTGATTCCAAAATTTTTTAAATCTCGTATTTTCCAGATTTTTTAGGATTTTCAGTGAAAAATAGCAGCTTTTGACTGAGGAAATTGGAAAAAGGGTAAGTGTGCGATGGAGCGCATTTGCTGTAAATTTTATTTTTCTGCTGGTTTTTCAGGATTTTTAGTGAATAATAACAGTTATTTGACTAAGAAAATAGGAAAATTGACAACTGTGCGATGGAGCGAACTTGCTGCAAATTTTTTTTTCCCGTCTTTTGAAGATTTTTTGCTTGAAACTGTAAGAAATGAGTGTAAATTCAGATCGATTTTCGATTGTAAAGTGAAGAAAGGTCTTTTTCACTCTACAGTATATATGTGCGATGGAGCGAATTTACTGCAAATTTTACTTCCAGTTGCACCTTTCTCTGCTTTTTTCTAAAGATTTTTTGCTTGAAACTGTAAAAAATGGGAAAAATTGCGAAATTTGGTTTTTAAGTTGAGAAAGGTGTCTTTTTAGCTCTTTAAAATGGTTTTTGGGATTTTTTCGACATTTTTACTGTATTTTTGCTCAAAATTTTAGCTAAAATTCAGCAATTTGGACCGGAAAAGTCCGGTTTTATTTAGGATAGTTACTGAAAAATCGTGATAAGATGGAAATCAGCTCTTTCGGGAGCTCTTGATATTTTTTTCAAGTATTTCTGGACCTGGAAAAGTCTAGGTTTCCGCTAAATACCCATTTCTTCGTTTTACACTAGATTAGATACTGTAAAATCCTAATAAAGCAACAAAAAACTCTTCTGGAACTTGTAATAGTTCCTTCCCAATATCTGGACCTGGAAAAGTCCAAAAAGGTTTTCCGCTAGCTACTCATTTCTCGGCCCATTTGGTCCAAAACGACCCCGTTTTATTCGAGTATGGGATTACTGGACTGAAATCGCAGCAGCAGCAGTAGGAGCCGTCCAAGTGGCCTCGGCATCCTTCCGTTCGCGGCCCAAATCCCATTCACTTTCATTGCATAATTATTCCCCCCCCCCGCGATTGTCCGTGTGAAAATGAGAGTTCGCCGTTCCGCACGCAACTCCGATTGGAAATCACCGTGACGAGTTGATTTTGGAGAGAGGTGGTCGCATTTGGAATGGCTTGAAATGCTTGAAAGGAGAGAAAAGCATAAGATCTTTGAAAGGTCGCATTTGGAATGGCTTAGGAAGTATGAAGGAGAGGGAGGAGAGGGTTAGAGAAGAGAGACGAAAGGATGAAAGAATCGAGCTTTGAGTTTTCCAAAAGTCGCATTTTTAATGGCTTGAAAAGTTGGAAAGAGAGAGAAGAGAGCAGAGAGAAGCACAGACTGTAGAATGAAGCATAGGATCTTCCAAAGGCCGCACTTGGAATGGCTTGAAAAGTTGGAAGGAGAGAGGAGAGAGAGTAGAGAAGAGAGGCGAATAAATGAGAGAAGTGAGATAGAAGAGATGAACGAGAGACGCAGAGAAAACATAGAATCTGGCCTATGAAAGGTCGCACTGGGAATGGTTTGAAAAGTTTGAGTGATTTTTTTTCTCGAATTTCTAGGAGAATTTCAACGAGAGATTGAAAAAAACGATCTACAGAGCCGTTACCGTGGGAAGTGGTCGCATTTGGAATGGCTTGAAAAGTTGAGAGGAGAGAGAGAGGCAGAAGTTTGAGAGACTGTTTAGAAAAGCATTGATTTTCTGAGAAAAGGTGAGGCTAGGCTGATGTGATGAGTGAGAGAAGAGATGAATGAGAGACGTAGAGAAGCGAGAGATATTCTAAAGATGAGCATTCCGAGTGTTTCCTACCATATCTGTTTCACTAGTGGTCGCGTTTGAAATGGCTCGATGAAAAAAAGAGAGAGAGACGCAGAGAAGCGAGAAAGTATCTTAATGGTCGCATTTGGAATGGCTTTTAGTGAGAGAGAGAGAGGAAATTATCGATTTTTAAGAAGGGTCCCAAAATCAACTTCCTGGTCTATTTCTGACTCATTTTTCAGTTTTAGTTTGTATTGTTATTGTTTTTCCTTTAAGCTCTCACTTTTGTGTCTTTTTTCTATTTCTCCCGCCGCCCGCCCGTCTTTTATTGGCGTTCTGGAACAACTGACGCCGTTTTTTTTCTCTCTTTCTCCTTGTTTTTTGTTCCTTCGTTCGCCTCTCAGCCGTTCCGGAGATTTGTGACAGCCCGTAGAAAGAGCTTAATTGGATGAGGAGGCCGATTTTCCCTTAATTTTCTTCTTTAGTGGAGGTCGAGCTTGTTGTTGGGTTTTGGCTGATTTTTAGGCGTTTTTATTGAAAATTGTGTTATTTTTGAGTCTTTTTCACTGTATTTCAGATTCATTTTGAGTCATTTTTGCTCGTATTTGGCTGATTTTTGACTTTTTTTCATAGATTTTGGGTTATTTTTGAGCCATTTGTTTTAAATTTGATGTTTTTTGAGCCATTTTTGCTAGATTTTTGAGTTATTTTCCCAGATTTTGGCTGATTTTCGAGTCATTTCTGTTAAAATTGTCTTATTTTTTTGATACTTTTTCCGCTGAAATTTTTCCTTATTTTTCGAGAATTTTTCGTCCTTCTAGAATCTTGAAGAGTTTCCCAGGTAGTTGAGTTAATTATCAGGTGAAACCCTGCTTTTAAATTTTGAGTCATAACTTTTTTTTTTTCGTGTTATCGTCAAATTTTCGAAGCGAAAACTTCTGGACTCGCTATTTCACTTCAAAAGGAAAAATTCAGGTCGAAAATAACTTTAAAATTGATTTTTCGAGCTTTTCGACTTTGGATTGTCATTTTGGGCTCTGAAGTTTGCAGAAATGATAAATAGAATCTATTCTTCTTTTTTTTCTCTGAAGTTGAAAATTTTGAAAAAAAAAATTGAGGGAGACGGTCTCTGTTTGATTTTCTCAGCTGGGAGCTTTTGAATTGAGTTTTGAGGTGCTTATTTCAAAATTCTCGTAATTTTTTTCTCTTGAGATTTTCTGATATTTAAGTTGATTACATGGGCGATCATCTGCTTTCAAGGTTTTCTTGAAAATTTTTTTTTCTTGGTTGAAATCAAAAGTTTTGGAGAATTAAGCGAAAAGAGCAAAAGGAAGATTGAAACATTTCATCTACTGATTTTTTTGAAGTTTTTCTGGAACTCGTTTTTTTCTCAATATTCGAAAAAAATTATCATTTTTTTGATCAAAAAGATCGAACTCGATTAAAAAAATATTCTCTTCGTGGAAATCCAAAAAAATCTTCAAAATTAAAGAGAGCCCGAATAATTTCATTGAATCGATCTACTGAAATTTCTAGAAACTCAGCTTTCCTTGGTCTTATTTAAAGACTTTTTAGCATTGAAACTTCTGAAAATAACTTTTCCTGTTGAAAATCAGATCAAGCTTGAGTAAAAGTATTCGTATATGGGAATCAGAAGATTTTAAGAATTAAATGAAGGCTGAAATTGTTTTTAAACCTCTGCTTCTATGTTTTTCAGACCTAAACATAAGAATTCTCTTGATTTGAATATGAAAAAAAAGAAAAAAAGTTTTGTGTCCATTGATTTTTTCTCATTTTCTTCGCGGTGCCGGTATATTTTGTTGACGGCCGGGTTGGATTGACTGAGCGCCTTTGTTGAACTCGTCTTGGCCGACGGCAACTTTTTTCCTTCCCCTCGATTCCTACTTGTTCTCTTCTTCTCGTCTGTCTCAGCAGCGAGAAACGCCTGATTTTTGATCGAGTTTCGGGAGAAACGGATTTTTTCGGGACACTTTGAGGGAAAATTTCATTCAAATTCGATGTACATTTTGCTCACGGTACAAAGTTCATGGCTAGAAAAATTTGCTGAATATTAAAATTGAGCAATTTGAAGCTTGAAATAATAAAATTTTTAAAATATTTTTTTCGCGGGTTTCAGGGTTCGATCGATTTTTTTGAAAAACTAGGGATTTTTTTCGGGACATTTTTTTGGGATTTAAAAAAATAAATTTAAAGATAACGAATATGAAAAAAACTTTCCCTCTAAAAAGTCCCGAAAAAAAATAGGTTTAATAATTTTGGAAAAAACCCATCTACATTTTTTGGCTTGTCAAAGTACGGAAATTTTTTTTTTCAAAGTTTTTAAACTTTTGAAGGGATTTATTGGTACTGTAGAAGCTTGAGAGGTTCAGGAAAAAATTTAAAAAATTTTTGGAATTTTTTTTTTGCTCGATTTTTCGTAGTTATATGGAACACTCTGACCTGTCTGCGCTCTCTTCTCTCTCCTCGAGATCTGAGAAATTCAGAAATAGTTAGAAATAACATAAGCTTAGGTGAGGGCACAGAGAAAAAAAAGAAGAAAAAAGCTTGAGAGGTTCAGGAAATAATGAAGAATTTTTTAAAATTTTTCTTTGCTCGATTTTTTGTAGCTATATGGAGCGCTCTGACTTGTCTGCGCCCTCTACTCTCTCACCAAGGTCAGAGAAATTAAAGAAATGAGCTTTGGTGAGGGAAAGGAGGGCGCAGAGAAAAAAAGGAAAAAAAAACTTTTTATAGAATTAGAAGTGAAAAAAAAGATAATTGAGTAGCAAAACTTTTCCAAGAACAGATTTATTTTTTTTCGCGCATTTACCAGGAAAATTAGCGTATTTACCAAGGCCTACTCTGTTTTTTTGATCCTTGCTCAAACATCTCTCCCGTGTTTTGATATAGATTCCTCGTAATTTGAGGGTTTGTTTTGGAGCGCATTTGCTGCTGACCAACCGCCGCATCTGCTATTGTCCATTTTCCCCTTCCTCGATTTCTCGTTCGTTTTGATTTGTTCGCTGCCGTCTCTTGTCAAAGCGGAAATGTAATCCGTTGGGTCCTCCTCTACTCGCCAATTTTTTGCCTTTTTCCAATATATGTCTTGCCGTTCGGATTGATGGCCTGGAGACGTCTAGAAGTGGTTTTTTTTGGCAAGGGAGAAGTATTGGCTTTTTTTTTCTCTTTTTTCGGACTCTCTTAAGTTTTTGTAAGAATCTTGGAGCGCTATGTGGCATTTTTTATATATTTTACCTTTTTTGAGATTTTTCTGGTCCAGTAGCTCTCAACGTAGTTCATTCTGAAGGTCTTTCAAGACATATTTTAGTCTCGGAAGGTTTTTTCAGAAGATTTCCCAACTATTCTGAACCATTCTTTAGATTGATGGATAACTTAGAGAATTTCATATTTTTGATTTTTTCAGAACTTTTCTCGAAATTTTTAAACATTTTAGAAACGTCATAACGCTTGCAAAAGTTTTCGGAAAATTTCGGTCTTTGTCTTTTTTTTTTCCAAAATGACTCATGCCTTTTGAAGATCTGTGGAGTTCGTAGGCCAATTTCTGAACTTTTGCTTTTTTTTTAGTGATTTTTGAAGCCTTTAAATTTTTTTTCCTCGAAAGAAAGCTTTAATTGAAGCTTGTGCCGTCAAAGTTGCTTATTACGTTGTTTAAAGGATCATAGCGAAATTCCGAAAATGTCTCGAGACGAAGAGCCGTTTTTTAGAGTTATTTCAAACGTATAAATGAAGAACTTTGAAACAGGTGAAAGGAAAAATTTAGTTTTTTTGCTTTTTGAGGTTCGGAGAAGTTTTTAGAGTGACTTTTTACCTATTTGAGTCTGATATTTTGTCATTAACGGGTTTTTTTTTACCTCCTTAGGACAGTCCTTTCAGCTTCTTTAGCGCCCTAATTTATCCCTAGATTATCCCGCCCGAGTGTGCCCGGTTTAGGTTACGAAGGTCCGAGATTTGAGATTTTTCATTTTAAATTTTGGGGCTGCTATTTTTTTCTAATGAATCTTGAGACGGCCATTTTTTCTAAATGAACTTGGGACTGCCTTTTTTTTCTAATGGAACTTGGGACCTCCATTTTTTTCTAATGGAACTTGGGACTGTCATTTTATTCATGGAAGTTGGGAGAGCCATTTTTTTCTAATGAAGTTTGGGACTGCCATTTTTTTCTAATGAAACTTGGGACTGCCATTTTATTCATGGAAGTTGGGACTGCCATTTTTTTTCTAATGAAACTTGGGACTGCCATTTTTTTCTAGTAGAAGTTGGGACTGCCATTTTTTAGTGAAATTTGGGACTGCCATTTTTTTCGGATGGAACTTGGGACTGTCATTTTATTCATGGAAGTTGGGAGAGCCATTTTTTTCCACGGCTATTTTCCATTACCTTTTTTATACTCTCCTCCTTCCCCAACAGCTATTATAACAGCGGCTATTTTCTTTCATGAAACCCCAATTTTTCTCTCCCATCCTCACCCCTCTTCATTTTCCGCGCTCTCTCGCGCGCAATTATATATTGTGTTGGGTTTCGCGTTGGAGTGGTTGTGTGTGTGTGTTGGGTCAAAGCCTCGCGTGGAGATGTTCCTCTCTCTTTCCCAGTCAAATGTGGACAATTTCTGGCTCCGCTGGACCTTTTCACGTATGCATTTGGACTCGTTTCGCGTGTTCCGAAACGTTTTTTGAAGGTTTTTGACTATTTTCCAGCCAAAAATGAGTTTTTTCATTGATTTTCTGCCGCTTTTTTGATTTTCCAAACATCCTGTGTTCAAAATCGCAACTTGTGCAGATTTAATGAGGTTTTCAACATCAAATGTACAATTTGACCCGGGATTTTATTGATTTTTGGATTGAGATTTGCGTTATCAACTTTTTTTTCGATTAAAAGTTTGCCTATTTTGGAGGTTTTTATTAAGATTTCCGAGCGCAAAAATGCATTTGGACCTCGGATTCCATTACTTTTGGATTCGGACTTGAGCTTTTAACGGTTTTACTGGAGATTTTTGAGCTTTGAAATCGTTTCCAGGGCTCAAAAAATGTGTTTTGGTTGGCGATTTTATTGATTTTTTAAAGCTTCCGATGGCTCCTGAGCTCTTTTTTTGCGACGGCTTTTTCCAGAGATTTTTTTGAGTGTTGAAATTATCTTTTTTTATTTATATTTTTTTATTGGTCATTTAAGTGGCTGTTTTTTTATAATTCATTTATGCGGTTTTTAAATTGTTAGATAGGATTAGTAAGTTCAGAAAAAAATCGGATTTATTAATCTTTTAAAAATTTTTTTCCAAGGTTCATTACAATTTTTGGCAAGTTTTTTTGACCCGATTTTAGCCATTTTTTTCGATTTTTCAAAATAAAGAAAAATATAGTTTTTCAGACATGCTGATTTTTATTGAATTTTTTTGAAATATAGCTTTCTTAGTAATTTTGAAATTTTTGTCTTTTTATTCTAGCCTTTCTATTGAGTTTGACCCAGAAAAATTGATCGAAACATTTTTTTTTGTTTTTCAAAAGAACATGCTTTGAAACAGTTATATCAGCTAAAGTCTAACATTTCACGTCATTTTTTTTTTGATTTTCCTAAAAAAATTGACCGATTTTTGTTCCAAAATTCCCATTTTTGCTCGAAAATCAAAGAACCTGACATCATTTTCAACAGAATTCATTCAGAAATTGTACTTGTAGATACAAATTTTCTCTGTTTTCGAAAAAAACCCACGCAGGCGTCAACTTTTTCACTAAGCTCTGGAAAAAAAATTGACCGTTTTGATGGGCTGATTTACGACGGCCAAAGTGTTTTTCCTGGTCTCGGCCCCTGTTGAAAAGAGGATTTTACAACGGCTAGCCTTTTTTTTGTCCGCTGGAAAAAAAGATATTGACTGGTTTCCCGAGGCTTTACTGATTGTTTTTTTGGGGTTTTTTTCTCCAGTTTTGTCGTGAAATTGAAAATTTATTTTTTTAATTCGAAAAAAAGTGGTTTTTATATCGTTTTCATAGAGTAGAAGTCGTGGGAAAAAAAATTTTTATTGATTTTTTTAAATTTTTATAAAAAAATTATAATAGAGCTGAGTCTGAAATTTTTGAAGCTTGGTAGTTTTTCAAAAACCGAAAAAAACTCTAGTGGTCACTTAAGAGGTTCCCCTGGAGAGGACACTAAAGTGGCCACTCTTTAGTGGTCACTATAGTAGTTCTAGTCCCACTTAGACTTCTAGAAAAGCCAAGAATTTTTAGTCTCTTAAGTGGTCACTAATTCGACTACTATAGTGACCACTAAAACTTCAAAACCCTAAAATGGCCACTAAACATCTTCTCAGCAATTTGGAATTGAAAAATTGAGATTCTTGTGGCTTTTATATTCAAATTCAAGGCTCCCATCCATCCAATTTCCCTTTTCTACGATTCCTCTCTCTATTTTGACACTTTATCTGTGTACTTTTTCAAATTTCTCATGCGTATTCATGTTCGTGGAACGACCTTTTTGTTGTTGATCGACACGACATTTTGCTTGAGTCCATAGCAAAGCAAAAAAAAAAAAAGAAACGAAATTGGATTAGCGAGTCAAGTGCGATGGCCACACGAATGTTGATCGATGTAGGAGAACTTCTCCTCTTTTTTTTCGTGCTTGGAAAAGGGAAAAGCTTCTGGGACCCTCTTTAATTGAAAAATGGAACTCGCCGACGAAGGGCCTTTCTGATTGAGTTGTGTGTGGCGGTTCCCTTTTTCCCGCTCCTGCTTTTTTTCCCCCATCGATGCCGGTTTTTGGTCCTGGACGTTTTGCAAGAAGCTTTATATTAGTTTCTAGCAGGGTCTCAGGCTTTTTTGATTCTTGATAGGAACCTTCAGGACGGTTTTTTGATTTTTCCGCATTTTTTGTAGATTTTGAGAAGAGGAAGTCGTGATTCTATGTGCTTTTGGAGCAGTTTTTGGAGGTTATTTAGGATTTTCTGGGACTTGGAAGGATTCAGTGGGAGTTCAGGACTGTTTTTTGGAAGCTTGAAGAATTTTTCGGCCTTTGGATTTTTTGTAAAATTCTAGGAGAGGAAATCTTGATTTTATATGACTTTGGAGGTCATTAAGGAATTTTTTGAGATTTGAAAGAATCCAGGGAACTTTCAGGCCCATTTTTTTGACTTTCATTCAACTTCTAAATGTTTTTAAAATACGTTTTGTGAATTAATTTGACATTTTAAAGGTTATAAGACTTTTTCTGGTCTTGTATTGATTCTTGCAAGCTTTATATCATTTTTTAGAAGTTCTAAGAGTTTTTCCAAGATTTTTTGTCGCTTTGTAGGATCCATTGAACTTTCAGGGCTTTTTTGAAGATTTCTACGGCTTTTTGAACATGTTTTAAAGTATTCTTTTGATTTTGTAAGCTTTCTGAGGCGTTTTCTGTCTCAAATTGGACCTTGGAAGAGAAAAATCGTTGTTTTATATTATTTTTTTGAGAAGTTTCAAGTATTTTTTTCGGCTTTTTTTGGTGTTTGGTAGGATCCAGAGGACTTTGAGAACCATTTTTAGGATTTAAAATAAACTTTCTGACTTTTGGATTTTCTAGAAAACATTTTGAAGAATAAATTTGTAACCCTGTGATTTTATCGACGCTTTTTTCGATTTTGCGTCGAATTTGGAAGATTTGGGAGAAAGTTATGGTTTTTCATAATTTTTACTTTTTTTGAGGGGGGGTCTAAAAATACGGAGAATTCCAAGATTTTTCAAATATATTTTTTCGAAAACGAGCGGGTTTTAAAATTATTATACAGACTAATTGGACTTTTAAAGATATTTTTCGAGTATCGGGAATTTTTTTGTCTTTTTTTCATTTGTCCGAATCAAAAATATAGTTTTTCTACTTGTTTATTTGTCCTCTCTGAAACTGTTGTCTCAATTTGAAACGTTTCAAAAAAATTTTGATAGACGTGGGCGAGCTTTTAACTCTGATTGAACGTCTGGAAATTTCTCGCAAAGTTGAAAAATTCGTCTTTTTTGTCTCAAAATCAAAAACAATGAGAACTTCTAGAGATTATCAGAAAAATGTAGAGCCCAGACACGAAGAGTGAATTCCCCATGTCTGGACCCTCTTATTTTCCCGCAGTCTCTCAGTTTCCTCGTGATTCGAGTTGTTTATCGGCCCATTTCTGCGAAATTCGCTCGTGATTCTCATATCAGAAGCCCCGCCGCCAATTAATTACTGAGCATTTTCAATTTGTTTTCCTCATTTTGCAGTTTATTTCCCCCCGGTGAATCTCATACGGCTTCTCTAATTTTTTTCTCCTTTCTCAGCGGTTTTTTTTCGCCGTGAATGGGTTGAATCGAGCGCCATTTCGAATTCTTCTTCTTCTTCTTTTTCGTCTTTTTTTTTTTGGTTTTAGCTTTTCTGTGCTTGATGAGCCGTTCTGAGAAATGGGATATTAGGATTTTTTGAAGGTTTTTTGGTTGAAAAACATTTTTAAGTTGGTTTGAAGCTTTTTTTCGTTTTCTCCACCAAAAAAGCCATCATTTTCCATTCAATTTTTTATAAGGAGATCGCCAAAAACTAAGGAGACGTCATTTTTTGAAGATTTTTCTAGTTTCGAAGCAGTTTTTTTCGGTGATTTCCCGCAGTAATGATGATTCTAAAGTTACTAGAAGTTTTTTTGATCCACAATATTTTATTATTGAAATCTAATAACTAGGTTTGAAATCAAGAAAATGCCATTTTTAGTCAAAAAAAATTTTTCCCCAACCATAATTTTTTTAGTAGTTTTTCAATGAAAATTTGAAGTAAGATTTTTTTCTCACGAAAATATAATAATAAAAGTTAAAAAAAAAATTATGACACAGTCGATTTCCGCACTGACGTGCTCGGAGTTCATTGGAGCGCGTTTGCCGAAAAAAGACCTTCCTTTTTTTTTTTCTTCCAACGAATTTTCCGCCTTTTTTTGCTTTAAAGTTCATTTCCTCCCGTACGCTATCTATTAGTCAAGGAAATGTGAAATTTCCTCTTTTTCCCGTTTTTTTCGAGCTTTACGAATTCTTTCCTTTTTTAGTGATGATTCAGTCCATTATTTTCTTTTATCTTGTTTTTTTAAAGTGATTTCGTGCCGGTTTTAGGAGTTTTTATAAAGATATTATGCACTTAAAGGCTTTCAAAATGAACAATTTAGTGAAAAATCATGTTTTTAATGAACTTTTGTTGCGTTTTGAACAGTTTTCCAAGGGTTTTTGGTCAAAAATTCAAAAAATATGAAATTTTTCTTTTTTCTTGATTTTTCCATCAATAATTCCCATTGATTTTTGAATAATAACCCAGAAATTTGCAGCTCGTCCCAGCACGCGCACGGGCGTGCCTCGGGCGGTCAATCTGGAATGGGAAGTTCGAGCCGATCCGCCGCCAGAAGGTGAAAAAAATTCATATTTTTCTGAAAAAAATGAAAAAAATGATCTTTGCCATAGAAATTTGTCACTGGAGGCTCGTTTTTTTGATTGCTCGAAATCTTTCAAAAAAATGGAAAAAAATTGGCCATTTTTTGGTTCATTTTTTTGGTACAGCGTGAAAGATTTGGACTTGTTCAATAATCAAAAAAATTTATTACAGGTAAAAAAAGCGGAAAAATAAATTTTTTTAATTTGAATATCTGATGAATTTTTCCAAAATGCTCTGTAAAATGCATCGAATCTCATTTTTTTATTTCGAAAAAAATACAAAGATTTTTTTACCTTAAATTTTTTTCCTCACATGAAAATTCTTTTGTAAAATTACCTAAGGCTCCTTTTTTTCGTTTTTCGCATCTATTTTAAGAAAAAAATGACATTTATATAATGTAGAAAAAGGTCAATTTCTCAAAATTCTTGGAAAATAAAAATTTTTTTCGAGCTTTATTTTTTTGGATTGGGAAATTTGAACCTTTTTTTGATAGTTTTACTGAAATTTGAGTTAAAAAGTAAGTCCTTGGAAGAGAAATAATGTCCTTTTTTGAATTACACGATTTTAAGCTTTTTTTAAAGGTTTTTTTCAATTTTAAAAATTTTTTTCAGGGCGCCGGAAGATCCTCATGTCGGCAAGTATAAGCTGCTCAAAACGATCGGAAAAGGAAATTTTGCAAAGGTTTGACGATTTTCTTTGCTTATTGATTGATTTTTTTCAATAGAATCGATTTTTTTAGTCATTTTTTTCATTGGTTTTCTGTCAATTTTTGTTAAAAAAAAATAGGGATTTTTTTACTCATTTTTTTCAATGATTTATTAGCGTTTTTCTCAGTTTTATCGATTTTTCAATAGTTTCCGATAATTCATTGGAATTTTTCTTAAGTAAAGTTGGTCCCAGGTAAAATTTTGCAAAGGTATGGCGATTTTCGATAGTTATTGATTGATTTTTTTCAATCCAATCGATTTTAACTCATTTGTCATCGATTTATGGTCAATTTTAATCAATAATATCGATTTTTTAATATTTTTTGATGATTTTTTGACATTCTTCTCAGGTAAAATTGGTCTTAGGTGAAATTTTGCAATCATTTGACGATTTTCAATCATTTTTCATCGATTTATTTTCGATTTCTTTTCAATAGTTTTTATTGACTTGTTGTCAACTTTTTCTCAATAATACGGTTTTTAATCACTTTTCATCGATTCATCATCATTTTCCTCAGCTAAAATAGTCTCGATTGATTTTTTTTTTCTCAATAGAAACGATTTTTAATCATTTTCCAATAATTTATTGGCATTTTTCTCAGGTAAAACTGGCGAAACACACGATAACGGGTCAAGAAGTCGCCATCAAAATCATTGACAAGACGGCCTTGAATCCCAGCAGCTTGCAGAAGGTTTTCTTTTTACTTTTATTTCGAGGAAAATCACAAAAAAAATTGAGATTTTTTTCCCCCTTTTTTAAAGGAAAAATTGATCGATTTTTTTAAAATTTCTAGGTTAAATCTATTGATTTTCGGCTTCTAGTTTCTTTTTTTCGTGCCATTCATCTTGTTATTTTTTTCTTTCTTCAAAAATTCTTTTTAATCTCTTGAGAGTTTTGAAATTCTATTTTTTTCTCATTTTGTGACGTCGTGTTTGTAGGAGGCGAAAGCGGAAGGAAAATTCGAAAAATTTTTGTTCCTTTTTTTAGTAAAAAAATAAAATTTTTTTGAAGTGAAAAAAAGTCAAGTTTTGAATGTTCAAAAATTCAGTTTTTCTATCATTTAAACTACTTATGAGTAAAAGAATAATCAAATTTGCCAATTTTTTTAATTTTTTTAATCGACTTGGAAAACTTCAAAAAAATGAAAAAAATTTGGTTTTTATCCCAAAAAAATGGAGCTTTTTGACGACCTAAAAGTCTCAAAATTTGACAAATTTTGAAGATTTTTACACTGGGACCCTAGAGTGGTCCCTAAAAGGGTTTAAAGCCCCTACAGTTGACAAAACAGTGTTTTAGTGTTCCCTATAAAGGTTTATGGTCCCTGAGGCCCTTAAGTGACCCTTAAAATGGTTTTTTGCAGTTAGATTTTCTGATATGGAAGTTTAGAGGACGTAGAGGAGCACTTTTGCAAGGTTTAGTGGCCCCTATAGAGGTCCCTAGAGGGGCTAGGAAGAAATAAAAAGAGATCACTTACAAACTTCCCTAGAGTGGCCTCTTTTGTGAGCTTCAGTGCCACCTATAAAACAAGGAAAGTAGCCCCTTGAGGGAACCCCTTTAGTGACCACTCTAGCGTTCAAGAGCGGAAAAAAAAGGATTTTTTTCTTGCAATGTGCCCCCTATAGAGGGACCCCTTTTATGAGCCCTAAGAGAAGGTAAAGTAGCCCCTTAAGCGGAATCGGAGTGCACCCCTCTAGTGACCACTCAAGCGCCCAAAAACCGGCAAAAAAAGAATTTTTTTTTTCAGCTTTTCCGCGAGGTGAAGATCATGAAGCAGTTGGACCATCCGAACATCGTCAAACTTTACCAAGTCATGGAAACGGAACAGACACTTTATTTGGTTCTGGAATACGCGTCCGGTGGAGAGGTTTGTAATGAAAGAAAGTAAACCCGAAAAATTGCCTAGTTTTCCACGGTTTTCTTGAGATCATTTCAAAATTTTAGGACCAAAAAATGTAAATTCAAAGTTTCAAGAATGTTTAGGTAGGATTACTGTTTCAGTGAAGTATTTTTATAGTGAATATCGTTGAAATAATAATATTTTTGTAGGCTTGGTTGAGAAAAAAATTGAGGTTTTTTTAGTGACAATCCAAAAAAATTTTTGGATTTCGAGGTTTTTTTGAATGAGCGAGGAAAAAAATAAGGTTTTTCAAGGCTTTTTTTCAATTAAAATTTTGATTTTTCTGACTTTTTTGAAAAAAAGTCTGGTATTTTTCCGATAAAAAAAGTTGAAATAAGCCTCGTTTTTTTGAAGTTTTTTTCGAATTAAAGTCGGAAAAGTTCGATTTTTCGAGGTCATTTTTCACTGAAAATTTCAAATAGGTCACTTCTCCAGGTTCCTTTTTTTCATAAAAAAATGTGAAAAAGTCTGATTTTTCTAGAGTTTTTTTAAATTATAACTCATTTTTTTGAAGTTCCTTTTTATCGAAAATCGAAAAAAAGCTAGATTTTTCAAGCTTACGACGATGAAATTAGTTGGAATTTGTTCCAAATCTTGATTTTTTTATCGTATTTTTTTCATTAGAATCCAAATTATTGATTTTTTTAGTTCATTTTTTTGTATTTTTTTCAGGTCTTCGATTATTTGGTGGCCCACGGACGAATGAAGGAAAAAAAGAGGCCCGGGCCAAATTCCGGCAAATCGTCTCCGCTGTACAATACTTGCACTCGAAAAAAATATTATTCATAGGTAATTTTTTTGGGTTTTTGCAAATTTTTTTCTGTCTAGATTTCCAAAAAAAGCTTGAAATCCGTGAAAAAAATCGACTTTTTTTCATTATTTTGATGGTTTTGGTCTTTTGAAAAAAACTTCATTTTTTTGAGTTTTTTTGCGTTGAAAGTTTGGTTTCGTCATGTAAAAATAATGCATAGAAATGGTTCAAAATGTTAGAAAGTCATTAAAAAAATGAATATTTTTTTCAAAAAAATAACCAATTTTTCTGATGATTTTTAGTCGTTTTTTTCTCACATTTTTAAGGCAGAATCTTCACTTTTTTGCCCAATTTTTTTGAGTACTTCCAGATGAGATTTTTGGTTTTGACTCCAAGAAATATTGAAGAAAAAAACGCTTCAAAACTTGTTGATTTTTCTAAATTGAAAAAAAGGAAAAATGAGTAGTTTTTTTATTTATTTTCAGAGACTTGAAAGCCGAAAACTTGCTGCTCGACCAGGACATGAACATCAAAATCGCCGATTTTGGTTTCTCAAATCACTTTTCTATAGGTTTGTTTTGAATTAGATTAACAGAAAGTTCAAGAATTTTTGTATAAAAAGCTCTTGAAACTATAATTTTGAAGATTTGGTCATTTTTATTGGATAATTTAGAAAACTGACATTTTTTCAAAGTTTTGCTGAAAAAATCCTTTTTTTTTGAGTTTTTCGTGGACGTTTTGAACTCAAATAAGTACTAGAAAACTGGAAAAACTTGTCTTTTTTGATTCATTTTTGAGTTTGGCTCGCTTTTTCTTGTCATTTTTGCATTGTAAAGTTAATTTCCGAGAAAATTTCTCCTTCAGTTGATTCATGGAATTGTTTTCATTTGATCTAGGATATTGGAGAATTTTCAGTAGAAGTTTTTTATTTTTTAAAAACTTTATCACCTTCAAAAAGAGCCAAAAATGCTTGAATTTCGGAGCCTACTCCTATGAAAATGGCTGATCAGTAAAAAAATAAAATGTTTCAGATAATTAAGAAAAATTGCTATAACTGCTCTTGGCACCTCTTCCGTGTGAATCAAAAAAAGTTATTTATAAGGAGAATAATATTCCAGGTAACAAGCTGGACACGTTCTGCGGGTCTCCGCCCTACGCGGCCCCCGAACTGTTCAGCGGCAAGAAATACGACGGCCCCGAAGTCGACGTCTGGAGTCTCGGCGTCATCCTCTACACGTTGGTCTCCGGATCCCTGCCCTTCGACGGCCAGAACCTCAAGGTTTTTTTTTTTCAAAAATAGAGCTTTAGAGAAATTTCAAGCTTCAAAAATAGAGATTTTAGAAGCTTGAAATGTCAATGATAGTTAGTAAAAAAAAATTAGAAAAGAGATAGCGCGTGGTTGGTGGAGAGCGCAGACACGCCACGCCCCCTCAGAGTCCCAAGATACCCGTAAATCGGCTATAACAAGGGCACTGCGATTTTTTTCCTTTTTCCGAGGAGTACTGTATCCAAAAGTCCGCAATCTGAGTTTTCCTCTTGCGTGTTTGCACTTTTTTCGCTCCTTAATAGATTATAGCTACAAGAACTTCAAAAAATTTTTAAAAAATCTTGGAAACGTCACGCAACAACATTGCAAACACACAAATTCCAAACCTCAGAATTTTCACGTACAGTATCCAGTATCCTTCGAAAATGGAAAAATCGCTCTTTTGATAAAACAAATTTCCCTTGGAGCCCAAAAGTATTTTTGTAATCATGCTCCTTCATCCTCATTTTTCCAGGAGCTCCGAGAACGGGTCCTGCGAGGAAAATACCGTATCCCGTTCTACATGTCGACGGACTGCGAGAACTTGCTCAAGAAGTTTTTGGTCTTGAACCCGGCCCGACGGAGTTCTCTCGATGCGATCATGAAGGATCGGTAAGGGTCTTTTTTAGGGATATTTTTGGGCTTTTTTCGGGATTTTTTTAGGGATTTTTTAGGGTTTTTTCGGGATTTTATAGGGCTTTTTTCGGTATTTTTAGGGATTTTTTAGGGTTTCTTAGGGCTTTTTTCGAAATTTTTTAGGGATTTTGTAGGGATTTTTCAAAGATTTTTCAGGGATTTTTTAGGGTTTTTTTCGGGATTTTTTTAGGGATTTTTTAGGGTTTTTTCGGGATTCTATAGGGCTTTTTTCGGTATTTTTTTAGGGATTTTTTTAGGGTTTCTTAGGGCTTTTTTCGAAATTTTTTTAGGGATTTTTGTAGGGATTTTTTTCAAAAGATTTTTTTAGGGATTTTTTTAAAGGAATTTGTAGGGATTTTTTTGAGGATTTTTTTCAGGGCTTTTTTTCGGAATTTTTTAGGGATTTTTTTAGGAGTTTTTTTAGAGCTTTTTGTTAGATGTTTTGAGAATAATTCTTTTTTTGGAAAGTTTTAGGATTTTTTCGAATTTTTTTTGAGAAGTTTCGTATAATTTTTTGATTTCTTGATGGTTTTTAGATTTTTAGGGTTTTTTCGATAATTTTTTGGGCCTCTTGGAGATTTTTCGTATAAGTTTTTTGATTGCTTTTGAGAATTTTTGATTAATATTGGGAGTTTTTTAGGAATATTTTAGGGACTTTTTGATGATTTTTAGAGTATTGGGAGTTTTTTTTTTGATAATTTTTTAGGTCTCTTGGAGATTTCCTTGTAAGTTTTTAGACTGCTTTTGAGATTTTCTGATTTATTTTTGAAATATTTTAAGGACTTTATGGATGCTTTTTATAATATTGTGGGCCTGTTTAATATTACTTCAAGTTTTTTGTGACTTTTTGATGATTTTTCGATTTTTTCAGGTGGATGAACATTGGCTATGAAGACGACGAGTTGAGGCCCTATCTGGAGCCGCCGAAAGACCAAATCGACGAATCGAGGATCGAGAAACTTATTCAGGTACTGTTAAGAAAAATTTAGAAAGAAATGAGTGATTGAAAAAAAAATGGCAAAAAAACTCCGCCAAACTTGCTCCACCGCTTAGGAACGCCAGAGTGACCCCGATAGGGGCAACCTTAAGGGCCTGTGGAGGGTCGTCTCTAGACCCCGCTTTACCAGCCCCTATACCACCTAATTTGACCTTCATACCACTTTCTCGACCCCTATAGAGGCTTTTCTCCCCCCCTGACCCCTATTGGGGGATTCCTAAGTGTTTAGAAACGCCAGAGTGGCCCCTACAGGGATTAGGAGGAAAGTTCCCTAGAAGGAGGCCAAGAAGAGCTCCCTAGAGGTCTAAACTTTAAATGGTCTCTATAGGGGTTTAGGGTTTGATAACTTGAGTCAATATACCTTAAGTGGTTCCTATAGTGGTATTTTAATTTTTTGCTGTCGATTTGAAGTAAAAAGAGCTAACAATAATAATAATAGGAAGTCGAGAAAGCTCCCCTAAAGGGACCACTTTCGCAAGTTTTAGTGGCCCCTAGAGGGGTTAGGGTAAAAAAAAGGCACTATAGGAAACAAGGAAGTGCTCCCTGAAGGTCTAAAATTTAGGTGGTCCCTCTAGGGGTTCAGAGTTTGATCACATGAGTCAATAAAGATTAAGTGGTCCCTATAGTGGTATTTTAATTTTTAGTTGCAATCTGAAAGTTAGAAAGAGGTTTCAAAGATACTGATAGGAACCTCTAGAATGCGCCCCTATAGGGACCACTTTTTCAAGATTTAGTGGCCCCTGGAGGGGAACCTTCAAGGGCTTCTGAGGTTGCCCCTCTGGGGACCACTTCGGCGTTTTTAAGAGTGAGAAAAAATCGAGAAATTTTTGAATTTTCGAGCCTTTTTTCCAACTTTTCCTTATAAATTTTCTGTTTCTTTTGAAAGTCGTATATAAAAGTATCATATAGTTCATCCGTTGAGACCGATTTTGACTTTTTTGATTCCAGATGGGCTTCAACAAGGCTCAAATTCTGGACGCCGTCGAAAAGGAAAAGTTCGAAGACATCCACGCGACTTATCTTCTCCTCGGAGAACGGAAATCTGATGTTTGTTTTTTTTCCAAATATTCCTTTTCAGAAATTTTTCTCATTATATTTACTAACAGGTTTTTTTATCTGATCACCGACTAAAATGAGAGAAATTTGCTTGTTTTTCATGAACCTTTGCATGCCTAAAAAGATTAATAATTGCTTTGAGAGTTAAGAAAAATTTAAATAAGTGCACTTTTTCTTATAGTTTTAATGAAGTGGTGGTGACTGGAAATGGGTTTGAAGCTGGATTTTTTGAATTTTCGACAGAAATTCGAGATTTGGCTTTTTTCCTATAGAGCTCGTTTGATTCTCGAAAATACCTTTTGATTTATAAATCAATAAAAGCTCAAAAATGGGCGTGTCCAACCAATTAGAGACACTTTCGCGATGGAGCGCGCTTGCTAATTATGATGAAATGAAGAAATTTTGACTGGAGAAAGTGAAAAATGTTCAAAAATAGGCGTGTCCAACCAATTAGAGGCTCTGTACGATCGAGCGCACTTTTTAATTATGATAGGTTAGCCGAAAACGAAGAAATTTTGACTAGAAAAAGTACGATACAATTGAAATTTTCGATTTTTCTTGTCCCCTAGCTTACTTTTTTTCCAATTTTTTCAAGAATCGGATGAAGAAATGTGCTTTTTAAACTTCTTTTTTCACTGACCAAAGTAAAGAAGACCGATTTTAATGGCACCTTTACCTGGAACTTTACTAAAAACCCACCAAAATAACCACCACTTCCCCCCTGAAACGTCAATAATAAATAAGGCGTGTGCATTGTTTTGGCTACATCTCAGATGGACGCCGGCGATATCGCGATGGCCCAAAGTCTGATCACGCACTCGTCGATCAACGTCTCCTCGACGCTGGGCACGCTGCCGGCCGGCGTCATCACGACGGCTTCTGCCGCCGCCGCCGCCTCGGTACGTCTTCCGGAGGTGTTGCTTGTCCCTGAAGACGTGCATGTTCGACGTCTTCTCCCCTCGTCGGAAATTTCCTGAAAATGGGCCAGGATGCTTCTTGAACTACTCGAAGTAGTTCCTGAACGTCTCAACCTTCAAAACTTTCTAGTTTTCAAGAAATCTATTTTATAGAGTTTGAGGTGTATTTTCTCAAAAACTAGCAATTTTCCCAGAGTGAGACTTTCAGAATATCCATCTGGTACATCTAGGAGTTCCCTGACCGATTTTCAAAAAATTCCCAATTAAAAAGTAGGGGCTTCAAAATCTGAGATTTGCATGGAGTGCCCCCCGTTTGGATCAGCACGTTTTCCCGACTTTAACTTGAATATTTTCCCATTTTTCGATTTTTAAAATTTTAGATTTCTTTTTAGTTTTCGTCGTGGTGTTTGATTATTGATTTGTGTCATCAAAAGTCGATTTTACCAATTTTTCGATTTTTCAAAGGTTTTTAAATTGAAAAAACGAGAAATTTTAGAGTTTTTTTTAGTTTTCGTCGTGGTCTTTGATTATTGATTTTTTTCACGAACCAAAAAGTCGATTTTTCCAATTTTACACGGCACAGTGGTAGAACGGTTCAGTTGAAAGTGAAGATCGTGAATTTTCATGACCAATAGTCCATTTTTCGCGACTTGAAAGGAACTTCTCTGCACCCTCTCACTTTAACGCGCTCTTTTCATGTTTCTCTGACCTGAACAGAAAGACGCAGACATTTTCAAGTCGCGACGGACTTCCTTACGGATTCCTTGAACTTTTCGGTTTTAGCCATCGCGATACTCTTCGCGGGCCGGTTCCGCCCAGTCGAACGGAGCCGGCGGCTCGATAACCGCCGGTACGGCCGCCAACTCGGCCGGCGCTGCTGCCGCAGCCGCCGCCGCCAAACAGCCGTCCAGAAGGAGCAGTCAGAACGACGCCGTCGTCGGCGCCACTGGAAGCAACTCGGCCAGGGCTGGGGTTAGTTTCGTAGGTGGCTAGAGCTGGTGATAGGACCTCCCGCAAAGTTGAAAATGAGTAAAAATGTGAGAAATTGAGAAATAATGACCCGTTACCACTTCTGGGGTCGACCCGGAAAGTCCCATCCCATCAGCAGCTTTGGAAACAACTAGGAAAATAGTCGATTAACGTTTAGAATCAAGCTATCCCGAATTGAAGTGAGCACTGCCTAGTCAACCTTACCTCCCTGAGAATAATAGCAGTTTCCTCTTTTTGAAAGTTTTTTCAAGTCAATTGTTTTTTACCTTTCTTAGTGCGCTTGGAACAGATAAGAAGAAAAAGCTTGTTTCAAAATAGGAAAAAAATGGCCTCGAAATATTCTTCTTCTCCTGGGAGCTTTGAAAAACGCACAGAAAAGAGCATTTTGAGACATTTCGAAACGTTTTGTTCAATTTTTTAAGCTTCGGTAAAGGTCTGAAATTGGTTATTTCCTAGCTTTAATCAAAAATCGTGGTCTAATTCTTTCTCAAGAGTTTAAATTTTTGAAAGGCGGTTTTCGGATTGGATTTTGGATGAATGGAGATTTTGGTAATAGAGTGCTTCTTTCAGAAAATATTAACGTTTTAGGCATTTTCCCTATTTTTCTAAAACCTTGGCTGAGTCTTATAAAAGTATTTGAAGTGTTTTTTAATCATAGAAGCTTTAAAATTCCATATTTCTTTATGAGAACTCATCAATTCCTATGATTTTTCAGCAAGTAATCCTCCGGAATCAGCCCAACCCACGGCATCCGGCGTTAAGTCTCCAGCCGCCGACCTACAAGCCTAGTCAGTTTTTTCGACGGAAACTGGCAATCAGGAGATGATTTTCCAGCGGCGACAGGCCAGCAACAGCCCTCCCAGCAGCAGCAAGGAGTCCCGCCGGGCGGACCCGTCCTCTTTTCAAGGCCCGGAACGACTCCGGTCACCACCACCACAACCCAGGGTCCCCGGAAATCCAGCGACCCCAAGGGTCGGATCCCCCTCAACCAAGTCGGAAGCCACCGAGCCACCACTGGAATCGCCCCCAGTCAACATCAGAGGGACCGAGAGTCAGTTTATGGGTCTTGGGTGGAAATTAGGGAGACTTGAAGTCTTTTGGGAGTTTTTCCGGGTCTTGGAAAGAATTAGAAAGTACGGTCGATTTATGGCTAGCTTGAGATGCGAAGGGGCGTGGCTTGTCTGCGATCTCCGCTTACCAGGCACTATCTCCTCTTTCATCGTGTCAGGACCCATTTTCCGATTTTCGCCGCGAATCAGCTATATTTGACTTTTTGTATTAGTCTAGTGAAGAGAAAATTTCAAGAATCCTGAAAATTCTGTTTTTTCTTGGTCCTGGATAGAAATTAGAGAGACTCGAAGTCTTTTGAGAGTTTTTCTTGGTCTTGGTCAGAGATTATGAAGTTTAGTCGGTTCACGGCTAGCTTGAGATCTTAAAAGGCGTGGCCTGTCTGCGCTCTCCACCAATCAGGCACTATTTCTTCTTTTATCGTGTCAAGACCCATGGTCCTGGAAAATTAGGGAGACTTTTGGACTTAGAAGCCCTTTCTTGACTTTGAGGATAGTTGAAAGGAAACAAAGGCTTCAGAATTGACTGGAATTTTTGGGAAAGGGTCTCTGAGAAAACAGATTTCTGAATTTTTTAAAAATCGGTTGAGACACTTGATAAGGGTCCGAAAATTCGCAAAACTTTCGATTATTCGATTTTTGAAGATTGAGAAAAAAAATCCTACAACGGCTTTTTAGGAGCTTTTTGGGTTTTTCTTTGACTTTAAGCTTTTTTCTGGAAATTTCGCTTTTTGAAGTAGAATTAGGGGTCTTTCAGTGAAGAAATAAGTGCTATTCGAAATTTTTTAGACATTGTGAGATGATTTTGAGACTTTTCTGGTTCATTTCAAATGATTATATCGATTCGGCTATACTTGAAAATCTATCCAACTTGAAAAAATGAGGCTTACAATGAAATTTAGGACATATCTAAAGTAAAATGACTGAAGTTACAGTAGTCTTATCGTTTTTTCATCCCCGGACGTATTCCAAAAAAGATTTCACTTATAAGGAATGAAGCAACTTGGATTTATGACTAGCTGGAACCAAAAAAGACAGTTTTTGAACTCGAACTGAATGCCCGATATTCCAGTGCCCAGTTCATGAACCTGACCTCGTCGGCTTTGATGAGCAAACTCGCCCCGGCGCCACAGATGAAGATCCCCGCGGCTATGGCGCAGGCTCAGGCGTCCGCCGCCGCCGGAGCGGCTCCTCTTCAGGTATAGGAAAAGGACGATTCACCGGAAAATTCTTAGTGGCCACTTTAGTGTTTTGACGTTTGAGTGGCATCTATAGCAGTCGAATTAGTGGCCACTCAAGTGTCTGGAATTCAGTGACCTCTTTAGAGGTTTAAACGGCACTATGGGGACGCTGAAAACTGCTATGGTGGTCACTAAGACAAAAAATAGCGGCTTCTATAGAGGTGGTTCTAGTGGCCACTCTAGTGCCCTCTTCAAGTACTTTTTTCCAGAAGTCCGGCTCGCAAATCTCGCACGCGCCCACCGAACCGGTCATCAAGGAGGACGAAGATGAGAGCAGCGAATCTTCCATCGGAACTCCTACCGCAAATGGTTCGTTTCTTTTTTTAACATTGAAAACCCCCAGAGATCTACAAGAATTTTTTTACTGGGTTCTCCCCCAAGACCTTTTTTTCTTGACTCCCAAGCAGAAGAAAGTAAAATGACCCCCCCCTGTTAGGCGCTATTTTTTTGAATAATGACGAAATACTTGATCCTCAAAATAAAAGGGCTTTCTCTAGGATCAGGGCTTCCGCTGATCGGCGGCGGAACCGCGGCCGGAACCTCGATGCCCCCTGCATCACCGTCCGGCGTCTCTTCTCCGGAAGACACGACGACGTCAGCTTCCCTGGAACCAAAGTCCCCTGGCCCCGACGTCAAGGAACCCGCCTCCAAGTGAGTTTTTCCCCAATTTTCGAAGCTTTGTCCTTGGCATAGAGTTTTGAGGTTGGAGGAGGGTCTGTGATTGGGAATTACTCGAAAAAAAAGCCCAAAATAACTAAAAAAGGCTTAGGAACGCCAGAGTGGCCCCTAGAGGGCTCAGAAGAAAAAAGCGCCCCTTAGAAGTTTAGGTGGTCCCTATAGGGATTTAGAGTGTGATACTAAAGTCCCTGAAGTGGTCCCTTCTTTAACTAAAAGTTAAAAAGACCTATAAGGTCTAGCATACTTCCCTAGAGTAGCCACTTTTGCAAGCCTTTAGGAGGAAGCTGAAGTGGTCCCTTGAGAGGAGTCTAAGTTTGCCACTCTAGTGACCGCTCTGGCGTTCCGAAGAGTATCGGAGAAAGTTTGCTCCATTGATAATTTTTCTTGTATTCTACTGTTTTTCAGTCAGGATTTATAACGATTTTTGAATCAGACTCAATTTTTTAACTGTCGGATTCATCATTAGAGCGAACAAGTTTTTTTTTGTAAAGCGGCGATTTTTTCCTTTTTTGAAGTAATTTTCAATCATAAACTCATCCCCTCTGACCTCAAACGTGTTGGAAAAAAATAATGGGAATTAATTAATTTTTTTCGAATAATTGCATGATGATGTTTTTTTCTAAAAAGGAACTTAAAATACATTTTTGGAAATAAGGCTATTTGGCTAGGGAATCACAGAAACGGCCGAACGTTTCTCGCACACGCACTGTCTCATTTCTTTTTTTGCATCGATATTTTTGGATTTCCAATTGAGAAAATATGACGTTTTTCAGTTTTTTTGTTCAAGTTTTCCATCATTTTTGGCGTAAAAATCGAAAAAATGGAATTTCTACTCGACCGCGACGCATGTGAGACGCGTCGCGGTCTGAAAAAGGTGAAAAATTCATTTTTGGCTTTCAAGCTCTCTAAACGTCTTTATTACTCCATTTCTGAACTTTCTAGTTGTCTGTGCACTCTTCTCTGTCAATTATCTCTAATTCAGACGGATTTTCTGGAAAGTGCGGATGGTTAATTTTTTTTTTCTAGACCTTTTTTTCATAATTGAGAAAGTCAAATTAATGTTTTTTGAATGAAAAAAACATCTCCATTGCTTTTTGAGAAAACCGTACAGTTTGACTGCCTAGAAAAAACCGTCCGCATTTTAAAATCGTTCGCCTTTTCCGAGAATCGAAAGAAGAATAAGATTATTTTTACTATTTTTTTTTTGAATTTAAAGACAATTTTTTCAATTTTCGAAAAAAATCTGGTAGATTTACCGCTTAGAGAAAACCGTCCGTATTTTAAAATCGTTCGCATTTTTCGAAAATTGAAAGAAAAGAGGGTTATTATCACTATTTTTTGAATGAAAAAACATTTTACATCAATTTTTTTGAGAATAAGGCAGTTTTACCGTCTAGTAAAGAACCGTCCGCATTTTAAAATCGTCCTCATTTCACGAAAAATGAGAGAAGAAGAGAGCACAGACGCCTTAGACATTCCAAATGTCCGTTGGAAAAACTACAATATCGATGCAATTTTTTTTTATTGAAACCATTTTTTTTTTCAAAAATGGCTTGAGGAGGACAAGGTGCGCAAATGGTGTTTGAAAATGTGTATTTTTCAGATTTTTTTTTCAAATTTGAAATTTTTAATTATACATTATGAAAGGGTCACGTTGAAAGCAGTTTGAATCAATATTTTTTGATTTTTATTTCATTTTTTTCTCTCAAAAAAGTTGTGTTGTGGTTTCTTTTCTACATATGGCCTGTTCCCCCCGTTTCCTTAGTTAATCGATTTTTTGATTTATTGACTTTTTTTCTTTCTCAGCACACAAGTATGAGGACTGCACGAAAAATAGGACTTTTCCCCGATTTTTCATTTGATTTTTCTTTTAACAGAATGCACCGTTATTAACATTTGGTACACACGGCGGAATGAGCTTGGATTTTTTTTTCGAATCGAGAATTTAGTTAATTGGATGCATTAGGTCATTTTCAAACGTGGATTTTTAGGCCTTTTTCCACAGAAAAAATTTTTTTAAGAGTATTTAGTTCCATTATCAATAGGGCGCGAATGCTGGCGAGAATGAGCTTTTTGAATTTTTTTCAATTTTCAAAATTGGGCTTAATTGGGTATTTTTTTAGTTAGTTTTACCTTTGAACATGGATTTTTTTAGGCTTTTTTTCGAATTTTTTTCCGTATAAGACTTTTTTTAGTTTTTTTAAGTTATCTTTGAAGGAAAAAAAGAAAAATTTTCACGATGAAAAAGATTTTTTTCAAATTTTTTTGCCAAGTTTTTCGATGTTTTTTTGATGTTTTTTTGAAAATTCATAATTGATATCGAAATCTCATATTCAAGGGTCCGTTTATTTTCTTCTCAATAGAGCGCGAATGGTGAAAAAAATAAGCTTTTGAAATATTATTGTTTTTTCAAGGTGATAGTAAGATTTTTCAACTGTGAAAGCTTGGTGAGAAATTAGTTTAATTTCGGAGTCCAAAAAGTTGAAGTTCAGCACTTTTTTTATCATTAAAGCGCATTTTCTAGATTTTTCAGATTTTTCTAGTATTCTTTTGCCTTTTTTAATATTCTGATTAAACTTTTTCTTTCCCATTCATCATCATTTTCCCTGCTTTTTTTTCTTTTAGTCCTCTCTTTTTTTTTTCAAAAACAGTTGCGCATTTTGTCCGATTTTTGGTGGTGGATTCCCGTCTTCTTTCTTGTTATTAACCCCAATTTTTCTCTCTTTTCATCATCATTCTTATCAAATTATCACTTTTTTTTTTCTCAACTAACAATTGTCCGGTTGTTTCTGCATGGGGTTTTCGACCTTTGTAAAGGGTTGTTGGTTGGAAAAAGTGGAGATTTTTGGGTTGAAATTGAAAAAAATGGGTCTTGAAACGAATCAAAGAAAAATTTTTGGAGAGTTTTTTTTTTTTTGAAGTTTCCTAGGATGTTGAAGGAATCAGAATTTTTCAAAAAGGAGGCTTTTTTTGAAATTTTGTAATTTTTTTCAGATTTGTTGAAGCTTTTTATCAGTAGGAATGGTTTAAAAAATATTTTTCACAATTTTTGACAAAAAAAGGGAAATCCATTTTGATATTTTTTTAGGATTTTTTTCTTCATAAATCAGTCCTTTAAAGCTTCAAAAAAGGCTTAAATCACGAAAATTCGACGAATAACTTGGCCTGATTCCAACCGACAACCTTTTTTTTGCACCTTCTCATTTTTATTTCTCGAACTCCCAAGCCAAAAATCACATTAGTAAATCTCATCACACACAGCATGTTGATGGCGTGGCGTGACCGTGGCGCCGACGAGGAACCTCTGCCGTCGACGTCTTCAGCGACGACGACGTCCCGCCCCAGAAGATCCGCGCCGATGACGTCGTCGGCGACGTCTCCCGACGCCCTCACGGCCCTCTACGTCACGACGACGCCCCTCACCCGACGCTACACCTGCGTCGTCCCGCCGATGACGTCCATCCTCGAATCCGCGGCTTCTGAAGACGTCAGAAGGCCCAGGGCTTCCACGACGACGACGACGTCTTCTTCGCCCTCCGCCACAACGTCGCCCGCCCGCACGAACCTGTCGCCGTATTTCAAGCGGACTATCAGTTTTCGAATGGTGTGCACTTGGATTTGGTTCATTTTGGTGTGACGCCAGGGTGGTCGCATTTGGAATGACTGTCACGAAAAAAATCCCCTTGAAAGTGCAATTTTCCAAGTAGCATTTGGAATGGATTATTTTTGGCTAGCTTTTCTGAATGTCACTTTCAAGTAACGCCAATGTGAGAAAATTGTTTTAGTAGTTTTTTTTTTACCTGGAATGGATGTTTTCTGTGATCGTTATGGTTCTGTTTTTGAGAAATTATTTTTGAGTGTTTTTGATTGCTTTCAACGTGATGCTCTGACGAAGAATTTCGGGTAGAAAATCAAGTTTCGAAATTGATTTTTCAATCTGTAAATTTGGAGTAGTGTAGGAAGGAAAATATTTGATAAAAGGAAAAAAAAAAAGCTGATAGAAATGGTCCTTAAGGTCACTGGAGTGGCCACTTGATGACCCAGAATCGTTAGCGCTTGCTTGAACTTTTTTTTTCAAGCCTAATTAGTGAAATTTAACGAGAGATTAGACGGTCTGAAGAGACGGAAGCGATAGAAAGATATCTTTTTTTCTCTGCCGTCTCTTCAGAAACGGCGAATTATAGTTTTCTCAGGCTATTTCTTCAGAAAATACCTCGAAAAATTGGAAAATACAGTTCGAAAGACCAAGCCAACAAATCTCCATTTCAGGCCGTCGATGATCCACCAGAGCCCGTCGATGCCGCCGTCGATGATCGCGGCGATGGGCGAGCTGACGGTGAAGGAGCCCCAGCGGTCCTCCTCCCAGCACATGTCCCGCTCGGCGACAACTAACCCCAACGCCCAGCAGACGACCTCCAACAACGTCTCCGCCGCCAGCAACACCGCCTCACCAACCTCGCACCACCAACCTCACCCTCATCATCATCCGACTTCCAATCAGGTTCGGACTTGTCGGGTTTCCGGGTGGTGAGAGCGAGAGAGCCGGAGTTTGGATTATTGAATCAACAGATTTTACTTAAAGACAGTGACTAGCTCCCTGAGACGTTGATTTCATTTTCGTTCCTGAAAAGTCATTTTGGTTAATCTCACGATTTCATATATCAAAGCGCAGAAGTCGTTTCACGGTCGGTTCATGGAATCCTTGGAGCTTAACTGATTTGAAATTATCTATTTTGTGAAAACTGAGATTTCAGTCATTTTTTGATCGAAATTATCGGTTTTTGCTCTTTTTTTGTGTACAGAAACTTGCTCCGGCAAAAAAAAAAGTCCGAGAAATCCGAGAGCCACCGATTTCCGATAACAAAGCGCGAAAGTCGTTTTTAGTCGGTTCATGGGAGCTTGACTGATTTAACTTCTGACAAAAATTTTCAATTTTTGCTTAGTTGTGTGCACAGAAACGCTGTGACAAAGTCAAAAGAATAAAAAAATTCGAAAAATTCATTTTAAAAACCTACGATTTCCGATACCAAAGCGCGAAAGTCGTTTTTGGTCGGTACATAAAAACGGAGATTTCAGTCATTTTTGACCGAAATTATCAATTTTTGCTCATTTTCGGCAAAAAAAAAATCCGAGAGCTTTGAAACCACCGATTTCCGATACCAATGCGCGAAAGTCGTTTTTGGTCGGTACATAAAAACTGAGATTTCAGTCATTTTTTGACCAAAATCATCAATTTTTGCTGACTTAAGTGCACAGAAACGCTGTGGCAAAGTCAAAAGAATAAAAATTCCAAAAATTCATTTTGAAAACCTACGATTTCCGATGCCAGAGCGCGAAAGTCGTTTTTGGTCGGTACATAAAACCGCTCCGCAGCCGCGAAGCGTTCAACCATTCCCATCGCGACCAAAATTATCTATTTGTTCTAGAAAATGCCTTTTTTCGACAGAATATCGACTCAAAAAAATATTTTTATTAATTTACTGTGAAAAAAATTCAGTTCCGGCTCTCTTGGTAAATATTTCGAATCAACATTTTCAAAAATAAAAGGAAAACGAGATGTTTTTCCCATTTTAGTACATAAAAAAGGCGGGTTTCCGTGGCAAAACCTTCGTTAGCGTAGTGAGTTTTTCTTCGAAATGATCCGATTATCAGTGATTTTGGTGATTAGTCCGCGATATCTCGAAAATTTTGCAAAAACTCCTATTTCTTTCTGTTCCGACAAAGCAAAATTCAAAAACGTGAGAGAGTGTGGTGAATTTGGAGGGATCCAGACGGACAGAGTGTCTGATTCTCTCCACTTTCCACATGCTCTTTCAATTTCCTCCATTTTTGACTTTTTTTCGCGAAAAAAATGAAATAATTCTCCACGCTTACTGTTGAAATTGTGCGTACGAATGTCTCTGTGCCGGATTTGCTTGGAAGAATGCCAAAAAAATCCTTTTTTTTCGTCAAATTAACATATTTTTTGCAACCTTTAAGTTCTCTAATTTATTTTTTCGCTTTTCACCTATGTTTCCTTTACGAGACGTTTCTTTTTTCTTGTCTCTTGTCGAGTTTTTAAGAAAAAAACATTAAGATTAGGAAAAAAATCATGAATATTTTGCTTGGAATAGTGGTTTTTTTAGCCTGCTCTTTTTGTCGTCGTTTTTTTTCTTTTTATCGGCTATTTTTTCGAAATGTCTGTTCGTAGCTTGTATTCTTCGATGCAATATAAGAAACATGTGCAGTAGAAAACAAGAAAATTTTTTTTGAAAGAAAAAATTTTTGATTTTTTCTCGATTTTTTGCCTTGTAGGTTTTTGAAAATCGTTCAAAAAATCAAAAAAAAAATCTTTTTGTTAGCTACTGTACTTAGGGGAGAGTATTGTGCAAAGTTCTACAAAAAAATTTTCGGAAAAAAATAATATTATTGATTTTTTTAATATGCAAACTAGACACTACGAGACAAAAAAGTGTAATTTCAAATTTTAAAAATTATTTAATATTATTATTCAAATATAGAAACAGGTCTTTAATCAAGTTTTTGTGAAATTTTGCACATTTTGATGTATTCTGGGATGTTCAAAGGCGCAGAAGTCTTTTTGACCTTTTATATGCTCCTTTAAACAGCCTGGAAAGGAATTTCGAACAATTTATATAGTCCATTCACCGCGACTTGATAGTGTCTGCGTCTCTCTGTTCCCTCACCGGCGAGGTCAGAGAAACTTGGAAATATCATGGGAGATGGAGAGGGCGCAGAGAAAAGACGCTCCTCACCATCAATGTCAGAGAAATTTAAAAAGAACACGTCAAAATGAGAGACGCAGAGAACTGTCAAGTCGACGACAATGCACTTGGATCTATCTGACACACAGACACACACTCGAGACCTTTGTATAGACGTTTTTGCCCATTTTGCAGCAATATCCGACCGCGACGCAACCGCACCTCAGCCACAACGCCTCGTTCACCGTGACGCCCTCGACCCACCCCTACCAGCCGGCGGGCAGTACGGCCCATCCCGCGGGAGTCCCGCCCTCCTCCCAGGCCTTCCCTCGCAACACCCGCAACCGACAGACCTTCCATGGCAAGACCGAGAAGGACAAGGTAGCCCAAATCGATTCGAAAACTTCTTTCGTTACTTGTTTCTGCTACTTTGTTCGCTTCTTCTGTCTGCTTCTTCTTTTTTTTTAATTCTGAGCTTTTAGACTAGGTTTTTAGAGGCTGAACTATGAATGAACCGCGAAAAGAATAAGCTTTCATCATGATTTATTTTTATGATTTTTGGCTGAATTTTGAACGATTTCTGATTTCTTCACCTGCTTTTTACAAAGATCTCGGACCTTTTTGTCAAATTTTGAGCTTTCTGCATTTTTTTTTCAAGGTCTTTTTGACTAAATAACGAAATTTTTATTGCGAAGCGCCTTCAAAAAAAAAATTGAAATACGATTCCGAGTGCAAGTGCGCTCCATAGACAAAATGCACATTTTTTTGCGATTTTCAGAGGCTTTGATCTCGAAAAAAGAGTTTAAACTAGGAAAATGATTGAAATTCAAAATATGGGCCTTTTTTCGTAATTCTGTCAAATTTTTTTTCAAAAAATTAGCGCATTTTCAAAATTTTAAGAGTTTTTAGTTGTTAACGAAGCTCTTTTTCAATTTTAGGATCGTTTCAAATCATATACAAAGACAGAAGAAGTGAACGAAACCTTTCAAAAAAACCTCGTGTAACCTTTTAGTGTGGTTTTGATGGTGTTTCTAATGTGAAAAATGGATTTTTATTAAAATCAAACAGAATATTTTCATTATTTAAAGTTTCTGAAAAAAATCATTCTTTGAAAAATTGAAAAACTTTGTTTCGTCCAATTTTTGAACCCGTTTTTTGGAAAATAACCATTTTTTGATGTGATCCCTAATGTATACCTAATCATTAGATTTCTTTTTCGAATATTTTTCAGAGAGGCCAATTTTTCTTCTGCTTGAGAATGCCGTTTCGTAAAATATTTAGAAGAGTTTCGAATTTTTTTACCCTTAATGTGTTGTACGTTTGAATTATTTGAAAAAAAGGAAATGGCTCACTTTCCTATTGTACGGGGTGTGAAAAAGCGCAAGTAGTTTTTGGTCGGATGCGTGGAAAAAAGCCTTCAAAATGAGGAAATATATCAATTTTACATAGCTTTTGAGCCAATTTTCACGATTATTTCGGAATTTGTCAATTATTTGAATAAAACGAGACTTGTGAAGCTGTTTCTTGAGCTTTTTGAAACGTAAAAAATGAAATTTTCTCAGAAATCAGATTGATAATAATCTCAATCAATCTATTGATTGATTTTCAAGGCGAAGAGGATTAAAATTGAGAGAAATCGATTTTTTTTTAATGGTTTGATGCGCAATAGGGCGCAAGTAGTTTCTAGTCGGTTGCATTGAACTTTTAGACTTTTAAGGATTATTTGAGGATCATTCGGTCAAACCGCGGTTTTTGGAGCTGTTTTTTAAGCTTTTGAGTCGTGAAAAATGAATTTTTCTCTGTCATCTCAATCAGTTTCCGCTGCAGAGTGGAATAGAGCGCAAGTAGTTTCTAAAGGGTCGCGCTACCTTTTTAGTCTTCGATTCGATGAATATTTAATCAAACAGCGACTTTTGCACAAGTTTTTTGAGCTTTTTGAGTCATAAAAAAATGAATTTTTCCTTGAGACCAAAGGGATAATCATACTAATTTTTTTGAAAAAAAATTGACAATTTTCCTGTTTCGGCGAGAGAAAAGAGGGCGCAGACAGGTCAGAAAGTTCGCAAAACCTGGCAGATAGGTGACAAAATCAGTTAGGTACATATAACATCGAAATTTATTACTAAAAAGGTTAATTATCCAACTAATATAGGGGAAAAATAATATGTTTTTAATGATATAATTTTTTGGATTTTTTTATCAAATCATTAGAGTTGAAATTCGTCTTTGAAAAAGCGCTCAAGTTTCTGTTGAATCTTTAAAAAACTGAAAAAAGAAACCCTGAACCCAAGCCCATAAACTCAGTGAAAATAAACATAAACGTGGCATTTTTCTTCAAAAAATCAACTTTTTCAAGCTGGCAATGAAAAATGAAAAATTCGTTTCTTTTTTCAAAATAGACCTAAAAAGCTATTTTCAGGGCGGCGAAGATTCGGACGAAGAGCAGGAACCCCAGCCGAACGTCTCGATCGGCGCCGGGACCAACTCGAAAGGCATCTGGAGCAAGCTCGGAAAGCTCACCCGACGGTTAGTCCCCGTCTCTTATCTCAGCTCCACGCATTGACAAAGCAATCAATTAACTAATTAATTACCTCCAATTATTCCATGTACAATGCACAGGTGTTCCATTTTTTTCGTTCCCATTTAACCAACAATAATCAGTTTAACACCCGTAACCCTTGGGAATTCAGCTTTTGACACGTTTTTTTTCACCTCGGTCCAGGTTTTGAAAGTTTTAGGCTTGAAGTTCATTTTAAAATTTTTTCAGGCTTGAAATTTTTCGAAAAAATGTGGATCATAAGCCGAAAAATGGCCGTTTTTCGGTCTGAATATGTTTTAGCTTTTATTTTTTTTCTTCACCCAGAAAATTGATCAAATTGTCGAGTTTTAAGGCTTGAAATCCATTGAAAAATTGCGATTAATGAAGGTTTTTAGGTCTATTTTGGAAAAAGAAACGATTTTTTCATTTTTCGATTGCTCTTTAACCTTGAAAAAGTTGATTTTTTGAAGAAAAATGCCCCGTTTATGTTTATTTTCACTGAGTTTGTGGGTTTGGGTTCAGTTTTTCAAAGATTCAATAGAAATTTGAGCGCTTTTTTTCAAAAACGAATTTCAACTCTAGTGATTTGAAAAAAATAAACCATTATATCATTTAAATAGAACATTTTTTTCCCTATATTAGTGGGATAATTAACCTTTTAATAGTCATATTCAACGTTTTATGTACCTAACTGATTGTATCACTTATTCCCCACGTTTTGCGAACGGTCTGACCTGTCTGCGCTCTCTTGTCTCTCACCGAAACATAAAAATAGCGCGTGAACATGAGAGGGTGCCTGTTGAGAGATAAGGAGAGCGCAGAGAAGTTAGAATGATCCAAAACTTGCCGGATTTGATTCAGTTTAACAAGGAAAGGGTGACTTTTTTCGTACCCAACTAGTCGGAATTTGCTTTTTTATTGGTTTCGAAACGGATTTTTTTCGTTTTTATGCTTGATGTGTGCTTGTTTTGAAGCTTGATCTGTTTTGTTTTTTTTTTTTTCGTGTTTTTCCGTTTTTCCGTTTTTTGCTACTTATATTCGAATGGACCCCTCCCGAGTGCCTTTTTTTTCTCACTTTTTTCGAAACTTCTACTCATTTTTCAGTTTACTCACCAACCAACCAACACAAACGAGAAAATGTACATTTTTCTAGAGAAATTGTTCCTTTTTTCTGCAGAGTCAATATATATAAATAGTTGAGAATTTGCATGGTCTTGGGTTGATTTTGAGTGGAAAATTGGTTTTTCTCGCGTTTTGATGGCTTTTTGAAGGTATGAGGACTGAAAAAATGGAAATTTTGAAGAGAATAGGTGTATGCGCCTTTAATAAGACGTAATAGTTGCTATGCGCCTTTAATAAGGTTTCATAATGTGCCTTTAAAAATTGGCTAGAAATTTTTTGGATCCCAAGAAAAGAGGGTCTCCTGATTCTAAAAAATTTTCAAATGACTTATGCGCCTTTAATAAGGATTCGTTATGTGCCTTTAAATGTTGCCAGAAAGTTTAGGAACCTACAGTAAGATTGTAAGATGTTTTCGAAAATTTGATAAGGTTTTAGGTGACTTATGTACCTTTAAAGTATGATAAGATCAAAACGACATTTTTCCGTGTCCCTGTCCCTTCAAATCCCATCTAAACGCGATTTTTAACTCTAACAAAAGTCGACACGAACACACTAAAAACGAACTGCATGGTCGATCTCCCCGCCAGGCTTGCTCAATCAGCTCCAATTTCTCCTCCGACTCCAACTTCAGCTTCATCTTCAGTTAACGCTGATTGCACGTTAATCTTCTCCTTTTTCTCAAAACTAAAGATAACTTCTAGAGAGGAAAGCGATGTCGCGGATGGTACAAAGACGATATCGCGAATGGACCGCTTTTTCGCCTTGCAATTGTAAAAAGGGCGCGATATCGCACAGAGGAGAACGCGATATCGCGTCCAAAAAACTACGTGGCGCGTTATCGCACAGAGGAAAGCGCGATATCGCGTCCAAGAAACTAAGTGGCGCGTTATCGCAAAGAGGAAAACGCGATATCGCGTCCAAGAAACTACATGGCCAACGCGGCACTTTTGCGATATCGCCAATGTACCGCAAGCAACATCGCGTTTATCTCAGCAATTATCCTTAGTTCATTCCTTGTGGAATGAGTTCGACCGTGATGACTTTGTGGGTGCCCGAAAATTGGTTTTTGAAAAAATGTATTCTACCGATAGATAGTCCATTCGACATGAATGAAAACTGTCTGCTATTTCTTTTTTTCTCGCCTGCAAAGACTACGGAAATAGTACGTGAATACGAGAGAGGGTCGGCGAGAGAAAGAGAGAGCGCAGAGAAATAAGAAATCTTCAAGTTGTGGCGATTAGACTACAGCCAACTTTTCTCGGGTACCCATCCATCAATCACCATCTTTCTCTAAACTCTCTCGTTTCTTCTTGCTCTTTTCGGCATGATGCAGGATTGCAGCAGCAGCACTGCGTCGCCGTCAGTCGCAGCCGCGACCGTCGCGTCATCTGGAGCGTCTTCGTCCTCGCGGCGTCCGATTCTGCATCATTCGGCCTCGCTGACCGCCAGGTCGAGTATATGACAAATCGGGCCGAAAAAAAGATGATATGCGAAAAAATAGCCGCCCCAAATCGAAAAATAAGCCAAAAAAAAAAATAGGCGCGGAAAGTGTGCTCTAAGGCTAACTCTGATAAGTTGATATCATTGATTTGCGAAGAATAATGGCGATTTCGTCGAATTTTGAAAATTTATAACATATTTTGAGCCTTTTTTCGTTTAATTTTTATCTGGGATGCTTTTTGGGGATTTTAGCCATGGAGCGCACAAGTTCCAACTTTTCGTGGCTGTTTTTTCCTAGTTTTTCGTAGTTTTGTGTTCAAGACTTCCTGTTTTGAAATAATTTTCGTGTTTAATCGGAAATTTCCCTTTTTTAGCACCGAAAAAATATTTCGTGTTCAATTTTTGAAAAGTATGAGAATCGGCAGAATTTTCAGCGGCTTTTTTTTCTCATCTACTCTTTTTTTTCACAGCCTTTTTTGTCATATACTCGCCAGGTTTCTTTCTATCGTATTGTGCAAGTGGTTGAGATGAAAATGGTTGTTTTTTGAGCAAGTTGGTGTGGAGATTTCAAAAAAAAAAGTTCTAGAAAAGAGGATGGTTGATTGATTTTTGTGCACGTGGAAAGAGCATGTTCGGATCGGTTTTTCTTGAATTTTTTGTTTTGTTTTTCTTTTTCAGAATGTTCCATTTCGCATGATTTTTGTGTCGTTTTTTGTTCGTTTCATTGTTTTTTATGGGTCTGAACGGATCTGAATATTGTCATTGGAGCGGACTTTCTCAAGTTTTTTTGAAGGCGATTTGTGGAAAAAAATTTTTCATATATAAAAATGCAGCTTTTTTTGATCATTTTTTTCTAGTCGAAAATGAGCTACAGAAAGCTGAAAATCGGAAAAATTTTTATTTATCGAATCTTTTTTTGCTCAAATTGAAGATTAACTTCAAAAAAAGAAGTTGGAATCAATTTTTTTAATCAAAATTTTTCAGCATTCTGAACCTTTTTTTGATATAAAAAAAGTTCAAAACCATATTTTATGGTTAAATTTCTTGATAAAATGTTCCTCACGAGCTTTTTTTGCGTTCTCATATTTTCTTATTTTATCTCAAATCAAAGAGCTCCTTTTTAACGATTCCAAGTGATAATTTCGAATTATTTCAGACCTCTGCATCCCATTTTATCAGCACTAAATTGCATTCTTCCTTTTCTTTTTGACATTTTTTTCGTTCTCCTATTTTTTCACTGGTAGTTTAGCCCATCCGTCGCCGCGCCCGGATCTCATCATCACCATCATCAGCAATATCCGGTGACGTCATCGACCCATCAGAATCATCCGGGACTGCCGCCGATGTACGCCAAGCGACAGATTTCGTGTGTTCTTTCGTTCTTCTCTCCGTTCTTTTTCCTGTCCTTTTCCGTTCTGTGCTGTTCCTTGGGTCGATTTGAGTTGTTTCGAAGAGTTTTTGTGTGAAAATCCAGAGAAAATAGATCAGTTTTGGACGCATTTAGAATGGGTTAGAGGGACGAGCGTAAGTCGTTTCATGGTCGGGCGCACTTTTTTATCAACCTCTAAGTAGCCGTGATGCGTTCCTATGACAAAAGTTACAATGGAGTTGAAAAAATTGGCGAATTTTAACCTTTGGTCGTAAGTCGTTCCATGGTCGGGCGCACTTTCATAAAAAGCTCAAAAATATTTGGAAAAAAGACAAGAAACAAATTTTTTTTGAAATTTACTGTTGTACCTCGATTATGGATTTTTTTCAATGCCTTAAAAATAAATATTTTCTGAAACAGTAATATGAATTTGAGCTCTCCATTAAATTGCTTCATTCGTGAGACGGTCTGACCGGTCTGCGCTCTCTTTTCCCTCGCCAAACTTGGAAACAGCATAGGAATATGAGAGAGACCGAGAGAAGACAGAAAAAGCGTGTTTTTTTGTTTCAAGTGGCACTCAAATCGACCCAAAAGCTTCATTTCTTTTCATTTTTTGATTTTTTTTTTTTGAGTTTTTTTCATAAATTTTTGCATGGTGTGGTGAGAGCACCAGATTGATTTTATTTTTTGTTGCACCTTCTTTTTTCATTCATCTGTTATTTTCTTGTACTTGTGGGGTCTGAACGTGCTCTTTTTCAATCTTTTTTTATTATTTTTTTCAAAAAAAGTCTAACTGGAATCGTGTTGTGGTTGTGTTGTTAGGAGTAGGAAAAGATGATTTTTTTTATATGTAAGTTTAAAAAAAGTCTCAAGACACTAATTGAGGCTCAAATCTCGGGATTTTTGAAGTTCTGAACGTTTTTTGTAGCTATTTTTCAGAATTATGACAATTTTCAAACTCTCTATGCTCTTCAAACATAGGAAATGAGGTCGTAATAGGTTTTTTAGACTTGAAAAAAAAATTTTCCAGATTTTTAGTTTTCTGGCCATTTTTTAAGATTTATAAAAAAAAATTTAAAAGATTGTTATGGAATATTTAAAGGCGCAGAGACGAAATTCTTCAAAAGGTATTAAAGCAAGAAAAAGGAAAATATAAACTCATGACCTCTCTTGACCTTGTTACACGTGGTCTGAACACAACACAACTATACAAGCTTCATTTTTCATTCCTCTTGCAATTATCTCAGTTTTTAGATTTCTTTTGTCACCCTCAACAAGTGAATCCATGTTCAGAGACCACAACCGGGAGAGCATGACGCAGCCGAGCAGCGGAGGTCGTGCGGGAACCATCGGCGCGGCGCAAGGAACGCAGACGGCCGCCGCCCTGGCCGCCATCCGCGAAGGCCAGGGACATCCGAACGTGGCCCCGACAAGCCCGCCGCCCGTCCACGGCCCCGTAGCCCCCGAAGACGTCAAGCCGAGGTCGCTCCGCTTCACCTGGAGCATGAAGACGACGTCGAGCCTCGCTCCCGAGGACATGATGAGGTGAGGGTTTTCCCAGGACATAGTGTACTCATCCTTAGCCTTAGACATAGTAAAATTACTATTGAAAGAAGCTAAGAATTGTTCTTGAGTTTTTAAGTAACCTATAGGATAGGAATGCGGTTTGAAGGTGAGTCAATAAGGGAAATACAAGAAACGGGAGTTAAAGAGGAGTTAGTGAAATCAGGAAGGAATCGGGCGAAAATCGGGAGATCTTTGACCCATAGAGATTCAGTGGAAACGTTAACATCTACTTCGCTGTGGAAAACTCTAGTGACCACTTAAGAGATCCCTTGGGGACGTTTTGAAGAAGACTCTTAAGTGACCACTGAAACCACTTTTTTAGAAGTCACCACTTTGCGTCTGAGTGGCCACTATAGTAGTTTTAGTGGTCTAATACCACTCAAGCTTCTAAAAGAGGCCGATAAACTTTAGCCACTTAAGAGGCCACTTATCCGAATACTACAGTGGGCACTTAGACGTGAAAACCCTTAAGTGGCACCTCGTAGTAGAAGTCGATTTATTCCATAGGTTTAAAGAATGGGAAAATTGATTTGCAGAGAGATTCGCAAGGTGCTGGACGCCAACAACTGCGACTACGAGCAACGCGAACGCTACCTTCTCCTCTGTATCCACGGCGATCCCAATGCCGACTCGCTCGTCCAATGGGAAATGGAGGTGAGATTAATCTTCGGATAAAATTGATTTCCCCCCAGAAGTTCTAATGGCCTTTCACAGTAAAAATGCCTGTGAGAAAATTGAGAAAATTTGAAAGTTTTTGGCCAAAATTTCAGAATTCCGACGTCAAATTGTATTTTATCCGTAAAGCGCACATTCCCAGGTTTTTTGGCCATTCATGGAAAAAGCCTTTTCGCGAACGTTTTTACACTGAATTTCAAGATCAAAGCAAATTCAAACAATTTCGAAGTCAAAAAAAGCCTGCTTTATCCGTGGAGCGCACTATCGAAATATTTATCCGTGGAGCGCACTATCGAATACTTTTCGTGGCTATTTTTTCACAGAGTCTTTTTTGAACGTTCTTTTAGACTTTGAAATCGAAGCAAATGTTGCGGATTTTTGACGCCAACTAAAGTGAAATTATCCGTAGAGCGCACTATCAAAAACTTGCCGCGGCTATTTTTTCACATAACTTTTTTTGGCCTTTTTTTTCATTTTTGGTTATACGTCGTTTTTTGCTTAGATTAACCGAATTACTCATTTTTTCAGGTCTGCAAACTCCCGCGGCTGAGCCTGAACGGCGTCCGGTTCAAACGGATCTCCGGCACATCGATCGGCTTCAAAAATATTGCGTCGAAAATCGCCCAAGAGCTCAATTTGTAACCCTCCTTCACTTCCCTTCCCCTTCCCAATATTTTCTTTGATTTATTACTATCATCGGCTATTTTTATCATTATTGCAACCGTATCGCCCATCCAATTTTCAAAAAAAAAAAATGTTTGTACCCTTCAAAATTCGAAAACAAAAAATTTTGGAGAAGACGAATCATTTTCTGTGTGCTCGAGGGTCAACACCGCAGCTGCCTTTTTTCACAAAAATATGTTTTTTTTCACCCCTTTCTATTGGATTTTTATAAAATGATTCGGAAATTGTCTCGATTTTTCCCAGCTTGTTTTATTCGAGTCGTTGCGTTGCTGTGTGTGTGTGTTTTTTCTCCTTGGCTTTTTTGGGTATTTTCCGTCTATTTGCACACTTTCTCCTTTTCGTATGATGATGATTGCACAGTTTCCTCCTACAGTAACCCAAATTTTCCTCTCGGGTTTTTTCATTCTCGTCTTTAGTAGTTTCTATCGGGCTTCTCAAGATTATATTTCGATTTTCAACTTGCATATCGTGGTCAGATGTGCACAGAGAGATTATTTTGGGATCCCCCTTGAGGGGCCTTTTCAAGAGCCCTCAAGTGTCCACTTTTGAACAGTCCGGTGTCAAGGGATTGCTTCAGGGATCTTCTTGAAACCTCTTAAGCCCTCCCTTGGATGAGAGCCGCGATAAAAGACGCTTCCTAGGCCCCGAAATTTCTCCAAAATTTATCGATTTTTTGCGCCCGACCTCACCCTACTCTCATCCTTTCCCAACCAAATCTAGTTCCATAGATATATTTATAATTTTCTTTTCCCGACACTGTCATATTTCTGTCCGCCACCATCGAAATCAAATTTTTATCAGCATTTCTTCTTCTTCTAGAGAATTTGCATAAAAATCGGACTTTTTGCTCGATTTTCCGAGCTCTTTTTCCCCAATTATTCGAAGTGAGAAAATGGTTCTGTGATTTTTCCTATATTTTTATTTCCTTCTTTCTTTTCCTTTTTACTACCACACCACACCAACTTGTTCTAATGTCTTCTTTTTTCCATTATTTCGTTTTATTTTGTCAAGGTTCTTCTTTTCATGTGTGGATCGATTACATATTTATTTGAATTCTGAAACAAGAAATATATAATGACTGAAATGTTCGTTTTTCACATAGAAAGTGTACCGACACTTGAAAGAGATTGGAAAATTGTTCAGATATCGAGAGAGCGTGTGATAAGAAGAGGGTTTAGAGATACGAAGAAATTTGAGGTTTTTATACTCGTTTTCGATAATTTTGACTGATAAGAAATTTTCACAAATTTATTCATTTATTTATTTCAATCAAACACGAAAATACAGAGTATTTGAAAAAGACAGATGTTTAGAGAGCGTGGAAAACAGGAGAGTTTTAGAGACGCAAAGAAATTTGAGTCACTTTTTTTCCACAAAGGAAACCTTGGTTTTCGAAACTCTGAGGGACGCCAGAGGGATCACTAGAGGGGTTAGGGAAAAAAAGCAAACCCTATAGGGGAAAGCAATGTGGCCCCTAGCAGGGAACCTACAAGAGCCCCTAAAGTTTTGACTCTGGCGTTCCTAAGTGCGTGAAAAAAAAGAAGAAAAAAAAGAGGAAACTCTCAATTAAAAAAATATTACTAAAATTTATAAGCCATTCTTTAAAGTTTTATCAAAGAAAAAGTTATAAAAAAATCTTTTTCGCCGGATTTTTTTGAGTTTTTTTGCAAAAAAACAGCTTGAAGTATTTTTTTAACGGTCCGTTTTAAAATGAAAAAAGGAGAGAGGAATTCATTTAATGCTTTGATGTCTTTAAAGTAATTTATTCAGAAACTTGAAGCCAAAAAATAATTTTTTGAAGTTTTTGAGGGCCTTTTTTTGAAGCGGTACTTGGTATTTGATTAAATAAGCTGAATAAAAAAACTTATTTTTCTAAGTTTTACAAGCATATCTTCCTATCAAAAATTACCTTTTTTTATATTAATCGTTAAATTTTTTTGAAACTGAAACCGTTTTCAAAATTATGTTTGATCATTTAAGAGGCCTCTACACCGTTCCATTGGCATTTGAAACATCACAACGGAAACGAGATTTTTTTGTCCCATTGGCTTGTCCTTTGTTGCGAAAAAAAAGCGTTGAAATTAGCGCCGATCATTGCGTAAGCCTTATGGAATCCATTATCGTCCCGGTTTTTTTACAGAAAACTTTAAATAAAATATTTTAACGATTTGAAATACATGCACCTTATGCACAGAGGGAAGAGAACGAGAGGGGACTCAACGGCGGCGGAGGCAGTCGACGCCAGGAGCTGCGATGTCCGAGTGGTTAAGGAGTTGGACTTGAAATCCAATGGGCATTGCCCGCGTAGGTTCGAACCCTGCTCGCAGCGAATCTTTTTGCCATTTTTTGTTTCGTATGGATTTCACTCGAAATCAAGGAGAAGTTCAGTTTTAAGTGTTTTGGAGAACGAAACGATCTATTTAGGGTAGTTTTGTTTCGTATTATTACAAAAATGGAAAATGAAGCTTCTTTAAAATCAAATAGTTGAAGAGATGAATTGGAATTGCGAAAATTAGTATTATTCGTCGTTTTTCCACAGCATTTTCCTATCCGGATTTACAGAATCCGAAGAAAATTCAAATTTCCTATCATTTTTGACCCTTTTAAAGCAAATTTTAAGGCAAAAGATGCGAATAGAAACTGGTAGCTGTGATGTCCGAGTGGTTAAGGAGTTGGAATGACACTCGAAGAAGTCAGGTTCAAACCCTGCGGTCAGCAAAAATATTTTTGCCGATATTTCAACAAGGAACCAAGCAGAAATTCAGGTTTTTCGATCAAAATTATTGGTTTTTGGTTCATTTGAAGCGGATATTCAGGTCGAGGAAGGAGAAGACGATCTTCTGAAGATGGCAACAGGGGGAGATACCGGCTTTTTGGCGTCGGAAAATATGACGGAACGATCCCGACGCCGATATCTGCAAAGACAATGCACCTGGGCCGTTTCAACGAAAAATCCTCTTGACATTTCTCAACCGGTTCTTTTTTGCGCCATTCGTTTGGAAATCCGACGGATGTTAGGTTGGTCTGAAGAACGTGGCAAAAGAAAAAAATCGGGAAAAGGTTGGAAATTTTGAGCTTTTTTTCAGAGTTTAAGCTGAAGAAATTTTCACAAAAAAAGTGTAAAAAAACATTTAAAAAAATATAAATTTGGTCATTATCACAAGATTTCAAAATAATAGAGACTTCATTTTCATGGGCATATCTAAATATGGGTTTTTTTACGTTTTTTTGAAATTTTTTTAAACGCTTTCACTTGTTCTCTTCTGTTTGAGTTGGAAATAAAAGAAATTTTCAAAAAATTAATATTTTTTGATGAGTTTTCTGTTTCTACATGATTATTTAATTGTTACACTTTATTCGATCTCGATTACAATGAAATTTAATTTCAAATGAATTTTTTTAAAAAAACGGTTTTTGAGAATGTCGATAATAATTTTTGAGGTCAAAAGTAACGTTTTTTTATTTTTCTATGTGAGGCTGTTTTTCATAAATCAATCGCGCTCCATGGAGAAAAGTCTATTTTTCCATAGTTTGTAGATACGACTTTTTTTCAGGAATTTGTGAGCTATTCTAATTTTTTGTTTTTGAAGTTTGAATGTTCTGAAAGTTTTCTACAGTTGAGAAGCTCAAAAATAGCCTGAAAAGCAACAAAAATCAAAAAAGTCAAGCTCAAAAATGGCAATTTTCTAAAAAATTCCGGGATATTTTCGTCTATTTTTTACCGACTTCCGTCTGATCAAAAAGTGTCTAAAGTTGTAAAACCCTTTTTTTCCATTTATTGTCCACCGAGAACAAGTCTGAGGGAAAAGCTTTCATGAAAAAAGTGTTACAATGGCGGAAAAAAGAGGGGAAAGCCCAATTCGGCGTGAAGGTCGCCACTGGCGAGGAAAAAGAAAACAACAAATAGAAAAACAAGACAAGAAAAGTCTAATTGTCGCCAACGACCTTCCCGTGAGGTTCTTTTGTCGACCCCCTTATTTGTTTCTTTTGTTCCGACCCGAAACGGTTTGCCCATTCTCATTTTCATTGTCTCCTCTCTGCCCGTACTGCGATAGATCATGGGCGTGGCATTTCCAAGCCACGCCCCCATTTTCGCAACCTGAGCGTGAAGCTTAGAACCTGATACAGGTGTCGGGGGTATTTAAATGCCGCGTTTTTGATGTTTCTTCATCCGTTTTTCGCTCCTTTCTTGTCTTCTTAGGCTTCAAAGTAGAAAAATATGATCTTTTCATGCTTCTATTTTCCTTTTCTAGCTTCCTTATTGGAAAAAAAAGCGGCTTCAATTTTTTCGAGAACAAATGCGCTCCATGGATAAACATTCTTTTGAGGCCAAATTTGATCTTAAAATTGGCAATTTTCATTATTTCTGCTTCTCATGAGCCTTTTCGGACCTTCATTATTTTTTTTATTGCTAGATTTTTTCTACCAAAAAGGATATTTTTTCGGAAATCAACAGTTTTCACCTCACTTCACCTTTTAAGCATTTTTTCATGCTCTTAAAATTAAATTTGAAGTTTTTTTTCTTTTTGACGTTACTATCTTGTTCAACCTTCTTCAGGAAACTCGACTTTTAAGAAATTTTCTATCAAAACTTCAACTAAAGCACTAAACTTGATCCCTTCCTCGTACAAACCCTCGATTTTCCGTCTATCAAGCAGTTTTATCAAGAACCTTGCAGAATGAGGACAATCATCGCGACAGCCTGCCTCGTGTCGACGGCCTCGGCCTTCCTGTTCCCAGGACTCGGCGGCGGCGGCGGCGCGTGCTGCGGCGCGGCTCCGGCTCCAGCTCCCGCCTACGCTGCCCCTCCATCCGGCGGTTACGCCGTCGCCCCACCACAGTTCCCATCCGGCGGCTACGCTCAGGCCCCAGCCTTCGGCGGACAAGGCGGTCTCGGCGGCGGCTTCGGAGGACTCGGCGGCGGAAGCTACCAACAGGCCCCAGCTCTCCCAATCGGCGGATTCAACCACCAACTCGGCGGCGGCTACCAACAGGCTCCATCTCTCCCAGTCGGTGGCTTCCAGCAACAGGGAGGATACCAACAAGGACCTTCTCAGCCAGTCGGCGGCTTCCAGCAGCAGCAGGGAGGATCCTACCAGCAGGGACCATCCCAGCAAGTCGGCGGATTCCAGCAGCAGCAGGGAGGCTACCAACAGGGACCAGCTCAGCCAGTCGGAGGCTTCCAGCAGCAACAGGGAGGCTACCAGCAAGGACCCGCCCCAGCTCAGCCAGTCGGCGGCTACCAAGACCAGCAGCCTCAGGCCCAACAGGGAGGCTACCAAGAACAGCAGCAGCAGCCCCAGCAGCCCCAGCAGCCCCAGCAACAGGGAGGCTACCAGGAGCAGCAGGCTCAGGCTCAGCCCGTCGAGCAGCAGGTCCAGGTCCAGGCCCCACAGCAGACCTACCAGCAGCAGCCTGCCCCAGCTCAAGGCTACCAGCAGGGACCCCACCGCAAGGCTCACCGCGCTTAGATCATCCCCATCCCCTCAAACCATCGTCTTTCTTGCCATTTTCTTTCTCAGTTCGCTTTACCTTGTTTTTTTCCTATTTTGCAATGTCTGTTTTATATGAAGATTCGAAATTGAAAAACGTGTCTTGGACAAAAAAAAAGAAAGAAAAACGCATTCAAAACAGCGCAAAAACAGTAATTTATCATTCCGGCTCTTTGGTATAGTGGTTAGCAACTTTGACTGGGGATGAATAGGTTGAAGGTTCGAGTCCTCTTGGTGTTTTATTAGCTTTTTGCAGTTCAATTTTCAACAGGAAATGAAGCATGACTTCCTTTGAAATGATACTGTTTTTGGTATAGCGGATAGAGACCTTGACTGGGAGAAATAGGATGTAGGTTCGGATCCTCTCGGTGTGTTTATCATTTTTGTCATTTTCGATATGCTATTTAATAAAAAGACGATCTAACTTTGCCATAGTAAGGTATAACTATTTGGAAGTTGACTTTTTGGCAAAGTGGATAGCACTCTAGGCTATGAAACATGGTACCAAAGTTCGAGTCCTCTCAGTGTTTTTGCCATTTTGCCAAATGTTTTTTTTTTGAGATTATATCAAAAAGTCGATCTAACCTTTCCATAATGACCTATGACTTTTCGGCAGTTTAGTACAGTGGATAGCACTCTAGGCTATGAAACCTGGTACCAAAGTTCGAGTCCTCTCGGTGTTTGCCATTTTTGCCAAATTTTTTTTTTTTTTGAGATCTTATCAAAAAGTCGACCTAACCTTTCCATAACGACCTATGACTTCTCGGCACTTGGTATAGTGGTTAGCACTCTGGGCTATGAGATCTGGTACCAAAGTTCAGGTCCTCTCAGTGTTTCTATCCTTTTTGCCAGATATGTATAAGGCCTAACCTTGCCATATCAATCTATAGTTCCTTTGCAGTTTGCTTTTTGGTATAGTGGTTAGCACTCTGGGCTATGAAACCTGGGACCAAAGTTCGGATTCTCTCAATTTTTTGATTGAGTTTTTCAAGCCTCAAAATGGATGAAACCATTCATTTTCAAGCATTTTGTTTAGAAGGATACTGATCTCGATGCTTATCCATGTACTTTTGGATGTCGGTTCTCGGGTGATTGGAATGGGAAGTCGCGCAGGCCTGAAGGGCTTTCCGGTCACTTTCGTCCGGCTTCAATTTCTGAAGGTTTGGCTGAAAAATTGGGATTTCGATATGTTATCATACATCCATAAGGGGAGAATATTTAAAATCTGAAAAAATAAGAGAAATTTAGAGAACAGTAGCGCCTTGAAGAGACACCAGAGAAGCAGAAAAACTTTCTTTCACTGGTATCTCTTCAAGAAATGTACTCTCTCACTTGGAAAGGCTTTTTTTTCTTCAAGTCACTGTGGATTACCTAGGAACTTTTATAATTCTGATTTTTAAAAAATGGAGGAGTCGAGAGAGCAGAAGAGCCTGAAGAGACGGCAGAGAAGCAGAAAAACTTTCTTTCTCTGGCGTCTCTTCAAGGAGTGCACTCTCTCACTTGGAGAGGCTTTTAAAGTCACTATGGAGACTTCCTAGGAACTTTTATAATTCTGATTTTCGAAAAATGGAGGAGTCGAGAGAGCAGAAGAGCCTGAAGAGACGCCAGAGAAGCAGAAAAAATTTCTTTCTCTGGCGCCTCTGCAAGCCGTTTTTTCACTATGAAAAATTTTGAAAACCTTATTATATTCCAGATTCAAGATAATAATTTTGTAAAGTTCAATTCTGGAAATATGAAGCGTCCTCTCAATTTTACAACAAAATACTGACGAAAAAATCTTCAAAATATCACCTTTCTACTCCTTTCAGTCATAAATATCCTTCCGGCTTCAGGTCGCAACGACTCGACTCCTTTCAGCGTGTCGTCAAAGCTCATGTCCTAGAAAAAATGTCTCTTAAAAAAAAAAGAACAAGACGAACCTCTTCCGCAGCTAGAAGAGCCGGAGCCTTCAAAATTTCGTCTTTTTGCTTCTGTTCAGCCAATCTTCGAGCTTTCCGACGAATTTCGCGTAGGTACTCTCAAAAATTATAGCTTACGAAAGTGGCCGTCCCTATGTGTATTTTTGCTTTCAAATCTGAATAAAAAAGACTCCTATAGGGACCACTTAAGCTTCAGTGGCTCAGAGGTCAGATCTTAAACCGCTATAGGGACCACTTGAGCTTTAGTGGCGCAGAGGTCAGATCCTAAACCCCTAAAGGGACCACTTGAACTTCAGCCTTTCAGGGAGCACTATAATGGCCCCTATCCCCTTTAGTGACCACTCTTAAGTTCCTAAGTAGGCTTATGGGAAATCAAAGAGAATTTCAAGAAGGTATCACTTAAGGGATCTACTTTTGACTGCTCCCTACGGTGATCTTTCCGGGCGGTACCTAAAATAAATCTACTCAAGTGGAAACTTCAGTCTTCTCTCAAGGGAACAAGTATTCCCTTGAGTGGGACCATTCAAAATTAAATTTCACCACGAAAAACATAAAGTGGTCACTTAAGGGGTCTCAACTTTTCCTGGTCTAAATCCCCAATGTCTACCGTCTCAAAGATCTGGTCCGAAAATCTACCATGATCTTTCTTGGCGATGAGCTTGACTCGACCCAGCTCCTCGTCCTCAGCCACGACCAAGTTATCTATCCTCTCGTAGGACTCGCTCCTCGACAAAAATGTATTATCCGAGTCGCTCCACACTTTTTCGTCCGAGTAATGGTCCACGTTCTTTACAGGCACTGCCGCCGTCTGCGCCGGTCGTTCCTGAGCGATTATGACGTCATCCATCGGTTTATGACGTCATCAATCGAAATATGACGTCATCGATCAAGTTATGACGTCATCAATCAAGTTATGACGTAAACAATCTACTTATGACGTCAGTATTTCAGGTAAGGACCCTTGGAAGTAGAAAAATTTTAAAAGTCAGGTTATGACGCTGAGTGGATAATAATGACGTCATATTTCGATTTTTTTTTTCATTTAAAAAATGATATCATCTGAATAAGAATGACGTCATCAGGAAATCTCAACTCAAAGGGGTCGGGAGTTCCGATAAGATATGAGTAATGTCTTGGAATATGACGTCATTAGGATCCTAAAGTATGACGTCATTTAAAAGAAAGACGTTTTTTTTCTTACATGACGTCAAATTTTCAAAACTCACTTGAGACGTAATTTTCTTCTGACGACCGTTTGGAGAAAGGAGCGGAGCCGGAGAAAGGGCCGGCGGGAGTATTTTCGATTGCTGAAAGGAGTCGAACTTGTGACCTTTTGAGTGACCGGGAAGATCGCTACCAGGTGAGCCATATGGATACACTTACAAATGTGGATGTGCTATCGACACAGGCCAACGGAGGCTTCTTCTTTTGTTCAACGGCTTCATTTGAATGGCCGCTCATGTCGCGCAATATTGATTTCGATTCTGACTTGTCTGAAAATGAACATTTTTCCAGTTATTCATTTATAAATAAGGTGCAAGAAGCGCTAGATTTTTTGGAGAAAACGTGCAAAAAAAATTTGACCGCGATTGGGATCGAACCCGGTTAGGCGAAACGGTAGCCGAACACGCGCAATATTGATTTCGACTCTTATTTGTCGGAAAAGGAGCATTTTTCGATTAATCACCTATAGATAAAGTGCAAGAAGCGCTTAGACTTGTCAAAAAAAAGTGCAAAAAAAATTTGACCACGACCGGGATCGAACCCGGGTAGGCAAAACGGTAGCTAAACACGCCCGCGCTGAGCCAAAACTTGTTTTTCGGTCAGGTTTAACCTGCTAATTTTTCGTAAAATAGGAAATCTCGTAGATCGACACTTCTAGAACTTTTTCAAAATTCAAAATTGAAATCGCCCCCCCCTTACCATTCTTCTTTTTCGCCTTGAGACAGAGAAAAGTGGCCGAAATGAGCAAAATTAAGGCTGGACAGGCATTGAGTAGCCACCTGCTCACCTCTGCCAGCATTTAGAAATGAGAAAAGTATTTTTCTGATAATTTCAAACGTGAGAATAATTCAGACGATCAGATAAGGAAGGGTATAAAAGAAGCGGGAAAGGTGGTTTCGGACATACTATCAACAATGGCAGACAAATCGGCTTACATGTCGGCTGGCGGCTACTCCAGCGGCTACATGGGCAGCAACGCCTCCTCGTCCAACTACCAACGCGAAGAGTACGCCCAGGGCAACAGCGGCAACGCCGGCGCCGGATCCGGTGGCGTCTCCAACCGTGAGTTTGAGAAAGGGGGACTCTGTCGGGCTTCGTAATAGCTCAAGGGGACTCTCTCGGGCTCCGGAGTAGCTCAAGAGGACTCTTTCGGGCTTCCGAATAGCTCAGGGGGACTCTCTCGGGCTTCCGAAATAGACCAAGGGGACTCTCTCGGGCTCCGAAATAGCTCAAGGGGACTCTCTCGGGCTTCTCTTCGAAGTGCACGGCCCGTCTCTGTGCATGCGCCTTTAATATGACGGGTTAGGCGCTCACAGAGACAGGCCGTCTTCGAAAGGAAGGGCTCCGTAGCTCCGTCGTTTCGAGTGGCCACTTGAGCGGCGTGACCCTAAAGTGGTTGCTTGAAACGAAACCAGAAAGAAACGTCCCTGGCGTGTCCGGTCCGCGTTGAAAAAAAATTAGCTTTGGTCTACTCAAAAACTTTAGAAACATAAGCTTTTTACACGGATTTCATTTTGACTTCAACATTTCTCATACCCCCCCCCCCTCCTGGAAAGCCTTTTCTAACTTGTTCATTTTCAGCGGGAGCTCAAGTTTTCAAGGCTCGAACTGACCAATCCGCCTACCTTGGCCCGTAAATCGCATGACGATGCAGCCAACGCCTTCCATTTGCCGTTTATTGTTTTCCGGCAATAAATTGGCAATCAAACCTAAAATTTGGTTCTTTTTTTTCCGAGTACCTCGGCGAAATTCAAAGACTGGGTCTTGTGTTTTGTTGAAGTCTGACCGGTGAGGATGAAACAAAAAAGATCAAAGATGGTAAAAGATGGGAAATTTCGTTTTTCTTCTTGCTCGTCTTCTTGGAACCCTTGGTCTTCGAAATTTCGGCCAGGCCAGCAGGAATGACCCTCTTTGGGACCCCTCTCTCCTTTTTCTACCGGTTTTTACTTTGTCCGAGTAAATATTTGATGTGAAAGTTATAAAAAGCGGTGTACGGAAAATTTCCCTTGAGTTGTGGTCTTGAAAAAACATCCTTGAATCTACTGAAAAGTTTTCAAATCGACTTTTTTTGGAAAGAGAATATTGGTCGATGGAATCGCGATTCCAAAAAAAAAACCAAGATTTCTCGATAGACTTATTTATCTTACTTACTTTCCCCATTCGTATTTTTCTCGGGCAAAGTCGGAAGGATGGATAATGGCTGCTAAAAGGGAGAGGCTCAAAAAAGGCCGCAGAAAGGCAGTAAAAAGGCAGCGAAAGGCAGCAAAGAGACTCCCTTTAACGAGCCTTCATTTTTCTGGGGTTTTAAAGGCTCGAGAAATGGTGGAGAAAGGGAGAGGCAGCAAAAATGGTGCATAAGGGCGGAGAAAATGGAGCAAAAAAGCAGCAAAAAGAGAGCCTTCATCACCCTAAAAGGAACATTTCTATGGTCCTTTATGGACCCTCGGAGGGTCCTTCCGACTTTGCCTATGTTTAATGAAAAACCATTGAACGCCAATTTTTAAAAATGACAACTTTATTTACAAATATCAAAATTCATAAAATTACATCAATCAAGAAAACATAGGTACATCGAATCGAAGCACCTGATCAATATATTGCAGCAAAACTTCAAATTTTAATTTTTCGAAAACTTTTTTTCTTGCTCTAGTATATATTTCTGAAGCATGTGACCCCAAAAAGCGCCGATTTTTTCAAAAATACATATTTATTTACAAATATAAATTAGCACAAAATACAACACAAGTTTACAATAAACATACAGATTTAAATAGATTATTTCTTGTCGCCGTTCTCCTGCGGCTTGGCCTTGATGGCTTCGTTGGCGTTGCGAGTGATCGGAATGGCTCGGCCGCGAGAAGTGGCCGCTTTAGGGGCCTCGATGGCGAGATGGCCGTCGTCGGTCAGAGAGGAACGGACGGCGGAGACGTCGACGTCTTCAGGCAGGTAGAAGCTCCGGACGAAGGACCTGGAATCAGTTTTGTTGAATTGGGTGGAATCATTTTTTTGTCTCAAATTAAGTATTTTCTCAAACAATAGTGGAAATTATTCCATTTTTCGCTCCAGAAACCAAAAATGTACCTCTGAGTAGTTCCGTGCTCGGTTCTGGACTCGTGATTGCCCTCAATAGTCAACTTGCGGCCATCAATGTTGACCTGGAGCTCCTCGGGACGGAAATGCGACACATCCAGCTTGAGACCGTACTTGTTTTCGTCGTTGATTACCTACAACTTGGAAAATTAACCAAATTGCGTTTTAAAGCAAGAAACTGACCTCGCCAACATCAGCAGCCGAGTTGAAGTCCAAGAAGTTGGCGTTTTGCCAGTAGGGCATAACCATGGCTCGTTCCAAGTCGCGCATCTCGCGGAAAACGGCGTCGAGTGGCGAACGGCGGCCTCCGTAGAGCAGAAGAGACATGTTGGCGTTGGTAGAAAGCGGTAGGAAGCAGTAGATTGAGAATATTTAGAAGATTTCTGACTGAATTCCATCGAAAACGCCGCGATTTTATATCGAAATGCGCGTTTTTCGCGAAAAGTCTAGAGCTTACGAGAGTGTGGGCGGTTAGAGAGAAGGTGGGAGAGTGCACGCGGCGGTGAGAGCGCGCTAGACGGTTAGAGTAATTTGCGAAGTGTGGCGATTTTTCTAGAAAACTTCTGCAATCGCTGTACTTTTCGAGCTTTTTCTGCACTTTCCATAGAGAAATAGTGTTTTCGATGGAAAGAAGGGAAAATGATGTTCAAAGTTTCTGGGGTAGAAAACTTAGCGAACTTCGAAGGAAAAGAAGGTTTTGGAAAGTTTGAAAATTCGATCATTTTCAGTGAACGTCGACAATTTATAAATTAATAATTTATATTTAAGTTAAATTAATTTTTTTGATTGCGTTGAAATTATCAGTTAATTAAAAGCTTTGTTTTTGGAAAAGGTGAGGTTAAAAAAATTTTTTTACTTTTTTATCATTTCTAATGATTTGGCAGGTTTATGAGCACAAAAAAAGATTTTTTTCCAATTTATTATGCTTCTTCGATCGTAATTTTTTTTTATTGAAGTAAATTTGCACTATTAAAAATCAGAATTTTTTATTTTCAGACTCGAAATTCGTCGTTATGAGCGTCTGCAGTCCTGATGACAGTTTTGAACAGGTTGGAAACCATCATTGTTTTCGGCTCTAGAATAATTTCATTCAGGATTGGGCTCCGGTGCTGGAGAGGAAAATTACAAAAGAAGCTGAAGAAGCTAATGAAAATGTTAGTTTTTAAAAATTTGATAGTTTTCATGTTTTTCAGGGAGAAAATTCCGAAAGTGACAGATTTTACGATGACTCTGTGGCGGCTCAGAGTGAGGCGAGAGGTTTTTTTCGGATTTTTTTGGAGCCATTTTTTTCAAATTTTTTTCAGAAGAAAATGATTCGATCAACTTGGTGAAGCGCCTGAGTTCAGTGGTGACAGCTGTGATTAAAAGAGGACCCTCTTCAGTTGATAAACTGATTGGATATGCAACAAATCTCATTTCTCAAGTTAATAAATTGATAGAAAAATATCGATAAAGGGCATTTTTAGTCATTATCTTGCGAAGAAAGCGCCGAGGCAGTTATGAAATATTTTGGGAACGCCTTATTCTTGTCCATAACAAATGAGGATGACTTGGAGGAAAGTTCCAAGGAGGCCATTTTGGGCCTATTTTCTTTTTTCTCCAAGGTTTTTTGTTCAATTTTTTTATGTCAAGTTTTTCCAATTATTCAGCTGGCTTTAAACTGTGTGGTTCAAAATACGAGCCGTCTTTTGGATACCGTCTTGCATTGGATTGAAGAAGTTGGTTTTTTCAAATAAACTGCGGTCGGAATTTTTCAGAGACCACTTAGATTTGAAAAAAAAAAGATTTGGAAGTACTTAAAGTTTCTTTTGAAGACCCTAAAGTTGACTTTAATTTCCAAAAAAAAGCTCAATTTTTTCAACAGACCAAAATTTGTATTTCAATATACATGACCCATAAAGAAACTGTTCAGTTTTCCGGATTTTGATATCGTTCAAATAGGGATAATTTTAGGAAAATTGATTTTCAATAATTTTAATGCCGTGTTCAAAGTGATTCCGCAAAATTCAAAATAGCCGTCAGAGAAAGAGAAAGATAACTAAATTTTGGAGGGTCAGAGACAATTTCGCATTTCGCGGAAATTACTTTGAACACGGCATAAATGTTGAAAAATCCAGCTTTCCAAAAGAATAGGGTTTGCAATACTTTACGGGGAAATTCTGCTTGTGTTAAATAAAAATAAATATGTTTTACAAGATTTGTAAGTCAGAAGAGTTTAAAAAAAAGTTAGAATGAGATAAATCGGAAGCTTTTAAATATTTAGAGTTTACCTGGAAATATAAAAAAATCCTTAAGGTGAAGTTTTTTTCAGTGCCTCTATTATAAATATTGTTCATCTCAAACATTTTTTCCAGCTAGTTACCGACTCAAACGCGGGCTGTCGGACCCGAATTTGCCTGCTGATTGGCATCATGATGATGACTTTGACTGAAATGCAAGAATCGGCTCGGACTGACGGACTTCTCGAAGAAGTCGAAGAGCTTCCCGATTTTTTCGATGCCGACGATTGTGAAGGTGCAATTGAGGACCTTTTTTGCGAAAGAATGGCTCAATATCATTTTTAAAATAAGTTATAGTCCTTCCATGTTCTTTTTCTTCTTGGTTATAGGGGTTTATTATTAATCTATTATCTAATATTTTTATCTTCCTAATGGAAAAAAACCTGAAAAAAATGATTATTAAACTAAACAAAAAGCCTTTTGAATTTGAGAAAAAAAAGGTTTCTATTTTTTCTACCTGTATAAATATTATCCTATACTCTTTTTGTCTGTATTTGTCTATTTTTTATTTTTAAAAACCTAATTTCCCTTGAATTCTATTTGAAAACACTCGCGTGTAAAGTTTTTTATTTCCTTCTTCAAAAATATCATTTTTAGAACTAACCTTGGAATAAGAATGAGTAGGTGAGCTTTTTGCACTGATTTCAAATCTAAGCTTAAAAATCTATGCTTTTTTGGATTTGTTGTTTTTACCATGGGTTTTTTTCATAGATTTTTTTAACAAAATTCATGTTTTAGACAACAAAATGAAGGATTTTGGCATAAAAGACGGGGTGATCAACCGTTGGGCTCTGATGCTTTCTAACTGCGTTTTTGGACAGGGTAATAATAATTATTTTATTCCGTTATTTGTAATATTTTTCAACTTTCCGTAACGTTTTTCTTGTTGCCGTGTTTAAAATGATTCCGGGGGTTTCAAAATTGACACGTTATTCGTAAAAAATGATTCCGCGTAATCTGAATTCCGGAAAAATGGGGTCCTGCAACGAATTACGTGACACGCGAAGCTCCAAATTTTGAAATTATTGGAAATTTCAAACTTTCATTTGAAAATTTACCGTTAAAATCACGTATCGTTATTTTGAACGAATAACGCACCAATTTCGAAACTAATTTGAAGAAAAGTAATGTTTTGATTTCCTGAGCAACGAGTTTGAATTGAGAAAATCCTCCATATAGGCCATTCCGCGCTAGCTTGTCACGTTTTTCTTTCCGCCAGAAGGCCAGGTCAAATTTAACCAACTTTCGCTTCAAGACCTTTGTTTCTTGCCGTTATAAAAGCAGAAATTTGATCTAATTTGGTAGACAGTTTTTTGGCGGAAAGAAAAAAGTGACAAACTGGCGCGGAATAGGCTATAACAGCTTTTTTCAACTTCAGACAGATGTGTCAATACAAAAAATGAACGACTCGACAATCAGTAACTAGATTTTTCCCTAATGTGCACTATTTGAAGGTTCCACTCAGGTATTAATTTCAATTCAGAACCCAAGAGTGCGGTCAGCAGCAGTTCACGCCTTCTCATTCTTCAAGTACGATTACGAATTCCGGAATTGTCAAGGCGATGACGTCACTCCCAACAAATGTTAGACCTATTCTGTTCGGATTTCAGATTTTATCTTGTATATTCTCAAATTTTTAAGAACTAACCTTGGAACTAGGATATAGTGTGTTCAGATTTCAAATTTCAAGCAGCTAATTCTACCCCCATCGATATCCTGGAATCTTTAAAAGGGAGGAAAACTGTGCAAAACTATATTCGAGTTAAGACGCTTCAAAAGCTTGAAATAGCTCTTTTTTGATATAACTTGACTTTTTCGCAACCTTTGAATCTTCATAAATCAAAAACGAAGCCTATTTCGAGAATCAGAAGACTAAAAATAGTTACGCAGTTCGTAGTTTTCAATATTTCAGTGATTTCGAAACGTCTTCTCGACGTCGACCTGGCTGTTCGGACCAACGCCATCCGCGCTGTTCACATCATCGACGCCGAAACTGTCCAAAACTTCTTCCATTTGATCGAAGTTTCCGAAGACAATTTGGTAGAAAGATAGATTGGTGCTGATCATAAGAATTTGTAGCTCAGATGGAAATCATGTTGGTCGAGAGACTTGTCTCCAGCGTCCACATGATGTCTCTTTCCATGGCGGACCGTCTCAAACTTCTCAGTTTGTTGATCAGAAGCGGGTCGGGTCGGTTTTTGTGTTCATCATGTTTCTTTGTTCGAAAAATCGATAGTAAAATTGAATTGGCGGGTTTTCGGGTCAATTTTTTCGCGGTTGAAGTGCGGTCAAGTGTATTCAAATGGTCACTTGAGGGTTTTGGAGTTTCACGGCATTCCTAATGGGGTGAGGGAAGGTGAACGAGGCGTCAAAGTTTGTAAATTTACAAAAAAAAAAGTAAGTGCGCGCTTCGGATAAAAGGACTGTGACGTCACAGCTACCTATTGTTGCAAATTAAAAGTATTCAACGGCATGAAGAAAACATTTGGCTGCGTACTTGAGATTTCAAGTTTCGCGCCAAAATTTTTCTGACGTCTCCCCACCCAGGCTTGTGCGAGGGCCGGCCCGTCAACCTCTTGGCCCCCCGGCCACTTCCCAAGCCCGGCCTTAGAAGGGCCTCAAGCAAAAATGGCCGGCCCGGCTCAAAAAAAGCTCAAAAATTTTTTTCATTTTGAATTTTTTTCGCTTTTTTTCAACGAGAAAATTGGAAATTTTATTTTTTTCCTCGTAGAGTTATTAGAAACTATGATTCAACAAGTAAAAAAATGTTTTTTTCGATGAAATTTTTTTCTAAATGAAATTCAAGATTTTTTTCAAAGCTCGGCCTGGCCCGAGCCCGCGCAGGCTTTTTCAAAAAATTGAGGCCCAAAGCCCGGGCCAGGCCGGCCCGGGCCGCCCGGCCTGACGCACAAGTCTGTCCCCACCCCGTTTGGGAACGCCGCGAATTTTTTACCCAGATGTTCTGAAAAACGTTTTTTAGAGCGTTTGAAGTATGCAGAAGTCTCATTTTGCCTTTAAAAATGGTTCTAAGCCTCTGAACTTCCTGCAAATTCCTACTAGAGTCTTTGAAAAATAGTTTTTTTTAGCGTTTTTTGGAAAATAAAAATCAAGAACTGGATCCAAAAATGTTCAAAAAGAAGCTTAACTCTGCACAACAGCCCCTCGAGATATGGACTGTTCAGATTTCAAATATTGACCAGCGCTTTCATGGCTATGGTATCTTTCGTGTCGAATTTTTTTATCGTGCGTTTCGATGATCCTTTAATAGCGCTCCATTTTTCGACTTTCTTCTAAGCCTTCCTAAGCTTAAAAGCTTCCGAGTGTCTGCGTCTCTCTGGTCCCTCACCGGCGAGGTCAGAGAAACATGAAAATAGCACTTTAAAATGAGAGGGTGGCCGGGAGACGTAGAGAGCGCAGAGAAGTTGCGAAAGATGGACCGTCAAGAAAATTTGAGTAGTACTCTTAAAAAGATAACCGAGACGAAAAGTTACTGTAGGCCCGGGGGCGGGGCTAGCTGCTTGAAAAGATCTGGACTTTCTAAATTTTCGATTTTCCAGAAGAAATCCGCCGTCTGATGAGCCGGGACTTGGTGACAAAGTGGACAAAAGCGGCCGCGGAAAGAGTTTCCGGCCTCGCTGATCTGATCGATGTCCGGGATTTCGATCCAAATGACACCCTCGACTCTGAAATCTCCGATTGCGACTCGGCCCCATTCCCGAGTTTGCTTCTGGAGTTCCTCGACCATAAACTCGACGAGTACACCGTCTCCGTCATGGTCAATGTTTCTTCCAAGCCCCCTTGTCAGAACCCTTTTCCCAAACGCCTCCATGCGCCTTTAATATAACAACTTTAAAATAAATTAAAGGCGCATACACAGAGATAGGCCGCGCGCATCGAAGAGAAGGTCTCTGTAGCTCGGAGGAAAATGAAAATCGTGACGCGCGCTGTCTATATCCATTGCAGGCTTGGGACCAATATTGCGCAATGGCCCGTGCGCCTTCAAATTTAAATCAAATAATGGGCTTATTTATCATCTTTTTTCTCTTCCCGGATAAAGTTATAGTCCATTCCGCAGAAAAATTGTCCCCTTTTGTTCTCCGTTTACCAAGTTTGACCAAACTTCGCTTCGAGACCTTTTTCGCAATTTTAGAAGGAAAAAAAGTTTTTGGGATGTTTTCAAAAAGTGACATTATCGCGCGGAACACTATGACCATTTTTTTTCACCTTTCCTTTGTTTTTAGTATTTTTTCAAAACTGATAAGTTCTTTTCAATATCAGTTTCGCTTAGGTCAAACTGTCCATCATGAATTACATCCGGAACAATGACAACAACGGGGAAATCGACTTCGAACCGTTCCTCCGGGATCTCATGGAAATGCCGAGAAGCAAGCTGAAAAAGCTTGGCGTGATTACTCGACGCAATTTCGAGCTTTTCGAAAAGTTTGAAATTAAGAACTTTTTTCAACCATGACCCCCAAGTCATGTTTTTTTCAAAAGTCAGAGAGAGAGAGAGTTCGGTTTTTTTTAATTTTCATTTTTTTCGATCATATCAATCAAAAAAACAGCGTAAAATAATAAAAAAACTATGAGCAAATGACAGTTTTTTTCAGAATTAAACCAGATTTTTGCTTGGTTTTATTTGAATTTTTCAAATGGAAACGGCAATAAGCCGTTTTTTGAAGGTTAATGAGGGTTTTTTTATTCATTTTCTCTTCCAACTTTCCAAGAGAAAACTGCGAATAAGTGTCATTTTTGTACACAGGCAAAGTCCAAAATGTCTCAAAAAGGAATTTTGGAAAAAGGCCTCAAAGAAGCCTTTTTTCCAGACCTTTTCTCCGAAAAGGAGATGTAAAAAAAGAAGGCGTGAAAAATATGGCAAAAAGGAGATTTCGAGAAGTTTTTAACACCTTTTAGAAACTCAAAAATGAGCAGCCTCTTCTTTTTTGGGCCTTTTTGAGGTCGTTTGGGCTTTGCCTATGCGAATTTGCTTTTATTGCAATATTTCAGCGACGACGAAGGAATAGAACACTGGCTGAGGCGAGTCTCCCTCCAAACTTTCTTCACCAAACAACTCCTCGACATCATTTTCGACGTGAAAACGACCCAAACCAACTCAAAAATCGTCCGAAATCGCGCCGCGTTTTTCTTCCTCCCCGACGCCGTCCAACTCCTCGGAATGACCAAAGAGTTGCTCGCCGACTTTTCCATTTTTCATCCAAAATTTCAGTTTTTGCTTGAAATTCCTGCGGCCTGAATACGCGGAACATAGCTCTTTCCTCGAAGCGATAATTGTCAGATTGATGGGTTTTGTTGGCAATCTTCTCAACGAGGATAACGAGGAGTTTGACAGGTTTTCCTTCAGAAATTCCAGAATTTTAACGGTTTCGTTCAGATTCTGCTTCGTAACCGCCTTGAAAGAGATCGTCTCTGAAAAGGACCTTTTTTGCACCCTGGACCTTCATTATTTGATGGCCAACCTGTTGATCGACCTCTGTTCGAATAGGCAAAGTTTTGAGGTAAGCGGGGGGGGGGGTGAGTATGAAGCGAGTTTCGTAATACGTAGTAGATAGACCTCAAAAGGACGCATAAAACAAATATGAGGTTTTTCGGAAAAGAGTTTTTTTATACTGAAAATGGTCTATTAGTTTTTTTGGGGGGCTGATAAGAAAAAGAAAATCTTTCTTTCTTTTTCAAATTCTAAAAAAATCGGTAATTTTGTAACGGCTGAAGATAAACTCTGAAACTTTTGAAAATTCCCAGATTTTTTTAAGCGAATTTCTGATCCAATACGGACTGAACTGTTTATAAAAAAACGACAGAAGCTTGAAATTAATAATTACCTTCAAATTTTTTTCAAGATCTCTCAAAATGAGATTTTTTTCGCAACAATGTTTTTTTAGTGAGAAGCCTCTATCAGTTTCTTTTGGCGGGGGGCGGGAGGGGGTTGTGATAAGAAAAAAAGAGAAGAATTTTGGAACGGCGAAAGAAAAAAACTCTTTTTGAAAGCGAGTCAAGCCAGAAATAAAATTAAATCGCGTGCTTGTTGTTTTTCAAAAGTCCCACTAGGAGTTTGAAGATCTAAATTCGAATAGATCTTTCCAGGAAATCAGCGATTGGATCTGCTACACGGTGGGAGAACTGCTCGGAGACGAGGACGAAGACGAACTGGAGCCGCTTCGCGATGTCGCCGACGCGATGTTGCGACGCTGTGCCGTCCTCCTCCAGGCCCTCCTCGAACGCTACAAAGTCACCGGCGTCTCGACCCTCCTCAAAGTCGCCGTTTTCCGAATCGTTTGCGAAAAAAAAGCCTGTATTCCAAGGCTGATATCGGCTTCTAGGTGACCCCTTTGGTGGACCGTGGCCCCCAGGAACTGAAAATAGAGGGGATCCTGCTCGCGGGGGCCCTGATCAACTGCGATTTCGCCTCCACTTCTGTCCTTTTTTGCGCCCTCCAGCCACTGATGAAAAGTGAACATGACGCCGTCAAGGTGTTTTATTAGGAATGATTTTTTTTTTGATCATTCAAAAATAGTATCCTTGTTTCAAAGCAATAGTTATGAGAGAAAAGTCGAAATACAAAAATTCAGTTTGAAAATTTCAACAGAAGTATCGAATGACGTCAGAATTTGTGAAGGCTTCTATTATGGAAATACGTTTTGTTTTTAATGACGTCATCTAAAACTTCTCGCTCTCTAATTGGCCCCCTTGAGAAATGAATGACATCAAAAATCTGATCTTAGGAATTCCAGAGTGGTCCCTATAGGGGCCGAAAAACTGGCCCCTGTTAGGGTTTATAGTCTGATCCCTTAGCCCCTACAGCTCAAGTGGGCCCTTTAGGGGTCTCTTAACGCCCGTTTATTGAGTTTTTTCCATGGAAATGCTTCTTCGCTTAGCGTTCTGAACCAGCGTTGAAGAACAAGTGTTGACTAGCATATCTCCTAAAGGAGTCACTAACTAAAAACCCTATAGGGATCACTTTTTCAAGCCTCAGTGGCCCCTATAGTGGTTGGTAAAGGGCTCCCTAAAAGGGACGCTTCAAGGGCCACTAAGCCCCTATAGGGAACACTCTGGAGTTCCTAAGATACTCCAGAGTGCAAAATTTCAGGAAGCTGGTCATGATGCATCATGAGCGATTTTTTTTTTTCTAGCCCAAAGCTGAATTTTCAAAGAAAGTCCTTTTGAGAGCGCCGTTCTCCACGCGTTGAAAAACGTGATCGTCCGACACGGGTTCGACAAGTCTTCCCTCGCTTTCCACTGCGCCATCGACGAAGAAGACGAGAAAGAGACGTTCCGGGCCGTCGCGACAAGCATCGAGCAGTGTGTGGAGTCTCTGGTCCGTGTAGATTGAAATGTTCCCGGATAAATCCGTCCTTCAGAGCGGATCCTTCTTGGCCCAGGCGTTTTTCGATTCCCTTCGCATTTTCGCCAACAACAAGCTCTGTTGGACCTCGCTCATGACTCTTCTTCTGGAAAAGTGAGTCGATCTGTACTTTTGTCTGGAAAAAGTGGGGAAGCTTCTGCTTTCGGTTCCTCGGAAGGCGTTTGGAAGCTTCCCAGCAAGTGGTCGAACCCCTTCCACATAGCTTCCCAACACCTTCTACTCAGAAAAGCCTGCCAGAAGCTTTCCAGCAGGCATTTTCCATTCTCATCATCCAAATACCTTCCGAACACCTTCCAAAGGCTTTCCCAACACCTTCTAGCTACCCTACCTAACAACCTCCTGCTGGTTACCTTCCCAGGATTTGCCTGAGTTCCAACTCTTATGAAAACACGTGTACTTATTGATGCTTCGAGTAGGTCAGAATGGCCGCTTAAGGGGCGGAATCTGAGAAAACCTTCGTTTTTTCAAGATGGAATAGAATTTATCAAGAATCATTTGCTTTCTCGCGAATTTTCGAGGTGCCTTTTAACTGGCCGTTTGAAGATAAATTAAACGTAAATTCTGAAAAAAAGTGACAAAAGTGTTCACCATTGAACGAAAAAGTCGACGAACCATTAAATAAGTAAGTATGAATAGAGAAAAGTTTGTATTCTTACGTTTTTCACCGGGTTTCGCTCTAATATTTCCTCTTTGGTGTTAATTCTCAACCACTACAGAAGTTCAAAATTGAATTCTGCTCCTTCGACTACAATAAAATCTCCTTCTAGGGCTTTTGACCGCCAGAATTCCCGTCTGGGCCTCGAGCGACTTTTGGAGTTGTTCTGTGAGAAACACACCTTGACCTATGTTTCACGGTAATCGAATAGGTATCCTTTTTTCAAACAGCCCCATATTCAGATTACGCCTCGCTCACTCGTTTGCGAAATGCGTAGCGAAGGTGGAAAGTCTGGAAAGTTTCCAAGAACGAATCAAAATGGTCGATTTGGCGGCGTTCGTCTGTCGCCACGTTTCCAAGGAAGATTCTGTTGGTCCAAGATTCGAAAAAACTCGAAAAAAGATTATTCGCAGACCACAAAAACCTTTAAAGAAAAAAAAATTCGGTTATCGTTTGATTTTTTTTTCCCCTTCATGGTATCCCTAGAAGCTCCAGAGGAGTCCTTGATAGGTCCCCTATAGGGGCAACTTTGCCTCCCCCTATGAAGGCCACTAAAACTTGGGTAAAACTCCAAATTTGACTAAAAAATCTGAAGTTGATCAGTTCCAAATGGATCGTTAGATTTCTAGAAGCTCCAGAAGGGTCCCTATAGGGGTCCTCGATAGTTCCCCTCTAGGGGCCACTTTACCTCCCCATCTAGGGGTCACTAAAGCTTGCAAAAGTGACCCCTATAGGGGATATAGTTTAATGGTCAGATCCTACACTCCTATAGAAACCACCTAACTGCTGTTACCACTATAGGGACCACTTTTTTGACTATTTTCACCCCTACAGGGACCACTCTAGCGTTCCTAAGTCAAATTTGATCGTCTTTTTCTCCAGGAAGACGTCGCCCCGCAGAAACCCTCTGCGGTCGCCCAACTCGTTGATCTCGTTCTGAACCTGGCCCTCGAAGCGCCGTACTCGCAGTTCTTGAGGCCGGTGTTGACCTCCATGGCCAGCTGTCTTCGCCTAGGCCATCTCAAAGAAAATGCTCTCAGCGATCTTTTGGCGAAGCTCAAGACTCTTTCGAAAGTATACCGAAACTTTTTCGAGCCCTAACTCGTTTTTTTCGACTCAGTTGGTCGCGAAAGAAGGCTCGAGGTCGACTTTCGACGCCTGCAAACGGCTCGCCGTCGCTTTTTCCAACGCCTTGGGCCGGTTTGAACGTCTTGACGAGCTTGATGTTCGTCTTCAGCTTCATTTCTTGACGAATTAGAGAGAATTAGTGGCCACTTGAGGAGTTTAAAGAGAGCTCTCAGATTTTTTTTTTTAAATCTTCTAGTTCCTCTGACTTCAGCTATCCACGGAGCCTTTTTGAATGACGTCATTGTACCTAAAATTCAAAATCTGAACAGACTATAAGATTTTTGGCCTAAAATAATCGAAAAATGATCATATTTATTGAATAGATGTTCTTACAGTTCAACAGCGATACGGACGATTCTTGGACGCCTCCTTCCGTTAAATCTTCTATAACTCAAATAGTTAAAGGTTTTGAGTTTTGAAAAAAAAAAATGGACAAACCATGGGCAGACCATTTTTAAAACTACCTCAAGTTTTCCTGGATTGAAGTTAATACTACCTCTCGGAGGCTAAGACTTGTATTACCGTGAGGTTGAAACTTGATTTTTTTTTTCCCCAATTTCTCAAAATTCTTGTATTCCAAGCCCTCCTCCCGAGCCAAAGAGTTCTGTACTTGCCTCTATGACCATTAAAAGTTTCCATAGGTTGATTTGAAACCTTTTATCAATTTGTTTTGTTTGGAAGCTTCTTGGCTTTCAGAAAAAGGCTACAAAGTGTAAAGAATGTTTTCTGAAACTCGAAAAAGAGTTAGTCCACTGAAACTTCGCTGAACCTAAAATCTTATTAAACAAGAAAAAAATTGAAATCAATGAAGTAAATAACAATTTTCAGGTTTCTCAATTTTCAATTTTCAAGAAAATTTCGTTCCTTTTCTTTTAAAAATTGACCCAAGTTTCAACTCTTAAATATTTTTCTTCTTTCAAGGTCCCGAAAGCAACGACTTCTCCATGCTTTTACATGACGAGGTTTTGAATTGAAAATCTCGCAAAATAATGGATTTTTCAGCTAAAAATTGAAAAGTCGGATGATGTGGAGATTGAGAGCGCGGAAAGCGATGAGGAAGATTCTGTGAGTTTGAGTAATGAGATGGAAAAATACAAAAATTTGATATCTAGAGCCTTTTTTTTCTATAAAAGAAGACATTGTCGCTTTTTTCTATCAAGAAAAGTGTTTCCCAGCACTTTTGAAAAAAACTGAAGAGCCCAATTTTTACAGTAGATCCAAACTCTACATCATTCTCTTATTGATTAATTGATCTGCAGAGCGAAAACCTGATCAACGGAAAAAGGCCGTGGAGATGGTCGGCGGTTGAAGCCGTCAAACGGATCCGTTTGCAGAAAGTCGACAGCCAAGAAAGCTGCTCGAATTGAGAAAAAAAAAAACGATTTCTAGATGATGTTTTAGCTTTTTCATGCTTCTATTTCCGTTTTTTTTTGTCTGTGCAATTTATTCTAGAAAGTTCTACTGTGATATAGCCCAGATTGTCACGATTTCTTTAGTTAGAGAACCCTTCTCTTCGATGCGCGCGGCCTGTCTCTTTACATGTGCCTTTAATATAACAGGAGGCCAAATTAAAGGCGCAGGCACAGAGAGAGCCCTCACGCTTCGAAAAGAAGAGCTATTTTTATTGAGATCTTAAGAGGAAGATAGTTTTAGTGCTAATTAGGTCATCTAAAATGTTTCAATAACAAAAAATAGATTTATATGGTCCTTTTTATTGAATGATCGAAGTTTTTTTCATTTTTGGGTGTTGAGATCTTCAAGATTTCTAATCACATCCTCCTTTAACCGATTTTTTGAACCTGTAAGTAACTTTGAAAACTAGATTTTTTTCAATCTTCAAGCTAATAATTTCTCTAGTAGAATCATTTTGAAAAAAAAAAATTGATAGTCTATATTTTTGTTCCGTGAGATTGCATGTCATATTTTCCAATCTTGTCAATTACCCGTGTAAATGTGAGCTGTAAATCATTTGTGCTGTAGACTTTATTGTTTTTTTGTTGTGAAAAGAAATTTTCGTTTTCTCTTTATTTTCTTTGTTTCGAAAAAGGTTTTTCAACGGTAAAGCGTGGTGACGATACTTAGGAGCTCTAGAGTGGTCCCTTAAAGGGACCACTTCACCTATTTCTATAGGGGCCACTGAAGCTTGCAAGAGCGGTTTCAGTCAGTTTTTCGAATGAAGTTAAAAGACTATCGATAAAGCGTCTCAAGAAAGATGGGATATGCAACAGTATTTCTGATATCTTATAGAGTGGAGTTACAAGCTGAAACAAATATTCCAGAAGCTTCCTGATGAAGCTCAATAAAGCTTATACCATTCGAAAGATGACATCAAGACGAATCGATTGATATAATTAGATAAGCTGTATCTTCTCTGGGAGCCGAGATATAATCCTCCAAAGTTTCTCTAAAAAATAAACTTGCGCGTCAGATAAATTGCCTCGACTGAGGTTGCGCGTCGGGTCAAGTGCCTGTCTGAGGCTCTCATCGGTGTGGTTTCCTCGCGAAAAAGGAAAAACTCAAAAAAAAGTTCGTCTTTTTCACCTTTTTTTAGTGTAATCGATAGAGCAGCTTCTATATGATACTGTTATCATATCAGTTTCGAGGGAAAATATCAAAAATTGGTCGAAAAGAGGTCCGAAAAAAAGGCTTTTTTTTTGGGTTTCAAGCTTCAAAACTTAGTTCATTTCGAAGTTACAGCGGAACTGATTACATCAATCGATTCGTCTTGATATCAGCTTTCTAATGGTATGAGTATTTGAAAGTTTCCATCAACCTCGATGACGTCACAGAATTTTCCAGCTTACGTCCCAGCTTCTCCTTCGAATCAATTATAGCTATTACCAATGGATAGAGCGTCTTAACGCGGATTTAATTATGTATCAGTATTTCTGATATCTTATCACAAAGTTGAGTTACAAGCTGAGACAAGTCTGAAGCTTAGATGAAGCACAATCAATTGTTGACTTATATCATTCAAAAGCTGATATCAAGACGAATCGATTGATGTAATCAGTTCCGCTGTAACTTCAAAATGAACCAAGTTATGGAGCTTGAAACCCTAAAAAAAAGCTACTTTTTCAGACCTTTTTTCGACCAATTTTTTGAGATTTTCCCTCGAAACTGATATGATAACAGTATCGTATAGAAGCTACTCTATCGATTACACTAGAAAAAAGTTGAAAAAGACGAACTTTTTTTTGAGCTTTTCCTTTTTCGCGAGGAAACCACACCGATGAGAGCCTCAGAAAAGCGCTTGACCCGACGCGCGATCTCAGTCGAGACAATTTATCTGACGCGCAAGCTTATTTTTAAGAGAAACTTTGGAGGCTCATATCTCGGCTCCCAGAGCAGATACAGCTTATCTGATTATATCAATCGATTCGTCTTGATGTCATCTTTCGAATGGTATAGGCTATCAAATGCTTGAGCTTCATCCAGAAGCTTCAGTCTTCCCTCAGCTCATAACTCGAAATTATGATAATTTATCAGGAACTTAAGTATATGATTATAACCGTCTCGAGACGCTCTACCAATTTGTCATCATATCGTTCAAATTGAGGGAGAAGCTGAGATGTAAGCTAAGAAAGTCTACGACGGCCTGTAAGCTCATGGAAACTCTTGAAGTCCTATATCATTAGAAAGCTGATGATGCGCTGATTCGACTGATATAATCAGTTTCTTTGTAACTACAAACTGAACAAAGTTATGGAGCTTGAAAATCTGAAAATTGCGGTTTTTTAGACTCGTTTTTCACCTCATTTTTGAGCTTTTTTTCTTGAAAGTGATATGATAACTCTACTATGTCGAAGCTACTCTGTCGATTGATCTATTTCAATCCTCAAAAAAACGAACCTTTTTTTGAGCTTTTCCTTTTTCGCGAGAAAAGTACACCGCGGTGCAGGTCACCAAATGCATTTTATCTGACGCCTATTCAAATTTTAATTAGGGACTTCGGAGGCTTATATCTCGGCTCCCAGAGCAGCTAAAGCTTATTTGATCATATCAATCGATTCGTCTCAGTGTCATCTTTTGAATGATGTAGCCTATTTATTGATTGATCTTCATCCCGATGCTTCAGTTTCGTCTCGATTTGTAACTCAATTCTCGGATAATTCATCAGGAACTGAACTATATCGTTGGGTCCGTCTTAAGATCGGTTGATATCAATCCAAACTAATTTGAAGAAAATTGGGATGACGTCATGATATTTTCACTTATCGATATATCTCTGAAAAGAAGGTTTTATTAATTATAATACATTTTGAAAGAACGGAAACAATATGCGAACCGTGTCCCGTGCAAATACTCTAGATACATCTATGAAGGACAAATAAAATATATAATTTTCATAAGGACACGACTCGAAGTGAAGAAAATGAGCAAAGTGAAATATCTGTAGTAGTGAGCAATCTGAACACAATATGGACAAGAAAAATATAGGAAAATTTCTGATTAAATTATATTAATTGATGTTGGCGGTGAGCATGGCTTTTTGTGATTCCATCACGGCGCGAGGTGTCGCGCCTGAAATTGATTAATTGATTAATTAAATAGAATCATTTAAGGACTCACTTAACAAAAATTCGACGCGGAATCGTTCCCGGGGGCCCAACCGCGACGCGGGCTCACACATCAGCTGTCGGAGCTGAAAGAAATGGAATATTTGGGCAGAATTATAACTTTTAGAAGTTTGAGGACAAGAAAGATATAAATCCAGTCGATTTTTTATTCAGGAATAAATCAATTTTTAGGTTTATTGAGGTCAAATTTTTCACTCCATATTGGTCTCTTAGAGGCAATCTAAGGGCCCTTCAAGGTTCCGCTCTAGGGACCACTTCACCTCCCCCTACAAAAGCTTAGTTAGTGGCCCCTATAGGGCGCTTATTCTTTTTTAACTCCATGAGAAGATGCTTTTTCATGCGAAAAAGTTTAGAAATTTCTCTTTTTTCGAATAAAAAATATCAACGGAAAATTCATCAACTTTTGTTTTTTTTTTTAAATTTTATATCTGAATAAAAATTAGATGACCCCTATAGGGGCTACTCTGGCGTTCCTAAGTGGTAACTTCAAAATTTTTTTAAGTTGAATTTTTTCAGGGTGCGGTTAAAACAGGATCGCCTTTGAACTCTTGCAAATTTCAGGGTTTTTCGAGTCCTTTTTTTGGTATTTCAGTTCAGAAGATGTTATCAAGGTTTCCTCAAGAATTTTCTTTGTCCAAACTATAGATTCCTGATTTTTTTGATGATTGAAAAAATTAAACTCTGCTTCAACTGGTCAACTAATTATTTTCCGTTTTTCATGAATTCAAATTTTCAAGTAATACTTCTTCAGATCTCTATAGGAACGTCCTTAGTGGTCCTAAAATCCAACTAATCCATTCATAAATATACTATTCCTTTCTGAAATAAGATGCGAACCAAGCTGTCGATGCACTCGGCCCGGGCCATGTCGATCCAGACGCGGGCCTCCTGTTCGTTCTTGAAGTGCTCGCCGCCGGACCAGAGCGAGAGTTCCAGGACGTTCTTCGCCTTGGTCAGACTGCTCGACTTGTCTTCCTGGAGCAACACCGCGCAGGCCATCAAGGCGCGCGAAAATCGGGACCTCAAACATTTTTTCATTTATACATCCATCAAAAAGGCAGAAAAGCTTCAATACAAGCTAGGAAATTTTTTCAAAAAAACTGAAAGAAAAATATCAAATTTTCGGTGATCTTTCTGGAGTCGAAGGTCAAAAAATAGTTATACTGAGAATAAGGCTGTTAACCATTTCCTAAAAAACTGATTGAAAAGTCATTTTTTGATATTTTAAAACGGTCAGAAATGACAATTTTCAATACTATTGCTAACTTAAAAGACTCGAAAATCTTTTTTAAAAACAAAAATTTCTACAATACCCTCCTTTCGGACTTTAAAAAAACCTAAAAATAACAATTTTTTTGAAGCGGGGGAACAAACTTTCTTATTATGATAAAAAGCAAAAATGTTTCTCTTAGAACAGGAGTCGAACTCTTGACCCTTCTGACTTCGTTTAAAGTAGCTACCAACTACGCCATCATCCACCACGATTTATGCAAAGTTTACAGGGTAAAAAGAACCTCAATTTGATGGGCGGAGCCCGGCCATCCATCCTATGATGAAGCAAGGTGCACAGAGCCCTCAGGGCGTACCGGCAAAGACCCACAAGTTCATCTCCGCCGCTTTCGATCTCGGCTCCGAGGGTCTCCTTAAGGGAAAATAGTCATTTTCTTTTCGAATCCCCTCGAAAAACCGGCAAGAACAAAAGACGCGGGAACTCGTTGAAATGCGCCGGAGTTTCCATCGTCGGGTACCTGTAGGCGAGGAGGAATTCCTTGAAAAGTTCAATTTTCTGGGGAGGACTGCCATGTAGGAACCTTGAAATTGGTGCTAAGGCTTTCGACGCCCTCGCCTTGGAGCATCTTCAGCGCCGAGAGCAGTTGCAACAGGATGAACGAGACGAGTTCTTCGTGGAGGCTTCTCTCGATCCTCTGGCAAGGCAAGTTGAAGATTGGACGAAAAAGGGAGATTTAGGAACTCCAGAGTGGTCCCTATAGGGGCAGCCTTAGGGACCACTCTACCTCCACTAGAGGGGCCAATAAACTTGCAAAAGTCGTCGCTATAGGGTTTCTCGGTAGTGACCACTCTAGGGAGGCATGATAGTCAGTTTTTGCGCTTATTATTTATGGAAAGATCAACAGAGAAATAACCGATCCAGTTTTATCAAATTTTCAATCCATCACAAAACCTTCAAAGACCCTTATAGGGACCACTTGAGGTCTAGGGGCTTACGAGCCTGAACCCCTATAAAGGCCACTTGAATTTTAACCCTTTAGTAAGCTTTTCAGACTCCATATAATGACTACTGTTTCCCCTAACCCCTTTAGGGATCACTCTAGCTTTCCTAAAGATGATAACTTCTTTGAAAATATTTTTTCAAGCTTATTTCAGCTTAATCTCGACAAGTTTTTTCTAATCTCAGCTCATGACGCAAAGGGGCGTGGCTTGTATCCAGACACTATCTCTTTTCGCGTCGGGACCCATTTTTCGACGGCTCAAGCTCTGTTATTAATAAACCCTTTCTGAAACATGCATTCCATCCAAAACCTGATTCAACTGATGAGCAGCGAGGGAGTGGAAGGAACAGAGATTGAGGCGGGGCATGGCGATGACCTTCAAAAAATCGATAAATTTGATTTTTTACAAAATTGAACCTTGGTATTCCGGCCGTCCAGGTTCTGCGTTCCGGTATCGTACAAGAACTGTTTGATGGCGCCGTCGTGATCTTCGATCTCCAGGAAAGCCGGCAATTCGAACTGGTTCGACTCGGATTTTCGCATCAAGGGAGCATATTGAGAGCAGGGAGCGATCTGGAAGACAGTTCTTTTTCCTTTTTTTTTATCCAATCGGCCTCACTTGCAAGGTTCCAGAAACTAAAAAAGGGGCCTAAAAAGTTATTTTTAAAGAGAAACTTTCCAAAGTCTGTCCAGATTCTGAATGTCAAGAAAAATGACGTCATTAGGAAACGCTCTCTGAATGGTTCATCCCACTAGGGGGCGGAGCTTGAGCCTGAGAAAATTCAAACAGACTATAGACTCAAATAGCGTTGTACTTGCCCACGTATGTTTACAAATGATTTTTTTTTCAGTCTTTGATTTCAAACTATCTATTAACATTCACGATAAGAGTGATAAGGAAGTCAGTGGAATCAGATTTTCTTCTAAATTCAGCCTAGGCCTTCAAAAAAGCCAGTGAATGATTACGAATGAACTATGCTATCATGAGAGTGTCAGGGAAGTCAGTGGAACCAGATTTTCTTCAAAATTTAGCCTAGGTATTCAAAAAAGCCAGTAAATGACTATGAATGAACTTTATCTACCATAACAAAGACTGAAAAGTCGGTGAAACTAAATATTTCTTAAAGTTCAGCCAAAATCATCCGAAAACCCAGTAAATGACTATGAATGAACTGTATCTACCATAACAAAGACTAGAAAGTCGGTAGGACCTTCTTTGAAAATCCAGCCTTGAAAACCCCTATGACTGACTATACTAACCATAAGCGTGACCGGAAAGTCGGTGGCGCCAGATCGGGGCAAGACGGCGTTGTAGAAGAGGCTCTTGCCCTTGGTGAGGATCGGATGGGGCGACTGGACGATGAAGGAGGAGAAGTCGAGCTGGGCGAGCCGGTTCCGGGACACGGGCTCTTCGCCTTTCCGCATCTCGTCGCTCAGCTTGTCCGCCACGATCGTCAGCGTGTGCACGTGCGAGAGGGCCATCTGAACCGTCTTTAGTCAGAAAATGGAAGCTCCTTGATGAATGAAGTTGCAACATCTTCAAAAAGCTTCCAAGAACTTGAAAAAGGGGTTCCTGACTTCAAAAAGCTCTCAAGAGCTTAAAAAAGCGATTCCGTCCTTCAGTAAGCTTTCAAGAACTTCAAAAAGCTTTCAAGAACTTCAAAAAGCTATCAAGAACTTCAAAAGCTTTCAAGAACTTCAAAAAGCTTTCAAGAACTTCAAAAAGCTATCAAGAACTTCAAAAAGCTTTTAAGAAATCAAAAAAAGGATGCCAGGTCTCTCAAGCGAACTCTAAGGCTCAAAAATACGTTTCTTCCGCGGTAATTTTCATAGTTTGTTTGATTTTCAAGCGTTTTTCTCTCTTTGACGCCTTCAACCCGAATTATTTCTTTTATTCCGCGATCCATTCCGGTTCATTTTGAGCGCATCTGAACCGTTTTTTCGGGTTCGATTTTTCCAATGAACCCTAAATTCGAACTTTCAAAGACAAATAACAGGAGAAAATTCAGTTTAAAATAATTTTAAAAAACTCAAAAATACGTTTCTTCCGTATAAAATTCAAAAAAAAACTTTCAAAATTTGAAGTTCAAGTGAAGAAAATGCATCGCTTTCTCAATTTTCTGTTCTTTATTCAATTTCTTTTTTTTTACCTTCGGATTATTTCTGGAAAAAAATTCGAGTGACACTATGTCCAAAAAAAGAACGGTAGCTTTTTTTCTAGTTTTCCTTTAAAAATTTCTGTCCAAAAAAACTACCAATTTTTCAAAAAAATTGAAGGTAAAAATGGATCTTAATATTAAGAAAAAAATATACATTTAAATAAAATCGTTCTACGTATGTCAAAAATTCATTAGAATGAAGATTCTCTTACCAAATTTTTGAGGAATTATTCTATTTTCCTATTTTGAAGAGCATTCTTTTATCCTTGACTTTCGAATTGCTTTTTAAAATATCTTCCAGAAAACGAATTCTCCGGCCGAACCTGCTGGAAATGCTTGTAAACATTGTCGGTGGCCAAGTTCTTGGGCGGATTCTGAATGGGCGGACTCTGGAGAGGGCTCTGAAGTCGACTTGGGCCGATGCTCTCGTGGGACAGGAAAATCGGGATCGACGAGGTCCTCGGCGGGGATCCTGAATCATGATTTATAGAGAACATCTGTCTATTATCAAAAAAATAATAACTCCCAGAAAAATCTTGACCGAAACCGTAAACTACAGGAAGCTCAAATCCTGTCTTTCGAAGCCAAAAGAAAATATTATGAGATCGAAAATTCGCAGTAAAGGTCAAAAAAAGCTCAAAAATGCTTGAAACCTGTTTTTTGAAGCCGAAAAATGCAATTTCAAAAAAGGCCTGTCTGCGCTCTCCACCAACCAGGCAATATCTCTTTTTCTTATCGTGTCAGGACCCCTTTTTCTAAAGCTCAAGCCAACCGTGAACAATGACGCCAACCAAACTTCTACAGCTCAAAGATTGGAATTCTCAGGAGAAGTCAAGAGGATGCGTGGGCCCCGGGGAAAGGGGGGCTTTTTCCTTCGAATGATCGTACTAGTTGTCACCCCCGGAAGCCACTTCACATCACAACTACTCAACACAAACAGAACAAATTCCTCGGCGGAAAAAATAGCACGAGTAAAACACGAAAAAAGGGTGATTCATAATGGCTCTATTAAAGGCGCAGAGCTTTTCGTTTCGATTCCTGATCATCTTAAAAACGAATGGTCCTTTAAATTTTATCTCTTAACGATTCATCGTTGGTTTGAGCCAATACTTCCAAAAAACAAAAATAGATAGATTATTCAAAATCGTTCTATTAAAGGCGCAGAGCCTTTCGCTTCGATTCCTGATCATCTTAAAAATGAATGGTCCTTTAAATTTTCTCTCTTAACCATCCATCGCTTGTTTAGGTCATTATGTCAAAAAAAAAACGGTGAAAAATACGAAAAAGGACGATTTTATGAAACTCTGAAGGCGCAGAGCTTTTCGCGTCAATACTCAAGAAACTGAAAAACTAGTGATCCTTTAAATTTTCCAAAAAGTTTCGGAAGAACTATTTGTTTTTCGTGTTTCAATGGCGCTCTTTAGCCAAGATTTTGATTATTAAGATAGTTTTTTAGACTTTACATGTTAACTTTTGACTCCATTCAAATTTATTCTCACAAGGGCTGTGTGCGCGGTGAACATCGAGTTAGGAATTGAGGCTTATATGGTAGATGGACCTAGGGGAGAGTGCTCCAAAACGAAAGAAAAAATCTGCTAAGCGCCATAGGGTACCGAGAAAAAGCTCGTCAAAGTTTTGCCGCCACGTATATGCCCGCGCTCGGAGTGCTCGGCAAGCAACTGGGAGCGTGGTGAAGTGGCAGTGTTCTTGAATGGCGCTGACGCTATGCTCGGTTCGATTCCTTTTGACGTCAAACTTTTTTTGCTCTTGTTTATTCAATTCTTCTGCAATCTATCATCAAACAAAAACAGCAAAAAAAGTTTGAATTGAAGGAGTTGATTGAAATTTGGGAAAGAAGAAAGGAGAAAGCACAAAAAAACTTTTTTTTTTGCGTCAAATATAGTTTTTCCATCGAAACTTCTAAAAAATCGTTCAAATAATAGATGCTTGGGCGGCTTCTCGAGATGATAGCACAAAAAAATACAATTAAAGGTTGTATACCTCGTGTAAAAAATTTATAATTGTGAATAATATCACACCTGGCTCCTCTGGTCTCCTTCAACCACTTTATATGTTTTTCTTTTTAGAAATCTTTCATCGCAAAAATTCCACCGACTCTATTTTCCCTTTTTTGAAGCCCTTCTCATACCAAAAGGTTAGTTCAATTGTTCACCGAAACTTTTGAAATTTCATAGAGAATGCGAAATTACATTGACAGGTCTCCCTTTGTTTCGGGCTCGTACTCGTACCTGGTTTCTTTTTTTTTTCTCGAGTGATTTTTCACTTATATTGTTTCGATCCCATCGTGTTGTGATCTCGAAAGCCATGAACCAATTATTAGAACTTTTTTTGCTGTTTTTGTTTGATGATAGAGTGTAGAAGAATTGAATAAAAAAAAGCAAAAAAATTTTGACGTCAAAAGGAATCGAACCTAGCATAGCGTCAGCGCCATTTAAGAGCACTGCCACTTCACCACGCTCCCAGTTGCTGGCCGAGCACTCCGAGCGCGGGCATATACGTGGCGGCAAAACTTTGACGAGCTTTTTCTCGGTACCCTATGGCGCTTAGCAGATTTTTTCTTTCGTTTTGGAGCACTCTCCCCTAGGTCCATCTACCATATAAGCCTCAATTCCTAACTCGATGTTCACCGCGCACACAGCCCTTGTCAAGGCTTCTGTGAAAATTTTTAGTGGCCACTACAGGGTTTTGACTGTTTAGTGGCCTCTAAAGTGGCTAAAACTAAATGGCGTCTTTAGAAGACTAGGTACTGCTACTAGACCCCTAAAAACTACTATAGCGACCACTAAAACCCAAAGTACTTCTATATGGCTGATTTTAGAGGTCTCTCCTAAGTCCTTGAGGAACCTCTTAAGAGGCCACTAGAGTTTCAACTAACGGATGATCTGTCGGGGCTCCCCGTAGTGGGATTGGAGCTCGACGACGGAAGAAAGGGAGGGCCGATCGTCTTTGGAACGGCTCCGGCGGACGTAGACGCCGTTGGCCCCGCCGCGAGAATTCTGGTCGACGCCGGAAAGGACGCGACGACAGCTTCCTCCGTACCGGCCGTTGGTCTGGAAGATCATGAGAGAGTCATCTTTTCGAAGCTTCTCCTTCTGGTTCCTCGGAAGGCTTCTGAAAGCTTCTGAGGCCCTACTACATTCAGAAGCCTGCTGGAAGGCTTCTGACATACAATTTCAACTTTTCACCTTCCAAATACCTTCTGAAGACCTCCTAGACCTCACCTTTCCATTCTTCAATCCATTGGCGCCAGCGTCGAGGCGATCCATACTGGGTCTTTTGGAAATGGGCGCACTTCTGATGGGAGGCTTGTGGCCCATCTGTCGACCTTGGCTACTCAAGGCATCACTCGAGGAAGATCCCATCGGACTCATCGTCGGCAAGGAGGACGGTTCATCAACGTCCGTCTCCTTGATCCACCTTGGCGGGGACGAGGAGAACATCTCCTGCTGGAGGAACGAATGCCTCAGGCTGTGACGTTTCTGAGGCGAGGAGTTGACGGCGACGGTGAGGGGCGGCGGCTGCGGAGAGGTGCAGTCGGGCCGAGGCTCGGGTGTAGATCCGGTGTGACTGAGGGGAGAGTGGCGGTCGTTGGCCAGAAGGTCTGGAGAGCTGTCTCTTCGCAGCGGCACCAGCGAGGGGCTGGGAAGCTGGAAAATCGAGTATCGTTTTTATTTCTGTATTCAAATTGTCTACAACGAACAGATCGCGGTGAAGAATCTCTGGTCGGAAGATAGCCATGGGGACTCTGAATCGAAGAAATGCTCAGTCTGGAGCGCGCCGACGTGTTCCGCGACACTACCGGACTGTCTCTAGAAAAATCATAAATTTTCAAATTTTCTTTAAGGGTTCGACGAAACCGATAATTCGAGTTCAAACTGCTTCGGTGGGCTGGAGACCAACTGTCCTGCGAGCCGACCCGATGTGGAGGGGACCATCTGAAGTTTTTTTAAACTACACCGCCATAGTGGTCCCTAGACTGGCCACATTGTGGGGTCTTGTAAGTCACCCCTTTTCTCCCAAACCCCTCTAGTGACTACTCTCTGAACATTTTTCAAAAACCGCACTTGGAATGGCTTCCCGTTAAGCTGAGAAAAGCTGGATTTTTCATTTTAGCCATTTCAAGTACGACCATTGCTTCGCAAAAAAAAAGTTCTCCCGACATTTTTTCCGCGGGGTCCCGAATTTCTACCGCGAAAAAAACTTTCGAGAGCCTGACAACTCTGCGGAAAATACTTTGAAAATGTCTTGATAAATGATTTTTCAAAGCATATTCACTCGAAAAACTTCAAGATTACTGTAGGATTACTGTAGAATCTGAAAATTACCCGGGATTCTGATGGGCGGGGCTCATCGTGAAGTTGCTGTTGTTATTATTAATGGAAGATCGCTTGTCGGCCGACTGAAAAAAATCCCTTTTTTTCTTTTTTTCTGTGTTTTTTTCTCGAAACAGTCGAGTGTTTTCGTGGAACAAGGAGTGTTTTTAGTACTATCAAATATTATCTTTTCTGTTCTTTTTTTTTTGAGATGAAAGATTTCTCAAGTGTTAAAAGAATGCACCAGAAAAATCCTAAAAATCTCAATTTTCAAAACTTCTTCTTTTTTGAAAATGGGCACCTCAAAGTCAAAAATCCTTCAAAATAGGTTATTTTCGGAATTCAAGCTCTTATTTTTCAAAAACTAGAAAATTTCGCAACTTGAGACTTTCAGAATGTACCTTAAGCACGGAGAAAACATCAAGTGATCCCTTTAGGGTTTTGACGGCTTAGTGGCCACTAGAGCAGTCGAATTAGTAGGCGCTTGAGTGACGGAAATTCAGTGACCTCTTCAGAAGTTTAAACGGTATTACTAGGGCTCTAAAACTACTATAGTGGTTACTAAGACGCAAAATGGTGGCTTCTATAGAAGTGGTTATAGTGGTCACTTTAGTGTTCAGTTTTAAGTAAAAATTTAACTGACCACAAGAGTTTTTCGCAGTTTCTTTCGAAAAAAAGAAAAATGATACTTCTGGGAAAACTTTTAGTGACCTCTTTAGGGTTTTGACGTGTCAGTGGCCACTATAGTAGTCGGACTAGTGATCACTTTTAAGTGGCGAAAATTTAAGGCCTCTTCAGAAGTCCAGGTGATACTACTAGAGCTCTAAAACTACTATAGTGGCCACTGTGACGCAAAATGGTGGCTTCTATAGAGCTGGTTATAGTGGCCACTTTAGTGTCGTCTTCAAGTAACCCTTGAGGTACTACTTGAGGGTCCACTAAAGTTTTTCTGACTACATAATTATGGGCAGTTTTCGGAGAAAAAAGCAAAATGATCTATAATATCCAGAAAATGACTTTTGAAACGTCGTTTTTGGCAAACCTGAAATCGTTGCAAGATCAGTTTGAAGTCGTTGGAGCGCTGGGCGGGAACCGGCGACGATCGTAGGGAAGTTCGTGAGTGGAGGTCGTCCTCGTCTTCTTCGACTGGCGATGAGGAAAACGCTCTGGAAAATCATCCAAACTAGGAATATGATCAAATAGGGCTAAAATGAAAAAAAAATCATCACCTTATCAGATCAATTAAAAACAGAGAAAGAGATCAAAAAACCCAACAGAAAAAAATGGAAAAAGATAAAAACATTAAATAGTTACCTTATCAGATAAAAATCAGTAAATTCCTATTTTCTACTTTTTTTTTTCATTTTTTCCTTATCAAAAGACGTTACCAGAAAATCATAAGGTCGATTAAATACAAAAACCCAGAAAAAAAGTACTTTTTTTCATTCAAAAAGAACTTCGAATTTTTGGACCTTTGTTAATAATTTTTTTGAACTAAATTCTGCAAAAAAATTCAAAAAAATTGAAGTCCAATTCCTCCTCAGACAGTATAAAATCGCAACATGAAGTTCAAACCAAACATTGGACAAGACCGAAAAACGCAAAAAACGACAAATTTTCCTTCTCAACAAAGATCAAGGATGTATCCGTGTTTTATTTGACCAAGCCGTCGAAATAAGTGCTTGCAAAGGCTAAAAAAAGTCTTTTTCGAGTGCTGATTAAACCAAACTCACTAGAAAAAAGAGTGTTTTCATGGCAAGGATGAACATTTGAAAAATCTTAATTTTTGATTCAAATTTTCATGGAAAATTAGCAAAAGTGGCCACTTAAGAGGTTCCTCAAGAACTACTTGCAGAAGACACTATAAACGACCTCTGTAGAAGCCATTTTTCGCTTCTTAATAGCCACTTTAGCAGTTTTAATCGGTCTCGACTACCACAGAGACTTCTAAAGGGTCCACTGAAAATTAACCACTTAAGTGGCCACTAATTTGACTGCTATATTGTTCACTAAAGCGTAAAAACTCTCAAATGGCCTGTGAAATTTTTCCAAAAGTCTTGACAAAATTGAACAGAGCTTGACAAAAAAATCGAAAAAAATTAGGACTTAAAAAAATTTCAAAAAAATGAGTATATATCCAAAAAAACTTCAAAATCAGTAGAAAATTAAGGAATTAGAGACATAAAAAGCCCAAAAATTAGTCTCGGGACTCGATAAACTGAAGAAAAAAATCATTTTTTTAGTCCTAAACTTTAATAATTTTTTTCAATTTTTTTGATTCGAAACTTAATGGGATCTGAGCTGATCTTGAAAACTTGAATTGAAATGAACTTGAAAGAAAAAAATTTAAAAAGAAAATTTTTTTTCAGAAATTCAAAGCTGAATATATCGATAAAAGGGCAAATTTGGATCAAAAATTAAAAAATTAGTATTAAAAATGAGTCCAAAAACTGTTCAGAAACCCAAAAAAACCACTGTTTTTTACCCTAAAGTGATCAATTTTACGAATAGTTTCCATAAATATCAATTAAAAACTTCAATTTGAGAAAATCGAAACAAAAACTGGAGAAAAACGACAATTTTGGGCTGCGAAAATATGAGTTGAATGGCTGGAAAAGACGGCTTATTGGCAGATTTTTGTTTGCGGAACTCGGCGATTTTCGGCGCGAAAAGGCGCGAAAAACGCCTCTTTTTCTGCTCCAAGGCTAATTCGCCAATTTCAGGCCTCTTTTTTTTTGCATTTGATTGTTTGTTTCTGGGTCTGTTTCGTTTTGAAACTTGAGAAAGATTGAGAAAACCCTTCGAAAAAGATTTTTCAACTGAAAATAATAAAAATTCTCTATTTTTTTTTTGTTGAACCGGTGATAGTTTTTTGAACCAATTTTTTCCTGCCAAGAATGGACAAAAAATATAAGTTGAAACTTTCTAACTTATGTACAAAACGCGGTTCTGAATCTCAAAAATTACTTTAAAAAAATTTTTTTAAGTATTTGTGGTTTCGGATAACGATTGACATTCTGAAAATTTCAAGAAAAAAACCTAAAAATCTTAAAAAATAACAAAAAACAGCTTTGAACGGAAAATTGAGATAAATTCTGGAAAAAGTGATTTCTAGTACTTGAACTTCTTTGACTGGAAAAAACACGCTAGAGGTTAAAGGACTTCTCAAGGGTTACTTGGAAAGGTCACTAAAGTGAGCTCTGAAACCAACTTTTCAGAAGCCATTTTTATTTCTTAGTGGCCACTTTAGTAGTTTTAGCGACCTATTAGTAACACTTAGACTTCTAAAGAGGCCACCAAATTTAAGCCACTTAAGTGGGCACTATTCGTCTACTAGAGGGGCCAATGTTAAAACCCTAAAAAGGCCACTTTTTCGTTTCTCAAAGCGTGAAAACCCTGAAGAAGCCACTACCTAGACTACTATAGAAGATACTAAGCCCTAAAGTGGCCACTAAACATTTTCAGAGAATGACAGGAAAGAGAAAGTCTAGCCTCATTGAATAACGGCTACAAAATGATTACAAAAAACTGATAAAATAATTTAAAAAAATCAAATCTTATTGAAAAGCACTACAAAAACCGAAAAGTCAAGAGAAAAGTCGGAGATGTTTGGTTGGCCACAGGTAGGATCTACCATCGAGTTGGGGGAAAAAGGCTCGTTAACACGGGAAAGAAGGAAAGAAAAGATCAGTTCACTTGTAACTGGTCGGAAATCAGCTGAAGAAATGAAAAGTGTATGTGCAAATCCGCCACTCGCGAAACGGCTCTCTGTGGATTTACGCGCTTTCGTTCCTCTCTCCGACTGTTTACTACTACTTGTCTAGGGGGTTGTTCACATTCCTTGTCTTCTACACTCAAAAGTAAGAGCTGAACATTTTTGCAGGGGGGACCTTTTTTTTTCGACGGTTCCTTGCAAACCGACAACTTTGATGTTGATTTTTTGGTCACCAACGTCAAAGATGTTATATTTAGACTTCTTCCAGAGCTTACTGTGAAACTTTTGCAGCTTTAATGCAGTTTTACACACTGATCCCTGATTGGTGCTCAAAAAAATGTAGGCTGTTTTCCAGACCTCACGATGAAACAAAAATAGATTTCCCAATCGAAACCTGTACAAAATCGTCATTTTTCACCAGAGAAGCATTTCGCAACCGAAAATTGCAAATTTTTATAAATAGAGGATTTTTAGGCCGAAAAAAACTTTAGTAACAACCGAAAAAATCGAAATTTCGAAAAAAAAAAGGGTTTTGTCCATAGAGCAACTTTACTGCAAAATGCCTAAAAAAAGAGATCCAAAGTTGATTTTTGGTCATAAAAGTTGAAGCTGTAGCTTCCAAATTATGTTCAAAAACTGCCAAAAGGGTCAATTATATTTGAAAAAAACTTTCTCGACTTTTGTAACTCTCTAAATGAAAAAAAGCCCAGAGTTGAATGACAAAAAAATAAGAAAAAAACTTCGAAAAAAACGCAAAAAAATCATGAAAAAAATTCGATTATTTTTGGGTTGAGCTTGACTTATCAAAAAAATGAATATTTTTCTTTTTTTCTGATTTAAGTAATTTACGGAAACTGGAATCACTCTAGAAGGCGGTTCTCATTCAAAAAAATTAGCTCAAAAAAAGAAATTTTTTTCGGTCCGGAAAAAAATTGAAAAATTGAGGCAAGCGCGCTCCATCGCACAAAAAGTCAGAAAAAGACTTTTTTTCGAGTAAAATTAGAATTTTTTTGATGCTAATTTATGAAAAAAAAGATTTTTAAAAAAATGGTAGTTTTTTTGTTAAAGCTTACAAATCAGCAAAAAAATCGTCTTTTTTTCATCAAGAAATCGACGTTTATTATTAATTTTAATCGAAAATCAACTTCTTATAGAGCTCCTGAGAGGAAAATACTTTTAAAAAAAAGTTCAATCTCAACAGTTTTTGATCGCATTTGGGGCGAAGAAATCGGAGAGAAAATGAGCAAATGCGGTGGGAAATGGGGAGGAAGGAGGGCAAACAGCGGTTGCCTGATAGGGAAGCGGGTTCCGGTCGGCTTTTCGCTCGTTTCGGAACGTGTTTCTTAAGGAAATTCGAGCAAATTTCCCACTTTTTTTCCAAGTCAATATAAGCTTTGAACGTGGAAAAAGTTTACAAAAGTGAAAAAAATTTCGAGGAAAAGTCCAAAAATCGTTTTTTCGAGGGCTCAAGGTACCTTGATTCCTGAGTTTCAGGTTTTTTTTATAAGATGCTACATTTTTTGCGTTGGAATGAGTTTTCGCCTCTGTTTTTATATTTCCTCAAACTTCCGAAAAATTTGAAAGCCAGATTTTTAAAAAAACGTGTTTCTTAATGAAATTCGAGCAAATTCTCTTTTTTTCTAAGTCAATATAAGCTTTGAACGTGGAAAAAGTTCACAAAAGTGAAAAATTTCCGAAAAAACGTCGGGAAAGTCCAAAAATCGTTTTTCAGAGGGCTCAAGGTATCTTGATATGAGAATTTACAGTTTTTGAAAAAAGTCCGCTGTACACTTACTTCCCTCGACATCGATTTGATAATATTTTTATTTGATTTATGATAAGTTTGAGCGAAAAATTGAAGAAAAAACAAAAAAAGCTTTTACAAGAGTATCCTATAGCCTCTACATAGAAGTTCTCAGATAAAAACTAAACTAAAAAAAATTTGCGTAAACCATTATTTAAGTCTGAACTTTTTATAAAACAATCATCTGATGAAATATTTTTTTCAGAGCTATTTTTCTTCTCGTTTTCGCAACAAAAAAAGGGACTCAAAAAAAGCTTCAAAAAAAGCGAGAGGGGGCTTTGAAACGGTAATCCAATGGAAAAAAAGATGAAAAAAATTTTTCCTCTATTTTTTTTATAAAAAAATCGGAAGTTTCATAAGAAATCATACAAAACCTGATGAAATGAAACCAGATTTGATGAAAAAAATCAATAAAAAAATAGAGGAAAGGTATCAATTTTTTAGAGAGATTTGAAACGGCAATAAAAAGGGTATAAGATGATATTTATTCATACCAACCAATCCAAAAATTTGATAGGGTTGTTCCAAATTAAAAATTTAGAAGATCTTTAAATCGGTAAAAATAAAAATAGAAGATACCAATCAGCTCGAAATCAATCAACAGAGATTAATTACGCAGTTATTTTTTAAACTTCAAAGAATTTTGAAACGGTGATCCAATGAAAAGATGATAAATCTTCCAATTTATACCTATCCAAAATTTCCCAATAAATCAAACAAAAATCGACGAAAAATGGTCAGATCTTTGGAACAAAGCACGCGATTGGTTAGTTAAGAACGTGGAAAGCCGTGAAAAGCGGCGGCGCCAAAAAATTTGAAGTGGGCCGCCCACACGGGGGGACCTCCTTCAATGAATCACACGTCACTTGGGACAAACCATATGACCCTTTTTTTCTTGTATTTCATAATTAAGAGAAGAAAATGGCTTAATCTCCTGAAATCTAGGAGAAAGTACAGGAAAATTGAGGCGGAAAATTGAACAAACTTCATAATATAATAGACAATTACTTGGTCACCTAGATCCAAGTGAAATATGAGGACGGAAAAATTGAAAATATTTCAGAATGAATCGAGGAAAACGACGTTATAACCTTAAAGCCAGAAGGAGATTGAGAAAAAAAAATTAAAAATCAGAAAAAAAGTTCATTCACAACAAGATACAGTAACTCATTCTTTTCGAGACCCTCTTAATGAATCACACGTTACTTGGGACAAACCATATGACCCCGATTTTCTTGTATTTCATAATAAAGAGAGAGAAAAAAAAACTACTTGGTAACCATGAATCCAAAAAAAGTAAAGAAAACTGGTGGTATTGAAAAAAAGACCAGCGAAAATTCAAACGGCGACTTTTGCGACTTTTTCATATCGCTAGGGAACTTTCCGACGGCCAACTTTCCGACGAAACTTTTTTTCAGACTTTTTTTCTCGATAAACTCTTCGTTTTAAATCTCCCTATATAAAGTAGGTAGTTGGTTAATGATTAAAACACAAAGAAATAGAAAAATTTTTAATAGATTTTTTTATAAACCGAAAAAGCATAAGGGAAAAAAAGGTCGGAAAGGGATCCGTCGGAAAGGTGACCGTCGGAAAGTTCCCCTAGCGATATGAAAAAAATCGGAAAAGTCGCCGTTTGAATTTTTCGCTGGTGTTTTTTTCATACCTCCAGAAAACTTGAAGAAAAAAATTTTTAAAAAAATTTCATGATAGAAAATTTCTTGGTAACCTGAATTGAGGCGAAAATCGAGATAAAGCTGAAATCTGTTGAAAAATCGAAAAAATTGGAAAATCAGGAAAAAAAAGTTCATTCACAACAAGCTACAGTAACCTTTTCTTTTGGAGACTCCAGGACCTTTTTTTCTCATATTTCATGAAAAAAAGAGTGGAAGAAAGTTTGCTAGCCTAAAATCCAGGGGAAAATCAAAAAAAAAGAGGAAAAATTATGAAAAGTCCATTCACAACAACCTACAGTAACCTATTCGTCTCGGGACGAATTTTCTACTTTTCTTTCCAATTTTGCAAAAAAATTTTCTTCTGAATCCCTAGGTTCTTTCAAAACCTAATTTTTGACGTGAGAGTTACCTCGTGTCGAGGATGCCAACACTGGAGGGCCGATCTTTGCGTTTGCTGCGGATCTTCTTCGAAATATTTGAGCCCGAACGGTCTTCTTTCTGAAAAAAGTGATGAAAATTCATAAAATGCTCTTTTTACTGAATTTGTCCAGGGGCTCACAAAAATTGACCAAAGGCCCAAAAATAGCCTACTTTCATGGGTTTCGAGCGTTTTCTTTGGCTTTGAGGTGTCCTTTTTTGAAAACTAAAAAGTGCAGCTTGGGACCAGAGATGCACGCTATCGAGTTTTTAGTTTCGAGAAGAAACGAATTATCAAAAAAATATCTCGAAAAAAAAGCGGAAATTGTGAGGAAAACTTCTTTTTAGTTGAGAAATATTACACAAAATCTAAAACTGCGCGTGGATTTGATTGCTTTTGGTGCGTTCACGACGGAAACATCACATATTACGCCATTTTCCAAAAAAAAATCTTTTCAAATTCGAAATTTTTCGGGACGAGATCAAATTTATTTCTGAATCTCGAGACGTCTCGAAATGTCTCAAGACACCTGGTTGACACTTTCAAGACCTTCACCTAGTAAATCAAGAATTTCAGAGGATTCCCAGCCCCAAATTTAAACGGCCCTCCTTATCAGGAATTTACTAATCAAGTTAATTTAGGAAGCTTCTGGAAGAAGGATCCCTTATAAAGGGTACCTTGGGAAGAAGGTTATTACAAAAAAAATCCACACACGGTACCTTGGGAAGAATAGGAGCGAGCGCGAGCCTGGCCGTCGGTCGGATGATGCCGTGCTGAGGGAGCGGCGGCGGCGGCGGAGGCGGCGGCTGTGTTCGCCGGTCGCCGCGGTCCAGCGACGACGACGCCGAGGAGAAGCCGGTCGTCGTCGAGCTGCTGGCGGCCATCGTCGACCGCGAATACGGCGAGAACGCCGAGTTCTCTGAAGGCGCGAGAGAACTCGTCGCCGTCGTCGTCGACAGCGCCGCCGCGGTCATCCTGCAAGAGTTACGTTTCTCAAAGGGTTCAAAAAGAAAAATGACACTGAAGTGACCATTTCTTGGAATTTCTTCAAATCTGCCTCTAATATTGCGTTGTTTTTTTAGAAAATGGATCATCGAAACAATTTATTTATTCGGAATTTTTAGTTGACAGCCGTATAATGTTATAGCTTCTATATAATCTGCTCAATAAGTCAAAAAAAAAAAAAAATCAATAAAATAATTCAGAGCTGAAGAAATAAAAAGAGAAAATTCTATTAAAGTTTATTTGAAAAAAATTTTTTTAATCACCAAAAAAACTCTTTGAAAAAGAGGTTCACTAAAAAAATCTGTTTGATAAAATCTCTATCGATCGACATTTGGACAAAGAAAAAGTCGAAAAACGAAATCAATCATGGTAAGAACTGTTCAAACTGTCAGAAGATGATTTAAACAAAAATATCCTTTCATAAAAGTCTCAACGGTTGAAAATGAAGTCTTGAAGCTCGAAAAAAAAACGTCTCAAAGTAAGAAAAAGATGAAATCTGCCATTCAAAACTCAAATATTGTCCAAAAATTCAGAAATAGCACTTTTCGAAAAGAAGACATATCGATCACTGGCCGAAAAAAGTCGAAAATCGAAATCGACCCTGATGAGAATTTTTTTCAAACTTTCAGCTTATCATTTTTTTCGCTTAAAAAAACCATAAAAAAATGAGAAGTTTTTATTCAAAAAAATGGCCGATTCGTCAAAAAAATTCCTAACTAGTCCTCTACTATAAAAGACATATATTCGGGTGCGAATAAATCAAAAATCGAGATCAGAATTTTTTGAAAGTGTCAGCCTGATAAAAAAAATATTTCATCATTAAGATTTCAAATTCAGAAAGTAGAAGCCTCGAAGTTAGAAACTAAAGTCAGAAAAATTAAGAAAAAAGTTCTTTATAGTTCATTCGCCGCGACTCTCGCGTGTCTGCGTCTCTCTGTTCTCTCACTGGCGACGTCAGAGAAACAGCACATAAAAATGAGAGAGGCGCAGAGAAAAACAGCAGTTGCAAGTCGCGAAAACGGACTATATGAATTTTATAAAAAAGGCCAATAAAAATAAGAAGTCATTTGATCTGATATCGATCTTTGGCTCAGGAGGGAAAAGTTGGCCGCAGCTCAAACAGTCGCCGGAAGCTGCTCCCACGTCAGACCACACGTCTGCGGCTGCCTTGAACCGTCTTTTTGACACCCGCGGCAAACATTCCGACATCCCGACCCTCGTAATGGAGCCAACGAGTACAGAATGTTGGCTTACGGGGTCATTTTATTCAGTAATTTCCTTAAAACTAGTCAGAACACTTCTTAGTGAACCAGATGAAGATTCTAAAGATTCTCTATAACTTCTTGGTTTCCGAAAATTAACACCTTGAAGTAAAAGAAAACCCTCAAAGGCGACCAAAATAGGCTTTTTTGAGACCTCAAAGAACACCTAGAAGTCAAAAAAACCCTAAATTTTTTTTTAGCCCTTAATAATCGCTTCAATAACAAAGAAACCCCTAAAAACTCATTGAAATAGGCTATTTTGAGATTTTGAGCCTCTAAAGATCACCTCAAGACAGAAGAAGAACTACTAAATATGTTGAAATAAGATAAAAAGATACTTTGAGCCTGCAAAAACCAAGAAGGCTTCAAGAAAAAAACTCTCAAAGTCGATTAAAAAGAGACTGCTTTGCCCCCCACTCCCCTCATACCTTTAAGTCAAGAAAAACCTTCAAAAACCTTCTAATATGCAATTTTTAGACTCTAAGCTTTCAAAGAAAATTTCAAAGTCAAAGAGTGCCCTGAAAGTCTATAAAAATAGGCCATTTTGGGATTTTGAGCCCCAAAAGAGCACCTCAAAAAATTTTGAAAATATCAATCGATAATCTGGCCACATTCAAAATTGATTTCTAGCATTTTTTTCTCATAATTACTCATTAATCGACAAATAAAACTAGGAAATCGGTCAAAAATGTGCCAAATCCAGCAATTATATTTATTTAAAAAGCATTTTTGAGCTTTTAAATTTAATTAATTGTACATATCAATCAATAATCCAACTTTTCCACTCTGAATTGATTTTTCGAATTTTCATCAAATTACTGAAGAGATCAATCAATGAATAAAATCAGAAAAGTCGAAATTTGGGAAAAAATCCAGCAAATTTCTCAAAAATTTTTTCTTAAAAATTTTCTTCTAATCACTTCACTGGATAGGCAAATCATCAACTATTTCCTCACTAATTGAGCTGATAAATGATTGAAAAAAAAAGCCATTCGAAAAACGTGCAAACACGCCAAGTGAACAACTCGGAATGCGGACTTTTACATACCGTACTCCTCGGAAATAGGGGAATTTTCGTAACCTATTTCGACCAATTATCAATTTATTTATGAAAAAAAGAAACGCCACTCGAAAAACGTGCAAACACGCAAATCTCGGAATGCGGGCTTTTACATACCGTACTCCTCGGAAATAGGGGAATTTTCGTAACCTATTTCGACCAATTATCAATTTATTTATGAAAAAAAGAAACGCCACTCGAAAAACGTGCAAACACGCAAATCTCGGAATGCGGGCTTTTACATACCGTACTCCTCGGAAATGGAAAAATTCTCGTAGCACCATTTTCTCTAATCAATTATCGATTTATTACAAGGAAAAGCACGTGGAAGGAAGGAGCGGAAATGAAATGAGATGGATGGGGCTCGAAGAGGCGCCCAAAGTCGATATCAAATCAAGTGGCGCCAAGGGGCTCGACTGTGCCAAAAGAGCGCAAACAAGGCCTCCATTTGCGCACAGAAACCCGAAAAAATCGCCAAAATATTCGCGCCACTGGTCAGACAAAGTTTGTTCTCTGGTTTTTTTCTCGTGTTGCAAGTGCCATACAACTTGATTTTTTCTTGGATTTCTGACTTCTAGAATTCAGAAAATCAGCTCTATAGAAAATCTTGGTCTCTAAAAGCCCTTGAAATTTGATTTTTATGCTCTAAAATCTAAATTTTCAACGAAAATATAAAACTTTGCCCAAAATCCCGGCATTTTAAGCTTCTAAATATTTCAAAATCGACTCTCTAAAAAATCTTAATTCCAACAAATATTATTCCTTTTCTATTTTTTTAAATTTTCGATTTTTTTCGAAGCTACTGGATCGGAGTTCAAAGTAGAAAATCATAAAAATTCGAAAAATTATTATCCCTAAATTGTCAGCAAAAAAATTCCTTTAAAAAGCAAATAAAAAAACTGAATTTTTTTAAAAAAATTTACTTGTAACCCTGTCAACATGGCTTGATTTAAAAAGGCCTTTGAAAAAAATCTTGAAAAAAATCAAAGTTTTTTTCGACGGACGTATGGAATTTGAGTAAGAATTTCCTCAATTGATACATATTTTTTTCAGTTTGAAGAAGTCTTTCGATATTTCGTTCAAACTTAGGCTGAACTTAGAAAAACCTAAAAAAATCCTGAATTTCAAAAAAACGTACGAAAAATTTGAATAAGATTAAAAAAAAATATACTCAAATTCTGCTAATTCTCTTACACATAATTTCAAATTCCGTATATTTTTTCTCAAAAAGAAAAATGCCTCGAAAGAAGATCTTAAGAAAAAAAAACCGTAGAGAATTTACCAAGACACAAATGAATCACCGTGAAAAACACGGTGAAGCATCTTTCCACTCGAGAGATTTCTGAAGAGCCGACAGCCGTGATTTTTTGAGCTTTTCAAGGGTTTTCGTGAATCATTTAGTCCAGAGTGACGTCAGAAGCTGCGAAAAAGCTCGAGTTACGATAAATAACAAGTTCGAATCGTTTTGGAAAAAAAGATACCGAAAAAAGTCGTTTTCAAAAAAACTCGTTGCTTGTAATATTCACATCGAAATAAGGTTATAACTCACTCCATTACTTAAAAAAATTTTTGATTTCTGCAAAAAAACTTATTGAATTGAATCTAGACCCCGGATATATATAAAGTTGAAAAAAATCAAAAATTGAAATTGGAAAAAAATGCTTCTGAATTATCCGTGGAGCAAACTTTCGCCGGACTCAAGCGCCATTTGCGGCTCTTTTGTACAGGTTACTTTTTCCTGAACTACTTTGTAAAGCTTGCATTTTTCTGCGGTTATTCCGTGATTTGTAGGGCTTTCAGAGATTTTTCCTTAGTCTTGAGAAAATAATTTTTTTAAGAATGCTATGAGAGAAGGGCTGCACTTGCAGAGGGTTCCCAAACAGGCGGCAGATTTGATCAGTGGTCGTGGCTTATAACAAAAGGGCGCTGCTTCTTTCAATATAGACGGTAAAAAAAGCCGAATTTTGTGTATTTAGTGAACATAAAAAAATTTAAGAATTATTTTTTTATTGTAAAAATTTCACGTATCGAACCAATATGCGCATATTGGTTCGACTAGTCTACTTTCGATTGATTATTTTTTTAATAGTTTCATTGAGTCTATGAAAAAAATTTTTCGACCCCGAAAAAAATCACGCCACGGTGTAAACACCAAACACTATATTTCACGCGCATTTTTTTATCTTTTTTTTTTGAAGTTTTTTGCACAGATTAAAACGCCTTTTTTTTTACATGTACTGAGAGTATCTGTGTTTATTTCTGTCGAAAAACAGAAGACACTGTAGTTTCTCTCTTGCGAACCTCATGCCGGGCGGAGGGGCGGCGCCGACGGGCGGTAAGTGGGCGAAGAGCCGCTGCGGCTGGACGTAGATGGCGGCAGGCTCGTGCGCCCCGATGTCGCAGCGGCAGACGGAGCAGCGCCGCGAGCCCCGCACTTCCGGAACGAACAGCGAACAGGACATTGCCGTTCCTCCTCCTCCTCCTCTTCTCCTTCTTTCCTTCTTTCTTTGCGCCTCAAACTTTTCATCAAACTTGGAAGATCAAGTCAACTTCGAAAAAAGCAATTTTCAAGCAACGTTTACCAAAAAATGTCCAAAAAACTCATTTTTTACTGACCAAAGCTATAAAACTTTTTCGAAGAACCATTCGTGGATTCAAGAGAAGGAAAGGCCCACAAAAATCATACAGAATAATGAAAAATGATGGTATAGTTGACGGAACAAAAAAGATTTTTAACATCAGGGAGGTATTTTTGACTTCGATGTCTGAAAAAAGACGTTGATGACCTAAAATGATACCTTTCTGTGAAAAAAGAGCCGCCATGTAGTGTCCTCTCACAAAAATGACCTTGAAAATCTAATTTCTAACCGAAAAATCATGATTTGCTATATCTCGACGTCATGTCAAATTTTTTCACAACACATGTCACACTAAATTGCAAAATTCTAAAAAAAATCAGGTTTTAAAATTGATTCATTGATTTTTCGTATTCCCATTTTCGTATATCTGAGAAAAAAAATCACTTTGGGTCCATTAATATGAAAGAAAAAAAGCAAAAAAATTAACAGCCCTACGAGAAAAAAAACTTTTAAAATTTTTCAGGAAGTTGACTGAAATATTCTTTGAAGGTCACAAAAAAAGGTTTAGCAGTATTTAAAAACCTTTTTTTAAAATCTAAACCAGAATTTTTCGCAGGCAATCACCATGAAAGAGTATATGCAGAAAATTACAAGTCACAAAGTCAGAAATACTCAAAGAAACGTTTTGGAAAAGAAGAAGAACTCAGTATAATTTCAAAAATGCAACAAATCGGAGAAAAGACAGTAGAAAAACCGTCAAACTCCTAAAAAATAATAATAAATCTAGCACAAATCTTGAAGAAAATGATTAAATTTGTTCAGAGACGCGAACGGAAAGCATATTCCCAAATTTACATTGGCCGCGATAATGCTATTAATAAAGTTCGGACACGATTCAATGAAAAATGCAGAAGAGAAAGGAAAAAAGGAGCTGGACCTCATAGTTGCAGTAAAATCTTTTTTGAGTAATATAATTTTGAACGATTCTTCGGAAAAGTGAAATATCAATGAGAGGTCCCTTGAAAAAAACAAAAAAAAAATAAAGTCCTTGAAATTAAAAAAAAATTCAAGATCATGCGAAATCACGTTCTGGTGTAAACACGAAACACTCCATTTGACGCGCAATTCTGCATTTTCATTTTTTATTCAAAAAATCTTTTTTTATCGCTTTTCGCTCTCTTAAGTGATCATTTTTTTGCTTTAAAAATACTTTCTAGAATTTTTTTATTCAATCAAAAAAAGTACTCTAATATAATATTCTCAAGCAGATTTTTGAAAAAAATTAAGCTAGAGCAATAATTTTTTTGATGCAGATGTTTCGAAATAGATTTTTTTAGAACAAGATTGGAAGTTTTATTTTTTTGAAGAAACAGAAATTTTTAGACATTGAAGGAATAGTTTTTTTAAAAAAATTTTTGAATAGAAAAAAAGAAAGAAAAAAAGATCGATAAGCTGCCAATCAAAAACGGAAAAAAAGGCATGAATAATCCAGGATCAATGCTTCGAAGCGTCCAGAAACACGGGAAAATGGTCAAAAAGCCTTTGTGTTTCTGGGGAGGGAGCGTCCGTGTTTGGCGCGGCGATTAGTCGTTTCTCGATTCCACCTTTTTTCCTGCCCCTTTTGTTTGTGCAACTCATTGGACTTTTTGCAACAACCGACAAAAAAACCCGTGAAATAAACTGGGTGGTCAAAAAATATTAGGTATAAAACTTAAAAAATAAATTTTTTTGGAGCAAATTTCTCATACCGTATTCTACGAAACAACGGCGATTTTGAAATTGACGCGTTTTTCGTTCAAAATGATTTCGCGAAATTCGGATTTTTTGAAAAGAAAAATTTCGTCTTAAAACGAAATGGTCTTTCACGCGCAATTGTAAAATGCGATTCCGAAAGTCTAATCTAAAATCCAAAAATTCGAAATTTCAAAAAGTCCGTTTTTTTTCAAAGAAAAAGGTGCCAAGAAAAGCGAATGAACGGAGAAAAAAAAGAAATTGATCACGCCAGAAAATTTATCTTTAGTTCAATCTGGACTTTACGAAGCTGATAAATGTCCAGCAGACCTGAACAGACTTTCAGATTTTTTTTCTTTCACAATATCCCTGAAAAACAAGATCGTAGAAAAATTTGTCAGGCTCATTTTTTTGAAAAATTTTTAAAAAAATTTGGCGGTTTTTTCATTGAATTTTTCTTTTTAAAAGATGTCTTGAAATACGTTGAAAAAAATGATATTACCTGATTTTTACGTAGCGTCCTTTTTAAAAAAATCAGGGAAAAAAGAAAAAAATTCAAAGTTTAAAGTCAAAGAGCTTTGTTTCGTGTCTTTTAGAGACCCCGGCTATATTTTTTTGAACGAAGTTTTTCGAGAAATGGACTCAAAAAAACACGTTATTTTTTTAAAAAAAGGATCTAGAAGGTTCTCTGCAACTCAAAGGCGTGTCAAAATAAATCCGGCAATTTTAAAATTGACGCTTTGATCGCTTAAAATGATTTCACGAAATGAAAAAAAAAATGGAATTTTGGGAGCTGTTAGAAAATTTGGGTCCTACAACAAAATAGGGACTTTTACGCGAGAAACTCCAAGCTTTCGGGAATTTTTAACGAAAATTTTAAACCCGGGCCTAAAAGTCGCAATTTCGTGGTAGGACCCGATTTCAGACGGCTCCCGGAATTTCAATTTTACAACTTTCGCAAAATAATTTTGAACGAATAACGCGTCATTATTGAAATCCGAAATCACTTTGAGCATGGCAAAGAAAAATACAAAAAAAAGTCGATAAAAACCAAGCCGAAATTGTTTAAATGGAACAAAAAATGTTCCCAAACCTTTAAGTAACCTTCAAAGTGCAGAAAATCTCTCCCAATAAAAATATAAAAATGAGATAAAACCGAAAAAAGTCGCAAATCGATTTTTAAAAAAAGCCAAGCGAAGAGCCGAGATTTTTTGAATGGAAAAGAGCCGGACGGCATGAAAACACGGGAAGAGTTCTGTAACGGCGTGCAAACAACTCGAGAGGCGCCCTTGTACCACTCGTATATCCGCTGCTGCTTCTTCTTCTTCTTCTTCAGCTTCTCCTCCATCTTTTTTCAGCTTCATCTTGTTTCACGCGGGGTGCGTGGGAACAGCTCGAGAGTTTGAGCATCCGCGCGGGGACAAGTTTATTCAGCTTCTTCCCCGAACGGTCTTGGCTCTCGTGCAACTTTTAAAGAAGGAAAAAAAAGAAGTGAGCAAATTGCAATTCAAAAAAGGTAAGGGGATTCCAAAAACTCGAAATTTTTTTAATTTTCAAAGACCAAAATACACGAAATAAGCTTCTCGCCTCAAGAATTTCACAAATTTGGTCCTTTTTATAAATCCTTGCAAGCATTTTTGTACACAATTTTTCATAAAAAAATCGATGAAAAAAAGGACATTTTGAAAATAAAACATTTCAGCATAAGAACTTATATTAGGCAGGGAAATGGCCGTTTTTTTCGCTGGCATTCGTTTTTTTCGAAAAAAATTTTTTTATCATCCAAAAAAATAGGGCGTTTATATAAAAATACACACTCCACATCTTTACAAAAATATCCTTGATCTTCATCTTCTATTCGAAATTAAAGCAAAGAATAAAACCCAAAAATCACCAAAAAGAATAATTATTTTTGCAGATTAGGCCTTTTTTTAAATAGAATTTAGTCTGGTGGCCATATGACAATCAAAAAAAGAGCTAAATGGCAAATTACAAGCAGTTCAGCATTAAAAAATAGATAAAACAAGCCTTTTTATTCATTGAAAAACGATAAAAAAGGACAAAAATACATTCCAACACTCCGAGTATAGGCTGATCAAGCTTCACGAAAAGAGAACGAAAAAGCGTGAACGAGGGGATCAGTGACGGAAGGGCGCTCAGTTTCTGCGAGGACACTCTCAAGAGGCTCGCCAAACCGAACGGACACTTGTCCCTGCCGAATCGTTTCATAAAATCAATCCAAAGATCAAGAGATTTCCGTCTGGTGGCCATATGACAATCAAAAAATCATTGAGGGCATCTAAATAAATCAAAAACGACGCAAGAGTTAAGAAAAGAGATCTCAGAACTTGATACTAATTAACTCAGGATCAGGAAGCGAAGAAAACTTCAAATCGAACTCAAAGCTTCCAACTGAAGTAATCATGCACCAATTTTTCGTCAAGACCGTAAAAACGCCAATCCGCACTGCTGACGCGTTTCTCGGAGGGATTATTTACGGCACGCCACTTCGAATTTTTCCAATTCAAGATATACCAATCAACAGTTTGTTTTTTGGATAGAGACATTCATTAACGTTCCATTTAATTCAATACTCAAAGGCGGTTTATTGTGGGAGGCAATAAAAGGCGTTTGGAAGTGATCGCTGCGGGTTTATGGGCCCAGGTAGGCTGACTGGTCCGTGCGGGCCTTGAACACTTGGGCTCCAGCTGAAAAAAAAGAATGAGAGATGGTAAGAAAGGTCAAATTTTGCAAGTTCAAGCTCTAGCTCAAGCTCAAGTTCAAGCTCTAGCTCAAGCTCAAGTTCAAGTACTAGATCAAGTTCTAGCTCAAGTTCAAGCTCAAGTTCAAGCTCAAGTTCAAGTTCAAGCTCAAGCTCAAGCTCAAGTTCAAGTTCTAGCTCAAGTTCTAGCTCAAGTTCTAGCTCAAGTTCAAGTTCTAGCTCAAGTTCAAGCTCAGATAAATTGTCCTACATCTTCAACGCTTATCAGATTATTTTCGACAAACTCACGGTTGGAGACGCCACCGGATCCGGCGCCGGCGTTGCCGCTGTTGCCCTGGGCGTACTCTTCGCGTTGGTAGTTGGACGAGGAGGCGTTGCTGCCCATGTAGCCGCTGGAGTAGCCGCCAGCCGACATGTAAGCCGATTTGTCCGCCATTGCTGTCGATTAACGCCAATGTAACGTCTGGGCAACATTCTGTCCCTTTTATATCCAATCTTATCTCTTCCAAAATCTCACGTTTCGTATTTTCAAGGGTAGTTACAATTGGTTTTCAATGATCAAACTAAAAACGAGCAGAAAAATAAAGTAAGAGACGTGTGAAAAGGGGAAGGTCAGACATCATTTCCTAGTGCGTTTCGACTAGCGTTGGTCCGAAGACGTGCTTGCTTTCTGCTCGAGGTGAATGGACTACTCAGATCAAATTGAGACTTCTCAACAAGATCTGGTTCACTAGAAGCCGTTTTCATTGCTGTTTCTGAATCCGTGCTCTAAAAATGCCTAGGAAGATATAGTCTGTGTGCTACGACTTGGAATTTCACCGAACGACATTCCGCTGTTCCGCTGCGTCGCTAAGCGTCTTTGCGAGCCTTGGTCTCGCTTGGATCGGTTCTCATTTCTGATTGTTCCACTAGGAACACGTGTTGGTCAAGTTCTTAAATAAAAGCAAAAATTAAAAGCGCGCAAAGGCACGCAGCGGAACAGCGGAATATCGTTCGATGAAATTCCAAGTCGTGGTACACAGACTATACGAACAAAGTGGCTTGGCTCGAAAATGTTGCCAAAAACTGAAATGACCTCTTTTTCGTGGTAAACAAGACTAGTTCTACAGCCGATCCACGCTTGGGAGGGGCGTGCGCTCTCCACAAAACAAACACTCTTTTCTTGTGTCATGTCAGGGCCCTTTTAACCAGCTGTTTTTTTCGAGCCTTGCGCCAGACCTTCTGGGAAAGTGTAGAGCATATATTCGGGACTTTCATCAAGTTTTTGATTCCAGATTCAGAATCCGAGTCGAAAACCGCGTCTAGTGGGCCTAGTCTCCCTCAAAAGTTCACTCATTTAAGGTTCATGTAATTCTGAACTTCAGCAGAGTGCGGCCAGTGAAGAAAAAGTGATGGAAGACTCGGTTTTGCAAGCTTCGATGGTACTGTCGTTGCTCGAACAGTTGCTGCAGCCGTTCCTACTAATATTGGCGTTTTCTGCCTTCGGCGTTTCGGCCTGCGGCGGCGTCAGTTTTCCCCTCCACTTCTGAGAAACAAAGCTTTCAGAAAAAGAAGAAAAAATCGTCGGAGGATACGGAAGCCGACGAGGACGAAGAAGACAACAGCGAGGACGAGAAGAAAAAGAAGAAGGCCAAGCCGAAAAAGAAGAAGACGTCGGGAGGGGGCAAGAGCGAGGGTGGTGCCGAGAAGAACAATGCTGGTCCAAAGGCTCCGGCCAAAGGCGGCATGGCCGGTTAGAGCTCCTTCTATGGAACTTGCTCACAGAGACACTTCTGAATTAGTTCAGTAGATGCAATTTTTGACGCTGATTCTAAACCTATGCTCAGAAACTGTCAGGGAAGTCTGTGAAAAAAGTTATGGTCGCTCAGAAGATTAGTCCTAGTCGAGTCTCGCTCTAAAAACCTGCTCGTTCGAAAAAACTTTCTTTCAATTTTGAGAGGCCATAACTTGCTTCCCAGACTCCTTGGACATTCCTAAGCAAGTCATCGAGAAAAAAAAGAGTTTCTGGAACTAAAACTACATCTGAGCTCTCCCAGTGAGCTAAGACCCTTCTCAGAAGCTCCCCAGAAACTCTAAGAATTCAGGAACCCACGATCCCAACTACCAGACGTTGGCCGGAATCGGCAACGACTGTTTCGGTGGCAAAGGCGGAGAAGCCGGCGCAGCTGGTGGAGCAGCACCTCAGGCTCCAAAGCAGGGAGGCATGGCCGGGACCCACGACCCTAATTACCAGACCTTGGCCGGCCTTGGCAATGACGTCTTTGCCGGAAAAGGCGGTGCTGCTGCTGGTGGCGCTGCTGCTGGTCCGGCGAAGCCTGCTGCTGGTGGAATGGCTGGTTAGTTTCTTTTCTTTAAGAAATCCAATTTCCAAATGTCGCAAAAGGACGTGGCCTGTCTGGGCACTCCACCAACCTATTCGAAAACAATTATTAAATCCTAACCAACTTTACAGGAACTCACGACCCGAACTACCAAACCTTGGCTGGCCTCGGCAACGACTGCTTTGGTGGAAAAGGCGGCGCTGCCGCCGGTGGAGCTGGAGGAGCTGCTCCAGTCGCCCCCAATCAGAAAGGAATCGCCGGTTCCTTCCATTTCCCCAACTAATATTATCAATTCAAATTTAGCCACCCACGATCCCAACTACCAGACTTTGGCCGGCCTCGGCAACGACTGCTTCAAGAAGTGAATTGTCAACTGATGGGAATATTGCTGCTTCAATAAAAACGTTTCCCAAAAGTTTCGAGTCCATCACTGCAAAGTATACAATCATGATAATAAAGAAAATATCGATTTTTCTGAGGATTCGATCAAGTCCGAATAAAGTGCAGTAAATTTGTTTAAAAAAATTAACTGAAAAAAGTCAATGCAGCAAAGTTTGGGTAATGATTGGAGTATATAGTAAGCTTTTTCTTTCTTTTGGAAAAATTAATTTTTTAATATATTGAAACTTTTTGAGAAAAAGCGTTCATTTTTTTCAATTTAATAAATTGGCTTGACTTTCCTGAAATGAAAGGATTCCGAAGTCGTGTTCGTTTACAAATTATCAAACCAATTTATCAACTTTTTTTCCAACGGAAAAAAATTTTTTTAATCAGATTTTTATTTTTTTAAAGAACCTTCTTTTGCGGAAAAATTTCCCTTTGGAGAATCAGCGATTTTTCATTCATAGAAAATCAAAATATAACCTTCGAAGGTGCTTCTAAATCAATTTCATTCCATTGAAAATATCGAAAAGTCTGGAAAAAGCTTGAAAAGTACAGCGTTTGCAGAAGTTTTCTAGAAAAATCGCCACACTTCGCGATTCCCTCTAGCCGTCTAGCGCGCTCTCATCTCCGCATGCACTCTCCACCTTCTCTCTAACCGCCCACACTCTCGTAAGCTCTAGACTTTTCGCGAAAAACGCGCATTTCGATATAAAATCGCGGCGTTTTCGATGGAATTCAGTCAGAAATCTTCTAAATATTCTCAATCTACTGCTTCCTACCGCTTTCTACCAACGCCAACATGTCTCTTCTGCTCTACGGAGGCCGCCGTTCGCCACTCGACGCCGTTTTCCGCGAGATGCGCGACTTGGAACGAGCCATGGTTATGCCCTACTGGCAAAACGCCAACTTCTTGGACTTCAACTCGGCTGCTGATGTTGGCGAGGTCAGTTTCTTCATTTAAAATGCAATTTGGTTGATTTACCGTGTTGTAGGTGATCAACGACGACAACAAGTACGGCCTGAAACTGGATGTGTCGCATTTCCGTCCCGAGGAGCTCCAGGTCAACATTGATGGCCGCAAGTTGACTATTGAGGGCAATCACGAGTCCAGAACCGAGCACGGAACTACTCAGAGGTACACTTTTGAATTTGGAAACGGTGGAAATTATGGATAAAATCGTATTCTTCAATCTAAATAAACAAATATGATTCCAGGTCCTTCGTCCGGAGCTTCTTCCTGCCTGAAGACGTCGACGTCTCCGCCGTCCGTTCCTCTCTGACCGACGACGGCCATCTCGCCATCGAGGCCCCTAAAGCGGCCACTTCTCGCGGCCGAGCCATTCCGATCACTCGCAACGCCAACGAAGCCATCAAGGCCAAGCCGCAGGAGAACGGCGACAAGAAATAATTCATTTAATACTTGTATAATTATTGCAAACTTGCGTTGTATTTTGTACTAATTTATATTTGGAAATAAATATGTATTTTTTTGGAAATATCGGTGTTTTTTTGAGGATCACAAGCATCAAAAAAATCCAAAGAATAACAAGAAAAAAGAAACTCTTTGAATAAAAAAACGAAAGATTTTTATATAGAATATATTGACAAGGTGCTTCGTTGGTGGTATGAAAAAAACACCAGCGAAAATTCAAACGGCGACTTTTCCGATTTTTTCGTTTCGCTAGGGAACTTTCCGACGGCCACCTTTCCGACGAAACTTTTTACGACTTTTTTCCCTTATGCTTTTCGGTTTATAAAACATCTATGAACATTTTTTTCCTATTTCTTTGTGTTTTAATTATGAACAAACTACCTACTTTATATAGGAAGATGTAAAACGAAGAGTTTATCGAGAAAAAAAGTCGGAAAAAAAGATTCGTCGGAAAGGTGGCCGTCGGAAAGTTCCCTAGCGATATGAAAAAAATCGGAAAAAGTCGCCATTTGAATTTTTCGCCGGTGTTTTTCATACCACCGCTTCGTTGAAAGCAAAAAAATTGAAAAATCAAAATTCATAAAAAGAATATTTATTCAATAAATATACTTAAAATTTTTCAAAAAAATACATGAAATATGACAACATGCGGGTGTGAAAAAATGATTCTTCACAATTTTTCGACAAGATTCGGCTGTTCGTTGGGAATGTCCCAGTTATTTCCTTTTTTCTCCTGGTTCGAAGTTTCCACGGCCAGTTTATCCGAGGTTTTCGCTGGCATGGCGCCAAGTTTCTTCATGATTGCTTCGATGAGCATCTTTTCGAGTCTTAAAATCAGATTTTTTTTAGGAAATATTTCTGGAATATCTCACTTTAAAGTGGGAACCTCGAAGTAGCAACTCCAGAAAAAGGCGCAGAAATAAGCCATCAGAGTGACAGGAATGACAAAGTAGAGGTACTGAAAAGAAGATTTTTCAGAAAAAATTTATACATTTTATAATTTTGAAGTTGAAGCTCTAAAATCTTTGTTTAGGCATTTAAAAAAACAATATTCTAAAATCCTACAGTTTGCCAAAGGGACACGAAATGCATGGATCCGTCCATGAGGTTGAAAAAGTAGTAGATGACCATCCAGTGGACAATATAGGCACAATAGGACAACCGGCCGAAGGGCTGCCAAATCGGATGGGACATGAAGTTGTTAATGGGTCCTGACGCGAAGGGATTACTGTAGAAATACTCTTTTCTCCTGATTACCTCCCCAGCCGAGATGATTCGCGATAATCACCCAGGAAACGGCCAGCGACCAGCCGATTCTATGAAAATTATAGTAGGTCGCTCTGACGAACTTGCTGAAAAAAATAAACGTTGAATCGAAGTTTCAAGATCCTTTTTCCATGCTTGAGGTTAACCAGCGGTTCGAAGACGGTATATTATCGGGTATACCGTATACCCGTTTTAAACCCGTATAAGCCCGCTGAGGCTCTGTTTTTGCGTCTCAGATTTTTGAAATGAACGCCGCTGGGTCACCTATTTCTCCTTGCACCCGTTTTTCGCTCGTTTTAGCCCAACTCTGACCTAACTAGCCTAGAAAAAGTACACGGGTTCAATACGGGTTCACCCAGCATGAGATCTTTTTCAATTTTTAGAAAAAAATAAGCGGAAAACGTAATTTTGAACATAATTTCAATTTTCGAGCATTTTCGCTTCAATTTTCGTTCAGAGTAGGAGTTTTGAAAAATACTTCACCAGGTGCATTTTTTCGTCAAAAATCTAATTCCGAACTTAAAAACTGTCCAAGTAGGTCTGTGAAAAAGTCATGGAGATTTTAACTTGAATGTATCGCTAGAGAAACCAGTAAAAACTAAATTTCTTCCAAAATGAGCTCAATCTGAAGCCTTTTTCAATTTTCAGGGGTCACATTTTATTGCAGTCACCCCTTGGCGATTTTCAGGTAAATATTCGAAATCAGGGCACAAAAATGCTATTTTAGGGCCTAATTTTAAAGAAACCTCCCTTTCCCTAGTGTGAAACTTTGTTAAAAATCTAGAAAAGTGAGCAAAAATACAACTTTTAAAGTGTAAAACAATATTTTCAAGCCTCCTCAAAGCCTCCAAAATGACCAAACCAGTACCTCCAATGATCCGCGCCACTGGTATAACCCTGAATCGAATAGATACAAGCCGAGCCGAGGACTCCAGCCGAGATCCATCCGATGACGATCAAGATCTTGAAAAATTCCCTTTTTCCTGGCAAACTCCTGTACAAATTACCCATGGAGCGCGAATTCTTCTGTTGCCAACCTTGGCCAGGAAATATCCGGTCAAAATTCCGATAAAATAGGGAGGACAACGGATCCAGGGCTTCACGTATATGTAGGGCATGAACTTTTGCTGTGGGCTGGAAATATTGTTTTTATTAAGGTTTGATACTTTTTTTGAATGTTTGAGTCATAGAAAATCGCGTTTTTTGCACATTTTTTGGGTCAAAGGTTGCAATTTTTCGATTAAAAAAAAGTCAAAATTTTAAGCTTGAAGTGTTCAAATTTAACACGCTGTCTCCGTTATTCTCAAAAATTTCTAAAAACAACGGGTACAATAAAAAAAAATATTTTTTGATTTCGACAAAACTTCATCCAGTGTGATAACCCATCATCAGAAATGCGGACCCAACTTTTTGAGCCATTTCCTCTTACTGTAGCCGGGTTACGGTAGGCAGGTGGGCACCTGCGTATCTCAGTATTTATGAGTTTTTTTATTAGGCAAGTGATATATCAATCGATAGGTAATTCAATTTTTAGGAACTTTTTACAGTACATACCATCATGGGTTACGGTGGGAAAAATTTTTGAGTTACGGTACTTTTTTTGTGTCCGCCGAGTCAGTTTTTTTCGACCACCATGAGCTTGAGCCGGGAGATCCATTCTTCCTAACTTCTCAAAAGATACCTTATGAGAAGCTGTACAAGCTGTTACTAGTTTGAAAAAATCCTAGGTGGACCATCATTTCGAAAAATCGCCTCGAAGGCGCGCAATCGTGGTCTTGCGGCGGCCAAGTGGGTGAAGTCCATGATGCCTGACGGCTCATTCTTCAGAGATCCATTCTAATCTTTGTTCCCATTTCACTAATAGACATCTATTATTGATTTTTATTTCAATTTGAGATGTTTTCGGGTTGACCATCATCTCGAAATTTCATTTTGAACCCAAATTTGGCCTAAAATGGCCGACTCGGCCTTTTTCACGGGATCCCTGACCCCGTATGTGACCGTTCTCAACTTTTTTCTTTCTTAAACATGAACAAGAGTGTCTGAACAACAGTTTTATAACAATCGGAAACCATTTTGAGAGGACCATCATCTCGAAATTTCATTTTGAACCCAAATTTGGCCTAAAATGGCCGACTCGGCCTTTTTCACGGGATCCCTGACCCCGTATGTGACCGTTCTCAACTTTTTTCTTTCTTAAACATGAACAAGAGTGTCTGAACAACAGTTTTATAACAATCGGAAACCATTTTGAGAGGACCATCATCTCGAAATATCGATTTTTAACATGAATTTGGCTTGAAAAACTTTTTGGTTTACCCTTCCAATGAAATTATTGGTTCCCTCAATACAGATCTTGGCCCTTTTTAACTTTTTTTGATGAGAATATAAAGATGAGAACTGAAAATAAAAATTTATTTTTGGACCAATTCCAAAATGACCGTTTACCTAGGAAACCCACTTTTTAAATAAAAATTTTTGCTTGAAAATCGAAATATTTTTGGTTTCTTCTCACAAAAAAATAGTCACAAGACGAATGTCTTGTTTTTTTAGGTATGAAAAAAATTTTTGAAGATTTAGAACTACTATTTAGGTTATAATAAAAAAACATTTTTTAAAAAAATCACCTTGAAAGTTAAGTTTCAACCTCACCGGTAGTCAGAAAGACGAGTTTTTCTCTTTTTATGAAAAAAATTTCTTGGTATTTCACATTTCTCATTTTTTTGATTAGCTGTTTTGAAAATAAATTGGCAGAATAGATTTCGATGTAAATGATAAAAACTTCAAATGGGGAAACTAAGCCGATATTTGAGTTCAAAATGAAATTTCGAGATGATGGTCCTCTCAAAAGGGGTTCCGATTGTTATAAAACTGTTGTTCAGACACTCTTGTTCATGTTTAAGAAAGAAAAAAGTTGAGAACGGTCACATACGGGGTCAGGGATCCCGTGAAAAAGGCCGAGTCGGCCATTTTAGGCCAAATTTGGGTTCAAAATGAAATTTCGAGATGATGGTCCTCTCAAAAGGGGTTCCGATTGTTATAAAACTGTTGTTCAGACACTCTTGTTCATGTTTAAGAAAGAAAAAAGTTGAGAACGGTCACATACGGGGTCAGGGATCCCGTGAAAAAGGCCGAGTCGGCCATTTTAGGCCAAATTTGGGTTCAAAATGAAATTTCGAGATGATGGTCAACCCGAAAACATCTCAAATTGAAATAAAAATCAATAATAGATGTCTATTAGTGAAATGGGAACAAAGATTAGAATGGATCTCTGAAGAATGAGCCGTCAGGCATCATGGACTTCACCCACTTGGCCGCCGCAAGACCACGATTGCGCGCCTTCGAGGCGATTTTTCGAAATGATGGTCCACCTAGGATTTTTTCAAACTAGTAACAGCTTGTACAGCTTCTCATAAGGTATCTTTTGAGAAGTTAGGAAGAATGGATCTCCCGGCTCAAGCTCATGGTGGTCGAAAAACTGACTCGGCGGACACAAAAAGTACCGTAACTCAAAATTTTCCCACCGTAACCCATGATGGTATGTACTGTAAAAGTTCCTAAAATTGAATTACCTATCGATTGATATATCACTTGCCTAATAAAAAAACTCATAAATACTGAGATACGCAGGTGCCCACCTGCCTACCGTAACCCGGCTACAGTAAGAGGAAATGGCTCAAAAAGTTGGGTCCGCATTTCTGATGATGGGTTATCACACTGGATGAAGTTTTGTCGAAATCAAAAAAATTTTTTTTTATTGTACCCGTTGTTTTTGAGAATAACGGAGACAGCGTGTTAAGATTGAAAAGGAATACACACTCAGGGCCAAGCGGATGAGTTGGAAGATCGTTCTGAATCATCAAAATGTAACAGGTCACGACACTTCCCGCACATGCCGCAACAATTGCCACGACTCCTGAAAATCTCATTTTCAATAATTCTCCTCCTATTCCGACGAGGGTAACCGGCCGGGCTAAAACGGGCTCTCAGCGGGCTTGCCCTCATTAAGCCCGTAGAATCACTGGTATAACTTATGGCATCTCTCTACTTATGAGGTTAACAAGCCGGGCTGAAACGGGGTTTTCTCGGGTGTGCCCTTGTTAAGCCCGCAAGAGCCCAATTGGTAGAATTCCTGGCATTTTTCATCAAAGTTAGCCACCGTTTTAGCCCGGTTATGCTCCAGATTTTTAAAATAATCATAGCTGGATCACCTATTTCTTCTTAAGCCCGATTTACTCCCGTTTTAGCCCAACTACCCTCAAAAAACACGGATTCAATACGGGTACACCCGTTGAGACACCAAGCCAGCATGAGAGCTTCAAAGTATGAATAAACACAAGATTTTAGAAACTCAACAACTGTGCGCCATTTGCAGTTAGCAACGCCCCCAAAACCGTGTCTTCAGTAAGTTGTTCCGTGTTACAATTTCAGTACTAATATCATTTTGAAAAAGACAGCCGTACTTCCAAAAAAAAAAATGGCTAACTTCTCCAAACTTCCTCTTATAAGGCTTCTAAAAGCCAGAAATATCTAACCAGTTTTCAAAGTTTCCGAGTAAATTAACTTGAAATTAAAAAAAAAAAACTAGAGATAGAACTTTTTCTCAGTGGAGCGCACATGTGCTTATTTTCAAGGCAGTTTTTGAGTTTTTTTTTTCTCCTTTCCTGGTAAAAACTCTAGTAGCCACTTAAGAGGTTCCGCAAGGAAGTCAAACATGAGGGAAAAAAACTTATACTTTGAAAACTAAAAATATCATTGTTCGTTCACTTTTTCTCTTTTCTTTCCCGCTCCCCAAAAAAAAAATCAATCGTAAAGCAGCGATTTTTGTGATTCACACCGAATTTCTTATCACTCCCACTTTCCAATCGTTGTCATTTATCTGTACTTTGTCCTGCCCCTATTATTCACCACGGCATTGACTTTTTTCAAACTTTGAACGAAGTTCCATTTTTTTTTTTCGAGTTTTAACTCACCAACGACCGCCGAAAAATACAAAGCGATGAGGAAAATCGGGATAATGACGTAAAGTTGGGTGTCCACGGCCAGGTACCAGGAAGGGCCGTAGCACTGGAAAAAAAAAATCGATAAAACTGATTTTTTTTTTGATCAAAAAATAAAGCAATCAGAACTTTGAAAAAAATATTTCCGCTTTTTCTTTTTGAGAAAAATGAATTTTCATATATTTCAGGAGCAAAACACGACCTGATCCAAGCATAAAAAATTTCTAAAACTGCAGAAAATCTAAGAGCTCATTAAAGACTACAGTAACCTGACTACTGTAGAAAAAACGCTGGATTATCAAAACTCACAAAAAAAAAACTGAGCGCTACAGTAACCTGACTACTGTAGAAAAAACGCTGGATTATCAAATTTCACAAATACCTGATCAATTTTTCTGCTTTATTCAAGTTTTCTGTACTTTTTACTATAAAATTCGGATAGAATCGAAATTTTATGATAAAACTGACTAGTGAGAAATTCAAGGCCACAGGTTAAAAAATGTGAATCGAACCAATTTTCAGCATATTTTCTCTGAAGGAAGACTAATTTTTCGATGATTTTTTCTGATTCCTGAATTTTTAGCTTTTAAAAATTCTCCTATTCAATTTCCTCAATGATTTCATTGAAAATTCCATTTTTACCTGATCATTCATATTAAAATTGTTGATATAAATGAGATTTCGCCACCAATATTTGGAACATGCTTGGACTTGTGGGGTTATTTGATCTGAAAATTAAATATTATTATGATTGGAATGACCCAAGCCATTTAGAGCTAGAAATTATTCTCAAACATCAAATTTTTTCTTGAAAACTGAAAAAACGAACTAAAAGACGAGGCGGTCCACGGGCCATAGATATAATCGCCATAAACAACGAAAAATCCAATGAAAAGCATGATTGGCGGGGTCAATCTGAAGGATTTTTTAAGAACATCCAACTTTATAAATTCATGAATTTCTTAAAAACTCACCTCAAATACCGATGAACATAGAACATGATCCAAGTGATTGGGTTCGTGATAACCTTTCTTTTCGGAGCATTCTGAACTTCCTTCTTTCATTTTTGGTTTGGAAAGTCTACACCTTGAAGAAGAGATAAGCTACAACAACGCCAGAGAGTACGAAAAAGGTGTCGACGGAAACAAAAGCGTTAATAAACGTCTCGTTGATCCAATCTTTTCTCAGTTTGAAAAGTGGGCTGAAGGTATCTAAAAAAAAAGCCGTTTGGATTTAATTTTGAGATGGAAAGATGACTCGAAATAGAACTTCAAAACGAAACCCTACGAAAAAAAAAATGAAAATCTTCATGTTTTTCTCAAAAATTTGCGCTCTATGGACACAATAGGGTATTTTCCGTTTACTGCCCCAGTAGGAGCCTGAAAAAAATAAAGAAGCTTCAGGGTCTTTCGGACGATTCTGAACCCATTAGTGATCACTCAAGCAGCTCTTCTAGTGCTTCTTTTATTTCTACTTGGAATAATCATAATCGGCCCGTCCCGCTAACGCCACTAAATGCATAGCAAAAAATTTAGCCTCGCTTCTTTTATTTCTACTTGAAAAAATCATAATCGGCCCATCTCGCTAACGCCACTAAATGCATAGCAAAAAATTTAGCTTTGTAAAACACGAAAAACTTCAGAAACGCTAGAGTGTCCCCTAGAGGGGCACTAAAGCTTGCAAATGTGGCCACTTTGGCGGATTTTAGTAAATGGTCCTATGCCTCTTTTTAACTTCAAAGCAACGGCATAAAGTTATAGAACCACTATAGGGGTCACTTGAGCTTTAAAGGCTCAGTGTCAGACACTGAACTCCTAAAGGGACCACTTAAGTAATTAACCCTCTAGGAGCCTTTTATTACCCCCAAGAGGGGAGGGGGTGTTTTTTTCTCCAATCCCTCTATGGTCCACTTTAGGATTTCTAAGTCTTGGAACTCCAAGTGAACATTGAAGGTATCCTAACATCCCTTTAGTGGTCACTAGGCTAAAAATCGACGAAGGGCAAGGAAAACGACGCTCTCTGTGTATGTACAGCCGCATGAATTTTCAATTTGAACTACTTTTTCAAAATCTCTAAAGTTATTTCCTACATAAAACTATCTAGGGACCACTTAAGTGTGCTGACGCTTCTGAAGTAGCCACTAGACAAGTCCGATTAGCGTTTAAAAGGTCCAAACATGGAGAAACAAGACATTTTTGTCCGCAGAGCGCGAATCATCAAGAAAACTGTGGATTTTTTTTTGATTTCAAGTTCAAAACCACCAACCAGACATGATGAAATCGCCGATGACATGTCCAGAAACGACCCAAGACATTGAGAAAAAGCGGATACAGTCCAAACTTCGGATATGGCCCTCTTTGGGTTCCTTCACCGATAACAACAGTTCGGCGTTGGTGTAGATCGAAAAGGAAGACAGCAGTCGGAGTACTGTAACCGTAATATGACTCCAAGACTACAGTAAGCCCCATACAGTAGTTGGTCTCCTTGGCGGACTTGACGCCGTGCAAAGTTTCCCGCAAGTAATCCACCACACTTGCCGTCATCACTATCACCGTCATGGCTATCAGAAAACCTCTGCAACCGATTTTTAATACTCTATAATACACTTAAAATCTACGTATAGACCCAAAAAGCCGTATTTTTGGGCGGCGGTTCTCGCGGGCAAAGCGCCGTGCAAGCCGTGAATATCCGATTTGGATTGGCATTGTAAATGGCAGCGATATCCTTGAAATTAATTACGGTATGATTGATGACTGTTTCATTTTTCTTACAGTTTTCCCGCAGCTAACCGGCACGCAAATGGCTTGTCGGATGGGCGGGGCAATACAGGTGGCGTTCTAAAAAAAATTATTATTTTTTTGAACTTTCCTAGAGTAATATGTTTCTTCAAATACTTCTAGAGAATTGATTTCTTTATAAGATTTCAGAAAATTCCCGAATGTGAAAGAGAAAACTTCAGCAAGTTTCAGCCTAGAAAAAATTCTATTATTTTGCGAAAAGGCCTCTTAAAAATCGAAGAAAAACTATGAAAAGCTGAGAAAACAGGCCATATGGATCACTTTTTTTTTCTCAAAAAATCATAATTTCTGTAGTTGGGAGCTTTTTGGATGTTAATCTAAAACATCAAAGAGTATTCTAACCAAAATTCAGAAAATCAACAGCCAAAAAAATTTTGCCTACCTTGCTAGTAACTTTAAGTAAAATCCTTCTGTTTAGTTCGATTAAATGTCAAAATTTTCAAGCCAAATCATTCAAGACCTTTTTACTGATGCACGAATCAAAATACAGTTCAAAAACTTTCGCACCCCTAATCATATTCATGACGACGCTGAAGTTGACGCAGATCAGTCTCTTTAAGCGGTTTTTCTCGATTGACACTGGCCAATTGATAATGAAAAGAGATGCTAATAAGATAACCGTTCTTTGGAAGGAATTCGTTACGAATTATCAGTACGTCATCTCTTTTGAACTCACAAAATTGATATCACAGTTTGTCCTATGGATGAAGCAAATCAAGTCTAGTTTATACAGATAACAGTAGTTAGAAAAATACAGGGAGAACTAAACCGAAAAAAGAACTTCCAATTTGCACTTTCAAATAACAATAGAATCAAGCTTTTTCAGAAGATTTTACTATAAAAACTTTTTTGACCGCTCAACGAACTTTTTTATCAGGAAACCCATGAGAAGGCCATGATTTACTGCTTTGCTCAAACCTTTCCAATGGCTAGACGAATGTAGCAGTACTTGGTGTCATAAGGAGCCGATTTTCCAGCCGCATAACATCCTGCGGAGGATCCTTCGATGATCACTCTGTACTCGAACTCTCCCGGTGCCGGAAAATGACCGGACGCATCGTATTCTAAGAATTTGATCGATGAAAATGAAGGAAAAGATGTAAAATTTCAAAAAAAAAAAATGGGAGAAAAAAATGAAATCCCTAGAGCGGCTACAAAGAGTAGTTTTTGTCGATAGCGCGCATTTGGTCAGTTTTTTATCGATCGGTTATTTTATTTGTTTATTTTGGCTTTTTTCTGTCATTTTTTCTTTATATTCTTCTGTTTGATGTAGGGGTTTAAAATCGCAGATGATTTGAAAAATCTGAAATTCCATCGGAAGTGACTCTTCGTCTTGAAATTTTTAAGCCTTGTCTGTTGTTTTTTCAACAACGCGTTAATTTTTAAACAGACGAAAGAAGTTTTTTTTTGACGGTTTATATTCATCGAACTTTATCAAACACCTTGCCGTGTAGAATCAATTTTTCAATGACTATTTTTTTCTAAAAATGAATCATCATCTCACGTTTCAAGGCGTACAAGTTGTCCTTGAGGATCTTCTTCTGTTGTGTAGTGCAGTTCTGAGTGATCAGACATTCAGTTTCCGTTGTGACGAAAGCCTTGAGAGAGGTCGAATATTTGTCGGTGTCATTTTGACATTGGGGAGAAAGATTCGCAGATTTCAACAGGAACGGGTTTTCAAAAGGTAGCTGAATAGGAAAAAGATGAGGTTTTGGATCCGCGCCAATACAAACCTTATCCGCTCCGACAGAGACAAAAATCAAAAATAAAAAAAGAGAAGACGGTAGGAAGGAGGGCATTCCCGAGACGGCTGATTTTGCTCCGCCATCATTCATTCATTTATATGGAACACAGTTGAGATAAGAGTTTTAACGAGGCGGAAATCGATAAGGAATTGTCTTCGCCCACAGCACAAATTACAGAAAGAATCGTCACTTTTCGCTCTATCGCCAATGATTAATTCCTGTTCCTTGATTGTGACGTGGCGAGTTCATGACTCCAGTTCTTTTGATTCTTTTCCCTCCGATCTCCGGTTTACATGTGTCATATGAGAAATATTCGTTCCTTTTATTAATTTGTTCAAAATTATACAATTTATGACAATTTGCGGATAAATTCTTACATTTTTCACAATTTTTCGACAAGATTCGGTTGATTGCTTGAGATTTCCCAGTTATTTTCTTTCTTATCTTGTCTCGAAGTTTTCGCTCGCATGGCTCCAAGTTTCTTCATGATTGCTTCGATGAGCATCTTTTCAAGTCTAAAAATCAGATTTTTTTAGGAAAAATTTCTGGAATATCTCACTTCAAAGTGGGAACCTCGAAGTAGCAACTCCAGAAAAAGGCGCAGAAATAGGCCACCAAAGTGACAGGAATGACAAAGTAGAGGTACTGAAAAGAGGGTTTTTTAGAATCATTTATATAAATTCTATAATTTTTTTAAGTTGAAGCTCTAAAATCTTTTTTAGGCAATAAAAAATCAATATTTCAAAATCCTACAGTTTGCCAAAGGGACACGAAATGCATGGATCCGTCCATGAGGTTGAAAAAAAGTAGTAGATGACCATCCAGTGGACAATATAGGCACAATAGGACAACCGGCCGAATGGCTGCCAAATCGGATGCGACATGAAGTTGTTGATGGGTCCTGAGGCGAAGGGATTACTGTAGGAAGGCTATTTTCTCCTGATTACCTCCCCAGCCGAGATGATTGGCGATAATCACCCAGGAAACTGCTAAAGACCAGCCGATTCTATGGAAATTATAGTAGGTCGCTCTGACGAACTTGCTGAGCTTTATTCATTGAAAATAATACGCATTTTTCCATGAATAACCTCCAATGGTGGCCAGCATTATAATTTTGGATTCCATAGAGGGAAGCGGAGCCGATAATTCCAGCACAAGCCCACCCAATCAGGATCAAGATCTTGAATTCATTTTTTGAAAATTTTTTTTTTCTTTTTTTTAATTCTTTTTCTGAAAGAAGGTTGTTCCATCGTTTTGATGTTTCAGCTTCTCTTTTTATACCTTCTTTCAAAACACTAATTTTTGGATCTAAATAGGCTCAAATCAAGTTTTTAGGCTTCATGGTGTATCAAGAAACTTTTCGGCTAATCGGAGCAATTCTAGTGGCCCCTTAAGCGGTTTCAGCACTTAAGTGATTACTCGAGACGCTCATAAACGTCCAGTTTGCGTTACCGAGGTCCGATTGGCTTCAAAATAGTTTTTTTTTTCTGATACAGATTTTTTAGAAGCTCTGCTTTCCACTCAAACAGAGAGCGAGAAAATCAAAATTCAAAAAAAAAATCTGATCACCTACAACTCACCCACGGAGCTCTCACCCTTCGATTCCCAATTTTGGCCAGTAAATATCCCGTTAAAATCCCGATAAAGTAAGGAGGGCAACGGATCCAAGGCTTTGTGTAGAGAAGGGACATGAACTTTTGATGAGAGCTAAATAATAAAGGAATATAGAGAAATAACTTTCTGATGAAGTCTTGGAAAAAGTTAACCGATAAACTTCTAAACTTGGTCGAAATTTGACCCTATTTACCTCTAAAATACCATTTTTCAAAGTTTTCATGGCTAAAATATCTGAAAAAAAAAATAATTTGACAAAAACCTACCTATGGCTGAAAGGTTGAAGGGGAAGATCGTATTGGAAAATTAAAATATAACACGTCACAACACTAGCCACACAAGCCGCAACAATCGCCAGAATTCCTGTTGTTTTTCATATAAAACAAGTAAAAAGCTTCGAAATTGAAAAATTATAGTTAAAGACCATTTTTGTGTTTCAAGATGCCTTATTATTGTTCCCTTTTGAGAATTCTCCGTTCTCCTTTCCACGAGAAGGCTCCCGAAAAATGTGCACACATTGCTTTTATTTTATGTCACGCCCCAAAAACCATGCCTACACTCGGGAGATCGTCTTTCTGATCCACTTGGTGCTTTTGCCGAATACTTGGGGAGTTGGGGTTCAAAAAAAACCGAGAACTGATCAAAAATCGTCTTGATGTACGCTCCATGGACAACTTCAACATTCTATCTGACCCCTTAATGAAAACCAGACGTTTCTGAGCCCTTCTAGGGATCACTTAAGAGTACTGACGCCACTAAAAAATTCTCTAGAACTTTGTAAGAAACGTCCGGTACCAGGGTCTAGCAGGGCGATTCACATTTTTTTAAGTGAACACTAAAGGGCCGCTAAAACTACTCCAGTGCTCCCAGAATGCATACACAATATAAGCCTGACTCGCGACAGCCAGTTCCCCCAACCGCCCCCCTCTTTAGAGCCACTCCTATAGGAGCCACTGAAGCTCAAAAAGAAAGAAAAATATCAATGGATCAGACTCTTTAGGGACCACTCCAGCTTTGGGGATCTATGAGTCACAAATCCCCATAGAGGGCTCTTTTTTGTCCCATGTAGGGCTATTTTTTCTCCTTGTTGGAGCATAACGCTTATATTAAGCTGATTCTAGAATGTTCTATAGTTTTCCATACATTTCTAGTCTCATTACGTCATAGGGATCATGTGTAAAGGTTTCCCTTCTAGAAAGTTCCACAATCTTCTCATTTGTTCTCTACCTTTCTAGAAGGTTCCACATTGTTCTCAAATGTTCTAATGCTTTCGGGACAGATCTCTAAAAACTCTGGAATGTTCCATCTTTTTACTCTAATATCAATACTATCTAAACTCCACCTTTATTCCGGAACATTCCATAATCTTCGGGATCTCTTCCCTCAGCACTATATAACACCTTGTTTGTTATTGTAAAAGGGGCTAGCATAGTCTAGTTTCTTGTTATTAATTAATCTTCTACTACAACGTCTTCACTGGCCACCTGCGGGCACAACATCTGGCGATCAGGATAGCAGCTACGTCGACAACAGCTTCAAGTCACGATCACCAGAACAACATCTGGCGATCAGGATAGCAGCTGATTGGACTCCACTTCATTCCGGACGACTACAGCTGACGAATTCACCGTGCTCCGCAACCAGATCAGATACGTCGACAGCATTCAAGTCACGGTCACCAGCGTAACATCTGGCGATCAAGATGACTGTCGGAACGTCTACGCTTCAACGCCAACGACGACCAACAGTCGAATTCATGGATTCTCCACCACACTGCCGTCAACCGAGAGGGATCGACAACCGAAGCAACAAGCCGGGACGCCGACAAAACTCAAGGACTGCAGAAGAACAAGTCGCGCACCGTTCAGTGCGTCCAGCAGAAGGAAGTCGCACTTCACAACGCTCCAGTCGTTCAAGACTGGAGGCCAGCACCACATCGGGATCAGCCGCACATTATTACGGAAGATCAGAAGATGGTAAAGCTGTGCGTCAAAGACGTCGCCAATCGAAGACGACGCCGACCGTGGAAGATCAGTCGATGGTTCCTCAATCTGAAAGTTCTACCGGAGATCCATCTCAACCTGTCAACGTCGTATCATCCGTCATCGAACTTCTCGACAGCCTCGTCAAAGGTCATGATCGGACCTTGGAAATTCTTCGACAACTCGTTGAAGTGAAGCAACAAGAGGAGAAATTCAACGACGACCACAAGACGAAGAAGATATTGCAAGAAACACCGCTTCTTTCCTCCCACCGTCAACGTTGGCCCGAGTCACCGTCCAGAAGCCGTACGACCACGCCGTCTGGAAAGCCTCGTCGACAAGAAGAACCTGGCACGACTTCAGTTTCTGAGACCAAAACTGGCGCTGATATCACGACGATATCAGTTTGGACTCTGGACAAGATCAAAGAAGACGCCGTCGCACAACTTCCGTCGAAGTTCGACTCCGTCGCCGCTAAAAGTTTCGAGAGCTGCACGAATTCTGAAGCTGATCTCATCCTGAAACCTGAAGCGTCACCGGTTCAAATGAAGCGACTCAACTTCGTCACTCAACCTGCGAAGACCGACAAAGACGTACACCATCAAGAAGGCGACGTCAACAATGTCAACAACTCGCATTGGGCAGCTCCTAAGGTCATGGTCAAGAAGAAGAAAGTGCACAACTTTTCGACCAACTTCAACGACTCGCTGTGGTTGCACCAGCAGCAGCGCTCATCTTCTGAGGACGACTTCAACAAGCTGATCGGAGGACAGCTCAAGCAGTTCGACTATATCAACGAATTCATCCGTTTGCGAGACGTTGGGTCGACTGTTCCTGGCATCAGCGAGATCTTTGACTCCAAGATCTCAGCACAAGGCGCTACTTCGAATGCAGACTACAACGTCTACGGCCGCAGTACCAACGAAGACCGCCACTCAATGGAAGCTCCATGGTACTACAACAGCTTCCACGCTCACCTGTCGATGTGCAACACTTCGCTTCTGCCTGACGCTTGGTACATCAGACAGCTCGACAAGGACGAACGCTTGGACCCCGAGTTGGGTCACTCCAAAAGGATGCCGCCACCGCTCAACTACGATGGTTCGCAGCTCATCAAGTTGACGGATTCAACAATCATTGACGACGCCGTTGCCGCAAAAGACAACAGGAGCCGCACTTCTCCTGCTGCAAGCCGGTTCAACTACCAGTCGCTCAACTGGTCGAACGAGTGCCACGTTGCCGTTCTTTGCGCCAAGGAACTGCCTGCCTCGTACCTGCTCAACAACGTCAAGCCGAACATGGTCCACGCTGTCACGGCCGACTCCATCGACTCCATCGGAAGACATCGAGCAGCATCTTTGCGTCGACATCCACGTGAAACCTGCAAGCAGACATGCCGACAACGCCACGGGTTCAACAGCGCAAAGAAGATCAACACGTGCAAAAGAACACTGCGATCGCTGAGACGACGACGCCGCCGCAGACGTCGCCCACCAGACGGTTACGACTTTGTTCAAGCCGTGCCCAAGACGCTCAACACGTCAACTTCACGCTCCTGAAGTCAAACATCCCTATTCCTACAACGTTAGTTTACATGTATCAGATGATTATTTTTTTCTTTTTCTTTCTGAAATGTAACAATCATCTTAGGAGGGAGGTGTTGGAGCATAACGCTTATATTAAGCTGATTCTAGAATGTTCTATAGTTTTCCATACATTTCTAGTCTCATTACGTCATAGGGATCATGTGTAAAGGTTTCCCTTCTAGAAAGTTCCACAATCTTCTCATTTGTTCTCTACCTTTCTAGAAGGTTCCACATTGTTCTCAAATGTTCTAATGCTTTCGGGACAGATCTCTAAAACTCTGGAATGTTCCATCTTTTACTCTAATATCAATACTATCTAAACTCCACCTTTATTCCGGAACATTCCATAATCTTCGGGATCTCTTCCCTCAGCACTATATAACACCTTGTTTGTTATTGTAAAAGGGGCTAGCATAGTCTAGTTTCTTGTTATTAATTAATCTTCTACTACAACGTCTTCACTGGCCACCTGCGGGCACAACACTCCTAAACCCTTTAAGGACCACTATGGCGTTCATAACGGATCCTATTGATTTTCTTCCTTTTTATTCCTTCAATCATTTTTCTGATTCTCTCTTTACGTCATAACCCTTCGGATCAACTCAAATAACGTCGTTCAATGCATATTTTTTCCTATGATTCACACATTTCTCATCTCTTTCTCTAGTTCAAATCGTTATCAGCATTTCGTATCTTTGCATATTTGGGTATTTACCGCGGATTATTGTTTTCCTAAGCTTTTGGCATAGATTTCGATATTTTCCTGTTCAGCTAGACAGTTTCTTTTGGACTCACCAAAAACGGCCGAGAAATACAAAATTATGAGGAAAACTGGAATAATAAGGTAAAGTTGAGTGTCCACAGCCAGGTACCACGCAGGTCCGTAGCACTGGAAAAAAAAAACAATGAAAATTCAAAATGTTGGTCAATTTAGCTCCATGGGGATATTTTCAACATGCGGGATGATTTTTATTTCAATCTCATTATATTTTCAAATTTCTGAGTCTGTTTTAACCAAGGTTACTGTAGTGAAGAGACCTTAACTTCAGTTCTGCGTAGCCAAAAATGTATTCTCACAAAAATGTTTAGCTGATCGTTTCAAGGCCTCCTTCTGACAAGCAATCCAGTACCCCGTTTTTTTTTTAGTCAATTTTGTTTTAATTAAAATTTTTTCCTGTTCAGACAGTCTTGAGATATTTTCGTTCTGATTTTATAAAATTTCTATCGACTTGGTACACTCTGACTTCTCTGCAATCTCTTTTCCCTTACCGACAAGCAAAAATGAAAATGCTAGGAAAAAACTTCAGTGATCACTTTGAGGGATTAATGTTTCAGGGGCTACTACAGTGGTGAAATTGATAAAGGAAAAACTTCAGTGACCACTTTAGGGATTTGACGTTTCAGAGGCTACTATAGTAGTCGACTTGCTGGTAGAGAAATATTAGTGGCCGGAAAAACTCGTGAAAAAACTCAAATGGCCGCTATTTCGATAACCACTAGAACGTCAAAGCCCTAAAGGGACCACTAAAATGTTTTTCCAGTAGCTTTAATGGCCAGCCATGTAAAAGCCCTAAAGCGACCACTGAAATGTTTCAGAATAGCTCCAGTGGCGACATTCGACTCGTATAGTAGCCACGTCAAAGTCCTAAAGTGGTCAGAAATTTTCACAGTAGCCCTCAAAAAACTAGAGTTCCGGGATAAGAGGAGAGCGCAGACAAGTCAGAAAATCATGAGGAGTTTCTGGTCGTTCTTTTTTCATAAATCGTGGTTTTTATTAACAAAATTTTCTTTTTTTTTTTGTTTTTTAAAGTTTTGAAGTTGAAATCTTTCTCAAAGCTTTTCTCGCGAATTTTTTTCCCTGAAAACAAACCTCATTTTTTAGGTCAAAGTTGTTGATATAGATAAGATTACGCCACCAATATTTTGCGCACAGTTCGACCTGATCAGGTATCGGATCTAAAAATGTTTTGTTTTATGATCAAGATAACTTTTTTCAAAATTTCGCTGAAAATACCAAAATAGACTAACTGAAAGCGGAAGCGGACCACGGGCCATAGATATAATCGCCGTAAACGACGAAAAATCCAATGAAAAGCATGATTGGTGGGGTCAATCTGAAGGATTTTTTAAGAACATCCAACTTTATAAATTCATGAATTTCTTAAAAAAAACACACCTCAAATATCGATGAACATAGAACATGATCCAAGTGATTGGGTTCGTAATAACCTTTCTTTTCGGAGCATTCTGAACTTCCTTCTTTCATTTTTGGTTTGAAAAGTTCTAAACCTTGAAAAAGAGATAAGCTACAACAACGCCAGAGAGTACGAAAAAGGTGTCGACGGAAACAAAAGCGTTGAAAAATGTCTCATTAATCCAGTTATCCCTCAGTTTTATCATTGGACCGAGGGTGTCTAAATATAACTTTTTCATGCGGAAAATTAACAATAAATGGAAAAACTGTAGTGGTCTTTTAAGTGGTTCCTCTTGAGAAAGACATTAAAGTGGTCACTAAAATCAGCTATAGAGAAGTCACTATTTTGTGTCTTAATTATCCGTAGTTTTAGCGCTAGCAGTACCACGACCAATAATTCCACCACTATAGTGGCTACTTGACGTCGAAACCCTAAAGTGGCCCTTAAAATTTTCACAGTAAAGTGATAAATTCAAAATCAAATTACAACTGAACAATAGCCTTTGAATCATTGAACTTTTCATTTCCCTATCCTAATTTTTTTTCAGCTGATTTGGAGCTCAGTTCAAGCTCGATAGAATCCAAATTTACTGACCGGAGAACAAAAAATCTCCGAGAAGGTGACCAGAAACGACCCAGGACATTGAGAAAAAGCGGATACAGTCCAAACTTCGGATATGGCCCTCTTTGGGTTCCTTCACCGATAACAACAGTTCGGCGTTGGTGTAGATCGAAAAGGAGGACAGCAGTCGGAGTACTGTAACCGTAATATGACTCCGAGACTACAGTAAGCCCCATACAGTAGTTGGTCTCCTTGGCAGACTTGACGCCGTGCAAAGTTTCCCGCAAGTAATCCACCACACTTGCCGTGATCACTATCACCGTCATGACTATCAGAAAACCTCTGCAACCGATTTTAATGCTCTGAAAGACCCTGAAAACCTACGTATAGACCCAAAAAGCCGTATTTTTTGGCGGCGGTTCTTGCGGACAAAGCGCGGAGCATGCCTTGAATGGTTCTTGAGAATTAGCGTTGTAAAACTCTGCAATGTCCTAAAAATTCCTCATACTTCATTAGTTAAAATTATCAGTGCGTACAGTTGATCCGCAAGTTTTTGGCATACAAACTGCTTGTCGGATGAAGGCGCCGGAACAGGAGGCGTTCTGAATTATTTCAAACTTTAAAAATGACCTTAAAGTTAACGTTTTCCCTTAATTTGAGAATCTCGCTAGTGAATTACTACTTTTCTGTAATTATCAACCACATAATTCTGAATTTTTTGATTCCTGAAACATGAAATCGGGACACCTACAGCCTAAGTTATGATTTTCTGAACTTAACAAATGAGCTTAAAGTTGAGGTTTTCTCAAGGTTTTTGATAATTAATCATTCAAAACTTTGAAAAATTGCCATATAATTCAATTTTCATGGCTTGTTTATCGGAAGAAAAAGGAAACTTGCTCGGAAAACGGAACAAATCAGTATTTATTACAGTTTCGTGACAATTTTGGCTCGCCAATAAACACTTTTTTCAAATTTAGGTTGAAATATCAATTACCTTTCCAGCAACAAGAAGCAAATAACAATATTTGGTAGTGTAAGGGGCCGTCTTTCCAACTTGATAACATTCTGTTGAAGATCCTTCGGCGACCAACTTATATTCAAAGAATCCGGGTGCGGGGAATCGACCGAATGCGTCGTATTCTAGAACAAAACATTCGAAAGACAAAAAAAAACACAAAGAAAAGGAAAATTATTTTTAAAAATTCCTGATTCCACTCAAGGGGCGGTGAAGTGAGATTTTCTTTATCATTAGCGCGCGAACGATTTTTTAAACTTTTTTTCTCTTTGTTTTTTTTTTCCGAATAGCTTTTTGATTCGCTGCTGTATCCGCTTCATTTTCTTCAATTTCAACTTAAATTTTTCATTTCATATGATCTTTTTACTAAATTATTTTTTCTCCGGTTTTTAAAGAGTTCTCTGTCTTAAATGATTGATAAAATAAAACTCACGTTTCAAAGCATACAAATTCTCCTTGATGCTCATCTTCTGTTGGACAGTGCAATTCCCATAAAGCGCACATTTGTTTCCATTTTCAAAAACAATTTTGAGGGAAGTTGTCCATTTCTTAGTGTCATTTTGACATTGTGGAGAAAGTTTCGCAGAATTTGGCAGTGGCGGATCGTCAAACGGATACTGAACTCCCAAAAAATTTTTGAGCTTTTCAAAATCTAGATAAACTTCGGAACCGTTAATAGACGAAAAAATGAAGAAGAGAACAGAGAATAATTGAAAAAAGGGCATCCCCAAGGCAATTCCGTATTTTCAGTCATAAATTTTCGATTTATAATGGATTGGCTCTGAGATAAGGTTTGAAACAAATCAGAAACTGATAATGAGGTTCCCGAAAGCAGAAAGCAGAATTTATCGTCATTTTTTGACTTAATGAGGCGAAAAAACGCTCATTTGATCATTTGAATCTTCTTGTTCATACATAACATTCGTATTATTTTTTTCAAAACCATTTTCACAAAATTCAGAGTATTTTCTTATAATTCCGTTTTTCACAATTTCCGAGTGGTTTTTTCTTGTATAAAATTGCGTGGGACGAACTCTTTGTCAATTTTATTACAGTTGATAAAAAAGTCATAAAGTTTTTAGTGACGAACGGCTTATCAGTCTAGCGACCTTTCCGATTCTATTTTTATAGCACTTTGTTCATATTTTGAATGTCAAGTACAATGACGTCATTCGGAAAGGCTCTGTGAATGGCTCGCTCTCTGATTGGTTTATTGCGTCATTAGGGGCGGAGCTTGAGGGCCGACTTGAGGTTCCAAATTTGAGTACATTATGAAACCTTTGTTCGGAAGATCATTTTTCTCAAAAAAACAAGAAAAAAAAAGGTTTTGAACTTCTCGATCTTATTCAGTTTCCTTACAGGTCAAGTCTTCTGCAAACTTCTAAAATGTCTAGAATAAGCTATATTTATTAGAAACGACAATTTTTTCAATAAAAAAACTTTCAAATTTTCGAAAAATGCAAAGGAGTAGGAATGTCCCAAGAGGTGCTGACGGTTGACGTCTCCGACTTATTTGATGAATTATTTTTGATTTTTTTCGTCACGGTATCCATCAACATCCTTTGGAGTCTGAAATTAGAACTTCCCAAATTTTTTCTTTCAATTTTTCCCTTCAACTCACTTGAATGTTGGTATTTCGAAAAATGAGCTCCAGAAAAAGGCGCAAAAGTAGGTAATGAAGGTTAGTGGGACAACGTAATGTAGATACTGAAATCAACAGATTTTTTTTCAATTCAAAAAAAATTGTTAAAAAATGGTACAAATTTATATAAAAATTTAAAAAAACGCGATTTTTTTTTCGTCATGAAAAACTGTTCTTTGAGCAATTTCGAAAAAATGGTCCTGACACGAAGAAAAGAGAGAGTGCGGAGAGCGCAGACAGGCCACGCCCCCTTAGCATCTCAAGCTAGTCGTGAATCACCTATAAACACCTCTCCAAGTTAACTCACAATCTGCCACAAGGAAATAAAATGAGCCGGTCGGTCTAACAAGTTGAAAAAGTAGTAGATGACCAGCCAATGGACAAGGTAAGCACAATAGGCCAACCGGCCGAATGGCTGCCAAATCGGGTGCGATATGAAGTTGTTAATGGGTCCTGAAACGAAGGGATTACTGTAGGAATACTCTTTTCTCCTAATTACCTCCCCAGCCGAGGTGATTTGCGATAATCACCCAGGAAACGGCCAGAGACCAGCCGATTCTATGGAAATTATAGTAGGTCGCTTTGACCAGAGGGCTGAAATCCGATTCTGAATTCTGGATTTGATATATCAATTTCAATAAAAATCATAAATAAGGATACTTTACGGTTTCAAGAAAAAAACCGGGCCATACATGGGCTAACCAACTACTTTTTTTGTGACGTCATCACGTACCCCCTTGAAAAAAAGTACGTACTCCCCTCGAAAAAGTACGTACCCCCCGCGGATGACTATCAATGTGAAATGATTATTAAAGTTAATATAAGAATTTAATGAGACTATTATCTTATTTCGCGGGCTTTTGGAAGTATATTCAGCTAGGTGTCAACACTGCAAAACAGAAATATTTCAACTTTTAGCGTAGACCCCCGAAATCCGAAAATCGATCTGTTTTCAATGTTATCCTACATTATGAATCGAGTTTTATGATCTGGCAGAGTTTCAGACCTTCTGGATGAGTTTTAAGGAAAATAGATTTTTGGACCACCGGGAAGGGATATTTTGAAATTTTGAATTTTTTGGCTCAAAATCAATATTAAACTTGAGTTAACTCTAAATAAGGTATATCCTCCAAGTTTCCAGCTTCCGGACGTTTTTTGACCAAGTTACAGTGTTTCAAAGTGTTATCACTTGACGGTTTGCGTACCCCCCCGTACTCCCCCAAAATCGGAGAATCGATCTGTTTTCAATGTTATTCCACATTATAAAGGGAGTTTTGTGATCTGGCCAAGTTTCAGGCCGTTGGGATGAGTTTTAAGGAAAATAGATTTTTGGACCACCGGGAAGGGATATTTTTGAAATTTTTGAATTTTTTTGGCTCAAAAATCAATATTAAACTTGAGTTAACTCTAAATAAGGTATATCCTCCAAGTTTCCAGGCTTCCGGACGTTTTTTGACCAAGTTACAGTGTTTCAAAGTGTTATCACTTGACGGTTTGCGTACCCCCCCGTACTCCCCCAAAATCGGAGAATCGATCTGTTTTCAATGTTATTCCACATTATAAAGGGAGTTTTGTGATCTGGCCAAGTTTCAGGCCGTTGGGATGAGTTTTAAGGAAAATAGATTTTTGGACCACCGGGAAGGGATATTTTGAAATTTTGAATTTTTTGGCTCAAAATCAATATTAAACTTGAGTTAACTCTAAATAAGGTATATCCTCCAAGTTTCCAGGCTTCCGGACGTTTTTTGACCAAGTTACAGTGTTTCAAAGTGTTATCACTTGACGGTTTGCGTACCCCCGTACTCCCCCAAAATCGGAGAATCGATCTGTTTTTCAATGTTATTCCACATTATAAAGGGAGTTTTGTGATCTGGCCAAGTTTCAGGCCGTTGGGATGAGTTTTAAGGAAAATAGATTTTTGGACCACCGGGAAGGGATATTTTGAAATTTTGAATTTTTTGGCTCAAAATCAATATTAAACTTGAGTTAACTCTAAATAAGGTATATCCTCCAAGTTTCCAGGCTTCCGGACGTTTTTTGACCAAGTTACAGTGTTTCAAAGTGTTATCACTTGACGGTTTGCGTACCCCCGTACTCCCCCAAAAATCGGAGAATCGATCTGTTTTCAATGTTATTCCACATTATAAAGGGAGTTTTTGTGATCTGGCCAAGTTTCAGGCCGTTGGGATGAGTTTTAAGGAAAAATAGATTTTTTTGGACCACCGGGAAGGGATATTTTTGAAATTTTTGAATTTTTTTGGCTCAAAATCAATATTAAACTTGAGTTAACTCTAAATAAGGTATATCCTCCAAGTTTCCAGGCTTCCGGACGTTTTTTTGACCAAGTTACAGTGTTTCAAAAGTGTTATCACTTGACGGTTTGCGTACCCCCCGTACTCCCCCAAAATCGGAAAATCGATCTGTTTTTCAATGTTATTCCACATTATAAAAGGGAGTTTTGTGATCTGGCCAAGTTTCAGGCCGTTGGGATGAGTTTTAAGGAAAATAGATTTTTGGACCACCGGGAAGGGATATTTTGAAATTTTGAATTTTTTGGCTCAAAATCAATATTAAACTTGAGTTAACTCTAAATAAGGTATATCCTCCAAGTTTCCAGGCTTCCGGACGTTTTTTGACCAAGTTACAGTGTTTCAAAGTGTTATCACTTGACGGTTTGCGTACCCCCCGTACTCCCCCAAAATCGGAAAAATCGATCTGTTTTTCAATGTTATTCCACATTATAAAGGGAGTTTTGTGATCTGGCCAAGTTTCAGGCCGTTGGGATGAGTTTTAAGGAAAATAGATTTTTGGACCACCGGGAAGGGATATTTTGAAATTTTGAATTTTTTGGCTCAAAATCAATATTAAACTTGAGTTAACTCTAAATAAGGTATATCCTCCAAATTTCCAACCTTCCGGACGTTTTTTGACCAAGTTACAGTGTTTCAAAGTGTTATCACTTGACGGTTTGCGTACCCCCGTACTCCCCCAAAATCGGAAAAATCGATCTGTTTTTCAATGTTATTCCACATTATAAAAGGGAGTTTTTATGATCTGGCCAAGTTTCAGGCCGTTATGATGAGTTTCAAGGAAAATAATTTTTTTGGGCCACAGTAGATGTATGAATGTATGCTGATCACGATTTTTGCTAGTTTTTTTAATTGTTAAACTTGTATTTTTTTATCGTTCACATGTGTGGTAACGCCGTAGGGTGAGTTGAAAAAAATGAGCGTTAGGGTGAAACTTTCTCTAAATCAAACATGTTGTAGAACACGATTTTTTTAGGATTTTTTTGAAAAACCGAATATCATCACTCAAGCCGTTTTTCGAGATACTGTGGCTCAAAAAAAGGGGTACGGTCGAACCCTTCAAAAAAATCTATATCTTGACATAAAATCGACGAAACTCTTCCAAAGTTTGTAATAAGGTGCAATATAATCTTATTCAATTTTTTTAAAAAAATCTTAAACCTCATTTTTGCGCATTATTGCTCATATTACATAGTTTTTTTAAAAACCACAAAAAAATACTCTTTATTGAGTCAAACATGGATTATTCGAATTTTCCATCTAACACCCGGAAATTCCAAAAAACATGTGATTTTGGGTAAGTTTCCCGAATAACTTTTTTATCTCCTGTTTTTTTGGATTGAAACTAGCAAAATCGTGATCAACGCGCATTCTTACATCCACTAGGTCATTTGCAAAACGAAACGAGGAAAAAATTCAAAATTTCAAAATATCCCTTCCCGGTCGTCCAAAAATCTATTTTCCTTAAAACTCATCCAGAAGGTCTGAAACTCTGCCAGATCATAAAACTCCCTTTATAATGTGGAATAACATTGAAAACAGATCGATTTTCCGATTTTGGGGGAGTACGGGGGGGTACGCAAACCGTCAAGTGATAACACTTTGAAACACTGTAACTTGGTCAAAAAACGTCCGGAGGGTTGGAAATTTGGAGGATATACCTTATTCAGAGTTAACTCAAGTTTAATATTGATTTTGAGCCAAAAAATTCAAAATTTCAAAATATCCCTTCCCGGTGGTCCAAAAATCTATTTTCCTTAAAACTCATCTCAACGGCCTGAAACTTGGCCAGATCACAAAACTCCCTTTATAATGTGGAATAACATTGAAAACAGATCGATTCTCCGATTTTGGGGGAGTACGGGGGGGTACGCAAACCGTCAAGTGATAACACTTTGAAACACTGTAACTTGGTCAAAAAACGTCCGGAAGCCTGGAAACTTGGAGGATATACCTCATTTAGGGTTAACTCAAAGTTGATAATGATTTTTGAGCCAAAAAAATTGTAGATTTCAGAAATCATTTTTCTTATGGGGTCAGAAGTTGATTATTTTTTTCAATTTTTCCAAACGGCTTAAAAATTTGATGAGCATGTATATATCATCCATTGGTACCATTTAAACTAGAATTCAGGTCGATTAATCAGCTCTGGAATTTTTTATAAGGCTATTTCTACGATTCCTCTCGATTTTTTCTACCGTTTGGAGCTAGGCAAAAAGATAGGCAACGAATTTCTCACTAAATGTACTTTAAAAAGCTCGATAAATAATATGGATGCATTTTCCGCGGCTTAGAAAGCCATCTGAATGAATAGGGGGGCCCGAAAGTGAAAAACAGCCTGTTAGCCCACGTATGAACCGGGCTCAAAGAAAATCCGAAAAATAGTTATTTTGAAGGTTCAAAATGTTTTCTTCCTTTCTAAAGCTTACCAACACTTTTAGAAATTCCCTTAAGAGGTCATTACAGGTAGGATAAAAGATTTAGAATCAAGATAACCTCCAATTAGCCCCATTATGGTAGTCAGAAACACCGTAGAGACAAGCACAGGCGATGGAAACTGCTGCCAACCAGCCAAAAACGATCAAAACCTAAATTTTCACACTATTTTGTAGAGAAGAGACCTTGTTTTATTCATTTTTTACAGAAACAAAAGTTGATGGAATCGTTTTGATAATTAAAAGAAGGTTATTAACTATGAATTTCATGAAAAAAAAATGAAAAATGAAGAATATCACCTGAAACAACAAGAAGGAAGCCATAAGTTTCGACTCAACTATATAAAAGTTATAAATGACTAGACTTTAATTGATGCCGAATTGATTGCAGGGCTAATGAGAAGACTACGAAAGCCCTCAGAGCGTAGAAAAAATAACTAAATTTTGGAGAATCAGAGATAATTTTAAAATTCGCAGGAATCGCTTTTAACACGGCATATTGTCTGTTCAGACTTTGAAAATCAAGCTCAAGCTCCGCCCCTAATGGCGCTAGGAACCAATCAAAGAGCGAGCCATCCACATAGCGTTTTCGAATGACGTCATACTACTTGATTTTCAAAATCTGGACAGTCTATAACCAGGATCCACAGGCCGATTCTCGAAAAAAAAAGCAATCATGCATATTTGAGTTATATACCATTCGATAGAGCAAACTTTCCCGATTTCAAATCAATTTAGTTTGTTTGGAATTTATGATTTTTAGCCGAGTTATGAAGCTTTGAAAAACCTGGAGTTTTACAAATTTCCGGCTTGTTTTATATTCAAATTTAACCGTTTTTGAACGGGTTTTCTTTTTAAAAGAGATGAGAAAGTCTTTCTGAAAGGCTATTCTTCAATTTCGTTCTAGAAAATAATAAATCGATAGCCATTTGCTCACTAGAAGAGCTTACAAAAAGAAAACAATTTATTCAACCAAAAAAAATCGTCAATTTTGGTGCGTTGAAGGGTCGAGTTTTTATCTCTCCATGCATAAAACGCTTAAAAAAAGAATCCTATCAAAAGTTTGTTTCCTAAAAACCCTGGAAATTCCAGTTTTTACTCAAACTAACCAAGTTCAACTTCACCCTCTTCCCGCCGACTTTCGCAAGGATAAACCCCGCGAAAATTCCGATTAAATACGACGTTGCCCGGATCCAAGGCACCACGTATAGTTTTTCCACAAAATCCAGATTCGTACTGTAATTTTGTTTTCTTCAAAACCCTTTTTAACTCTTCAAACTCGAGCGACAAAAAAGTGGGCGCCAGTGAGTACTTGAACATGACTGCGTAGCACAAACCGACGCTAACGACGCAAGCGATAAATAACGTCAAGACTCCTACAACGGAAAGAAGCTACAGTAACCTGGTGCCCTCAAAAAACCCACCAAAAACCGAAGAAAAACACAAGGCGATCAGAAAAATTGGGGAAATCACGTATAATTGAGTATCCAAGGCGAGATACCAATACGGTGGTAGACACTATGAAATAAAAGTTACAGTAAATTTCAAATTACAGTAACCCTTCTAACCATATCTTCCGTTTTGAAATTATTGATGTAGATCAAGTTTCGCCACCATTGGGTCTTACAAATCTCAACTTGCGGGATCAGAACATCTAGAAATTGAATTCGGAATATAAAATGGAGAGTTTAAATTGAAATCAGTTTTCATGAATTATTCACGTACTGGCTGTTGTGGCAGTCCAAGGTCCTCGAATAAAGGGCGCATATGCGACAAAAAACCCAATGAAAATCATCATGGGCGGAGTTAGTCTGAAATACCTTCAAATTAATAGAAAAGATAAATCGGCGGAAAAATGAATATGTTGAAAAATTAGTCTGGAAATGAATTTTTAGAAAAAAAAACAACTTCAATAAGAAAAAAAACCACGGCCGTAAATAATCGCACGGAGAAAGCGCCAGCGCAGAAGAATGGCGCAAAGTTGGTGCTCGATTCTCCATCACTAAGAATAACTGACGAGATAAATGCGAGCTCGGTGGCGGTACATTGACTAACTCGCAAAAATGTCGCTTTTTTCTAGGCGCGATCCCGCATTTCTCTCGGCGCGACCTCGCATTTTTCTTGGCGCCATCTCGCATTCATCTTGCATTTCAGAACTTTTCAAATTGCGAGAGAAATGCGAGCTCGCGCCTAGAAAAATGCGAGCTCGCGCCCAGAAAAATGCGAGACCGGCGCGAGAAAAAAAGCGAGATGTTTGCGAGCTCGTCAATATACCGCCAGTGTCTCGCGTTTATCTGGGCAGTTATTCTTAGTGATTTTTGAAGAAGAAAAAAATATTTTTTTGTCGTTTTTTTAAAGTAATTCAGGGGGATTTAAAAATTGACGTTTTACTCGTTCAAAGTGTTTTGGAAATACGCAAAATTGGTACTTCAGAGCAGTTAAAAAAATCGAGTCCTACAAAGAGATAACAATTCAACTTCAAAATTTTCGAATGATTTGGGCATTTTTTCCTAAATTTTTGAATTCGCCGCGTTTTTGCGTTTTTTTTTTTCAGGAACACCTGATACGCCCGTCATTTTCGTCGTTTTAACCTGAAATTTATCTTCGTATTTTCTATTTCCCACGTCAAGTTTAGTTTTTCAAACGGACTTTTTTCATTGGGTGTTTCAGAAACAGTAAAAAGCAAAAAAGCGCGAATTTTAAAAGTTATAAAGCTAAAATGTAACTTCGATTCTTACCTAAGATACCGATGGACGTAAAACATTATCCATACAACTGGATTCTTGACGGTTTGCAATTTTGGCTTGTTCTGTAACTTCCTTTCTTTTTCTTTGTATAATTTTCAATTACCTTGAAAAACACATAAGCCAATACGACACCAGAGAGCACGAAGAAAGTGTCGACGGACAAAAAAGCGTTCAAAAACGTTTCGTTGATCCATTTCTTGGGCACTTTTGTGATTGGCCAGAGGTCATCTCGAAAAAAACTTTAGTTTTTCATTTTAATTTTTAATTGTTCACCTGAAAATGCAAACTGAGCCATGGAATGTCCCGCGAGGACCCAGGACATGGACAAAAATCGGATACAGTCCAAACTTTTGATATGTCCTTCTTTGGGTTCTTTCACCGATAATAAGATCTCAGCATTGGTGTACATTGAGAAGCAATACAAGAGTCGGATTACTGTAACCGTAATCTTCTTTAGCAATACAATAAGATCCTACAGTAAGTCGGTTCATTGTCGGACTTGATTCCATGCAAGGATTCTCGCAGATAATCCATCAAAGTCGCGAAAACCACGATTATTGCCATAAATATCAGGAAAACTCTGAATTTTCTCCCTCAGTCCTTTTGAAACGATAAAAACTCACGTGAAAAACCAGAACCAAGTGTTTTTTGGGATTTCTTTTTTGACACAAATCGCACCGCAAGCCGTGAAGGGCTCCAGTGTGAACGTGTTATACAGTAAACTCAGGTCCTTAATCAATTGTTCTCGAATTAATTTTCTAATGTAGTATACCGATTCGTCGCAAGACCTTGGCATACAAACGGCCCGTTTCAAGTAATTCACGTAAATATTCCCGCCACATGAACTGTTCTGAACATTTTTTAATGATTTTCAGGACTTCTGATTTGAAATTCAGGTTGAAAAAAAAATATTATTTCTAAATGGCCACTATAGTAATTCTTATTTTAATGGCTATAAATTGGACTACTGTAGTGGCCATTAAGATGTCAAAACCCTAAAGTGGCCACTAAAAATCCCCCCCCCCCGTATTTTTTTCATTTGAAGATTTTAGAAAAACCCCCAGAAATCAAACTTTCAAAAGTCACCTTTCCGAGTCCCAAAAGAAGATAACAATAATTGGTACTGTAAGGAGCTTCCTCGTCCGCTTCTTCACATTCGCTGTAAGACCCATCGACGAAAATATCAATGTCGAGAACGCCAGGGCCAGGTAATAGGCCGAAGGCGTTCAGTTCTGAAATTGGAGACTTGAGAAATTACTGTGGCCACTATAGTAGTCGAAATTGTGGTCACTTTAGGGGCTAAAAATCAATGCCCTCTTTAGAAGTCTACTTGGCACTGCTGGACCACTAAAAACTACTATAGTGGCCACTAAGATGCAAAATAGTGCCTTCTATAAAGATGGTTTTAGTGGTCACTTTAGTGTCCTCTCCAGGTAGCCCTTGAGGAACCTCTTAAGTGGCCACTAATTTTTTTCTCCTATTGAAAACGTCTTCTGAATTAAGTCCCAATCAACCTGAAAGTATGCAAACTACCAAAATTCTTAAAGAAACTTTTTTTTATTCCAAAAGTCCAGTAGAAGGTACCCATTTCGAAACTACGAATCCTAGATTTTTATCAATTCGAAAAAAAACCAACGCCTGGCTGCGAACAAGTTCTTGATCAACGTCGATTTCTCGGCTTCCGTGCAATTCTTGTTCACAATACAGTTAATTCCCGTTATGGCTATTTCTTTCAACGAGGTTCCCCAAGTCGCCGAATCGTTCAGACATTGCGAACTCAGCGTTGTTTCCGCCGGTGGTTTTAAAACGTTTACCTGGCCAGGTAGCTAGAAATGGGTAAATTTTGGACAAAAAGCGAGCTTTTGAAAAATATATTGCATCATCAGCATCAAGCAATGAACGATTCGAATTTGAAGTTTTGAAATCGACTTTTAGCATCAAAATAACTAGCTTTGATGAAATTTCTTAAATAAATGATACTTTTTAGGAATCCATGGCTCTCTATTTCCAATTTCAGCAAAGAGGGAAGAGGAACGATGAAAACCAAGAACACAGAAAATTTTCTAATCTTCTCAGGGAACAGCAAAAAAACTGCACCAACACAAAAAAACTTTTTTTCAAAAATTTTTCGTAAATGAGAAGCAGTGAAATTTGTTTTTCAAAACTGTTCAAATGAGAAATCAAATTTATATCGTGTCAAACAAGCTCAAAAACATATGAATGACATCTCTGATTTCAAAACCTAGCGTTTCAAAACAAAAACACACTTCCATCAAAATACTGATTTCAAAAAAAGAGAATTAACAGATCAACCCACATCAAGCGGACTTTCAGCGGAAATTGTAGAAATAAGAATAGGGAACAGGAATTTATGCATGTTACTGGGACGGACGAAAGGGTTATTTTGGCCTTGAGAGTATACAAAAGTTCATCTGATCGAGCAGGTAAATGATAAGAATTCACTGCCCCTCAAAATACTCAAAACAATTTTTTGTGACCCGTGCAACCTCATTTTTAAAACGAACTCCTCCTCTTTCATTTTTGAACATATTCGGAGTTTAGAAAAGAACCTTTTCTTCTGAATTTGGACCAAGTTACTTTGTTTTGCCTTTGGTCAAACCCTTCGTGATATACTTTTCTCGAAAAACAAGCAATTTTAGTGGGATTCAGACTCGTTAATCCAAATTTTAACAATCACAAAGCTATTTAAAAATTTATTTACAAATATCACAAGGACTTGAAGATCAGTTTGTGGCCCTAAAGAGGGCCGTTGGGTTCGGTTGGTCAAGTAAAGCTCATAGTTGAGAATTTACTTGCTGGAAGTGTACTTGGTGACAGCCTTGGTTCCCTCGGACACGGCGTGCTTGGCCAGCTCTCCAGGAAGGATCAGTCGGACCGCCGTCTGGATTTCGCGAGAAGAAATCGTCGACCGTTTGTTGTACTGAGCGAGGCGCGAGGCTTCAGCGGCGATTCTCTCGAAGACGTCGTTCACGAACGAGTTCATAATCGACATGGCCTTCGAGGAGACTCCGGTGTCGGGGTGCACCTGGAAATTGTGATTTTTATTTGAAATTACAGGGGAATTTCTTTAACTCAATAATAATTTTCTTATACTCTCTTATAAAAAAATTTGGCCCGAGTTGATACCTGCTTAAGGACACGGTAGATGTAGACGGAGTAAGACTCCTTGCGCTTGTGATGGCGCTTCTTGGTTCCAGTCGAGACCTTTTGGGTCTTGGCGGCCTTCTTGGCTCCCTTGGCAGATGGCTTGGGCGGCATGACGAGGATTCACTGGCGTTTGCAAGTGGTGCGGTACGATCGATGCTACTTTCTTATATACACGCGCACGGCAGTGGGCGTGGCTAAAGAGGCGTGGCCTGCCGGGCAGGAGTATTTAATGTCGGCGCGCGTCGAAATCTCCATCTCGTGAGTGTTTCTCGCAGTTCTTCATCGCAATCGACATGTCTGGACGTGGAAAGGGAGGAAAAGCCAAGACTGGCGGAAAGGCCAAATCGCGTTCTTCGCGTGCTGGACTTCAGTTCCCAGTTGGTCGACTTCACCGACTTCTCCGTAAAGGAAACTACGCTCAACGCGTTGGTGCTGGAGCTCCGGTCAGTTTTTGTTTCAATTCTTTCAATCTTTGCATTTTCATCTTTATTTGCTTATTTAAATTTTTTATTCAATAAATTTATTTTTTTTATTTTTCAGGTCTACTTGGCCGCCGTTCTCGAGTACCTCGCCGCTGAAGTCCTGGAGTTGGCCGGCAACGCCGCCCGCGACAACAAGAAGACCCGCATCAACCCCCGCCACTTGCAGCTCGCCGTCCGCAACGACGAAGAGCTCAACAAGCTGTTGAGCGGCGTCACCATTGCTCAAGGAGGTGTTCTCCCCAACATCCAGGCCAGCCTTCTGCCCAAGAAGACCGCTGGAGACAAGGAATAAATCTTCCTGAACGCTCGAGCTAACCGAACCCAACGGCCCTCTTTAGGGCCACAACTTGGAACAAGTCCATTGTTGAGTTTGTCTTTATAAATAAATGTGTTCATTGTGTATTATTTATAAATAAATATTATTTACTTTGTCGTAAAAAAATTATCAATTCAAAAAAAGACTATGTGAAATTTTCCTCTCTTACACTTCATTTTTCTTGACAGTTTTTCAAAACAGTCCAACGAGAGAAGCTAATTTGATATTGATAACCTATCTGTCACGGAGTTTTGGAACTTTCATATTTGAATAATTTTTTGGCAGGTTGCTTGATATCAGTAATGAAAACATCAGTTCAGTATTTCATTATTTTGAAACTGATCGTGATTGGGAAATTTTTTAAAGAGATAAATATGGAAATAATTTTAATTAACTATTTTGAAAATACTTTTCTCACCAATATTCATTAAAATTTTTTTTTGAGACACTCGGCTTTCCGAAACTTCGTCTCACTTCCTTAATTCTCTGATTTGGCGCCAAGAGCCCGGAAAATGCAGGTCAGAAAATTTTTGGCGCCAAGTAAGAGAAAAATGACGCCGAGAGATCAGGTCGACAGACAAATGCCGCGTTTAAAGTAATAAAACTACACGCGGAGAAATTGTTTTCCCTGTTTACAGCCACGAGCCGAAATTATGCGCGCCGATATTCGTTGGCAACATTCCAACACAGTTTTTTTTTCTTTTTTTTTTCTTTTCTTCTTTTTTACATAATTTTTTGGTGCTACGACAAGAGCGAGTTTTCCATTTGCGAGCAGTACTGTATGCGGTAAAGCGCATTGCGTGCATGCACTCTGCGTGTTTACACTTTTGTGGCGTGACGTCATCGCGCCGTACATCTGCGGGTTTTTTTGCTTGCGGGTTTTTTTCGGATTTTTTGAATTTTTTTCCGGCTTATTTATTTTTTTCGAAACAAAAAGAAAACTTTTTTTAATTGATGAAAACTCTGTTTTGTCAAGGGGGCAGCTTAGGAAAATGTTTCTTTATAGATAGCTATTAGGTCAACTCCACAAATATGGAAAAAAAAAAGAAGTAAGCTAATATTGATATTTCAAAGAGGAAAATATCAAAAAATTGCATCATAACAAATACCAGTAATTGAAATAAGTTATATCAAAAAATAAGAAAATAAGAAAATAACAAATTTTACAGAACCATCATATCAAACAAAAGTCATTTTCCCAGAAAATCTTCAAGATATTTTGAATGTACATTGAGAGATTTGAAGGGACTTGTCAGAAATTTTACGAAAATTGGTTTCTTGTACAATGCCGGTGTTGAGGGTGGAGGAGCAGGGACATCTTTTTTCGCCAAAACTTCCTTTGTGATTTCTTGTTGCTTTAAAATTGAGTCGAAAACAATGGCGTTAACATAATCGTCACTTTCCATCCTGAATTTCATTCATAGCACCACTTTTTTTCATTTCAAAATCTGAACGAGAGAAAAAAATATGAGAAGAAGAAGAACACGAAGATTTTTTGAGGACAAAAAGGAGCCTTCTTATAAGGTAAAAAAGAAGTTTTCTTTTTGTTTCGAAAATATTCGCACAATCAAAACCAAAAAAAAAATCCAAAAAAAAAAAAAAATCCAAAAAAAAATTCCGAAAAAAACATTGAAAAAAAAAACCCGCAAGCAAAAAACCCGCAGATGTACGGCGCGATGACGTCACGCCACAAAAGTGTAAACACGCAGAGTGCATGCACGCAATGCGCTTTGCCGCATACAGTACTCCTCGCAAATGGAAAACTCGCTCTTGTCGTAGCACCAATTTTTTTCTTTTCTTTTTTAATTTTCAACCCGTTCAAAGCTTTTGATTTTAGAAATAGTACAAATGTGAACCTTTAGTTAATTTTTCGACTGTTTGAACTTGAAAAAAGTTCAATTTTTCTCAAATTTCGTATTTATCGTGTTTATTTTTTTTCCAACGGATGTATCAGAGTGTTTGAAGTTGCAGGTCTCTAAACTATGGCGGGTATCGGATTACCGAAAGTGTTAAATTTGAAAAAAGGTTAATTTTTATTCAAAAAACTTTTTCGCAATTATGTTTTAAAATTTTTGATTATTTTCACAAAAAAAAATTCAGACTCGTTAGGGAGGAAGGGGCGGCTCGTGTGAAGGTAGCGCGTAATTTTCGACGCCACGGGCAATAAGAAATTTGTGAGTTTTTTCCTATAGACCTCATAATAACTAGTTCATTTAATTCAGAAAAAAAAGTATTGAATTTTTTTTTCAGCTCATTCGAACAAGACGTTGTGGTCAGCCGGATAAATTTGCAATTTATCATGTCTCGATTGTGTCAAATTCACAGCTTTTAACTTCTCCTTTGTTTCAATGATTTTGTTTTGTTTTATTACGCATTTATTTCCTCCATCTTTTATTTGAATAAAGATGATGATCATCAATTTCTTGAGGAATAAATGTAAAAAAACAAGCTGCTTAGTTAATCAAATTCAAAACCTAATAACAGAAACTGTTTTGTTGTCAAATTTTTCTGAAATGCAGAAGAAAACAATGAATTTTTTTTATTAGAAAAAGTTTCATAAAGAGAGATCCAAGTTTTCACGTGTAGTCTTTCTGGGTGTCCTTCGTAAACCGATCGTCTGGGCCTGTAAGAAAAAAAAAATTTTTCCAAACAAAAAAAAGAAAGGCTGATTGAACCTTGGTATTAATTTTTCGTGTAAAACTGAACAGACAAGACATATTGAAAATGAAAGAAAATAATATCGAAGAACAAGAAAACTCACGAATTTATGCTTGACTGTAGAGACGAACATTTTGCGTTACCTTCACACGAGCCGCCCGTCTTTCCCTGACGAATCTGAATTTTTTTGTGAACAAAAATCAAAAAAATTGTAAAAAGAAATTAAAAAATTTTTTTGAATAAAAATTAACCTTATTCAAAGATAAAACTCGGTAATCGAAGACCCGCCATAGTTTAGAGACCTGCAACTTCAAACACTCTGATACATCCGTTGGAAAAAAAATAATAAACACGATAAATACGAAATTTGAGAAAAATTGAACTTTTTTCAAGTTCAAACAGTCGAAAAATTAACTAAAGGTTTTCATTCGTACTATTTCTGAAATTAATAGCTTTGAACGGGTTGAAAATTGAAAAAGAAACGAAAAAAATTATGTAAAAAAGAAGAAAAGAAAAAAAAAGAAAAAAAAACTGTGTTGGAATGTTGCCAACGAATATCGGCGCGCATAATTTCGGCTCGTGGCTGTAAACAGGAAAAACAATTTCTCCGCGTGTAGTTTTATTACTTTAAACGCGGCAAAAATGTGGTTTTCTTATTGAGGAAAAAAGAAGATGAACTGCATTGAAATTCGATCCAAAGTTTCCTCGAAGATTGACAGTAAATTTTTAGGCCGTTTACGGCTGGCTTGGGACAGCAAACGGGCGTATTTATATATTTCATGGATTGAAATTACGAGACTTGAAAATAAAAAGTTCTATAAACTCGACAAAAAGTTGAACTCGAATTTTTTGACGGAAACCAATTCAAAGAATCAGTCTATTTTCTCAGTTTCAGCAGATAATAGATTATTGAATTATTCTGTAAATTAATCATGACATAACTTTAAAATCGGAGTTAGAGCAGAATCCATGAGAACCTACGAATTCAATATAGTCTATTCCGCGCCAGCTTTTCACGTTTTTGTTACCGCGAAAAAGACCGTATACCAAATTAGATCAAAATTCTGTTTTTATAACGGCAAGCACCAAAGGTCTTGAAGAGAAAGTTGGTAAAATTTGACCTGGCCTTTTGGCGGAAAGAAATACGTGACAAGCTGGCGCGGAACGGCCTATAATCACAGGGACGATCTGCAGACTCATGCATTACGCGAACAAATCAATTCATAAAAAAAATTCAATTCAAAACCGAGCTTCATGTTCAATGAAAAATGTTTATTATATACAGATATCACGGATTTGAGCTGGATGTGTGGCCCTAAAGAGGGCCGTTGGGTTCGGTTGAGTCGAAAGAGCAATTTAGGCTCGTTCTCCTCGGATGCGTCGCGCAAGCTGGATGTCCTTGGGCATGATGGTGACTCGCTTGGCGTGGATGGCGCACAAGTTGGTGTCTTCGAAAAGACCAACGAGGTACGCTTCGGCGGCCTCCTGGAGAGCCATCACGGCCGACGACTGGAACCGAAGATCGGTCTTGAAGTCTTGGGCGATCTCGCGGACAAGGCGCTGGAACGGCAGTTTGCGGATCAGAAGCTCCGTCGACTTCTGGTAGCGTCGGATCTCGCGGAGAGCGACGGTTCCAGGACGGTATCTGTGGGGCTTCTTGACTCCGCCAGTCGCCGGGGCGGACTTGCGAGCGGCCTGAAAATGAATAATTTAATATTAGATATTAAAACTACATATTAACACTCCAAATTCATTCAATCGAAAAAAAATAATGAAATGACTGTTGAGCTTTCAAGTTTAAATCAATGCTAATTATCAACTAATCCAGTGAAATCTACCTTGGTGGCCAGCTGCTTGCGGGGAGCCTTTCCTCCAGTCGATTTACGGGCGGTTTGCTTAGTACGAGCCATGGCGATGCGATTCGAGAGACGTCTCGGGTGAAGAAAAATGCTGCAAAACACTTTTATACTGCGGAGTTAATGGGCGGGGTCTCATTTTTTGACCTGCCGCTGACCGCCGGCTGGAGTCCCCGCGTGGTGACACGCCAGCCGCGAGTATAAAAGTAAGGATTGTCGCCTGGACTTCATCTCATACGTGAGTTTCGTTCTACTGAAGTCATGTCTGGCCGTGGAAAGGGAGGAAAAGGACTTGGCAAAGGAGGTGCCAAGCGCCATCGTAAGGTTCTTCGCGACAACATCCAAGGAATCACCAAGGTACTTTTCGGTTCATTTGTATTCTCGAAATTTGCAAAGCCTTTTTACTAACTTATTGATTTTTCAGCCCGCTATCCGTCGTCTTGCTCGACGTGGTGGTGTGAAGCGCATCTCTGGCCTCATCTACGAGGAAACCCGAGGTGTTCTGAAGGTGTTCCTTGAGAACGTGATCCGTGACGCCGTCACCTACTGCGAGCACGCCAAGCGCAAGACCGTCACCGCGATGGACGTCGTCTACGCCCTCAAGCGCCAAGGACGCACCCTGTACGGCTTCGGCGGATAACTCCGTTGAACGTCTGAGAAAATTCTCAACAACCGAACCCAACGGCCCTCTTTAGGGCCACAATTCATTGAATCCAATTTTGTATATTTTGAATAAATCAATTTGAATTTTATAATTGATATTTATGTGAAAATTCTTACCTATTTCGGCTTAAAATGCTCTTGAAAAAAACAAGTGCTATGAAAGTCATTTTAATAAAAAAACTGGAAAAAAACATGAAAAAAATCCAAAAAAATAAAAATTATTGTGAATACTATACTTCCAGAGTGCTGAAACTTTGAAAAAAACTCTGTTTTTCTAACAGAATAATACAAAAAAAGAAGCCATGGTATTGTTTTTCCGAGAAAGTCAGAAATTTCGAAAAAAATTGGTCAACTCTGAGTTGGTTCTCTTCAGCGAGCAGACGACCAACTGCGTCCCCCAAAACTTGAACATGTCCTCATTTTTTTCTGACTAAGAAAGGCCTGGCCCTTCGATTTATGAAATAAAATTTTACTACATTTGGGGTCCCAACCCCCGAAAATGCCCAAAAAAGGAAAAAATCAACGATTTTCAAAAGAAAAAAATTTTTTTTAAATTTTTTTAGTGAAAATGCCTTGAAATACCGTTATGTGTTTTTAAAAAAAGTTTGGAGTCGATCCGTCAACTAGGAAAAAAAGTTAGAAAAAGTTCACTAAAAGACTTACCGTAACCCAGTGAGGGGGCGGAGCCATATATATAAATTAATTGGAAATTTATAATTGAAATTTATGTGACGTTTTTCAACCTTGTTCGGCTTTTTTTAATGCTTGAGAAAAAAACATTCTTCGAACCTTTTCTTTTTAATTTCTTTGCAGCTTTCAAACTATCGCACAATTTTTCAAACTTTTTTTGTGCATTTAGAATTTTTTTCTAATAAAATTACGGACTAGAATTTGCGGGAGTACGAATTTTTCGCTATCAATTCTTGATATAAACTAGCTATATTTCGGCTTGAAATGCTCTGAAAAACAAGCTCTATGAAAGTTTTCAATTTTTTTTCTATGAAGATACTAAACTAATGCATCATTTGAATACCTTGGTGCATTGAAAAGTGATAATCTCTTCCGATATAATACAAAGGCGTTAAAAATTTCTCGTTATCAATTTCTGCTGAAAACTAGCTAGATGAACCATTTTTCATTTGCTTATCGAACAGAAACCCCAACAAAGATCGATGGTACGACAAAATCTCAAGTCCGCAAATCTCGAGGACCGTAATCTTGTGTACGCAGATCTAAAGTCCCATAATCTTGGAAACCAAAATCTTGGAAAGCAAAAATCTTCTCTTTTAGTCTTCTTTATTGCACTCTATCTACTTATACTCTCTTGTTTGGATCACCGAATACAATTTCTGAAAAAATCTATTCGCAAAAGCGTTGATTTTTGCTTTCCAAGATTTTGGTTTCCAAGATTATGGGACTTTAGATGTGCGTACACAAGATTACGGTCCTCGAGATTTGCGGACTTAAGATTTTGTCGTACCATCCAAAGATCTTTTAAAAATCAATAATATTTATTCAGCTATGTACAATTAAATCTTTACAGGGGTCAAATTAAAAAAGATGAAATTAGTGGCCTTCAATGGTGCGAGCGGCGCCGTGCAGGTTTCCGGCAGCGTAGTGACGAGCACGGTTGCCCTGAAATGATCACTTGAAATTTGAATTCAACTGTTATCAAAATACCTTCTGCTGTAGGGCGCAGTTCTTCTTGTCGGCCTTGCCCTTGACGGTCTGCCAGGCCTCGGCAGCGCCCTCCTTCACGTCTTCGGCCTTCTCCTTGATGGCGTCCTTGGCGTTGTCCCAATGCTCGGCCATGTTGTCTTTGGCGTCTCTGGCGCCCTCCTTGATGTCTTCGGTCTGAAATGATCAACTCCAACTTCTCAACCGACAATTTGGTCCAACCTTGTTCTGGACACTCCTCCTGGCGTTGCGAGCACTGCGCTGAACGTCCTTCTTGGCGTCGTGGCCACGGTCCTTGGCCTTCTCCCACTTGTTGCTGGCTCCGTCGCGGATGTTCTTCACCTGAAATATTGTGAATTGTCTAATTTAGTTTCAATCGATAATTTACCCTCTCAGCGGCCGTGTCGGTGGCGTCCTTGATCTTGTCGGCGGCCTTGTCTTCGGCCCGGGGCTCGCCGTAGACGCTGTGGATGGCGTCCATGATCTTGTGGCCGGCGTCAGAAGCCAGTTCCATGGTGGCGTGGCCCGCTTCGGAAGCCAATTCCATCGTCTTCTCGATGACGCCCTTGTTGTCTTCGTTGTTCTCCGCGTTTTGCACGTTCTGAAACATTTTCTGCTTGATTCGAATGAAGCTGCAGAAACTCACAGCGCTCATGATTGCGTTGATTGAAGAGGTTGGTGGTTGGAGATGATCGTTGTTTCAGATTCTTGCTGAAAGTTTCTTTTTCCAGAAAAACTGGCCTTTATATATCCACCGATTGTTGTTTACTTCAAAGTGACGTCACTGTTATGATGTCATTCTTTCCAGAACAGAGACCACGTCATTTTTTTCCTTTTTTTCGTTTTTTCTCGGTTTTTTCTCGAAACTTTTCTTCTTTTTATTCATATCATATATTGGAACTTCGGTATCAAATTGAAGATTTTCATGAAGTAAAAAAATCAGGCTCTGACGCGCCAAGACGGGGAACCCGCCGTGGTGGTGCTACGACAAGAGCGAGTTTTCCATTTGCGAGCAGTACTGTATGCGGTAAAGCGCATTGCGTGCATGCACTCTGCGTGTTTACACTTTTGTGGCGTGACGTCATCGCGCCGTACATCTGCGGGTTTTTTGCTTGCGGGTATTTTTTTTCAATGTTTTTTTCGGAATTTTTTTTTTGGATTTTTTTTTCCGGTTTGGTTTCGATTGTGCGAATATTTTCGAAACAAAAAGAAAACTTTTTTTTTACCTCATAAGAAGGCTCGATTATGTTAACGACATTGTTTTCGACTCAATTTTAAAGCAACAAGAAATCGCAAAGGAAGTTTTGGCGAAAAAAGATGTCCCTGCTCCTCCACCCTCAACACCGGTGTTGTACTAAAATCCAATTTTCGTAAAAATTTCTGACAACTCCCTTCAAATCTTTCAATGTAATTTAAAAATATCTTGAAGATTTTTCCGGGAAAAATGACTTTTTGTTTGATATGATTTTTTTCTGTAAAAAAATTGTTATTTTTCTTATTTTTCTTATTTTTTTGATATAACTTATTTCAATTACTGGTATTTGTTATGATGCAATTGTTTGATATTTTCCTCTTTGAAATATCAATATTAGCTTACTTCTTTTTCTATATTTGTGGAGTTGACCTAATAGCTATCTATAAAGAAACATTTTTCCTAAGCTGCCCCCTTGACAAACAGAGTTTTTCATCAATAAAAAAAGTTTTCTTTTTTTGTTTCGAAAAAAACAAATAAGCCGGAAAAATTCAAAAAAATCCGAAAAAACCCGCAAGCAAAAAAACCCGCAGATGTACGGCGCGATGACGTCACGCCACAAAAGTGTAAACACGCAGAGTGCATGCACGCAATGCGCTTTGCCGCATACAGTACTGCTCGCAAATGGAAAACTCGCTCTTGTCGTAGCACCGCCGTGGTTCTGGCTTTTATTTTCGTTGTCTGTATGAGAAAAACTTTTTTAATGCGTTTTTATCATTTTTATAAAACTTTTAAGTACCGTTCTTTCAAAACCGGTTTCAAGCACTTTTGATGCCAGTTTTTTTAAAAACTGTGCTTGAATTCAAAATTGGTGTGGTTGCGATTTTGATTTGATTTTTTTTTTCAACCCGAGTACGCTAGCGTATTGACGGGAAAAGACAAACGAAAATGAAATAAGCGGAATTTATTAGCTTGTATGAATGAAAAAAGGCAAAAATTAAGAAGAGACACCGACAAATCCTTTCCTGAAGCGCGACCAGTGAAAAAAACTTCAAAAAAACTTCAAAAAAACTTCAAAAAAAGGGTAAATTTTTTTCTATTCATCTAATTGAATTGGAAAAATCAGAAGTTGAGGTCAAACGCTTCAAATTAGGCGAGTTTTTCTTATTTACAGATCCTCGATTTATCCCAATATTAAAGAAGAAATGAAATTTTATTTGTACATTTAGAAACAAACGCTATGAAAAAAAATATTGAATAACTCAAAATTCTCAAACTCAAGATTAGAGAGGAAAATAAAAAGAAGAACTTATCGACAAATTTGACAAACGCTCTCATCTTTTTCGAAAAAAATTTCAAAAAAATTGCAATTTAATGTAACAAAAACGTTCTCATTTGTTTTTTCAAAGCACTCCTGTATTAAAAAAAGATGAGAATTTGATGATTTTACTAATTCTCACACAAAAAAGTGAAAAACTAAGTTTGAAATGGCCAAGGTTTTATTTTTGAAGAATTTTTTTCGAAGCTCATTTTTTAATTTTCGAGAAAAATCCGAGAAAAAGCGAAAAAAAGAAAAAAAAAATGACGTGGTCTCGTTTCTGGAAAGAATGACATCATAATAGTGACGTCACTTTGAAGTAAACAACAACCTGTGGATATATAAAGGCCATTTTTTCTGGAAAAAGAAACTTTCAGCAAAAATCTGAAACAACGATCATCTCCAACCACCAACCTCTTCAATCAACGCAATCATGAGCGCTGTGAGTTTCTGCAGCTTCATTCGAATCAAGCAGAAAATGTTTCAGAACGTGCAAAACGCGGAGAACAACGAGGACAACAAGGGCGTCATCGAGAAGACGATGGAATTGGCTTCCGAAGCGGGCCACGCCACCATGGAACTGGCTTCTGACGCCGGCCACAAGATCATGGACGCCATCCACAGCGTCTACGGCGAGCCCCGGGCCGAAGACAAGGCCGCCGACAAGATCAAGGACGCCACCGACACGGCCGCTGAGAGGGTAAATTATCGATTGAAACTAAATTAGACAATTCACAATATTTCAGGTGAAGAACATCCGCGACGGAGCCAGCAACAAGTGGGAGAAGGCCAAGGACCGTGGCCACGACGCCAAGAAGGACGTTCAGCGCAGTGCTCGCAACGCCAGGAGGAGTGTCCAGAACAAGGTTGGACCAAATTGTCGGTTGAAAAGTTGGAGTTGATCATTTCAGACCGAAGACATCAAGGAGGGCGCCAGAGACGCCAAAGACAACATGGCCGAGCATTGGGACAACGCCAAGGACGCCATCAAGGAGAAGGCCGAAGACGTGAAGGAGGGCGCTGCCGAGGCCTGGCAGACCGTCAAGGGCAAGGCCGACAAGAAGAACTGCGCCCTACAGCAGAAGGTATTTTGATAACAGTTGAATTCAAATTTCAAGTGATCATTTCAGGGCAACCGTGCTCGTCACTACGCTGCCGGAAACCTGCACGGCGCCGCTCGCACCATTGAAGGCCACTAATTTCATCTTTTTTAATTTGACCCCTGTGAAGATTTAATTGTACATAGCTGAATAAAATTATTAAATTTTAAAAGCTTTTTGTTGGGGTTTCTGTTCGATAAGCGAATGAAAAAAATGGTTATATCTTCAAAGAAAAGAATTAACACATGTTACTCTGAGAAAGTTGATGAACTGCAGGGAACCGTTGGTACAAGAATTTCAAGTTTTGTTTTGAGAGTTGAAATTATTGTCACAGTTACTAGACATAATTTGTAAACTTTTAGGCAACTTACTATAAGGCTCCGCCCCCTCACTGGGTTACGGTAAGTCTTTTAGTGAACTTTTCTAACTTTTTTCCTAGTTGACGGATCGACTCCAAACTTTTTTTAAAACACACATAACGGTATTTCAAGGCATTTTCACTAAAAAAATTTAAAAAAAATTTTTTTCTTTTGAAAATCGTTGATTTTTTCCTTTTTTGGGCATTTTCGGGGGTTGGGACCCCAAATGTAGTAAAATTTTATTTCATAAATCGAAGGGCCAGGCCTTTCTTAGTCAGAAAAAAATGAGGACATGTTCAAGTTTTGGGGGACGCAGTTGGTCGTCTGCTCGCTGAAGAGAACCAACTCAGAGTTGACCAATTTTTTTCGAAATTTCTGACTTTCTCGGAAAAACAATACCATGGCTTCTTTTTTTGTATTATTCTGTTAGAAAACAGAGTTTTTCAAAGTTTCAGCACTCTGGAAGTATAGTATTCACAATAATTTTTTTTATTTTTGGATTTTTCATGTTTTTCCAGTTTTTTATTAAAATGACTTTCATAGCACTTGTTTTTTTCAAGAGCATTTTAAGCCGAAATAGGTAAGAATTTTTCACATAAATATCAATTATAAAATTCAAATTGATTTATTCAAAATATACAAAAATTGGATTCAATGAATTGTGGCCCTAAAGAGGGCCGTTGGGTTCGGTTGTTGAGAATTTTTTCTCAGACGTTCAACGGAGTTATCCGCCGAAGCCGTACAGGGTGCGTCCTTGGCGCTTGAGGGCGTAGACGACGTCCATCGCGGTGACGGTCTTGCGCTTGGCGTGCTCGCAGTAGGTGACGGCGTCACGGATCACGTTCTCAAGGAACACCTTCAGAACACCTCGGGTTTCCTCGTAGATGAGGCCAGAGATGCGCTTCACACCACCACGTCGAGCAAGACGACGGATAGCGGGCTGAAAATCAATAAGTTAGTAAAAGGCTTTGCAAATTTCGAGAATACAAATGAACCGAAAAGTACCTTGGTGATTCCTTGGATGTTGTCGCGAAGAACCTTACGATGGCGCTTGGCACCTCCTTTGCCAAGTCCTTTTCCTCCCTTTCCACGGCCAGACATGACTTCAGTAGAACGAAACTCACGTATGAGATGAAGTCCAGGCGACAATCCTTACTTTTATACTCGCGGCTGGCGTGTCACCACGCGGGGACTCCAGCCGGCGGTCAGCGGCAGGTCAAAAAATGAGACCCCGCCCATTAACTCCGCAGTATAAAAGTGTTTTGCAGCATTTTTCTTCACCCGAGACGTCTCTCGAATCGCATCGCCATGGCTCGTACTAAGCAAACCGCCCGTAAATCGACTGGAGGAAAGGCTCCCCGCAAGCAGCTGGCCACCAAGGTAGATTTCACTGGATTAGTTGATAATTAGCATTGATTTAAACTTGAAAGCTCAACAGTCATTTCATTATTTTTTCGATTGAATGAATTTGGAGTGTTAATATGTAGTTTTAATATCTAATATTAAATTATTCATTTTCAGGCCGCTCGCAAGTCCGCCCCGGCGACTGGCGGAGTCAAGAAGCCCCACAGATACCGTCCTGGAACCGTCGCTCTCCGCGAGATCCGACGCTACCAGAAGTCGACGGAGCTTCTGATCCGCAAACTGCCGTTCCAGCGCCTTGTCCGCGAGATCGCCCAAGACTTCAAGACCGATCTTCGATTCCAGTCGTCGGCCGTGATGGCTCTCCAGGAGGCCGCCGAAGCGTACCTCGTTGGTCTTTTCGAAGACACCAACTTGTGCGCTATCCACGCCAAGCGAGTCACCATCATGCCCAAGGACATCCAGCTTGCGCGACGCATCCGAGGAGAACGAGCTTAATTGCTCTTTCGACTCAACCGAACCCAACGGCCCTCTTTAGGGCCACACATCCAGCTCAAATCCGTGATATCTGTATATAATAAACATTTTTCATTGAACAAGAAGCTCGCTTTAAATTAAAAATGATTTGTTTGGGATTTGAGTCTATTCAGGCACTTATTGAGCATGAGTCTGCAGATTCTCACTGTCATTATTGAATTCAGCTTCTCATGGATTTTCGTCTAACATCGATTGTGGAATTTGGTTTTGATAAATAGACGGTAACTCAAATAATGTTTAGCCCATGTCTCGGAATTTCAAACCCTGAAATATATTGAGAAAAAATTTCCTCCAAATTTTTGAAAAAACTTCGGATCGAATTTTTTTTCGCTCAATGAAATTCTTTTCTTTTTTTTCTCAATCGGAAAACCCATTTTGTCTGACGACCTGTCACCTCTCGGCGTCATTTTTCTCTTACTTGGCGCCAAAAATGTTTCTGACCTGCATTTTGGCGCCAAATCAGAGAGAAAAGACGCCGAGAGAGTTCATGATGTGAGACAAAGTCCGACTTACCGGGTTTCGAAAAGCGGACTTTCTCAAAAGTTTGGAACTTTTTTTCTAAAAATGAAAAAAAATGGTGCAAAAAAATCTAAATAAATAAATATCTTCAGAGAAAAAAGATTTTAAAATAATTAAAAATCCGTCACTTTCAAGGCCTCATTGAGTATTATTCACTTCGCGTTAAATCGCAAACCGCTACTCCCTTACGTCATCCCTATGACATCATCTTCATTTGCAAAAATTCGCACACGCAGCCATATCATTTTATTCATTTTTTTACGTTCCAATTTATAAAATTAGATTCGACGTGAAAAACTTTTTCCGGTCACATGAAAAAAACAGAAAGATATCACACTTGAAAATCTCCTTTTGATTGGAAACTTTTTTTATTTTTTTCTATTTTTCTTAATTTTTAGAAACCTTTTTAAAGGTTTGGAATAATCCGAGGCGTCAAAGCTCGCGCTTACGCACAGTATGCTCCTTTAATCTTTTTGGGAAGAACATTTCACAGATTTTTTTCGCTACGCGTATCAAGTTTGCAAAAAGTTTAGAGCTATCTGATAGTGTTATTAGTTTCCAAGTTTTGAAACTAAATGCCTTTTATGTCAAGTATTCATTTATTTGACGAATTTTTCACTGTGGCTCAGTTTTTTCGAAGCGAGCCACAGTCGGCTTCGCGCTATGCGCGCTCCGCCTCCGTGTGAAGCCTTAAAACTAAGCCTATTTTCTTAAGTAATGCATGAACCTGTAAGCGCAGTTTTAATGCAAAGGCGCATTTCAGGCTCTTCTCATTCTTCAATTTTTTCAATTTCAATTTCAATTCAGTTCAATTTATTCAGTCTTCAGAGTAAAAAGAAGAAAATCTCTGCTGAATCATGGTATAATCGAAGAGTTAGTCGTCGGCGCGGGTGACGGTCCACAATCGTTTGTCCAATACGTCCCGGAGTGACAGCTAGCGTTGGGAAATAATGTTGGCCCGTTGGTAGTACTAGCGAATAAACTGCTTCACCATGTTGGAACAGTACGGCGCCCAGCTTGTCCAGGACTGACGGGCGTCGGAATGTTATCCCATGAGAGAGCGGCAATGAGACCGACCAGTCGACGTGATGAAATGAGATAATAATAATCTGCTGAATCATGTTCACGTGAATAAAATGAATATATAGCCAAATGTTTTGATTACGCTTATTTCTTTTGTTACGAATGATGTCATAGGGATGACGTCAGGGAGTAGCGGTTTGCGATTTAACGAAAACTGTATTATTCAAATAAAAAGAGACCACGGTTGAACTGAATTATAACTTGAAAGCATGAATGAAAAAATTTAGAATTAAGCATAAATTTGAAAATAAGAATTTCTGTATTTTTCAAAATGCTCATCAAAGATTACTTATCCTAAAAAAACTGTCAAGTAGTTTTATATTTTCTCGATTAATTTGTACTTCTGTGAGGGCATGAAGTAGTTTGAAATTTATCAAGTTGAGAATAACGACTTTACGCAGATCTCGCACCAACTTTGTTTCCATTCCGAGAGTTTCGATTTTTACAAGGCATTTAATATTTATTTATAAAGTAGACAAGAACATTGGACTTGTTGCAAGTTGTGGCCCTAAAGAGGGCCGTTGGGTTCGGTTAGCTCGAGCGTTCAGGAAAGATTTATTCCTTGTCTCCAGCGGTCTTCTTGGGCAGAAGGCTGGCCTGGATGTTGGGGAGAACACCTCCTTGAGCAATGGTGACGCCGCTCAACAGCTTGTTGAGCTCTTCGTCGTTGCGGACGGCGAGCTGCAAGTGGCGGGGGTTGATGCGGGTCTTCTTGTTGTCGCGGGCGGCGTTGCCGGCCAACTCCAGGACTTCAGCGGCGAGGTACTCGAGAACGGCGGCCAAGTAGACCTGAAAAAAATAAAAAAATAAATTTATTGAATAAAAAAATTTAAATAAGCAAATAAAGATGAAAAATGCAAAGATTGAAAGAATTGAAACAAAAAAACTGACCGGAGCTCCAGCACCAACGCGTTGAGCGTAGTTTCCTTTACGGAGAAGTCGGTGAAGTCGACCAACTGGGAACTGAAGTCCAGCACGCGAAGAACGCGATTTGGCCTTTCCGCCAGTCTTGGCTTTTCCTCCCTTTCCACGTCCAGACATGTCGATTGCGATGAAGAACTGCGAGAAACACTCACGAGATGGAGATTTCGACGCGCGCCGACATTAAATACTCCTGCCCGGCAGGCCACGCCTCTTTAGCCACGCCCACTGCCGTGCGCGTGTATATAAGAAAGTAGCATCGATCGTACCGCACCACTTGCAAACGCCAGTGAATCCTCGTCATGCCGCCCAAGCCATCTGCCAAAGGGAGCCAAGAAGGCCGCCAAGACCCAAAAAGGTATCGACTGGAACCAAGAAGCGCCATCACAAGCGCAAGGAGTCCTACTCCGTCTACATCTACCGTGTTCTGAAGCAGGTATTGATTTTTGTTAAATTTTAAAACACTCATTTTGTTAATCGACCAGACTCAACCTTTTTTTTTAAATTGAATATATTCATAAGGATTTTTCCAAATAGAGAATGCAGAATAGAATATTGCGAAATTGAAGATTTTTTGAACAGAGCTTCTATATAGTAATCATAGATAAGTGTTCGTGCAGTCCTAAACTTTCGCCTTTTTATTGCGAAATCGAAGATTTTTTTATTTTCTATTCTATTTTCTAAATTATTTTTCAGGTGCACCCCGACACCGGAGTCTCCTCGAAGGCCATGTCGATCATGAACTCTTTCGTGAACGACGTCTTCGAGAGAATCGGTGCTGAAGCCTCGCGCCTTGCTCAGTACAACAAACGGTCGACGATATCTTCTCGCGAAATCCAGACGGCGGTCCGACTGATCCTTCCTGGAGAGCTGGCCAAGCACGCCGTGTCCGAGGGAACCAAGGCTGTCACCAAGTACACTTCCAGCAAGTAAATTCTCAACTATGAGCTTTACTTGACCAACCGAACCCAACGGCCCTCTTTAGGGCCACAAGTATTCTTCAAGTCCTTTTCCTTAATTTATACATACCGAATAAAGTTTGAACTATTTTTGTTATTCCGTTCAACAAACGTGAAAAGTCGTCATTTCTTTATAGTTTTGTGTACGTTATGGGCTTGTATAAATTGTGGAAAGTAAAACGAAGGGCTGACAAAGCTCTGGCCAAATTCGAATGGACTGTCATGAATCTCCGAAGGTTAATATTTTCACCATTGGCTATAATTTTGTTTGATACGATTTTTAAGGGAAAGAGCTGGAGAAGAAAGAATATTAACTTTTAAGCAAAAATTGAAGAAAAAGTTGTCATATATTTATCCGCCGTGGAGGAAACGCGAACCTGTAACGTTTTATGAGCGGATTTTCAAACAAGGCACAAGGTTTAAAAATCAAATTTCATTTTCCATGTCTCTATTTTCAGTGAAAATGCTGTTGGAATGCTTGTTCGGAATATATTAATGGTTGAACTTTTTGGGTTACTTATCTACATAATTCTTGCTTTCAAATATGCGCATTTTCCAGGAGTGTGAGTTTTTATTGTAGTTGAAAGAAAACAAGTAGAATTTTCAGTGTCGGTACAACAGTTTCATTGATTGTTCATGTATTCCTTTTTCAAACTTTACTTTTTCCAAAGGTTTCTCAGAGCAAAGAATCGAGTTCTAAATTTTTTTTTTAGTTGATGTATTACTTTACAATCGCGGTTCACTGCATGTTAAGCAACAAAATTCGAGGATTACTGGTGATTCTCATCATGGTCATGGCGTTTGAAGTTTGTTTAGTTTATTTGAGTTCAAAAAAAAAGTAGAAGAAAAAGCTGGAAAAGGCGCAAATTGGAATTTCTTGATTACCGTAGAAGATAGGAGTCGACTGCAGAGGGAACATTTTATATGACGACAATTTTTGACAAACGGAAATTTTTTTTGATTTTTTACATGTCACATTTTCTGGATATATCCTAGGGCCCAGCGATGAACATAGTTCAAAATATTCACGGCGTCGCTTCTGGAGTCGCCTGTCTTCAGGCCGACGTTTTAGGGGCTCAACACGATTTGCAGAGTAATTTGGCAGATAAAGGGGCGGTTCGTCTTCTAATTATCATTAATATTTTTTAGAACTAACATGTAACCAAAAATAACTAGAATTCAAGTCAATGGTGGCGCGAGTTCGAAATGTAATGTTAAAAGTGGCGGAGCCGGTGACAAAATTGAAGAGATTGATTGGGAGGATCGACGAGAAGGCCACGAAGTCCGAATTAATTTAGAAAATGATAAGTTTGAAGGTTTTTAAGATTTGTCGATGTGATGCGGAGGAATTACGCCATCGTCTCAGGCCTTTCCAACGAATGTCGTCGTCATTTGGAAGGTCCTTTCACTAAAGTGAGCACTTGAGATTCATTTTTGAAGGGCGGATCTGCTTGAGAATTCCGGATTACATATTTAAAATCACGAAAATCTAACTTTGGCCAATTTAATACTCAAAAATAGGTTCTTCGCTTCGAGACCTTCGTGAAAATACTCCATGCGCCTTTAAAAAAGTTTTTTTTATCTGAAAAAAAAATCCGGCGTTATTAAAGGATCATCGTCTCTCACGATAATCAAACAACGCGATAGGGTACTGTAGGGGACTGAGTTAGCTTCTTGAAATTCAAAATCTTAAGAATAGCTCCAGGTCGACTTTGAACATGTGACCATTTGATTGCCATCTCAAGCCCCTACCAATTGAGCCATCGCGCCTTTTTTTTCCAGTGCATCAACTTTTTCGACGGAGGCTACACTTCCTGTAAAGACAAGGCGCGGTTCTTCGGCTCCCAAGGCGGCTCCTGTGACGTCATCCTGGCGACTTCTTCGGTTGCGTTGCGTCGCGCGTCGCGGCTGACCCATTCTCTTTAGATATGCGACATCGCCAAGGGATTTTCGACGTCGGTTTGCAATTTCCCGCAGGCTATCAAGAGAGGTTCGCGTCGCGATGAATGAAGCGGAACATTTTTTTTTTGAGGGGTGAAAGGGGCTGTTATCCCGTTTTATGTCAACTTTTTCCAAGCAGTCGAGGAGAGCGTCAGGGTTCTGCTCACTTTTCACGTCCAGGCCGCTGAATGGGTACTGTATCTTGATTTCAGCTGTGTTTTAGAGTAGGAGCTCAAAAACTTACCAAGGAAAAAATTCAGTAAAAAAGGCGAAATTGCGCTCCACGGGTAAACTTTTTTTTTCTTGCGATTTTCAAGTTTTTCATGCATTTTTTTTCACAAGGGATCGAGCGTCAGGAAAAAAAAAACAAAAAATGAAGAAAATCGGAAATTTCGAATCTTTATCGTTCTTGGAGCAAATATTCCCTACGGCCTTTTTCCGGCTGATTTTTAGTGACTACTTTTTCAAGATCCATTCCAATTTCAGGCCTTCGAAAAAGTGAAGCCAGCTATCGCCGTGCTCCGACAAACTGGCGGAGTCCGACTCCGAAGTAACAGCACCAAAGAAGGAAGCGAAATTTCGGCCGAAGATGACGCGACCAAATCCTTGAGAAGCGTGCGTTTGCGGTCGCGTCGTGGTTACGAACCATATTTGGAACTGTCTGGCTTCTTTGGCCTCTCTTTCTTTTTAACATATGGTCATTTCTGAGAGACAGAAAAGGTTAGGAAAAGCTAACTGTTCCTTTTGAGAAGACTTGAGAGAGAGAGGGTACAGACAAGTTAGAGGGTTTCAACTGGCGGCAAATCTAAAATAGCACTACTAGTTTATACTCAAAGGGGCGTGGCCTGTTTGGGCTCTCCATTAACCATGCACTATCTCTTCCCTTATCGTGTCAAAACCCATTTTTCGAAGACTGTCATGAATCAACTATAGATATTTGAACTATCTTGATAGACTTTCAATAATGCTGAAAACGGCTCCTCGCTTCAAGACCTCTGTGAGACTTCCCTATCTCCAGGCTTTAGAACAACCAATAAATATTAAGAATATTTACAGTAAATTTACTTCCAGAGCGTCAAAAGAAACCTGGCGGCGATTGTTCAACAGTATCGTAGCATCATCGGTTGGATTGTACTGTTGTTCCGGTGGGGCGTACTTCCCGCGATGCTCGCCTGGCCTTTTCTTTACGTTCGTCATTTTTCTGAGCGAATTAAAAATCACGGAGTTGCTCTATTCTTCGCGTTTTGGCAGTTAAAAAAAAGTTCCGATTTCATGCGTTGTGTAAACCGTTTTGCATTGGCGCTTAAAAAGGACTTTAGATTTAAGTGCTTATCCCACAGCTGCGTTCGGTCTATATAATTTTTCAGTAGGGTACAGGATGCCGCCAAGCGAAAGTAGTTTCTGGTCGGACGCGCTGAAAAATTGTTTTGCGTTTACGAATTTTTAAACCGTTTTTGCGATATCGAAGCGTTTCAAGTCGTTTTGAAAGTCAGTGAAGCTTTTAGCAACACTAGAGTGGCCCCTATAGGGCTATGGGGGAGGGGAAAAAGTGCTCCCTACATAAAAAAAGTGGTCCCTTGAGTGGAGCCTACCAGAGCCCTCAAGATGCCCCTGTAGGGGCCACTCTAGTGTCCCTAAACTTGGTCAATTTCAAGGCGATCTTCTTCATCTACCGCTACAACTACGACGACGACTACAAAAATCGGTTCATCACTGAGGAATTTGAGAAAATCGATCAGGATTTCGCTTTTCGAAAAACTGCCACCAAAGCTTTGCCTCTGACGGATGATGAGGGGAAAATTGTGGGTTTTCACGGAAATAGGCCAGCAAACACAAAAAAGGACTTGAGTCCAGATATTTTTTGGTTTTTCCATCGATTTTCTTCAAGAAATTCGCTGACAGTTTTGAATTCCCGCCAATTTTAACCGCGACGCAAGGTGGACGCGACGCGGTTCCTCTTTTTTTCAGTACGTCCATCGCGACGCCTGGAAGATGACCCACGGTGAGAGGACCGGTTTCTGGCTTTTTGTCTCGTTGACTGTGCTCTCCTGCTTCACACCGTTCTGTATCTGCCTTCTCGACGTCGGCGTCTATAACGTGAGCCGAGTCGCGACATGCGACGCGTCAATTTTCTGATTTTAGACGATTTACGCCGTACATGTGATAGTGAACCTGACGCACATCGATATGCCTTCGCATTATGAGCTTCAGGTGAATATTTGGGATTTTTTCGGAAAAAAACCGCGTCGCGGTCAGAACATTCTGAAAAACACGAATTTTTATTTTCGATTTTATTCCCGTTTCAAATCTTGCTTTTAATGAAATGAATTCGTTTCGGAATTTCAATAGGAAAGTACGCAAAACAGGAAAAATCCGTAAGAAGTTTTCCGCGCAACCTTCAGTTTGAAAGATTGTGCGCTCCATGGCTAATTTAAAAAATTTGAAGTGATTATAATTTTTGCCGACCTTTTCCGCTATATTTTCGTGATAAGTGATAAAAAGTGGAATTTTCAAGATATTTTCTTTTTTTAAATGTGGCAGAGTACTTTTCTCAAATTTCTGGGGAGTTTTTCAGAGGCCTCTTTAGGGTTTTTTTAACTTTTTTTAGTGGCCACTTAAGCGGCTAAGACTTATTGACCGCTTTAGAAGTTAAATGGTACTATTAGACTACTGAAAATCACTAAAGTGGCCGCTGAGACGCAAAATAGTGAGTTAAGGGGCCACTTTAGTGTCCTTGAGGAACCTCTTAAGTGGCCCCTAGAGCTTTTCGCATTTCATTAAATATTTTATTCTTTTTCGCTGAAATTCAGCGGATTTTTATGTAACTTGAAATGTTTCTAGGTGTCCGGAAGCGGCTACATTGCCAAGATAATGCGTGAATTCTTGCAAGTTTTCTCGCCGTTGAATAAAAGCCGTCCGGAATAGGGAAGAAATGTGAGAAACTTCATGTTTTTTTAATAGAAAAAAATGAATATTTTTCAAGGTGGAGGAACTGTTTCAAAGAGCCCGAACCGCCGAATTTTCTAGAGTTTGCCGTAATGCTTGCCATGTTCCTTGGAGCGTTGTTCTGCTGCCGGTTGAAGGTTGAAATTTGGCAAATTTCCAATTTTTTTTGTTGTTTTTTTGTAGTTTTGTAGCGGTTCCTTCCAAATTATTTGTCCGAAAAAGCCGAAAAAAAGTAGTTTGGTAGCCTCGTCTTGATATACTTGATATACAGAATGGTTCATTTCCATCAATTCATGGTTATTTTGACAAAAGTGTGAGGAAGTGCTAGAGATTTTTTGAAATTCACAAATTGGCTCTCTTTTTCGAAGCTTCTGTGCTCCATGGATAATATACCCTATTTTTGAGTTTCCATATGTAGCAATGGAGCGCATTCGTTTTTTTTTGACAAATTTTTGTATTTTTTTGACTTTTTTTTTTAAAAAGTATACTCTGTTCGAAAAGATAATCTTGCGGTTAAGTTTAAAGGAACATAGGCAATTTTTGATTAAGGTCTCGAAGCGAAGAGTCGTTTTTAGAGGTTTTTAGGTGCTTTTGCTTCTTTGAAAAATCAGAAAAAGAGTTTTAAACAACGAATTTCCCTATAAATTCCTATTTTTATGTTCTCTTTAATATTCCCCCCTGTTCAGGTCTACTTTGGCCGCCAAACTCTGGCCCTTTGCGACTATTATTACCCGGACCGGGTTCGGATCCGGGCCCTGACCCTTTACAACAAAATTCTTCAAGATCGGAAGAATTTGCTGGCTGAGATGATGGGCCATAGGAAGGTTGGCTTATAGTCCGTTTTCCGCGACTTTAAACTGTTTTTTTCTCTGCGCCCTCCTCGTTTCTCGGCGGCCCTCTCGTATTGATATGCTATTTTCATGTTTCTCTAACCTTGCCGGCGAGGGAACAGGGAGACGCAGACACTCGAAAAATGTCAAGGGCGAAACTTCTCTGCACCCTCCTAGTCTCTCATTTTGACATGCTATTTTCATGTTTCTCTGACCTCGCCGGCGAGAGAACAGAAAGACGCAGACACTCGAAAGCGGCGAATAGACTAGGATATACTTGATTAAAAAAAATAGGACTATCCTGCTTCTAGGACGATATAATGGGGAAGGACGACCTCGTGGTGAGAAGAACTCTGCAAAGTCGGGGCTATTTGAGATCCGACTGCACGAAATGCAAGAAGATGGACTTGAAAGTGGCTGATCAGTCGTGAGTCACGGCGTTTTTGTTAGTGGAAGAAAATGCAAAACCAAAAATGAAGGGGACGTGGTCAAAGCCTCCGCCGTTCGCATGGGACGTCATGGAAATAACAGATAATATTAGAGGCGCATATACAATAGGTCTTGAGACGAGTCGAAAAAAACGCGATGTTTCTGTTTCATTTTTTTGAATGTTCTGAGGGATTCCGCGAAACTTAAAATAGCCGTCAGAAAGTAAAAAATATGAAAAACGGTATGTGCGAGAGCGCCGCGGTGCATGCATACAACACACTTCACTTTACGGAAATTCCTCAAAAATTTCCCTTTTTCTCTATGATTTTCCCGGTTTATTGACGATTTTTCCTTTGTTTTTCTGATAATTTTGAACCAATCCGAAATTTTTTCCTATGAAGAAATGTCCGGATCTGCATCGCTTGCAACGCTTTCTACTGTATCGAGTGCTTCTCTTTCACTTCGAATTGCACGAAATGCGACGACGAAATGCAGAATATCGGCAACTTGGAGCTGTACTACGAGGAGGAGGAGGATGATCAGGAACAAGGTGAAAATTTAGGAGAAAAGGCAAAAATGAAGCAATTTTCTATGGAAGTTTGATAGAGCACACCAAGAGTTTTGAATTCTCGTCAAAAGTACAGGGTGCGCAATAAGTATTGAAACGCGTTTGAAACGTTATAACTTTCTCGAAAATCAACCAAACACCACCAAACTTGGAACAAATTTTATTCATACAATATAGAAACAAAATTCAAGAATAGTTTTCAAAACGTCATCCTTTAGCATTGATAACGGCCTTCAGTCTCTTCGGATACGCATCGATCACGGCACGAAGGTAGTCGTCGTCGATTTCGTCCCATTTCTTGATGAGCGCGGTCTTCAGGGCTTTGATACTTGGGTAGTTCTTAGAAGAGACCTTCTCGGTCAGATATATCCACACGGCATAGTCCATCGGGTTGAGATCGGGCGAGGAAGCAGGCCAATCAGCAGCCGAGATGAACTCGGAAAATTGGCGCGACACCACTCTTGAGTCCCTTTGGCACGATGAGCGGGGGCGCCGTCTTGCTGGAAGGTCCATGGTCGGTTTCCGTAGTGAGAATTGGCGCAGGGCAACACCCTCAACTTTAAAATCTACTCCCAGTAGTATACTTGGTTCACTTCGACTCCAGAATCCACAAAAATCAGCGGAGTTTTGCCGTCAGCGGTAATTCCGGCAAAAACCATCACGGAAGCCGGATGCGAAGTTTTATTCAGAATTTTTTCTTTTTCACAGGCACTCTGATAGTCAGTAGCGATGTTCCGATGATTTTGGCCGTTCTTGTTCGCCTCCATAGTGAAGATTTTCTCGTCGGTAAATAGCGTCGTCAGATGCGAGCCATCTTTCGTGCCAGCGAGCAGCTTTCAAGTCTTTTCCATCCGCAATGTCTTGTTTTTTTGATTGAGGAAGGCTCCTTTCTGCATACGGTAGGGAATCATCTTCAGCTTGTCCTTGACAATAGTTCTCATCGATTCTCGACTCATTTTGTATTCTTTTGCCATCTTTCTCACGCTTCTTGCCGGATTGCGCCTGATTTTCTCTCGAACGGCTTTGACTGCTTCTGGAGTCGTGACGGTGACTGGACGTCCCATTCTTTGCATGTCATCTGAAGTACCGAGACGCCGATAGCGTTGTGCAGTTCGAAAAACGAGAACACGAGACACTTTCAGCTTTTTAACGATCTCTGAATTCGTCATTCCGTTTTTGACACAATCAATGATTGCGGTACGGTACGGAGATGGGGCCACCATTACCTGAAAACTGAAAAGTGTGAGCTGTAACTTCAAACACATGATAAGTGAGCATGAATAAACGAAATAAACAGAAAAGTTCAAAGGCCAGTCCATTGTGCAAAAAGCAGCGATCAAACAAAAAACGGTTTCAATATTTATTGCGCACCCTGTAGAACTGAAATTCTGATGATCACACTGAAAATAACTATGAACCGGAAAAAAGATTCACATCATGTGGTCGCTATTGGAATGGCTCGACGATTTTTTCTGCGTCCGACATTAACCGGTTTACGCGCGGAGGTATAGGAGTACACCTGAAAGCTCAAACCAAGCCGCAACGCGACCGCGACGCTGTGAGCCATTCCAAGTGCGACTCCGGTGCTTCAAATCGTTTAGAAAACCTCAAAGCATATTAGAGATCGAAATGCGCCCGACTTGAAACGGTTTACGTGAGAATTTATGGGAAATGCTGTGTTTTTTTGAACCGCAACGCGACCGCGACGCTCTGAGCCATTCCATATGCGATTCAAGTCGTTTAGAAGTCTCAAACAACACTAGAGATTACTATAATTTTGTTCATAAATCGGAAAAAAGAATCTAAATCTAGTTGCAATCATGTGGCCGCAATTAGAATGGATCGGTGACTTTTTTCTTTTCAAAATGCGTCCGACTTTAAGCGGTTTACGCGCGAAGGTATATGAAACCCTTACTGCAAGAAGAGATCAAACCGCAACCTGACCGCGATGTTTTGATTATTTTTTAAATATTATCGGATTTGTAGATTTTTTCATCTTATAAAATAAATCATTTTTGAGTTTTTAGCATTCTCGAGCCCTACATAAATCCAATTTTTTCCTCGAAACGAAAAAAAGAGCTATTGGAATATTAAAATTGAAAGAAAATACAGATTCCTCCTACTCATTTTTTTGAAAAAATGAAGAGATTTGCAGAAGAAGAAGAAGATGACGAGGAAGATTCAGAAGAAGAAGAGGAAGACGTCGTTCGAACCGAATCGGAAGTGACGACGAAAAAGAAGACGTCAGAATCCGTTAATTCTTGAAAAAGTAAATAAACGAATTCGTTATGTTAATACGTGTTCAATTTCCGTTTAAAGGTTTTTTGTTTTTGCAGAAAAGGAAGTTTTCATTTTGAAAGGCTGAAGACGTGAGGAAATGACGGAGCTCGAGGAGGTCACCGATTCAGTGAGATTTTCAGAGTTTCGAAGGGAAATTATCGGGTTTTGTTGATCGAAAGGTTTTTTTTTGCTTTTGACGATATTTTGAATTTAAAAAGGGTAAATTTTAAGTGGTTCGAATGAGTAAGGAAAAGCCGATTTCCAAGCAATTGAATGATTTTTTTTTTGAAACCTGGACCTAAAATTCAACAAAGATTGAAAATATAGGGTTTTTGAGAGTTTTTTTCAAAGCTTCTAATGAGTAAAAAGCTTCGATTCTCAAAAAAATTGAAGAGATATTTCTGAAAAATGAGCTTGAATTTTTGAATTAATGGTTGGGAAGATTCAAATTTGGAAAGTTTGAAAGTTTTAAAAACTTCAATTTCTAACAATTGATACTATTTTTTTGAAAAAAATGGGCCTGAATTTCCAAATTATTGGTAGAAACATTTCAAAGTTATGTTTTTAAAAATTTTTTTAAATCTGACGGTTTTTTTAAAGCTTAAAATGAGAGAAAGGATTGATTTTTTTGAGCAATCGAAGAGATCTTTTTGAAAAAAATGAACTTGATTTTTTTGAAGTATTTCGGAGTTTAAGATTTTTCAAAATTCAAAATCAAAGGCAATAGTGCGTTTTTTTACTTCAGGTAGTGTTAAAATTCAAAAAAAAAAGCCGTGATTTTGAAAAATTGGCTTTCTTCCAACTTTTTTTTTTCGTTTGTCTTTCAACTTTTCAACTGAAGATTGAGCTTGAATCCATTTCCAGACGTTTTCTCAGTTTACATTCTCCTTTCCAATCCTTCAGAGCCGATAAAAACAATTTTGAAATAACTGAAAATTTATTTTAATCGGTCGTGTCCCTTTAATAAGGCATGAGGCACAATGGAAGGGACATGGCCATGTTCCTATTTTTTTTTTAGCAAGTTCCACCTTATGAGAATTAAGTTGAAAAATCAAATATTCATTTGAAGTGGCTATGCTCCTTTAATAGAGCGTGAGTTAAATTCAAAGGGACATGCCTAATTAAAGGACCATAATTTATTTTTTTTCAATTTTCTAGCAAGTTTCACCCATCAATAACCTATCAAACTTCAACCAAAACACTGAACTGATATCATTTTTTTTCCTTTATCGATAAGAAAGTTGATAAGAATGAACACCCACGCGTTATTGTCGCTACTAAATAAGCAAACAGAAGACGATTTTTTGGTAGTTTTCATTCGGTCACCTGTTCTTGTTTCACCTATTAAACTCAAGGTTTGACATTTTTTTTTTGATGGGAAATGGATAAAAGAAGTTTTTTCAGTGATTTTTTGTCAAAAGGGAGTAAATTTGTAATGGAAATGTACGTTTTTGATGAAAAAATAAAAGAAAGAAGGCTTAAATTTTGTTCTTCAAGTGATTTTTTTGCTTTAATTTTTGGGAAAAATGTAGTAAATTTGAACTTTGATGACTTTTAGATCCCTATTTTTTTAAGAAAAAGTGTGAAGGAAAAAAAGGTTCAGAGATTTTTATTTTTAAGTGATTTTTGGTCTCAAATTCAGAAAAAAATATAGAAAAATAGGTTGAAATTCGTTAAATTTGTAATGGAAATTTACGTTTTTTTCATGAAAAAAATTGAAGTAAATAAGGTTTAAATTAGGGTTTCGAGAGATTTTTAGCTTAAATTTTGGGAAAACGGGGTAAATTTGAGTTTCGATGATCTGTAGATTTCTATTTTTAATGAGAAAGTGAAGGAATTGAGTTCGAATTTCGTTTTTCAAGTGATTTTGATTTAATTATGGAATAAATGGAGAAAATTAGAATTTTGGTGATTTTTTTAATTACACTTTTTGAATAGAGAAATGAAGAGATAGCCGGATTTTGAGCTTGAAATTTGGGTTTTTTCTTTTTCGGAAAAATTTTTTTTTTAGAAAAATCGCAACACCTGTATATCATTCGAGCGTAAAAAAATTTGAAACTAATGAAAAAAAAATTTTTTCGGAAAACTTCAAAAAAAGGCTGTTTTTTTCTAGAAAGAGCAGGAATTACTTTCCTGCAAAAATTTCTCGCAATAAATTCTTTTTCTGTGAACAAAACATGATAATCTCCTTTCAAGAAGAGAAAAAAAAAAATGCAATCAGACAGGTAGATTTTGCAACAAAAAGCGTCATCCTAACACATAGATCCTAAGAAATGAAAGGTTAATCCGAGTCAGTCATTAATCCCCCTATTATATCCCTAAAATCTCCCGGTAAATCCCACCGAAAGCCCCTCGCATATTTGAATAGGAAAAGCAAGAAAAAAAAAGCGAGGCATTCCAACGAGAAACCTCCGCATAAATAATTGAGATTATCGCGTTCGAGCGAGCCGAAATCAAGTTGAAATTTATTCAAGCCAAAAAAAAATTTTTTTCCCGCCCCCTTTTTTTTCATATCCACGCACGTATTCGCCTTACCTGGTTCCACATTTTCCGCATTTTATTTTGCCCCAGTGGAAAATAAAAGAGAACATGATTATTGTGGAACGGCTGATCGATGTGATTTCCCTGAAATTCTTCCGTCGAGCAACTATTGTTCAACGGGAAAGTACTCAGGTAGTCATCCTTTTATTTAAAGTGGTCCCTATAGGGGCAACCTTAAGGGCTTCATCAAGTATTCGTAGGAACGCCAGAGTGATCCTCAGATAATAGGGGGCTTCAACCAGTTTACCTTCCCCCTATAGGGACCACTCAAGCTTGCAAAAGGGTCCCTATATGGGCAACTTTAGATGCTACTTGCTGACCCTCTTACCACCCCTATAGGGGCCACTTAGGCTTGCAAAAGTGGTCCCTATAAGGGCAAATTTATAGGCTACTTGACGACCCTCTTACCACCCCTATAGGAGCCACTTAGTCGTGCAAAAGGGGTCCCTATAGGGGTAACTTTAGAGGCTACTTTTCGACCACTTTACCTACCCCTATAGGGGCCACTTAAGCTTGCAAAAGGGGTCCCCATAGGGGCTACTTTAGGGGCTTCTTCAAAATTTCAGTGTTCGTAGGATCCCCAAACCTTTGAAGGTACCCCTCGACCATTTCAGCTACCCCTATAGGGACGACTAAATCTTGAAAAAGTGACCCCTAAAGGGGACATGTTATTTGATGATTATTATGAACTCTTTCATGCGAAAAAGCTCGAGAAATTGACGTTTTTTGAAGGAAAAATTTTACAAGATTATTATATTTTAATTTTCGACCTGAAAAAAGCCCTATAGGGACCACTTGAGCTTTAGGGGCTCAGAGGTCAGACTCTAAACCCCTATAGTGATCACTCAAGTTCTACCCGTATAGGAGCTGTTTTTTGCCCGATCTAGAGGCTTTTTCTTCCTAACCCCTATAGGGACCACTTGGCGCTTCTAGGCCCGCGTACTTAAAGGAGCATAGGAAAGTTTCAAAAAAGGTCCCGTGTCAAAAATCCGTATTTGGCCTTTTTTGATATAAAATGATCAATAAGTTGGAGAAATTAGCATTTTAGAGACTAAATTTCCAGTTTTTCTGTTAATAAATTTGTCATTGTTCGATCAATACATTTAAAATTTTGAAGATTGAAGTAGTTTGAGATAAAAATTGACTTTAATCTCTTTTTACAAAGTGAGAAAAATAGCATCAAAATTTTCAGTTTTTGCCTTTTTTCGATGTTTTTTCAATAATTTGCAGCCTTTTTCAACTATAAAACTGCAAAAAATCAAAAAATCGATCAATAAAATTTGAAATTAGCGCCTCAAAATTTTATTTTTTCGCTTTTTCCAGCTTTTTTTCACTTCCATAGCGTTATTATTGTAACCAATTCCATTCAATTTCCCAAATTGCTTTTGAAATATTGATGCGTTTTTTCTTTCGGCGTTTTGAACACAAAAGCAGGAAAAATCGGAAATCTAATAAGGTGACGCATTTGAAGAACAAAAAGAAAGGTTTTTTTCTTTTTTCCTGCTCGCCAATACAAAAAAGCGACACATTTGATTTGTTTCAAAGGTTTGCTTTCTTTTCGGAGAAAAAAGAGACAAAACTCGAAGTTTTGGGACAAAAAACGCCCCGAAAAGTGTATTTATTCAATTAATTCGAATGGCTCCAAGGTTGCTGGTAAAGGAGCCGGTGAGTTTTGAATCTTGAGAAGTTTGGAAAAAAATGACTCATATTTGTTGAAATTGCCACTCTTTGTACGAGAAATCAGAGCATAATAGGAAAGTAGGAAAGTTGGAAAGGTTCCTTTTAAATGAGAAAATTCATTTCGAGACGAATTTCTGTTCGAGTTTTATTGAAATTTGTCGAATTTTTTAGTTTTTTGTGATTTTTGTTTACAATTCTAGTACATAATTAAAAAAAGAAGCTCAAAAATCAAAGTTTAAGTCGGAATTTATAATTTTTTTGTGTTTTAGATTATTTTACGGTTTCAAAAATTTTTTTCAAGTTTTACTGAAATATTTCAAATTTTTCTGCCTTTTTGTGAATTTACCGGTTTGCAGGGTATATCTAGGAGCCTCAAAATTTTTAAACGAAATCTGTAATTTTTTTCCCATTTTTTTGATCATTTTACGGTTTCACTTCATCTTTATTAAAAAAAATGAATACCTGCTTAATAATAATACAAACTTTCGAATTTGTGAATATTTTTAGAAAAAAATTTCTAGTTTTTTTATTTGGAAAGTTGAGAACAGAATAAAAAAATCTTGACTAGGATTTTAAATTTTTTTTTTTTCGAAAGTAGATTTATTTTTTTCATTTTCTAATAATCATATTGGATTTGCGATTTATTTCTTTTTCTTTGTTTTTTCCGGGTTTTTAGAGGTTTATAAATCAAATTTATGGCTGACTCAACTCTAGTAATCTCAGAATTTTTGGAGGGAGATCACAAAAAAATATTTCTTTTTAAGACTAAAGTTTATATTGAAAAAAATTGGGTTAAAGGTCAAATTTCGAATAGATTCATCCATATTTTTAAAGGGATATTATTTTTTTAATCATCTCAAAACGCAGAAAAAAACAGTTGAAAAATTTCAAATTTTTCGATTTAACTTAATAATTTTTTTGCATTTGAACTTTAGTTTTACAATCTTGAGTAAAACGATTTTTTTATGGTTTTACAAAAATTTAAAATTTCACAAACCTCCCTAGAAATTAAAAAAATCGTGAGAAGATCAAAAAAATTGTGAATCTTTTTGAAGATAACGACGCCCAGTCGAGTAGATCAAATTTTTTGCTTCTTTGAAAATTTCAAGTTTTTGGATTTTTTTTTCGACTTTTTGCATTTTTTATGTTTTCAGTGTAGTGATGCTAGATTGTAGAACAGGGATTTCGAATAAAAAAATATTTAAATCGATATTTTTTTACTCATTTTTTTAAAACACTGTTCCCAAAAAGAGTCATTTTTGATTTGCGGTTGGAAATTTTTTTACAAATTGGCCAGAATCCTTCTTGCTGTATAAAAAAAGATTCTTAAAGTCTCATCCTTTAAAAATTGCTAGTTTTTAAGAGAGGACACTTCAAAGTCAAAGAAAACCCTAAAAATCCATGAAATAGGTTATTTTGAGCTCTCATTTCTCAAAAACTAGCAAGTTTTGCAGGTTGAAACTTTCAGAATCTCTCTTCGGTACGTTAAGAAATGTTCTGGCCAATTTTCAGGAAATTCCAAATCGCAAAGTTAAATGACCTCCCTTCTCCGTATATATAGAGATCATAATAATTTTCATAGAAAAAATTGAAAATTTACTTTGAAAATAAATCACTTCTCTGTTTCAGTTGTTGATGATCAGCGAGAAAACGGAGCCAACACAAGCCGAATCGCCGATTATAACGTCACATTCGAACCGAATCGGCATTTATAGGGTAATTATTCGCAGAAATTTATAGTCTTTTCCGGTTTTTCCTTGGGCTACAGTATCCTTCGTGTTGAAATTTTATCGTGTTTATGGCGATGATCCTTTAATAGCGGCGCTTTTTTGCAAACTGTTATAGCCCATTCCGTGCCAGCTTATCACGATTTTTGTCTTCCTACGAGTTACAGAACCCTTCTCTTTGGAACGCACGGGCTGTCTCGGTGCATGCGCCTTTAATAAGGAGATGAATTTCAGGCTTTTAGAGGCGCATATAGCCGAAGGTTTTCGTTTTATTGAAGGCGCATATAGCCGAAGGTTTTCGTTTTATTAAAGGCGCATATAGCGTTAAATTCTCGTCCTATTAAAGGCGCATATAGCGTGAAAATTTTAGTTATATTTAAGGCGTATACAGTATCAACTTCTTGTTTTATTAAAGACGTATATATCCTAAAATTCCTGTTGTAAAAAAGGAACATACAGCCGAAGGTTTTCGTTTTATTAAAGGCGCATATAGCGTTAAATTCTCGTCCTATTAAAGGCGCATATAGCGTGAAAATTTTAGTTATATTTAAGGCGTAAACAGTATCAACTTCTTGTTTTATTAAAGACGTATATATCCTAAAATTCCTGTTGTAAAAAAAGAACATACAGCCGAAAGTTTACGTTTTATTAAAGGCGCATATAGCCTAAAAAAAATTCCATATTAAAGGCGCATGCACAGGGACAGACCGCGCGCATCGAAGCGAAACTCAGAGAAAAACGAAAATTTTGAAAAGTTGATCAAAAAGAAAATTAGAAATTTTGTCATTATTAAAGGCTCATGGTCACGCAGGATTAGGAAGAATCGACACGAAAAGGTACTGTACCTTGGGGGCGGAGCTACCTGACTATGAAAAATGAGGATTTTTGAAGGTTTACACGGAACGATGGCTCGTACTAGGAGTTTGTTGCCTTCTCGCCCTTTCCAGTGCCATGGTAATTTTCAATTTTTTTAAATTTTATTATTTAATTTGTGCAATTTATGGACACAGGCTCATAGAGAATCCTGCGAAAATTTGTTACGTTTCAAAAATTTGAAATCTACAGTATTTTGAGCTTTTTTGCGCGCTTCGCTTCAAGACCTGTGATTGGAAGGTTACGGTATTTTGGATGGAATATTTGTGTGAGAAAGTGGAGCAGAGTTGACAATAGTAACATATAGGGGAAAAAAAAGGGATTTCCTAATTTTTTTGAAAGGGATTTTTCATAAGTTTCTCTAGACCCAGTACATTCTTCTAAAGTAAGACCCAAATATAGTAAAAAAATTGAGGATAGCCCCAAAAACTGAACCATTTTCAGCAATGGATCGGCTACGCTTCACTAACAGATCAATCGGAGATTTATTACCGAAATAAACTGATCAATGAAACCAGTGACTACACCGTCGCCTGGGCAACAAACCAAATCTTCCAGGTTTTTTCGTTGTTTGAAAAAAAAAAAAACAAAAAAATGATTTTTTTTTTCGAAAATTGTCAAAATTCAAATGACGCGGGCAAAGTTGGAATGGTGTGTAATAGTCGCTAAAATGGAGTAGCTCAAAAAAGGCTGCAAAAAGGCTGAAAAAAGGCTGCAAAAAGGCTGCGAAACGGCTCCAAAAAGGCTGAAAAAAGGCTGCAAAAAGGCCGCAAAATGGCCGCAAAATGGCCGCAAAATGGCTGCAAAAAGGCTGCAAAACGGCAGCAAAAAGGCAGCAAAAAGGTAGCGAAAAGGCTGCAAAAAAAGCTGCGAAACGGCTCCAAAAAAGCTGCAAAAAGGCCGCAAAAAGGCAGCAGAAAGGCTGCAGAAAGGTAGCAAAAAGGCAGTAAAAAGGCAGCAAAAATGCAGCAAAAAGGCAGCAAAAAGGCCGCAAAATGGCCGCAAAAAGAGTCCCTTCTTCGGGCCTTCTATTTTTTCTGGGTTTAATAAATGGTGGAAAAGGGAGAGGAAGCAAAAATGGTGCATAACAGGCCATAAAATGGAGAAAAAAGGCAGAAAAAAGGAACCTTCGTAACCCGAAAAGGAAAATTCCTATGGGCCTTTTCCGACTTTGCCTATGTTTGTCGAAAACTAAGAATTTTGTCAAATTTTCAGAAAAATCAGAATAAAATCAATTTTCTCCGTGAAAAAAGGCCAAATTTCAGTTCGTCGCAGTGTTGACTGGCGTCGGCGGAATGTACATAACTGATAATTACGGGATTCTTTGTGCGGTTGGTTGAAAATCGCTGAAAAAATAAATAAAAAATCACTTTAGGCCCTAATCGGCACGTCTTTGAACATGTTCGGCTCCTTGGTAAGACTTGGAGCCTCCCTTCCACTCATAACTTCATTTTTGGCCCGCGAACTTGTCCTTCATGCAGGTTTTACAGTCCAAAATGATCATATTTCCGAAAATTTTAAAGGTTCAATCGTTGTCGCGGCGGCCCAAGCCTTTTTCCTCGTTTTACCCTCGAAAATCGCCGAATGTTGGTTCGCTGATAACCAGAGAGCCGTGGCTAACGTTCTTTCTTTCATTGGTTTTTTTAAAAATAAAAAAAAAAAACAAAATGTTTGAATTTTTCAGCAAATCCCGGTGGCGTCGCGCTTGGAACGATTGTGCCTTCGTTGCTTTTTGGCAATGATACGTCTTCGTTCAGTCCAGAATCATGGACCTTTTTTATTTATGTTCGTGGTAAATCGAAGAAAAAACAGTTTTGCGTGGGGTTCCAAACTTTTGCCGGAAAAAACCTCTGTCAATTTGGGAAAAAATTGATTTTCGCGCTTTCGAATATGCCGCGAAGTTTTTTAAAACAAGCTATGATATTTTAAAATAGAATAAAAAACAAAAAAAGAAGAAAATCCACAAAATTTCAACAAAATAAGAAAGTGTCGTGAGATTAAATGTTTTTGTGCAATACTGTGTCTGCACAACTAAGCGGCTACCGTACTATAAAACATCGAAAATTGGATATTTTTTCGGATTTTTTGCTTGTTTAGTTCATAAATTTTCACATCCATCAAGTATTGCAAATTCCGTCCTTTAATATGAAATTTTTCAAATTTCATTTAATTATGAATGCGATATCACTTGAAAAAAAGTTTTTATACCTCTGAAAAAGAAGAATTTTTTTACACAAGAACTGTTCTTTTTGGTCTAAAAGGTGGATTTTGAGACATTTTGTTAATTTTAAGCTATGAAAAGGTCAAAAAAAAAATAAATAAGGATGTTATTGATTTATAAACTTTCCACGGAATTTCTTTTTTTCAGCTCAACATCTTCTTTTAATATGAAGGAAGATATTTTTCGAATTTGAGGATTTCAGGGTGCAGGAATGTCACTTTTGGCCCTGCTGCCGTTCGTCATGTCGTTGTTCATGCGGAGAAGCGTTCCGAAAACCCCGCCCTCGGCTTCGTCGGCCTCGGCGAGTCATCAGAAGCCGATGCCCTTCTGGACCTCCATCATCTTTTGCTTATCGTAATCTTATCTTTCTGAAAAGAATATGAAGATCATTTCCAGAAACATCCAGTTCCTGGTGCAAATGATGGTTTTCGCCCTCGCTTTTGCCCTTTTATGGAGCGTTTTGATGTTTGTCGTAGATGTCCTTTATTTGCAGGGATACACGTTGCAGGGGTGAGTTCTAGTGGTCCCTTAAGGGGGGGCTTGAAAGTTTCTTTCTAGGGACTACTTTACCTCCCCCTAAGGGGGCCCTGACGCTTGCAAAAGTGGTCTCAAGGGGTTTCACTTAGAAACCACTCTAGGGGTTTTAGATAGTGGCCACTTTAGGGAAGCATCCTGGTCTTTTATTTTAATGAGCTTCGTGAAAAGAAGCCTTTCCAAGCGAAAACTCGATAATTTAACCTTTTTTAAATAGGTGGTCCCTATAGGGGTTCATGGCCTGACCTCCAAGCCTCTAGAGCTCTTAAAAGTGGCCCCTATAGGGGTCTTAGCCAAAAGACTCAATCGATAAAAATTGATAAAGGATTTAAATAAGGCCCCTATAGGGACCACTTGAAGTCTTGGGGCTTAGAGGTCAATCCATGAACCACCTAAAATTTCACCCCTCTAGGGATTACTTTATTGTTCCCTAACCCCTCTAGGGGTCACTCTTGCGTTCCTAAGTTTTTTTTTGGCTTCCTTGGTTCAATGAACTAACAGAACCGACTATTTGATTCTTCCAGGAAGAAAATTTTTTTTCAAAATGAGGCTCGATTTTTTGAAAACTCTGAAGATATGGTCTTATGAACAACGGAGAAACAAGAGTTCAACTTTTTTTTTTCTTGAGTTTTTTTAGTTTTGAATTTTTCAGAAGAGAAAAGAGTTTTGAAATGTACCAAATTATATAAAAGCGCCTCGAAAATGACACAGAAATCGAGTTTTTCAAAGAAAACCCCTTATTTTCAGCTCTTATCACGTTTGAAAATGAATCGAGTCGCATTTTTTGAAATTTCTAGAGAAATTTTCTCTCGAATCGGTCAGTTTTTACCTTTTTCAGGTACCCAGTGGCTTTTGCGGCAATTATCGGTACCCTGACGTCACTTTTATGCGGGCATATCGCTGATAAAACGAAAAAATTCAAGGTTTCCTCATTATTTCCCAATGGATCTTGAATATTTTCGAAATTTTTCAGGAGATTATTCGCGTCTGTTCGATCGGTTTTTGTCTGAGTGTGATAGCTTTGAGATTTGTGAGTTTTGAAATTTTTTCTGAAAAAGAAAAATTGATAAATTTTCAGTTTTTGACCAAGAAAAATGAAAGCGTCGCTGATTCGATCATCATTTTTGTCATTGTCGGTGCGATGGGTAGGGAATTTTTCGGTATTTTTGGACGCATTTGGAATGGCTTGACGCGTCGCGTTCGCTTTTGAAACCCGAAGCGACTCGGGCCACGTTTTGAGCAGTTATAGGGATCAATTTAGAGGCTTCTTAAGGGATCCCTTGAAACCTCAGAACTGTCCGAAGTTCGATGAAGCCTTGGAGCAAGCTGTTGAGAGGGAAATGCGCTGCTTAGGGACGTCAGAGTGGTCCCTAGAGTGGCCGTTAAAAATTTCCCTATTGGGATATCTAGAGCTTGCAAAAGTGGCCACTTTAGGGGAGCATGCCTAAACGTCTTTTTAATTTTCAAATCAGAACTAAAAATAAATAGACTACTTTAGGGGCCACTTAAGCTTTGGGGGCAGACCTTGAACCCTTCTGGGGATCATTATTTTGTCCCCTATAGGGGCTGTTCTTTTCCCTAACCCCTCTAGGGACCATCCTGGCGCTCCTAAAGTTTTTCCAACCAAAAAAGCGACGCTTTGAGCCATTCCCAATGCGGTCAAAGTGTTTCAGGCCGATTATTTCAATTAAGTTCGTAGTTTTGTGCATTTTCAGGCGCCTTCTCAATCCCACAATTCCCGATCGGCGTCGAAATGGGCGTCGAAACGACGTTTCCCGTGTTGGAGGCGACTTCCTCCGGCCTTTTGGTCATTTTTGGGCGAGTTTTTTTTTCCCCGAATAATAATGAAGTTCATAAGAATAGTATTTTTCAAAAAGCTGAGCAGAAAAAATAGGCGTTAAATGACTTTTTTTAAGCGGAAAATTCTGATCAAAATGACCTCTTCTAAAGATTTATTATACAAGATGCGCAATAAATATTGAAACGCGTTTGAAACGTTATAACTTTCTCAAAAGTCAACCAAACACCACCAAACTTGGAACAAATGTTATTCATACAATATAAAAACAAAATTCAAGAATAGTTTTCAAAACGTCATCCTTTAGCATTGATAACGGCCTTCAGTCTCTTCGGATACGCACCGATCACGGCACGAAGGTAGTCGTCGTCGATTTCGTCCCATTTCTTGATGAGCGCGGTCTTCAGGGCTTTGATACTTGGGTAGTTCTTAGAAGAGACCTTCTCGGTCAGATATATCCACACGGCATAGTCCATCGGGTTGAGATCGGGCGAGGAAGCAGGCCAATCAGCAGCCGAGATGAACTCGGAAAATTGGCGCGATACCACTCTTGAGTCCCTTTGGCACGATGAGCGGGGGCGCCGTCTTGCTGGAAGGTCCATGGTCGGTTTCCGTAGTGAGAATTGGCTCAGGGCAACACCCTCAACTTTAAAATCTACTCCCAGTAGTATACTTGGTTCACTTCGACTCCAGAATCCACAAAAATCAGCGGAGTTTTGCCGTCAGCGGTAATTCCGGCAAAAACCATCACGGAAGCCGGATGCGAAGTTTTATTCAGAATTTTTTCTTTTTCACAGGCACTCTGATAGTCAGTAGCGATGTTCCGATGATTTTGGCCGTTCTTGTTCGCCTCCATAGTGAAGATTTTCTCGTCGGTAAATAGCGTCGTCAGATGCGAGCCATCTTTCGTGCCAGCGAGCAGCTTTCAAGTCTTTTCCATCCGCAATGTCTTGTTTTTTTGATTGAGGAAGGCTCCTTTCTGCATACGGTAGGATCATCTTCAGCTTGTCCTTGACAATAGTTCTCATCGATTCTCGACTCATTTTGTATTCTTTTGCCATCTTTCTCACGCTTCTTGCCGGATTGCGTCTGATTTTCTCTCGAACGGCTTTGACTGCTTCTGGAGTCGTGACGGTGACTGGACGTCCCATTCTTTGCATGTCATCTGAAGTACCGAGACGCCGATAGCGTTGTGCAGTTCGAAAAACGAGAACACGAGACACTTTCAGCTTTTTAACGATCTCTGAATTCGTCATTCCGTTTTTGACACAATCAATGATTGCGGTACGGTACGGAGATGGGGCCACCATTACCTGAAAACTGAAAAGTATGAGCTGTAACTTCAAACACATGATAAGTGAGCATGAATGAACGAAATAAACAGAAAAATTCAAAGGCCAGTCCATTGTGCAAAAAGCAGCGATCAAACAAAAAACTGTTTCAATATTTATTGCGCACCCTGTAGAAAAGTGGGGATTTTTGGTAATTTTTTCAGTTTTTTACACGCGATTTTTAACTGTGGTCGCAAGAGGAATGGCTCAGAGCGTCGCGGATGCGTTGCAGTTTGATAAAAGTCTCAAAAAAAAAGCGGCCGTTATTGTTTAAAAACTGTTTATTGCATCTTCAATGTAAGAGTACATGTGCAATCGACTTTCATTGATTTGACTGTGTTTTAAACGGCGGCAGGAGCTGTGGCTTAGGCAGAGAAGTTGTGAATTTCGCTCGTAGAACATCAGGTACAAGAGAGGTCGTAGGAAGAAATACGGTGCCGGCTTTCCAAAGGCCGATGGCAGAGATTGAGCCTTTTCGCTGCATGCAGCTTATGCTTCGAAGAAAATTTTTCGTGGCTTCTTGAGCGCAAGTAGCTTTTGGTCGGTCGCAGTCTTGAATGACCGCTCCGTGAGCCATTTCAAATCCGGATTCGTTATTTGAGGCAAACCGAGCAAAACTGAATAGACATTCAAGAAAAGTTTTGCGGTCGAAAAGGAGTGTTGACAAACATGTTCGCGGCGCGCAAACCGCTTCGGGTCGGTCGCAGTCGCTTTTTGAGCCATTCCAAATGCGACCATGAGCTTTTGGTTTGATGAAAACTGATTAGAACTGAATAGAAGTTGAAAAATTTTTTTTTACATTTTTACGTTTTTTTAATAGGATTCTTCAACTTATTAATATTTTTTCTCTGGTTGAAGAAATTTTTTTGAAACTGAAAGATCAATTACTTTCAACTGTTTTTGGCAAAAATAACCTGAATTTCAGGCAATTATGGATGTTCAATATCAGTTGGATCTTTGCCGACATCAGCAAAACCGATTGGTTTTATCAAGTTGAGAAAAATGTCAACTGGAAATGTGGGTTCCTTTTTTTTAAGGCAGTCATTTTTGAAAATTGAAAGTTTTTAGTGACGATTGACGTTTGCATCGCGTTTTCATTGCTTTCAGTCGTTCTGTCAACTGTTTTTATGAACCCGAGGTTGGTAGGAAATTTAAAAAAATGGATTTTGGGAATTTTTTTAGTAAAAATTTTTAGAAAAATAGCGAATATTTGAGTTCAGAGAGCAAAAAAAGAAGAAAAATGAATTTTTTGCATTAAGATGGCCGATTTTACTGTGAATCTGAGTGAGTGGATCGCATTTTTTTGATTTGAAATTATAAATTCGAATAAAATTCATTGAAAAAAAAGGCGATTTTTTTGAATTCAAAGCGAAAAAAAGACGAAAAAAATGGCATTTTGTGGCATCTGGACAACTGATTTCACTGTAACTTTGAGCGATTTTTGAAAATTAGGAGTAAATTTTTTTATAAAAAAAGGGAGCGGTATTCGCAATAATAGAAGTCACTGTAATGTAAGGGATCCCATAGCGAAAAGGAAAATATGTCAGAAAGCTTTTTTTCGAATGAAGTCTGAAAAAAACTCAGTGATTTTTCAGTATTCCTCAAAATATCTAATTCCAAAAAAAAAGCCAAGCCTTTTACAGATATCTTCGGCTAGAAATGGAATCTTCTACCTTGGCCGGAACTACGTCCAGAACCACAGAATCGGAACTTCACGAGCGAAGATCGAATCCCGACAGCGAAATCGAGTCCCAAGCGGAATTTTGAAACGAAGATTAAAAAAAAAACCTCGTATCACTATTGTATTTTCTTTCCCATTGTATATTCTTACCTGAAACGACATAATTATAGCATTTTATTACTTGTATCATCTACCATACGTGAAAATTCCTGTGAATGAAATGAAACTTTTGACTTTAGTTGCGTGGGTTTTTCTTGAAATTGAAAGTTTGGAATAGCTTATAATAAATTAAAAAGGCTTACGAGAAGCTATCATATACAAAAACAACACAAAAAAACCAAATGCCGTGTTCAAAGTAATTTCCGCGAAATGCAGAATGGTCTCTGACCCTCCAAAATTTAATTATATTTCTCTTTCTCTGACAGCTATGTTAAATTTCGCGAAATCACTTTGAACACGGCAAAAGTTTTTTGAAAAAAATGGAAAAGCTTCTTGGAAAAGAGTGCGCCCCGCAGTTGCGGAATTCTGTGCACGCTTTGCAAAACTGGTTTATGAATGCACTTGGCTCCTCCCACTCGTTTCGAATTTTTTGTGGCTGTGTTTTAATAATTTTCGGATTATTCTAACTTCTTTTTCTGATTTTTCTTATCAAATAGGTTTAAATATAATATTTTGCTTCGTTTTTCGCGTTTCAAGAAAAGGAATGCTTCTGGAATTCTTTTTTTTTTGGGTGAAGAACAATTTTTTCTCGTTTTTCAAAGATTTCTTCAAAACTTTCTCGTTTCAGTGATGGACCAACTCGAGCACATATCTTTAGTATCAAAGATATGTGTCGAGATTGAAAATCACTTTGGGATTGCGAACAAAGATGCGGCCGAGATGCTGATCGACCTGGCGAAAGCCAACAAAACCTTTGACAAGTTCAAGAAAGCCTTGGACGAGCAAGGGCTCGGCGACCAGGTTTTGAAGAATTATTCTAGAAATATTATTTGAAAAATTGTTTTTTAGTTCGACGATTCTTTGACGGCCACAATCTTGCGTATCGTCCAACACATGATTCCGAAACCGTTGGGAAAAAAGAAGGCCAAGCAAAGTGATTCTCATAAAATCACGTTGATTTCCGATGCCAAGGAGGAGATCAAGGTAACTCGGGATTCCGGCTTTTATTTTTGCCTTTTGTGTGTTCTTTTCAGCATTTCTAACACATTGGTTTTGTAATTTTCAAAGTTTTTTGGTTTTTGTTCAAATTCCACCCAGAAGGGTAATCCATCATCAGAAATGCGGTCGCAAATTTTTGAACCATTCCCTCTTACTGTAGCCAGGTTACGGTAGGTATCTGCGTATCTAAGTATTGAGGGCTTTTTCCCAAGCAAGTTATATATAACTCGATAAGTAAAGGGATTTTAGGAGTTTTTGAAGTACATACTATCTTGGGTTACTGTAGAAAATTTGGAGATACGGTACTTTTTGTGTGGGGCCGATTTAAAAATTGAGAAGTTTTTTCTGGGCAGGACCTGTTCCAAGCAATTTCTTGCAAATTTTTGAAGGGATATTTATAAAAAATTGATTAAATTTTCCAAAATCTAAGCATCCTGTTGAGAAAGATGCACAAAAAGCGGAATTTATTAACTTAATGTAAAAAATGACAAAAAGAAAAATTAAAAACAATGAAAATTATGAAACGCTGGGGAAAGTCCTAGTGTCCACTTTAGGGTTTTGACGTTTCAGTGGCCACTTAAGAGGCTGAAAGGTAGTGACATCTTTAAGTGGTACTTTCAGAACAATAAAAACTACTAAAGTGGCTACTGGGACGCAAAGTACAGGGTGACAAATAAATATTGAAACGCGTTTGAAACGTTATAACTTTCTCAAAAGTCAACCAAACATCACCAAACTTGGAACAAATTTTATTCATACAACATAGAAACAAAATTCAAGAATAGTTTTCAAAACGTCCTCCTTTAGCTTTGATAACGGCCTTCAGTCTCTTCGGATACGCATCGATCACGGCACGAGGGTAGTCGTCGTAGATTTCGTCCCATTTCTTGATGAGCACGGTCTTCAGAGCTTTGATACTTGGGTAGTTCTTACACGGGAAGTGCGAAAGGTCGAGGTATTGGAATTTAATGAAACGTGGTGTATAGGTACTTCCGAACACCCTGAATCCAATAAAATTGAAAAAAAGTGCGCCTTTTTGGTTTTAGTCGAGTTAGGGCGCCTCAAAGTTTGCACGCAAAAAATGCATTGGAAGGGAGGAGGGGATGTGTTGCGGCGGCTAACTCTAGCTGCCAGCAGGTGGCGTGGTGTAGTGGCTAGCGGCCTTCCGCTTTGGAACCTGTGATGCAGGTTCGAATCCTTTTTGGTGCAATTTATTTTTGCCAATTTTTTTATTTGAAAAATGAGGAAGTTTTCATTTCAAGAGAACAGCTCAAAATTTTGAAATTCACCATTTTGTGCCCATCTGAGAAATAATTTCGACAAAAACTTTTTTTGCTCCATTTTTCCTTGCCTAACCATACGGCTTATGGTCGACCCCTTTCTTTAAAAAATTTTCTGATGAACTAACAAAATCAAAGTTTTAGGAGATTTATTCTTTTTTCCTTCCTTAATGACGTTATGTGTGTAAAAAATGTGTATCAAAGTCCAGCTTCACTTTATATTCACAATCGAGATGATATGGCGATGCTGCAGGGAAGGAAAAAAAAAAAACAAGGAAGTGGGTTAACTAACCGCCATCTTTGAAGAAAAAAAATTGTTTGATGAACAAGAATAGAAGCATAGAACTACAATAAGTTGTTATTTATATCAAAAACCTGTGAACTCTCGCAAGAATAATCCCGACGCCCAAATTTCCTGCACAGAGCATGACAAAAAAAGACTAAAAAAAATTTTTTTGAAAGTCTTCCTCAAAACGACATAAAGTAGTGAATTTTACCTTTTTGAACGGTATTTTTCGTTCCATCTTCAAAAATTCATCAATTTTTTCGAAAAACTTAATGGCAAAAATAAATTGCACCAAAAAGGATTCGAACCTGCATCACAGGTTCCAAAGCGGAAGGCCGCTAGCCACTACACCACGCCACCTGCTGGCAGCTAGAGTTAGCCGCCGCAACACATCCCCTCCTCCCTTCCAATGCATTTTTTGCGTGCAAACTTTGAGGCGCCCTAACTCGACTAAAACCAAAAAGGCGCACTTTTTTTCAACTTTATTGGAATCAGGGTGTTCGGAAGTACCTATACACCACGTTTCATTAAATTCCAATACCTCGACCTTTCGCACTTCCCGTGTTAGAAGAGACCTTCTCGGTCAGATATATCCACACGGCATAGTCCATCGGGTTGAGGTCGGGCGAGGAAGCAGGCCAATCAGCAGCCGAGATGAACTCGGAAAATTGGCGCGACACCACTCTTGAGTCCCTTTGGCACGATGAGCGGGGGCGCCGTCTTGCTGGAAGGTCCATGGTCGGTTTCCGTAGTGAGAATAGGCGCAGGGCAACACCCTCAACTTTAAAATCTACTCCCTGTAGTATACTTGGTTCACTTTGACTTCAGGATCCACAAAAATCAGCGGAGTTTTGTCGTCAGCGGTAATTCCGGCAAAAACCATCACGGAAGCCGGATGCGAAGTTTTATTCAGAATTTTTTCTTTTTCACAGGCACTCTGATAGTCAGTAGCGATGATCGGATGGTTTTGGCCGTTTTTGTTCGGCTCCACAGTGGAGATTTTCTCGTCGGTAGATAGCGTCGTCAGATGCGAGCCATCTTTCGTGCCAGCGAGCAGCTTTCGAGCCTTTTTAATCCGCAATGTCTTGTTTTTTTGATTGAGGAAGGCTCCTTTCTGCATACGGTAGGATCATCTTCAGCTTGTCCTTGACAATAGTTTTCATCGATTCTCGACTCATTTTGTATTCTTTTGCCATCTTTCTCACGCTTCTTGCCGGATTGCGTCTGATTTTCTCTCGAACGGCTTTGACTGCTTCTGGAGTCGTGACGGTGACTGGACGTCCCATTCTTTGCATGTCATCTGAAGTACCGAGACGCCGATAGCGTTGTGCAGTTCGAAAAACGAGAACACGAGACACTTTCAGCTTTTTAACGATCTCTGAATTCGTCATTCCGTTTTTGACACAATCAATGATTGCGGTACGGTACGGAGATGGGGCCACCATTACCTGAAAACTGAAAAGTATGAGCTGTAACTTCAAACACATGATAAGTGAGCATGAATGAACGAAGTAAACAGAAAAATTCAAAGGCCAGTCCGTTGTGCAAAAAGCAGCGATCAAACAAAAAACGGTTTCAATATTTATTTGTCACCCTGTAGTTTCCTCTACAGAGGTGGTTTTAGTGGCCACTTTAGTGTCCTCTCCAAGTCCTTGAGGATCCACTTAAGTGACCACTAGAGACCTTTTTTCATAGCCTCGGAGGATTTTTTTGAATTTTTCAAAATCGTTTTTGGAGGCTTTCCAGTTTCTTCTCATCGAAGGAAGTGGAAAGGATGGAAAAAAATATTTTTTTCCGTTCTGAGGAGCTTTTCCGTTGAACCCAGGTATATGAAACTGTGAATTCTACGAATTCAGAGCCGTCTGCCCGCCTTGGCGATGGCAAACGACGAAAAGCCGACGAGCAGCGGGACCGATTTGATGGGCCAATTGGAGAATTTGATGCCCAAATGGGAGGAGGAAGTCGAGGCCAAAGCGGTCAGTTTTTCTTTTTTATATAGTTTGAGGCAGGGTTTTCGTTGTGATTTGTCGATTTTTTGTTCAAAATTGAGATTTTCCTTTTTTTTTTCTCGAAAAGTGTTCAAATTAGCCTAATTTTTAGTGGATTTTACAAATTAGAAGTCATATTCTTTTTTTATTTTTCAATAGAATTTCCTTGATTAAAAACCATATTTTTCGGGTCGTCAACCTAATTTTTTTGATTCTATGGTATTTTTTTAGTTGGAAAAAAATTGAATCGTTTTTTTCATGAAAAAGTAACTTTTTCAGCGATGATTTCCTATGTAAAAATATCATTTTTTTGTTCAAAGTTGAGATTTTTTTCTGTTTTTTTCTCCGAAAAGTGTTGAAAAAAAGAATATTTTTTTAATGGATTTTTATAAATTGAATGTCTCATTTTTTTAGTTTTTATAGGAGTTGCCTCAATTAAAAAAACCATATTTTTCGGGTTTTTCAACCTCATTTCTTGACTATATGATGATTTTCCGTTGATAAAAATTGAATTAAGTTTTCAAAAAAGCAATTATTTGACTTTTTCAGCTACGATTCCCATTAAAAAAATAGTTGATTTTTATTTTTCAAAAAAATGATTTTTTTCCAGTTTTTTTATTCTTAAAAAGGTTCAAATCCGCCTTTTTTTCATGGAGTTTCCTTTGAGAGAAATTTTTTTGGTTTTTTTAGGTTTAATTTTTGCGATCAAATGATGATTTGTAGTTGGAAAAGTTGAATTTTTCTTCCTTAAAAAGATTTTTTGACTTTTTAGGCAAGATTTTTCATTTAAAATTGTCAATTTTTTTGTATAAAATAGGATTTTTTTGGTAGTAAATGGCCAGTTTTTTTGAAGTTTTTTTGCATTTTTTTACAAGTGTTACTTGATCCAAAATAAATTTCTGCCGTTATTTTGAGGGACCAATGGACGGAAAAAAAAAGGAAAATTGAAGTTTTACTTGTAGAAATCCAGTGAAAAGCGTCGTCGAAGCAGTCGGAGTCGCTCCCGGGACAGGGATCGCGATCGTGATAGGAAGAAGCGAAGGAGTCGCAGTCGCGATAGAAGTCGCGACCGCGACCGAAGAGATCGCGACAGGGATCGAGACAGAGACAGAGACCGCGATCGCAGAAGGTCCAGGTAGAGATTGGAATCGATTTTTTTCTGATATAATAAAAAAAATCCCTCCATTTTACCATTTTTTTATTTTTCTTATGTTTTTTTCGAGTGTTTCCTCGGAAATTTTTCGGATTTTGCAAAAAAATCTAGGATCCAAAAAAATTTTTTTCAAAAATCGTTTTGAAACTAATCAATTTTTCGAAAGGACCAGGAAACTTTCGTTTTTTTCAAATAAATCAGTTCCGCTTTTTGATAATTTTTCAACAGGATTTTTTTCCTAAAAAAAATAATTTCGGAGGAAATTAGCCTTGAAAATGAGCATATTCGAGCTGTATATTTTTAAAACAAGTTGTTTCGGACTTTTTTCAGTTTTAGGGAGGTTTTCCGGAATATGTTTTAGATTTTCTATGATTTGAAGATCATTGTTCACCCGAAAAATTTCAATTTTTCTTTTTTATAGATCCAGAGACCGTGATAATCGAGATCGAGGCCGCGAAAAACGCAATAATAATGGATATGACCGTTCCCGGAGCAATAATGGGTATTTTTTTCGAGATTTTTTTATTCATGTAATAATGATTTTTCAGCAAAAAAATTTGATTGAAAAATGCGGAAATTGGGAAGATTTACGACGCCCGGGTCAACAGTATTCAGTCGTTTGGAGCGTTTATCCAGGTAAATAATTGTAGGAAAAATTTCATGTTTAATCCAGGTAAAGTCTAAGTTTGTCTAGGTGAAAATTCAGGTATAATCCCCCGCCCCCGAAAAAACTTTATTTCGTGATTTATATGAAATCCCCGTTTCTGGTATACAATTTAGGCCTTCAGTTTTTATTTTCATGTTCGCAATGCGATTTCCACAACATTTTTGGGTTAATTTTGATCAACATCAAAATATCAAGAATGTGATTCAGCTTCATTTGTTCAGTATTTTCAGTCCCGTTTAAAAGGTTTTATTAAAGCTCGCAGAAAAAAAAAATTTTAATTTTTTTCAACCCCTCAAAATCAAATTTTTAAAAAAATCAAGAAAAAGTCTGAATTTAACTTGAAAAGTTTTTATTTCGGACAGATTTTTATTAAAATTCCCAGAAAAAAATTACCTTTTTGTCCAGGTAAATATGACTTTTTTTCGATGATTAAGATGAAATCCCCGTTTCTGACATAGAATTTAGATGAATTTTTGGAACGTTATTTTTCTTCTTAAGCTTATCCTAATCATATCAAGGTTTATCGTGATGAAAAAAATTAAAGAAATTTTTGTATAAAAAGTTCATTTTTTTACAGGGAACGTTCCTTTTTGTGAATTTTTGAGAGGTTTCATGGGAATTCCCAGAGAAAAAAATATCGGGAAGAAAAAAAGTGGTCTGTTTTTAAGCCGCTTTAGTGGCCACTCAAACATCAAAACCCTAAAGTGGCCACTAAGATTTTTCCCAGTTCAAATTATGATAATTTCAGTACGATTTTGAGCATGAAAAATACTGAAGAATGGATATTTTTCTATAAAACTTGAGAACTTGAGAAAAATAATCAATTTTCAGTTGGAAGGAATGAAGAACAAAACGGAAGGCCTCTGTCACATTTCGCAAATCAAAAGCGAACGAGTTCAAGCCGTCGCTGACGTCCTGACTCGTGGACAAAAGTGCAAAGTCAAGGTAAAAATGGCCTTTTTTTAAAGATTCAGGTGAAAAAAGCATTGGAAAAAATGATTTTTTGTTAAAAATGAAGGTTTTTCAGATGAAAGAAAGGTATGGAAATTGAAACAAAAGCTATTTTCTCATAATTTACCAGGAATTTTCTGAGAATTCATTTGAAAATATGGAAAAATTGAGAACTTGCATATAATCATTAATCAAATGCATGTGAAACTTTAGTACGCTCTAGCAATTTTACGAAAAAATCCCGTTAAAAGACCCCTATAGGAGCTATTTTCCGTACCAATCCCTATAGGGACCACTAGGAATTCAATTATTCACAAATGGATATGGAACTTCAGTTCGCTTTAGAAATTCTCGAAAAAATCCCATTAAAAGACCCCTATACGGGCTGTTTTCCGTATAAATCCCTTTAGGGACCACTAGGAAATTCCTAAATCAGAAATAATTGCGAAATTGCATAATCCCTTTGAACCCGGCGTTTTATCCATTGCTCAAACATTTTTAAGCGGTCAAATAGTAAAATGGCTAGCTACGCCTTTGTAGGGGTCACTTGGAGAGGAGCGACTATTTGGATCTTATCAAAATTATCGGAATTGAAGCATTATTTGCTTTTGGTTTGAAAAAAAATATGAAAAAGGGTCAAAAAAGGTTTTTTATGCTGCTTTTAAAGCTAAAAACTTGAAATTTTTCCAAAAAAGGCTAAAAAACAAAAGGTTTTTTTTTATTAATTGAAGCTTTTTTTTTCGATTTCTGATCAGAAAATCGAACATTGAAGCTAATTTGAGGTGATGAAAATGGATGGTAACCGAATTTCGTTGTCGATGAAAGAGGTCGATCAACAGACCGGCGAGGACCTCAATCCGAAGGAGAGCGACTTGGCGCCGGACGCCATCGGCGTCGCCCCCAGGAATCCCGAAGCGCCCTGGGCCAACCCGGAGTCTTCAACTGTGGCCCCCTCGACGAGGTTTGGGTTGCTAGGGACAGGAAAGCCTCGATTTTTCGTTAGATTTAGTTAGAAAAAGGCGTATTTTTCGATTAGAGGAACCGAAAAATCACAATTTTTCGTTAGATTGTTAGAAAAAGCATATTTTTGATCAGAAAAACCGAAAATGGTCATGTTCAAGGTAATAGAAAAATGATGACTTTGGCTTTCCCATCAAGCTCCAACGTTTTCGGAAGCCTTCTGACTTAAATTTGACAGATTTTGAGGGAAAAATTGCGGGTATTTAAAAAAAATATGATTTTGGTAAGGTAAAAAGTGGAATAAGTTGGTAAATTCAATGCAATTTGTGACTTAATAATGATCATTTTTCGAAAACCAGCCGAAGAATTTGGATTTTCGGGAGTTTATCCATAAAGCGCGCATGTGCCTTCGAAATTGGCCCATTTTTAGTGAAAAGGAAAATTTTGATAACTCTGATGAAAAGCTAGCCGTGAATAGGATATTAAGTTTAAGGAAGGTAGCTTTGAGAAAATTGAAAAAAAAAATTGGAAAAAAATCGCTGAGTTTTTAAAATTTTGTATAGAACTCTTATACTTTTCAAACAAGTTTTGCATTTTTAGTGATCTCCTTGCCAAACTTAGGTAGATTTGAAGATTTGCACAGATTTCATAAGGTTTTTTTTGAAGTTTCGACATGGATTATATATTTTTTGCATTTTGAAAGAACTGTTATCAAAAAAAAAAAACGGTTTACTTGACTTTTTTCAGATTTAAATCTTGATTTATCATTTTTCTCGATAGTTTCACGCGAAAAACCGGTATGGTCAGTTAAAAAACAATCCAGAAAATGCCATTTTTTTAAAATAGATGACAAAGATCATTGAGTTAGGGCTGAAAAACATTTTTTAACAGCATTTTTCTGAAAAAAATCCAAAAACTCCCGCTTTTTAGTTCTGGAAAGACCCGAGTACGAATTTCAACGCCGGAACGTTGGGAATTGCGACAAATGCAAGGCGCCGGAGTCATTACAGCCACTGAAATGCCGGATTTCGACGACGAAATGGGCGTCTTGAAGAACTTTGACGGTACCTAGACACCTGAATTGGTTGGAAATCCTGAAAAATGAAATTTTAGAAGAAAGCGACGGTGAAGACGTCGAAATCGAGCTGGTGGAAGATGCGGCCGACTTTTTGAGGGGCTACGAAAAAGGAAATCAGGAAATTGAACCCGTCAAAGTGGTCAAGAATCCGGACGGAAGCTTGGCCCAAGCCGCCCTGATGCAGGTAAATTCCAGGGGGTTTTTTAGTTGAGATTAACGTTTCAGGGATATATTTTTAAATTTGAGATAATAAAAAATACACTTTTTCTATTGGTGTGATACTCTATTTCGACTTTTTTACTGGAAAAAAATTTTTTATTTTCAATTTTCTTCGATTTTTTTAAAATCGAATTTATGAAGATTCCTACTTTCTAAAGGCTTGAGAATTTGAAAAATAAGTGTAAAATCAAGTTTCATCGAGAAAATGTGTCAAAAATAGAAAAACTAGTTTTTCGACGGCATTTTTTGAAAGTTTGTCCTTTTTTTGCAAGTATCTATACTTATTTTGAAAAGAAAACGTTTGAAAAATAAAAAAAAAAGTCAAAAATACGAAAGTTTCCGCAGAGCGAACTTGTGTCGTGGCTTAGTTTTCCAAATTGACCTGGTTTTTTTTGAGATTACTACTTTTAGGCCTCCAAATTTTCAAGAAATAGTGAAGTTTTATCGAGAACATGTTTAAAAAAATAAAAAATGATAGTTGATAAGATTTTTTTTCAGCGCTTTTTGAAAATTTTGTCTCTTTTTGCAATTTTTATGCGAGCTTTTTTTGAAAAAAAAATAATGAATTTTGAGGTGTCCCATGGAGCAAACTTGCGGCGTGGCCTAGTTTTCCAAACTGACCGATTTTCTTGAGATTACTACTTTTAGGCCTTCAACTTTTCAAGAAATATTGTTAAATTCCAGTTTTATTGGGAAAATGTGTTAAAAATTAGGTTTTTCATGTTTTCGAAGAAATGATATTTAAGTAGATTTTTAAACGATTTCGAAAAATTTTTATTCCCATTGAAACGTAAAATTCCATTTTTCGTCACCTTTTTTTGGATCATTATCATCAAATTTCAACTATAAAAAAATCAAATAACTTTCAAGTCAAGAAGATTTTTCTGAAATCCTCCGAGCTTCATGAAGAGATGAAAAAAAGGTCTCAATTTAACTTTAACATTCATTAATTACCCCATACGAATGCCCAGACTGCACTAATTTCTCACTATTTTTTTCTAAAATTCTCAAAAAAATCCTATAAATTCCTTTTTTTAAAAATAATTTCTCCGAACATAAATCATAAATACACGAATATTTCTGTTACAGTGGCCTTGTGTTTAAATAAAGACATTTTTCATGAATGAATAATTTTTTCCTCAGAGCGCCCTGTCGAAAGAGCGGAAAGACCAGAAAGTGCAGGCCCAGCGTGAAAGGGACGCCGAAAATGAACGCGGATTCTCGAGCAACACCCGGATTCACGACCCGATGGCGGCCGGACAGGCCAACACCTGGACCATCGACGAGAAAACCGAAAGGAGGAGGGATAAGGTATCGAAAATCACTTCGAAATGGTCTGAAAATGGATAAAATTCAATTTTTTGGACGGTTTTTCTAGAACACTTCTGAACGCTTAAGTGATCACTAGAGAGGTTAGAAAAAAGGCCGCATAGTGGTCCTTAGAGGGCTTGAACATAGATAGTCCCTAAAGCAGTTTAGAGTCTGACCCCTAAGCTTTTAAAGCTCTAGTGGCCCCTTCAGGGGTCTTTCAATTTTCTGTTCTCGTTTGAAACATACAAGACATAGATAGACCAACAGAATGTCCCCAAGAGTGGTCACTAGCTGAAATCCCTAAAGGGGTCATTTTCCGCAACCTTCAGTGCTCCCTAGAGGGGTTAGGGAAAAAAAAACAGCTCTTAAAGAAAGCAAATTAGGGCACCCTAGAGGGCTGAAACATAAGTGGTCCCTATAGAAGTTTAGAGTCTGACCCATAAGCCCTTAAAGCTGAAGTGGTCACTATAGGGATTTTCTGTTTTGATTTGAAAAAGAAAATGAAGTCTCCGACCAAAAGCATGCCCCCTAGAGTGGTCACTAGCTGGAATCCCTATAGAGGTCACTTTCCGCAACCTTTAGTGCTCCCTAGGGTCTGTAAAGAGCCCCACCAGTATTTTTCCCCTCAAGTGGCCACCAGCTGAAATCCCTATAGCAGCCACTTTTGCAAAGTTTGGTGACTTGTGAGTGAAAGAAGTTGAAACGCATTGGAGACCGAATTTTGTTTTTGAAAGTCCGAAAATTGGGATTTCTGAGCTCGATCTTTCTTATCAATTCCAGAATGGTCCCTAGAGTGATTAGGGAGAAAAACAGCTCCTATAAGGGGCCCCTATAGGAATTAGGGAAAAACGAGGCCACTCTAGGGGTCACTAACTGAAATTCCTATAAAGAGCACTTTTGCAAGCTTTAGCATAATGGAAGGTAAAGTGGTCCCTAGAGGGGAGTCTTCATGGGCTTCTAAGGTTACCCCTATAGGGACCCCTCTTGCAAGCTTTAGTAGCCCCTATAAAGGAAGGTAAAGTGGTCCCTAGAGGGAAGTCTTCATGGGCTCCTAAGGTTACCCCTATAGGGACCACTCTGCAGATTATGTTGCTTTCTAGGTTTTCAGCAGAATTCAAAGAACCGTTCAGGAAATGCCGGAATGGCTTCGACACGTCACCGCGGGCGGAAAGGCGACTTACGGCCGCAGGACCAATCTGAGCATGATCGAACAGAGGGAGAGCCTCCCCATCTTCGCCCTCAAGAAACAGCTCATTCAGGTTGAAACTGGAAGTTTCAGCTCCAAGAAAAAAGGAGAGATTCAGGCGATGCTCGACAATCAGATCCTGGTCGTCGTCGGAGAAACCGGATCCGGTAAAACGACCCAAATGACGCAATATGCCGTCGAAGCGGGCCTCCTGAGAAGAGGAAAGATCGGCTGCACGCAGCCGAGGTGAGGAAAAAAAAAAAGGAATTTTCTGATTTTTAGAAGAAAATGAAAGGTTCGAAATGAGTTGGAAAAAATATTTTGGAAGAAAAAGGGCTCCGAAAGGTTCTAGATTCTCATTTTCCTCAAAAAGCTCCTTTCTGCGGGAGAAAAACGGGCAGTGCGCGGGTGTAGATTTAAACGCCCGTATTCTTACCGATTTTTCCCCGTCGGCTTTCTGGGACTCCCGAGGGTCCCGTTTTCTTACCGATTACCTCCCGTCGGCTTTCCGCGGGCTCCCGTTTACTTCCCGATATCCTACCGATTTCGTCCCTTCGGCTCTCCGCGGGCACTGCGAGTTCCCGTTTTCTCCCAGTTTAGCGCCCATATTTTTCCCGTAAACTCACCGGTTTCGCCCACTTCTCGTTTTTTTTCCCGTCGGCTCTCCGCGGACTCCCGTTCTCTTACCGATGCCCTACCGATTTTGTCCCGTTGGTTTTCCGCGGACACTGCGAGTTCCCGTTTTCTCCCAGTTTAGCGCCCATATTTTTCTCGTAAACTCACCGGTTTCGCCCATTTCCCGTTTACTTCCCGTCGGGCCTCAGTGGACTCCCGAAGGTCTCGTTTTTTCTCCGATATCCTACTGAGGTCTTCCCGTCGGCTTTTCGCGGGCTCCCGTGTTCTCACCGATTTGTCCTCGTCGGCTTTCTGGGACTCCCGAAGGTCCCGTTTTCTTACCGGTACCCTACCGATTTCGTCCCGTCGGCTCTCCGCAGGCACTGCGAGTTCCCGTTTTCGCCCAGTTTAGCGCCCATCTTTCTCCCGTAAACTCACCGGTTTTGCCCACTTACCGTTTACTTCCCGTCGGCTCGCCGCGGGCTCTTGTTCTCTCACCGATGCCCTACCGATACCCTACCGGTTTCGTCCCGTCGGTTCTCCGCGGACTCCCGAAGTTCCCGTTTATTGCCCGTCTTCTTCCCGTACACTTACCGGTTTCAGAATGTCGTAGATCTTTTTTAATTATTCAGAAAGGCTAATATATGAAGCCATTATAGTTCACCATCTAATAATAACTTTCAAAAAAAAGTTTTTTTTTTCCAATTTCGGTTTCAGTCGGGAAATATTAACGCATAAGTGCTTCTTTTTTGATTCCTCGTCACGATCAGAAAGAGTAATTCTTGAATTTTTGAAAAAAAAAATCGGAAGATTTTCAGACGTGTGGCTGCAATGTCGGTGGCGAAACGTGTCGCCGAAGAATATGGCTGCAAACTCGGAGCTGACGTCGGATACACGATCCGTTTCGAGGATTGTACCAGGTTTGAATGATCCGGAGCAAAAAAAGTTTGAATAAAAAAATTTAAAAAAAGCTTTTTTTAAGAAATTATTAGTACTATTGGGACCTCTGTGGCGCTTTTTTTCATTTTCTTTTTTTGTTTGAGAGGTTTTTTTGAGAGGCGAAAAAAATTTTTGAGCTAAAATTTATTCAAAATGGATAGAAGGGGATTTCCTTTTTGAGGTTAAATCTTGAGAAAATAAGCTTTAGAAACAACTTTTTAAAAAGGAAATAACGAAGTATCTTCTTTTTGAAGTTGTTTGAAGGTCATTAGACGCCAAAAACCCAGAAAAAATAACACAAAACTAGGAAAACTTATGATTTTCAGTCAGAGGAGATTAAAAGGCGATAAATAAAGCGTTTTCTGAGAAAGAAAAGTGAATAAAAAGCTGAAAAGCTTTAAACTAAATTTTTTTTGAAACCTGAAAGTCTCTTTTTTGAAGGGTTTGAAAGGTCTTCAGACGGCAGAAACTTGAGAAATATATGATTTTCAGTGAGAAAGATAGAAAATACGGTAGAGATTACTTTTTCTGCGAAAAGGCTCAAGAAAGAAGTTCAAAAAAATTTTAAGAATAGCTCAAAATTTTCCTTTTGGAAGTTTTTCCGAGGCTTTTAGACTTCAAAAACAGGAATAGAGAGAATTGAAAATTTCCTTTTTCATTTTTAAGAGCCTTCCGACTTTAGGAACTTGAAAAATATACGATTTTTCAGTCAGGAGACATCAAAAAAATTATAAAAAAAGGAGTACTTTTTCTGCGCGAAAGGCTTGAGAATCGAGTTCAGAAAGCGTTTCGGAAAAAAAATGGCTCCAATATTCATTTTTGAAGATTTTTTTCTGAAGCCTTTTTTTACTACAATAACATGAAAAAAACTGGATATTTCATTTTTTTGAAGGATTTGTAAAAAGTATTCTTGAAAAAAATGTATCATTTTCAGTCAGGAGACGATCATCAAGTACATGACGGACGGAATGTTGCTCCGTGAGAGTTTGATCGATCCGGAATTGTCCAGCTACTCGCTGATTATGCTCGACGAGGCCCACGAGAGGACCATCAACACCGACGTCCTCTTCGGTCTTCTGAAGGCGGCCGCCCGGAAACGGCCCGATCTGAAGTTGATCATCACTAGGTTGGAAGAAGGGATGGAGAAAAGAAAAATTGAGAAAAAATAAGCTGGAAATGGCCGAATTCGGCCGGTTTTCTACTGTTTGAAACGAATTACAAGACTTTTCTCGACAAAAAAGTGTTCCTTCATATTTTTGATTATTGAAAATCAGAATGAAATCAATTTTTTCTTCTTCGAAAAGTACTGTAGGGGGAAAATCTGCATTTTCGCGTGATGCAGATTCTGAGATGAAATTTGATGATCAAAGCAGGGTAAAATACGTTTCCATAGTGTATCATAGTAAGAAAAAATAAGCTGTAGCTGATTTGTGGCAGGGTCGAACATAAAAAAAGGGTCCTAACACGAAAAAAAGACAGTATCTTGTTAGAGGAGAGCGCAGACAGGCCACCCCCCTTCAAAGAGAAAAATGAACATTTTTAACGTTTTTTTTTTCGCGATTTTTGAATATTATTGAAGCTATTTGGGGAAATTTTTAGTGACCACTTTAGGGTTTTGACGTTTCACTATTGTGGTCGAATAAGGGACCACTTAAGTGGCTAGAATTAGGGGCCTCTTTAAAGGTCGCAGCTGCTGCTACTGGATCACAAGCTTAACACTGACAAAAAGACCAAAAAAGACTGTTTTTCATAAATTTCGAGATTTCCTCTTCTTGACTTACTGCGAAAATGTTTAGTGACCACTTGATGGTTTTTAAGTTTAAGTGACCACTTTAGTGGCTTCTTCAGAAGTCGAAGTGGTAGTAATATGCCACTAAAATTGCTACTGGGAAAATTTTTAGTGGCCACTATAGGACTACTTGGAGAGGACACTAAAGTGGCCACTATTCTCCGTTTTAGTGGCCACTACAGTGGCTCTCTATTTAGTGGCCACTTCAGTAGTTTTTCATTCAGCATTCCTTCCAGTAACTCTGATAATTTTGAAACAAACAGTTTGGACCAGTTATGATGATCCATTAACCCCTAAAGTGGCCACTAAAATTTTTAGTTGTCAGGTAGTAGCACTTAGACCTCTATAGTGGCCACTAATTTAAAACCCCTTGAGCGGCCACTAATTTTACTACTATGGTGGCCACTAAAACGTCAAAACTCTATAGTGGCCACTGAAAATTTTTCCAGAACAATGGACACAAAGTAGCGTCTTCTATATAGGTGGTTTCAATGGCCACTTTAGTGCCCTCTCCAAGTAGTCCTTGAGAAATCACTTAAGTGACCACTAAAGAAAATTTTCAACCATAAAAAAAATTGAGTTTTCCAGTGCGACCTTGGACGCGGTCAAGTTCTCCGAATACTTCCTCGAGGCGCCCATCTTCACGATTCCCGGAAGGACCTTCCCCGTCGAGATTCTCTACACCCGCGAGCCGGAGTCGGACTACCTGGACGCGGCTCACATCGCCGTCATGCAGATCCATCTCACCGAACCGCCCGGCGACGTGCTCGTCTTCCTCACCGGCCAGGAGGAGATCGACACCTCCTGCGAAGTTCTCTATGAGAGGATGAAGTCCCTCGGGCCGGATGTCCCGGAACTCATCATCCTGCCCGTCTATGGTGCCCTGCCCAGCGAGATGCAGACCCGGATCTTCGAACCGGCCCCGCCCGGCAAGAGAAAGGTCCAGTTTGAGGCCTTACATATTGATTTTTTACAGAAAAACCTGGGTGGAAGAATCTTTTATTGACTTATGAACGCCAGAGTGGTCACTAGGGATTAGGGAAAAAAAAGTCAGGGGACGAAATAGTGCCCCCTATAGGGTTGAAGTTTAGGTAGTCCCAATAAGGATCGGACTCTAGGCCTCTAAAGCTCAAGGGGTCCCTATAGTGGTTTTTCAGGGTCTTGTTCTGACTAGAAAGGTGGAAGAGGCATAGGGAGTCCCCTAGAGTAGCCATCAACTAAAATCCCTAGAGTGTCCACTTTCGCAAGCTTTACTGCCCCTATAGGAGAAAGTAAAGTGGTCACTTAAGGGGAGTATACGAGAGCCACTCTAGTGACCACTCTGTCGTTCTCAAGTGGTTTTTCATGAGATTTGGTCCAATTTGGAATGGCTGAACGCGCTGCAGTTCAAATTTTAAACTTCAATAGCAAAATTTCGACTCATTTTTTTTTTTCTATTTCGCGGAAACCGTTTCAGGTCGGGGGCATTTTTAAATTCATCGCTCTGACGTCATTGTACGTTGAGCCATTCCAAGTGCGACCTTAGATTTTTAAGTTTTGTGAAGAGTTGTGATTTATTTAGTTTTACCGTCTTTCAGTTGAAAAAATATAATTTTCCTTTCAAAAAAGTTTTTAGACGATAATTTGAAAGTGAAACTTGATTTTGTTCCCTATAGGGACCCCTACGACAGCTTTAGGAATCCCTACAGGGGTACCTCATAGGGCTTCAATTGCCACCCTATAGGGGCCCCTCCAAAGTTTTCAGCTGCTGAAAAAGATTTCTTTTGAAATATACCTACTCAAATTAGATAAAAAAGCTTCGGTTTTCAAGGAATTTTGTCAAAAGTTCAGTTCTAGGTGGTCATCGCCACTAACATTGCCGAAACCTCCCTGACAATTGACGGAATCTTCTACGTCGTCGACCCGGGTTTCGTCAAACAGAAGATCTACAATCCCAAGAGTGGAATGGATTCTTTGGTATGGAAACAAGTCTAGAAGAGGATTTCATTCTGATGAAATAGGTCGTCACTCCGATTAGTCAAGCGGCGGCGAAGCAAAGAGCTGGACGAGCCGGTCGTACAGGGCCCGGAAAATGCTACCGGCTCTACACGGAGAGGGCTTATCGGTTGGTTTAGGAGTTTCCGAAAATCTGATTTTAACTTCATAACTTAAGTTTAATAAAAGACGCTTTCAGCTTCATTTTTCGAGTTTTTTTAAACACTAAACGTAACTTCTTAGAGTGCGAGATAAAAGCGATATCGCGCCGGTCTCGCGTTTTTCTTGCCGCGATATCGCAATCAAAAAAATAAAAATTCTCAAAATGCTTGTCGCGCTAAGAATAATGCAGCAGTAGAAAAGCGATGTCGCCAATGTACCGCAAAAATGAAAAGAAAGCGATGTCGCCAATGTACCGCAAAATGAAAAGAAAGCGATGTCGCCAATGTATCTGAGAAGCGATGTCGCTAATGTATCGCAAAATTTGGAAAGAAAGCGATGTCGCCAATCTATCGCAAAAGTGAAAAGAAAGCGATGTCGCCAATGTATCGCAAAAGTGAAAAGAAAGCGATGTCGTCTATGTACATGAAAAGTGATGTCGCCAATGTACCGCAAAAGACCTCACGCTTATTTCGGTTTAGTGAAGCGAAAGAAAAAATTCATATCTAACAAAAATTAGGAGCTTGCGCCAACTCTATAGAAGCTATAGAAGCCACTACTTTGCGCCTTAGTGGCCATTATAGTGGTTTGAGTAGTTTAGTAGTACCTTTGAGGCTACTAAAGTGCCCACTCAATGAGCAACTAATTCCACTACTATAGTGGCCACTAAAACGCTAAAACCCTATAGTGGCCACTGAAAAGTCCCCCAGAATTTTATACCTAGTTCTTCACAGAGATGAGATGCTGCCGACGCCAGTTCCCGAGATCCAACGGACGAATCTGGCCTCGACGCTGCTGCAGCTCAAGGCGATGGGCATCAACAACCTCATCGACTTCGACTTCATGGACGCCCCGCCGTTGGACTCGATGATCACGGCTCTCAACCAGCTGTACACCTTGTCCGCCTTGGACAACGACGGGCTCTTGACCAAGCTGGGCCGGAGGGTCAGTTGAATCCAAAAAAATCGTCGGAACGGGGGAAAATCGGGTCAAAAAAAGGTGTTTTTTAAATTTCGCGATGCTAGCTTTGGTGTCGAGAACGAGCTTTCACAGGGAATTTTTTTGAAAATGTGGAAAATTGCTTCTCAGGGTTAGCCATAGAGCGCATTTGCTGAAATCTTCTTTTTTTTCAACACACCAGGGAACGTTCCCCCCGCTTGAACTTTTGCTGAGACTTCGCTGAAGTGTACTTTAGGACCCCCTGATTGCAGATCAAGAAAGAAATTTCTCGCAATAGATCTTGTTTCCGAGTTATGGAGCTTCAAAATGTACAAAATACGCAAATTAGGCCAAAAAAAGCGCGATTTCGGGTTTTTAAAGTGTCCTAACTCGAAAACGAGATTTATTGCGAGAAATTTTATTTTTGTTCTTCTGGAATCAGGGGGTCCTAAAGTACACTTCAGCAAGGTTTCAGCAAAAAGTTCAACGGGGGTGGGTACAAACGTTCCCTAGTTAACCGAATAAATGAACTTTTAAGATGGCCGAATTTCCGCTTGACCCATCATTGGCCAAACTATTGATCATGTCTGTGGAACTTGGATGTTCCGAGGAAGTTCTGACCGTCGTCGCCATGCTCAACGTCCAAAATGTCTTCTACAGGCCGAAGGTAAGTGTGCTCCATGGAAAAAGGAGAAAAGAAAGATTAACAGAGAGGATGAGGAAAAAAATGAAATCCCCTTATTTAAAAACACGGGCCAAGTATAAGGGACCTCTTGAGGCCTTTGAAATAATAACGGGACTCCTTTTAATTGCGCAAAAATTTTTTCAAGCTTCTCGGACCTTGGTAACGCGAACGGGACGCGAATCGGACTACTTTAATGACTACTTTAGTAGCCTCAGCGCTCTTATCGTGATCCCTAGAACTGCCTAGAAACGTCCGGAGCCCGTCCGTTTCGCGTTACCAATGTCCGAGTTTTTTTTTTCAAGAGAAGAACCTTTTTCTTCCTCTTTATCTGAAAATTATTATTTTAAGGGCTTTTTTCCGATGAAAATGCGTCACATTTCATTTCTTATGTTTCCAGGAGAAACAAGAGCTGGCTGACCAGAAAAAGGCGAAATTCCACCAACCCGAAGGAGATCATCTCACCTTGTTGGCCGTCTACAATTCCTGGAAACATCATCATTTTTCGCAACCCTGGTGTTTCGAGAACTTTGTCCAGATCCGCAGCATGAAACGGTCGCAGGTAGGGTTTCATAGTTACGAAAATCAATACAGAAAATCAATAAATCGATAATGCTTCAAAAATTCCATAATTATGATTTGAAAAATCTCTAGTGGCCCCTTAAGGCGCTCCTCAAGGACCCCTCGAAAAGGATACTTGAAAAAAAAATTTACTTCGGAGCAGCCCTGGACCCTAAAGTGGCCACTAAAGATTTTCCCAGATCATGAGATTTTTTTTTAATTTTCAGTGATAGGATCTGCAAATTTGGCCCATTTTTTTTTTAGGATTCAGCTGTGAAAATTAAAAAAAAACCCCTATGAGGACCACTCAAGCTTTAGGAGCTTATAGACCAGGCTCGAATCCCCTATAGGGACCACTCTAGCGCTCCTAAATATAACTCTTTCTCAGGATATTCGAAAACAACTGCTGGGAATCATGGACCGCCACAAGTTGGACATGATCAGCTGCGGAAGAGATGTCGCCAGGGTTCAAAAGGCCATTTGCTCCGGATTTTTCAGAAACGCCGCCAAACGGGATCCTCAGGTTCGTTTTTGGAGATATTGGGGGTCAGAATTGGAAAAAAAAATTGGGAAAGAGAGAATATTAACTGAATATAATTTATATATGAGTTCAGAACGAAAAATAATAATGAGAAATAAAAAAAGCGGAGGTAGTATATCAAAAGTGTCACTTCGAAGAAGATGTCCTGATTTTTACCTCTTGCAGATTTTTATTGTTAATTTCCTCAATTTTAGGAAGGTTATCGTACGTTGGTTGACGGTCAGAATGTCTACATTCATCCGTCCTCGGCACTCTTCCAAAATCAACCCGAATGGGTCGTCTACCACGAACTTGTCATGACTACCAAGGAATATATGAGAGAGGTGAGAAAAGATGAGAATAGGTCTTTTCAAGAGAAATCCGGGAACAAAATTATATTGTGAATTTTCGTAGAAAGAAGTTATTTTTAAGGTTTCTAAAGGCTTCATTCTGATCTTTTTCATGCGGAAGGGACTATTAAAAAAATTTTGGAAGTATAATTTTTATCTTTTTATTATCTGGCAGAGACTCTGATTGCGGAAAGCTTTAGTGGCCAGGATTACTCGGAGAAGACACTAAAGTGATCACTGAAATCACCTCTGTAGAAGCCATGATTTTTGTGTCTTAGTGGCCACTCTAGTAGTTTTTAATGGTCTAGTAGTAGCTCTCAGACTGCTAAAGATGCCACTAAATGTTTACTACTATAGTCGCCACTAAAACGTCGAAATTCTGAAGTGCCGTCATGTTTGAAAGAAGTATTAACATTTTTTTTAATACTGGAATTTTGAAATAACGTAATTCTTGGATGTCAGGTCACGGCGATCGACCCGAAATGGCTGGTCGAATTCGCGCCGTCGTTCTTCAAGCTCGGCGACGCGACCAAACTCTCCACCTTCAAAAGAAACCAGAAAATCGACCCGCTCTTCGACAAATACGCCGATCCCAACGCCTGGCGTATCACCCGCGTCAAGAAGAAGATCTACAACCCCAATCGTTGATTTTTCTTTTTCCTCTTTTCGTTCTGTCTTTGTTTCGATTGTTATTCCCTTCCAACGGTTCTCCGAAAAGTTATTTTTTATTTTTGAAGCCATCATTGGTATTTTTCGACCCTCTCTTTGCCCACAGGTCCATTAAAAGTACTTCTGACGGAATAAATTATTTAAAATGTAACCTTTTTTCGAGTTGTACCCATTTTACTTGAGAAAAAATTGGTCCGAGAGTATTTGAACTGTCGAAAAATGGTCATTTTTTCCAGAAGAAATTTTCGCGTGGAGCGAGAGAACAGCAGAGGCCTGAAGAGACGCAGAAGAAAAACGTTTCTCTGACTTCTCTGGAGTCTCTTCGACTGCTGATGTTCTCTCAATTTCAAATTTTGTACGATTCTGAAAAATATCAAGTCCTTCAGTGAAGATACAACAGAGAACAATGGCGGAAAAGACGCCAGAGAAAACGGTTTCTCTGACTTCTCTAGAGTCTCTTCTGACCTCTTTTGATCTCTCGCCTCTTTTCTTTCGCTGTACTCTGAGAGAAAATCGCGACATTCAAATAGGATAGAGAGAGAGAACAGTATAGGCCTGGAGAGACGCCAGAAAAAGCGACTTCTCTGACTTCTCTGGAGCCTCTTCAATGATGCTGATCCCTCGGCTCCACGCATTTTTCCACTTTCTTTTTGTTCAAGCAACAAAATAACAATTTATTTGAAGAAATTGGTCCTCAGGTACTTCAACTCGTCGATCGACTCCAAGATGTCGTCAAGGGCTCGATGGGACTTTTTCTTCTCGAATTCCTTCGAGTCCGGATACCAACGCTGGACGATCCCCTTCACGCTGCTCACGTCGATGCAGCGGTAATGAGCGTAATTATTGAGTCGGGGCATGTGGATGTGAAGGAATAGCCGGTCCATGTGGATCGAGTTGCCGGCGATTGGCGCTTTTCCTTAAAATGTGACATTGTTCTTGAGAAAAAAGGGCAATGGAAAAGCAGTATCGCTGGCGGCACATTCACGATATCGCGAAAGTGCTGCCTCGTAGCCGCGTCAGACTCGTATTCTCTTTGGCGCCATATCGCGTTTTTTCTAGGCGCGTTCTCGTATTCTCTTTGACGCGATCTCACATTTTCATTGATGCGATAACGCAAATTACTCGACACGATATCGCTTTTTCCTAGACGCGAATTCGCGTTTTTTTTTTTGCGCGATCTTGCTTTTTCCTTGACGCGATCTCGCATTTTTCTAGGCGCGATCTCGCACATTACTCGGCGCGTTTTCGCATTTTTCACAACGACATCGCATTTTGAAAAGTCTCTTTAAGTGCTTCAGAGATGAGAGATCGCTTTTTTACTTGCCAAAAATTACACCTTCGTTTTGAGACCCGTTTTTTGGTTTTTTTTTTTTTTTGGTTCAAAAATTTTTCTTTAGTTACTAAAGTCTTCGTGAAACTTTTCTACGCGCTTTTTAAAAAATCGGAAAAAGAATTATTTAAATGTCACTTTTTTCTAATTATCCGTCAAGCGTATCCGTTACTATTTACGCTTCTTTCAGCTATAAATTTGGCTAATTTGGCTGACTTTTCTGTCCCCATATGTCCTCGAATCGTAGTGGGTACGAAAGTTTTTCTTATGAAATTTTGTGGAAATCTTTTGAATTGAAAAAAGCGCTAAACTTTTCATTGACCTGTTTCTCAACACCCAATTCTGACTCCTTTCCATGAAAAGAATCAAAAAAAAAAATAAGATCCTGGAAGAATTCCAGCTTTTTCGAAACTTAGTTTTTATTGATCGGAACAGGATGACTACAAACTAAGTTGAAAAAAAAACCTTCAACAGCATGGTGTCGAAGAAACTCGATAACTTGATCTTCAGCCTGTTTCAACGAGATTTTGCTGTCCAAAATCTTTTGCATGAGGCCATTTTGAAGGAACGTGTTTCTCGGCCATTCCTCCATGTTGTCCAAAACCTCCTTCGGCTGATTTATCACGATATCTGGTCCTACAGCGATCGTGTTCAACTCGCTGTCCGTTACGATCGTCGCGATCTCGACCAAAGTCTAGAAACATTATATATTTGACGAGTGTTTCTTGAAGGAACCTGCTTCTGTGCATCGCCGATACCCGTCATTTCGCAGTCAATCCAAATTATCCGCTTATTAACATCATCCTTTGCATTGATCAACGTTGATTCGCTCATCTTACAAACTGGCTGTCTGAAAATTGGAAAATAGTTATTCAGAAGCATCAAAAATACGAACATACGAGCGAAATTTCGTAGAATTGAAGTTGCTCTTCTGGCGAGCATCAAATAGAAGACAGGAAAGAAAATACAACGATTATTTCTTTTGAAAACAGAAAAGAAAAAAGAAATTTGCAGGAAAAATTGGACCGGCGCCAAAAGCGGGCCGCGACCGCGCCGCGTCCGACGATTCTCGCACCACTGGCCAGTTTTGAAATTTTCGGCCCTCGCGTTTCGTTTTTGATAAACATATTTGTGGGCTTCACGAAACCTATCAATAATTTTCAGAATCGCTATGCCGGTCGTCTGAAATGCGGAATGAGGTTCTGTGTTGCACTTGCCGTCCAGTAAGGGCTTTAATTTAATTTTTTTCTTAAAATTTTGTTGAGGTCAAACTTTGATCTATTTTTTTAAATTTTAGCTTATCCGCTGGTTATGATGTTAAACCAACATTTGATCGGCCCTTCGACTTCGTTGAGCTCCAATAGTGCCTTGCAATCCGCCGGCCTAAACGACGGTTTTTTTTTGATTTTAAAAAAGAAAAATGTTGATTTTGTTGAAGGCCTGTTGTCATCCCAAAAAGAGGATCTGAAAACTCAGTTCACGACCCGGGAAGGCACTTACCGGATAATGACACTGGCTGAATATTCGCGGCCAAATCGACCACAGGGGGTTAATTTTTGAATTTTGTTTTTTTTTGTTTTTTAAAAATGAGCGAAATGTGCGGAAAAAAGTTTTTCTTCTGAAAATATAGAATTATTACAATTTTGATATGTTTTTTTGTCAATTTTTTTGAACGCGGTTTTCATACATTTTTAATTTTTTTCATAGTCTTTTTTTGAAAATGGAATTTTTTTAATGTTAATAAACCGGAAACGAACTAATTTAGTTAAAAATTTTTGCCATTTTTTTAAAAAAAGTTTCGTTCAACATCGTACACTAATTTTTCAATATAATGTATTAATCACTTGTTTTTTTACTTGAATAATTGAAGATTTAAATATTTATTTCACTCAGTGTAGAATAGGATACATTAGAAGACCATTTTTTTTTGACAATCTCTATTTTTGGCCTTTATTTTTCCAAATATATTCGTTTATTCTAATTTTTCCTGATTTTTTTGTTATATATATTCTTTTTTTTTCAGTTACAAGGTGCAACCGCAGCAACTGGAGCCACCGGAGCCGCTACCACGACTACAGGAGGGGCTCCGGTCCGAGTTTCCTTCCTCACATTATCCGGATTCATGCCACCTGAGGTTGCCGAATCGTCCAATAGAAATTCGGTAGGTTTTCGGACTATTTTAGGGCGTAATTTTTGAGAGTTTTTCACACCATTTTTTCACATTTACGGGCTAAAAATCTGGTTTTTTATCTCAATTTTTAAGTTTTCAATCGAAAATCTAGTGATAAAAGGTTGTAAATCTGACTTTTTGCCCTTGAAATCTTCAAAAAAACTAGATTTTTTTCCGTTTTTTTATATGCTTTTTTTGAGGTTCAAGAGCTCGAAAATGTCCTTTTTCTGAGAATTTTTTTAGTTAATTTTTATTTTTTTATACATTCTGGGAAAGGATTTCAGTTGAACATACGATATTTCAGAACTACGCCGAGCACGAAGATTTATATTCGGACAAAATTTGCTTCAATGTCGGCCGGGAACTATACGTCTATCATTACCGGTTCGTTACAAAAAGTTGAAATTTTTTTGGTTTTTACGGAAATTTTTGTAGAATTCGAGTATTTTTCTTAAGGAAAACGGATTATTTTTTTGTGAAATTTGATATTTTTTTCGGAATTCAGGGAATATTATTGAATTTTTTTGCGTTTGAAAATGAAATTCTTTCGATTTTTTTACAGGATTATTGTAAAATTTGTGACATTTTTTTGTGATTTTTCGATGGGTTTATACAAAAAAATCGTGGACATTCTTAAGGAAAAATTGATCATTTTTTTGATTTCTCGCTTATTTTTTTCAATACATAAGAAAAAAATAATTAATTTTTTTCGTTTAAAATAGAAATTTTTTTCGATTTTTTTCACAGTGTGATATTCGTAAATATTCTTAAGGAAAATGAATTTCAAGTGGTTTATTGAAAATTAAAAAAAGTTATCAGATTTTTTTAGCGTTTCATATTGCTTCCAATCCGTAAAAATAGCTTCTTATCGTTTTTTTCCTATCAATTTTTCAAGTTTTAGGATTTTTTTCTTCTAATTTTTCAGGCTTAAAACTGTTATAAATCATATAGTATGATTCTAGGTATTCTTGAAAATTGGAAAAAAAGCTTAAAAATTTTTTTATTTTTTTAGTTGTTAGAAGGGGCTTTTTTTCAAGTTTTTCGAAGGTTCGATTTTTTTGTAGCTTCCCCTGAAAACCTCATTATTATGTAATTTTTTTCATGGAAAAAAATATTTTTTTGTGAATATCCATAAAAAAATAAAGAAATTATTCAGCGGAACCCACACGGCGGCGGATTTGAGCCGTCCGATCGATAAACGGGTCTACAAGGGAACGTATCCAACAACTCACTGTTTCAACCAGGAATCCGCCAAAGTCGACAGCGCCGCGTTCGTTTTTCTTACGGTTGATTTTTGGAAGGAAAAATTGTCAAAATTTTTGGAAAATATTAGGGAAAAAAAGGGAATTTTTAAGAAAATTTCAGGTTGACATCGGAAAAAAATTGTTCTAGAAAATTTCAGTTTTTTTCAAGATTTTTGTTTCAAAAATTTTCTGGTTTTTCAACGTTTTTTTCAAAAAGTTTTTTTAAAGACCTTTAAACATTGGAGAAAAGAAAATTCGAATTTCGCTGGAAATCGGAAAATTTGGTATCAAAAAAACGGGAATTTTTTTCATGATTTTTTTGTCGAAAATATTTGATTTTTTTCACTTTGTAAAAGTTTATTTGAAAATTGGCTTTTTTTCATTTTTTTAAGAGAAAATTGTCAAAAAAATTCAAAAAAATATTGAGAAAAGATGATATTTTTTTGAGGAAACTTTGGTTAAAACTGGGAAAAATTGTTTTTGGTTTTTTTACGATTTTCCTTCAGAAAATTTGTTTGTTTAATTTTTTTCTCTGGTAAATTTTTTTGACATTCCTGAAAAAAATGACGATTTCCATGACTTTTTTTCTTCGAAAATGTACGATTTTATGCGGACTTTTTTTGCGGTAAAAAAACCTCGATTTTTCCTGATTTTTTTATATTCTTAATATACTTTTTTTCTCTTTTTCCAGATTAATAATCGGTTTTTTTCGACGGGACAGTTACAGATGATCGACCCATTGAACAAGGAATATCAGGTACCTTTTTTTGATTGATTTATTTGAAAAAAAGTATGGAGTTTTTCTAGGCCAGCCGATTATACAATGAAGATCGATTCATCGACAAAACGGCCGTGACTTGTTTGAGATGGGTTCCTGGTTGGTTTTGGGCTTTTTTTAAATGAAATTTTTAAAAAAATTATAAAAAAAGGCATGAAAATGCTTTTTATAGGTTTTTCAAGTTTTTTTAGGGATTTTTAGCTGTTTTTTTCCCATGAAAAAAATGCTTCCAGAATGTGTGAATTTGAGCACAAATGCTTTTTTCTTTTTTTTGTTTTAAATTTGATTTTTATTACATAAAGGCGAACTTTCACTTTTTAGCCCCTATAGGGACCACTTGATCTGTAGTCTTCTAGGATGCATTATTTTGTCCACTTTAGGGGCTTTTTTTCCCGTCGAAAAATATTTTTATGCGATTCAAAATTGAAGTTTCACGATTTCAAGCTGATTTTCTAGATTTCTTCGGCTTTTTTTAGAGCTTCAAACTTGAAAAATAGCGATTTATTTCAAATTGAAGCTTTTTTTCTGATTATCCAATTTTCAAGGTCAAAATCTCCTTAAAAAAATATGGGTCCTTTTTTTATTAAAATATTCAAAGCGAACATTTCCCAATTTTTTTAAGCTCGATCTGACTTTTTTTATTGGCTCTCTGCTCTGAAAAACTAAGAATATATTCTGCTTTAAAACTTGAATTTTTGAAATTTTTAATGTCCAAATGGCCTTTTTCTTGGCTTCCTACTCGAAAAAAAGAGCAGTTCGATTCATTTTGAAACCGAAAATTTCCATTTTTTCGAGGTCAATTTCGGCTCTTCTTGACGTTTTTATTTTTAAAAATAAGTGTTTAATTTCATTTAAAATTTGAATTTTTTTCAATTTTTCAAGGTCAAGCGTACCGTTTTTTGACTTTCTACTCAAAAAGTGGCCATTTACTTTATTTCAAAACCAAAATTTTCCAGTTTGTAAGGCCATTTTGCCCCAATTTTTGGCTTCAAACTCGAAAAATAGCAATTCTTAAGCATTTTATGGGAATTAACCTTAATTTTCAAGGTAAACTTGCCCTTTTCCGACGTTCTACTCGAAAAAAAATAGGAATTGTTTCATTTTGAAGTCTTAAACAAAGGATCATCACTATTAAGGTCAACCTCGCCAATTCCTGGCCTCGTACTCCTCGGGCAACATCTACGTGTTTTCCGAAGAGCTGCTCTGTCCGCCCTCCCAACCCGTTTATCAGACCTTCAAGCAGGTTTGTGGGATATTTACAAGGGCTTTTCCCGTATCAATCGTAGACTTTGACTCTGATAAGGAAGTTTGATATGACCGAATGTGTTTTGATAATTTTTGATGTTGAGCCGGGAACATTAGGGGACCTAACTTGTTTCAAAAAAGCGGTTCTAAACGGAAAAAATGAACCCAAAAAGGCTTCGGAACAGCTGATTTTTCGTTTTTCAGTAATTTTTTGGTCTTTGGAGCAAGTTTTTTCTGGCATTTTCAATGAAAAATGGAGTTGAGAACAAAAAAAAGTTCATTTTCTATCTGAAATACTTTTGAAACAGGGAATATTGCGTTTGAAGCTAGTTCTTGGCCTTTGGTTCGCTTTCTTTTTTTAGGTTTTTTTGACATTTGTAACGGAAAGGTGAAGCTTGAATTTAGAAATTACTTCGAAGTAATAGACTTAAAACCCAAAAAAAAGTTGATTTTTCTGTTTAAAATAATTTTGAAACAGTGAATTTTGCGTCAAGAGCTAGTTTTTGACCTTTGAAACAAGATATTTTTAAAATCCTCGCAGGGGTGTTTAAAGGAGCATGGGGAATAATCATAAAAGGTCTCGAAGCGAAAAGCCATTTCAAAGGCTATTTTGAATTAGGCAACATCTCTAAAACATATACTCTTTTGAAAAAAGTTTTTTCGAAAATTCCGCTTTTTAAAGGGGAATGGGGGATAAGCATGAAGGTCTCGAAGCGAAGAGCCATTTTTTGTGTAATTTTTAAACTAGGCAGAATCTTTCAAAGGCTCTGTCTAATTTTTAAAGATTTGGAATTCTTACAGAGGTATGAGGAAATTTTAAAATGAATCTTGTTCTAGATTTTTATTTTTCAAGTTTTTAGCATTCTAAAAAACATCTTTTTCAGTTGAAAGTTTATATTTTCCATTGAGGAAAAATTAAGAAGCCGTTTTTGAAAAATATGCATGAAATATTGGTTTTTAGGGCGACAAGTACACAATCTACACTTGCAAGACGAAAACGACCAAAAATCCGCTGTATCGGTGGCAGGTTTATCCAATCTTATATCATAAAAAGAAACAATTTTAAATTTGAAGATTGGCGACAGGGGCGATTCATCAATTCGCCTTTTCGGGTCCCGACGCGAAATATATGGCTACTGTAGGACATGTGAGTTTATTGGGAGGAAATTTTGGAGGGGTCCCTGTAGGGTTTTGGTTGTTTTGGGGGCCACTATAGGGGGCAATTATATTCGAAATGAATCCTCAGAGGGTTTTTTTTTGTTTTAGGGGCCACTAAAGGGGCGATTTCACGACCCCTGTAGGGATCACTTCAACGTTTCTCAGGCAAAATTTTCATTCGAATAGTTTGAAATGGATTCTTATAGGGACCACTATAAGGGCCAATTTTACGACCCCTGTAGGGACCACTCCAAAGTTTCTCGAACAAAATTTTAATATAAATATTTTCGAATAAACCACTATTGGCTTTTGGTGTTCTAGGAAGCCCTATAGGGACCGATTTTTCCCTGTATGAATCACTTTTTAGTGTTCTAGGGATCCCTATAGGGGCCACAACAGTAAATTTTAATAAGGAAAAAAACATATTATACCATAGTAAAAAAAAAGAAAGAAAATTTCAGGACGGATACCTGAGAATCTTCAACTACCACCAAATGGAGCTGGTCGCCTTGATGAAGTCGTATTTTGGCGGGCTCTTGACCCTGAGTTGGAGTCCCGACGCGAAATTGATCGCCACGGGCGGAGAAGACGATCTCCTGACGGTCTACAGCGTCGCTGAGAGACGGGTCGTTTGTCGAGGACAGGGACACAAGAGTTGGATCAGTCAGGTGCGTTTTGGGGTGGGAAAATGAAGGAAATTCATGAAAAACTGGTCTTGAGGGGGTTTTTAAAGGAGCATGGGCAAAGTTAATGAGGGTCTCAAGGCGAAAATTCTATTCCGTGAGTATTGAGGCTCATTTAAATTTTCACGAGTCGAAAATAATTAGAGAAGATTAGTATGAAAAACTTTTCAGCTTGTGAACCATATTTTAAGAACTAAAAAACCAATGATTTTATTCGAATCGGCTGCAAAATTTAAAGGAGCATGGATAAAAATGATATAGGTTTCAAGGCGAAAAGTCTTTTCAGTGAGTATTGAGGTCCATAAAAGGTAAGAGTTGGATCAGCCAGATTAATTTTGAGGCGGGATAATGAAGAAAAAATGGAGGAAATTTATGAAAACTGGTCTTGATTAGGTTTTTAAAGGAGCATAGACAAAGTTCATGAGGGTCTCAAGGCGAAAATTCTTTTCAGTGAGTATTGAGGTCCATAAAAGAGTAAGAGTTGGATCAGTCAGGTGGGTTTTAAGAGCGGGAAATCGAAAGAGAAAAAAAAGAGAAAAAATGTAGGGAAACTTGTCTTGGTGAAATATTAAAGGAGCATGTGCAAAATTCATTTGGGTATCACAACGAAGGATTTTTTCAGTGAATGTTGAAGACCATGAAAAATCAGCCAGGTGGGTTTCCGGGGTAGGAAACTGTAGAAAAGAAATAGGAAATTTAAGGAAAACAGGTCTTGATGGAGTTTTTAAAGGAGCATAGGTAATAATTCATATAGGTCCCACGACGAAGAGTCTTATCCCTGATTGTTTACTTCAAAATGATCCCAGAGAAATTTTTTTAGATGATCAGCCAAGTTATTTGATAGTTTGTAATATAAAAAAAGAAAGAGAAAAATGTAACGCGCATTTTTTTCAGTTTAAAAAAAGGATGAACAAAGATTTTATCAGTATTTTTTTCTTTATGTTAAAATAAGAGTTATTTTTTTGATGTTATGTGTTATTTTGATTATTCTACAGGTTCAATTCGACGCGTTTTGTTGTACAACGGAGGAAGACGCTGAACTGAATGGTTATGCGGCTGCGGAAGAAGCGACCGGCATCGAGGCCGTCGGTTCGTTTTGTGTATTGGATGGATAAAGTCTAAAAAATCAGCGTTTTCACTCAAACTATCTGTCTATCCTTCATTCCAAGGGCAAATATAGCCGATCCACGGCTAGCAAGGGATGGGCGTGGCCTGTCTGCGCTCTCCATTATTGTGGCACTATCTTTTTCCGTCTCAGGACCCTTTTTCGATGATTCAAGCTAGCCGTGTATCACTTAAATTCTTGAGAAAAATGAATTCCAGAAAATACAGTGAAAAGTGTGGTGGCCACTTAAGAGGTCCCTCAAAAGCTACTTAGATAGGGCGCTAAAGTGGCTACTAAAAAAACCTTTTTAGAAGCCGTCATTTTGCTTCTGAGTGGCGACTTCTAGACTTTTATAGATGCCACTTAGGTGGCCACTAATTCGACTACTATAGTGGCCACTGTAACTTTATAACCCTTAAGGGGCCACTAAAAATCCTCCCAGCTTTTAAATGATTTTTGAGCACCTGGGTATCAAAATGAAGTTCATTTCAGTTCCAGAAGTGAGAGGATTCGGAAACTCGCCGTCGACGCCTTCCAACGCGATCCCCAACACTTCTACGGCCGACGCCAACGCCATGACGCCAGTTATGAGAGGTTAGTAGAAGAAAAATCGAAGAATCTTATAGGCACTTTGAAACGCCTTTCGATAAAGTATCCCCCTGGTACGTCTTACCTACAGTGCTCCAAATTACAGTAGGACTACAGTCTTCCAAGTTACAGTTATAAAGTTCTACTAGCTAAAGTACCACATTACTGCCAGTTACAGTAATACTACAATAAAACTACAGCCTTCCGAGATACAGTAGTACCGTACTCTTAGCTACAGTACTACAGTGTTCCCAGCTACAGTAATACTACAAACTTTAAAGTAGTTTTTGTCACGTTTTTTTTCACATTTCGAAAAGGTTTCAGTTATTTTTTCTCAGAGAAAAATGGAGGAAATTGAGTTTAAGCGGTTATGGAAGGATAAACATAGTAAAATAAGTAGAAAACGTGAAATTATTCTAGGAATTTTAGAAAGAAAAAGAAATCACCTGACCTTAAAGTGGTCAAAAATGAAGTTTGACGTCGTTTTTGTCACGTTTTTGTTACGTTTTTCTGAATTTTGAGGTTTTTCGGGGCTTTTATGGGAGAAAAAAGAAGAAGGTATCAGGAAATATGAAATAAGGATGATATAATCAAATAAAGGGACATGAAAATAATTTTCCAGCTCACGCGAAAAGAGCGACCCCTCTAGGGGCCACTTCGACGCTTTCGCGGTGTTCTTTCGCTTCTTTTGGGACCATCAATGGCGCGGGGCAGGTGAGCAAAAAAATGGCTTTTGAAAAAATGGTTCAGTTTATGTTTTTTGTCTATATTTTTATAAGAATATATTTTTCTTCCTCCTTGCCACAGATCTGTCTGTGAGCGAAGAATAGAAATTTCAAGAAGAGCTAAAATAAAATAAGGGAAAAAGTGAATATTTGAAGGTGGGCGTCGGCGTTTGTTACCGGATCGGAAGCGTCGGACACGACACCCAGCTCTGTCTTTGGGACATCACCGAAGACATGCTCAAGGTTTCAACATTCTTCTAAATACCCTTTCGAAACAATTTTCCATTCTCTCTGGTATTCTTGAACTAATTTGCTCCACCAGGAAAAAAGTTAGCTTTTTATGGTATTTTCTCTACCGTAACCCTGAAAGTGGGCGGAGCCTCTAAAAACAAGGTGTTATGAATTGAGGAGGCTATGTAGTATCTCTGATAGCGAAACGAGCTCTGAAGAACCAACTTGAATTTCTTGTGCCAAGAGATTTCTGAAAATCTCAGAGAACGTGTGTCAAAACCTTTTCTCCGGCAATTTCCTCGTATGTTTCGATTTTTCAAAGACGATTTCCCATTATGAATGAAGTTAAAGTTTTCTTATGTTTTCAGCCGGCCAACGTGCAAAGACACCGAAATTCGACCATTATTGCACCGATGCTTGGCTTGGAAATTCAGGTAAAAATGTTTTGTTTTACACTTTAACCTTATTTTGAGAGAAAAACAGCTTTTCAACTTGAAAAATTCGATTTTCCAAAAAAAAAAAAAAAAATCACTTTTAGTGGTCTCTTATTGAAATTTGAGTATGAAAACTCTAGAAAAACAAGTTTTCCCGTTTTGACCCCTATAGGGACCACTTAAGCTTTGGGAGTCAGAATCTAATTCCCTATAGGGACTATTTGAGTTTTAGCCCTCTAGGGAACACTATTTTGCCCAAGTTAGGGGATTTTTTCCCTCAACCCCTTTAGGGGCCACTTGTAGGAATTGATTTTGAAGGAGCGTTTCTTTTTGTTATTTCAATGTTGTTATAAGTATTTTCAACTTTCAAGGAACCACTCTAGGGGCCTAGCGGTTGACCCTAAATCACTATAGACACCACTCCAATTTTACACCTCTAGGGAACACTATTTCGCCCCATTCAAAACATTTTTTTCCACGAAACCTTCTAGAATCCACTCTGAGGTCCCTAAAAAAGAAATCCTTGACTTCGAAATTTCAAAGTTTGCAGACGTCCTCGCCCGGCTCCCGACTGGACCCTCTGGCCGAAGCGTCCCCTGGAGGGGCCACTTCAGGGGTCTACGGCGTGCCCTCCACGTCATCCGACCCGTCGCCCTCTTCCGCCCAGACGCCCCAAAAACCCGAAAAACAGAAAAAGAAGCGATTCCATCGACGCGGCTTCACCCTGGGACGACTTTCCGTCGGCGGGGGCTCCAATTCGTCCAACCAGACCCTCCAGACGACCCTCAGCAATGGAAGTGATCGGTTTGGAGCGCAAATGATCCGATTAGTGACGTCATATCTTCTTTAGAAGACGTGCAAACGACTCGACGGCTTCCTCGCCCCAAACAACGGTTTTGGATGATTCCAAAATACTCGGGACCAAAATTTGTCCCAGGATCGAGGATGTCCCGGTTATTGGTTGGTTTTTGAGCTTGGGCGCAGTTTTGAGCGATTTGTGAGCCTTAAATTTTAAGTTTAATTCTGAAAAATTCTGCGGAAAAATAGTCACTTTAGGGTTTTGACGTTTTAGTGGTCGATTTAGTCGCCACTTAAAAGGCCGTAAGTTAGTGGCCTCTTTAGAAGTCTGAGGTACTACTAGGCTATTCATAGGGGGCGCTAAGACGCAAATTAGTGTTTTAAGTGGCCACTTTAGTGTCCCCTCGAAGCAGTCCTTGAAGAACCTCTTAAGTGGCCACTACAGTATTTCTAAGTTTCAATCAACAATGAAACAAACTTCACGTTGGCGAAGTGATTGTAAAAAAATTTCAGAAAAAAATTTTTTTATTATTTAAAAAAAGTCTATAAGTCAAAAAAAGAGCCCCTTTAGGGTTTTCACCTATTAGTGACTACTTAAGCGTCAAAAATTTAGCGGCCTTTTTTAAAGTTTTTGTGGCACCTCTGAAACTACTACAGTGGCCACTAAGACACGAAATAGTGGCTTCTGAGGAAGTTGTTCAAGTGGCCACTTTAGTGTCCTCTCTGAGTATTTCTCGAGAAACCACTCAAGTGGCCACTAGAGTTTTCCTCAGTTGAGCAAAATTGTTAAAATCTCGACCCAACGTAGCTTCTACCGTGTTCAAAGTTATCTCCGCGAAAATCAAATTTACCTCTAACTCTCCAAAATTTAGTCTCTGACTGCTCTTTTGAATTTCGCGGAATCACTTTCAACACGATATAAAAATCAAAATGAAAAAAAAAATTGATCAAGTATCACATTACTGTAGCATGTGGTATTGAAAATAAAGAACGTCATTTAAAAAAGTTGATTTTTCTTTCAGAAATTTCAGAAAATCTGAAAAATGTTCATATCTGACAGAACCGTGCTCTCTAGTAGTTTAGGTGGTCCCTATAGGGATTCAAGGTCGGATCCTCGGTCCCCTCAATCTCAAGTGGTCCCTTTAGGGACCTTCAAATATTCTTTCTTAAGGATTTAAAAAAATGCAAAAAGTTAAACTTGCTCTGTGATATTTCTCCGTCTAAATAATGCTAATTTATTGCGAACTAAAAACCCTATAGGGGCCACTCTAGGGTTTTATTTGACGATTGTGGAATTTTATGAAATTCTAGCGTCTTTTTGCTACTTTTCTTGGTCAGAAAATTTTTTTATCTCCTTAATTTCGATGATTTTTGTTCAGAACCTCTGATGTGTAAGAGGATAGCCCACGAAAGACTGACGGTGCTGGATTTCCGGAGAGATTGCGTTGTGACGGCCTGCCAGGAAGGATTCATCTGCACTTGGGCCCGTCCTGGAAGGGTAAATTGTAGTTTTGAAAAACGAAAATTCGTAAAAGTTACTCATTTTACAAAAAGATAGCTATATTTTTCACTTTGAACCAGGCAAAACAAGGTTTTTAGATTCGAAAGGTTGTGACAGCAAAAAATGACTTATAAAATTAAAATTAGGAAAAACCACACTATATGGAGCTTTTTCGCGCATTTCGCTTTAAGACCTTTGGTTAAATGGTATACGGTATTTGGGTGGAAAAGAAAAACGTGTAAGGCGGTTTTTTTATAACTCACCAAAAACTACAGTACACCGCCCTTTTTTGCGCGTTTCGCTTCAAGACCTGTGATACGACGCTATTTTTCCCAGAAAGGAAATTTAAAATGCTGGAGCGGAATAGGCTGTGTCGTAGGGACAAACTCAAAAATCTGAGCTGAGGCAGAAAAAGATTGAATTTCTTTGAAGTTCGATTAGAAGGAAATTATAAAATTTTTAAGAAATGATGAAAAATATTGTCTTAAAATGGCTTAAAAAACCAAAATTTGCTTCTTTCAGAGCCCAGCGGCGCTGTTAAGACAAAGAGAGCTGCTGAACATGAACTCGCCCGGGACCCTGAGTCCCGAGACGCGGGAACGGTCCCGAGACCGGGGCCTCTTCGACCGAGAGACGCCCGCCGCGCCCCCGCGATCCGCCAGCGCCTACAGCGCCAACGGCCACGGCGGCTCGTCCTTCCAAGCGGGAGCCTCCAGAAACACCGATGAAGAGGCCTCTCCAGGGGTCACCGCCTCGGTCAGCGGCTACAACTGGAGTGCCATGTAGTTCAATTACCGGGAATGACTTGAAGATTTTTTGAACCACTTAAGAGGTCTCTCAAGGACTACTTGGAGAGGACTCTAAAGTGGCCACTGAAACAATCTCTGTAGAAGCCACTATTTTGCGTCTTAGTGACCACTATAGTAATTTTTGTGAAGTAGTCGTACCAATTGGACTCCTAAAGAGGCCACTAAAGTGCCCACTAATTCGACTGCGGCCGCAAGAACTTCAAAACCCTTAAGGGCTCACGGAAAGTTTTCCCAGTAGAATACGGAAAATTTAACGGAACTTCTTTTGAAAATCAAAAAAATGACCAAATTGGGGAAATCTCCTCTGAAGTTTGGTCACTTGAAAATTGAACCAAAAAAGCATTTTTTAAAAATTTGTCTCAATTTTATCGATTTTTCGAGTTTTTTAGCCTCTTTTTTTGACCTGAAATCGGCTCAAAAAGACCCGAAGTCGATTTTTGTGTGATTTATAATCCTTTTGTCGAGAATTTTGAAGATTTTGTGATTATTTCGATCGAAAATCGCGCAGGAAAGTTGATTTCAAATGAATTAACCTAAGAGTTACCATTACGTTGAACAAACTTTTAAACAAGTCAATAAATTTGAGTTCATCTCGAAACAGCAAAAGCATTTTAGAAAACATTTTCCACATTAAAAGAATGGAAATATTTTATATAACAAGAATATTAAATACAGAAAAAACTTCAAGTCATTCCAGTACTGATTAGCGGAACTTTTAGTATCAATTTTAGATTTTTCTGAGCTTTTGGGTGGTGGTTTTTTGATAAAAATTGTCAATTTTCATCGATTTTTGACCTCCCAAAGGTTCCCGAAACATTTAAAATCAATATTTTTTGCGTTTTGAGTTCTTTCCCCCTCTGCCATTGTTCCATTGCTCCAATTATCAGTTTTCCCCCACTTTTAAGGACTTTTTTCTAGTCTGTCCTTTTCCATTGAATAAAATGTAGAAATTTCCTAGGATTTTTCCCTTGTCTTGTGATACAACTAATGTTACTAAGAAATACTAAGAAAATTGCCAAATATTTGAGAAACAATAAATTAATGAAATAAAATAAATCTCCCCCCACTTTGTACATGTCCACTTCACTTATTAGTTTTTTAATTCTTTCATTTTTATCTAATTCTTCTAATTGATCTGTATCATATTTTTAATTCTAGAAATAATGTTTGTAAGTTGATATGAATTGGTTGTGTATAATTCGATAAATTGATTTTTACGATTTTTTGAATGGATTTTTTCGTGGTTTTTTGTTGGCGCCATGCGATATTTTCATTGAAAAAAGTTGGTTTTGAACATTTATTTCAAGGTTGTGAAAATGATTGATAAATATTTGAAAAAAAAGAAAAGTAGGCGTCATTTGGAGCGTCGTTTTTTTTTTTCCATCAACGATGTTCCAAATGACGGCTGGCTTTTTAAGGCTAATTAAAATCTTCATTATTGTAAAATTTCGAAATCAAAAAAAATATTGGAACTTTAGCATTTTTTTAAACGATGCTCCAAATGACGTTGGATTTTTTTGAGAACATTTGGAGCATATTAAAGTATAATATTAATAATTTTTTTTTCTGAACGATGCTCTAAGTGACATTTCTGTGGAGTATTCTAAGGAAGAGCGTCGTAAAAACTTGATAGAAAAAAAACTGAAAAGTTTAGAATTTTTTAACGATGCTCCAAATGACGGCTAGACTTTATGTGGATTTTTTAAGGAAGATCGTAATTTGGAGCATCGTACAACAAATTAAAATTACTTCGACGATGCTCCAAATGACGGTTAGACTTTTTGTGCAATATTGGAATGAAAATCGTCATCTGGAGCGTCGTAAAATTATATAATTAACATTTTTTTGGTCAACGATGTTTCAAATGATGATTTTTTTAAGCATTGTGAAGTTGATTAAAACTTTTTTTCTCTCGAAAGGACGGTTTTTTTGAAATCATTTTTCCAACTTTTTAACAATATTCCAATGAAAATCGTCAACTAGAGCATCGTAAAAATTGATCTAAATTTCTGAATGACACTACCAAAAAAAATTTTTTTTTTCAAACGATATTCCAGTGAACAGCGTCATCTGGAGCATCGTAAAATTAATCAAAAACATTTTTTTCAGCTTTTTTCGTTTCAGAATTTTGCAATATTTCAGAAAACTAACCAAAAATGACAAGTGTAATGCCTGGCCAAGCAGAAGGTCTGTCGAAAGACGAGGCGGCCGTGTATGACCGTCAGATTCGTCTTTGGGGCCTCGAAGCTCAGAATAAGTCGGTTTTCTGAGGGAATTTCAAAGAATTCTTGTGATTTATATAGACTCCGGGCGTCTAGTGTCCTCATCGTGGGCGTGACGGCCCTCGGCGCGGAATTCGCCAAGAATATCGTCCTGGCCGGCCTGAAAAGCCTCACTCTGATGGACCATCAGGCCGTCGTCCAGCAGGACCTCGACACCAATTTCCTCTTCCAACACGCCCCGGAGACCTTGGGCAAGAATGTGAGAGACGACGATTTTTTGCGTAAAGTATTGTGTGTCGTGTGCATACACCGCGGCGCTCTCGCACATACCGTATTTGAATTTCCGAAATTCCATTATATTTTTTTATTTTCTGGCAGTTATTTTGAGTTCTGCGGAATCCCTTAGAACACTAAAAAAAAAAGAAACAGAAAAATCGCTTTTTTAACCGATTCGTCTCAAGACCCATTAAACATGCGCCTTTAATATTCCCTGTTGTTTACGCGTTTTTCCCATGGCGTCAAAAGAAAACGGCGAGGAATTTTGTCCGTAAAGTGTACAGACAGGCCACGCCCCTTGACTGTATTCAAAAAAATGAATATATTTTTTTAGTTACAAGACTTTTTTTGCGATTTTAGAATTTTTAGAGGAGAAACTTTCAGTGGCCACTTTAGGGTTTTGATGGCCACTATAGTAGTTGGGCGAGTGGTCATTTAAGTGGCTGAAAATAAGTGGCCTCTTTAAAAGACCAAACAAGGCCAAAAAAGATTACTTTCATAAATTTCTCTTCTTGATTTTTTCTGCCAAAGTGGCCACTTGGGGGTTTTTTTACGTTTAAGTGGCCACTTTAGTGGCTTCTTTAGAAGTCTAATTGGTAGGACTAGATTAATAAAATCACTATAATAACGCAAAATAGTGGCCACTTTAGTGTCATCTTCAAGGAATTACTTAAGTGTTCTTGTTCTTGACAGAGAGCCGCGGCGGCCGCCGGAAAAACGACCTCGTTGAACCCGAACGTCGAGCTGAACGTGGTGGAGAAGTCGTTGGAGACGCAGCTCAACGAGCTGAACGAGGTCGGCCAGGAAGCCTTCGTCCGCCAGTTCTCCCTCGTCGTCCTCATCGACCAGGACTACGACCTCGTCAATCGCGTCGACAAACTTTGTCGCCAGGCTAATGTCAGGTAGGTTAAGAGAGAAAACGCGCTCTAACGAGATTGGGTTCGAAAAAGGTCGCAGGCGTTCAAAATTGGTGGGATACTGTAGCTTTGAAAGCGGTTTTCACTGAGAAAACGCACTCTAAAGAAACGAGGGTTGAGAGAGGTCAAAGCGGTTCAAAATTTGTGGGATACTGTAGCTTTGAAAGCGGTTTTCACTGAGAAAACGCACTCTAAAGAAACGAGGGTTGAGAGAGGTCAAAGCGGTTCAAAATTTGTGGGATACTGTAGCTCTGAAGGCGATTTCGTCTGATGAAAGCGCGCTTCAACGGAATCGGGCTCAACAAGCGTTCAAAATTTTTGGGATACTGTAGCTATAGAGGCGATTTAAACTGAGAAAGCGCGCTCTAATGGAACTACGTTTAAAAAAGACCACGGGAGTTCAAAATTGGTGGGATACTGTAGCTATAGAGGCGATTTCAGCTGAGAAAGCGCGCCCTAACCAAATTGGGTCGAAAAATGACCACAACTTGGACGTATCTGAAAATTTCTAGGGATCACTTTAGCGGCGTCAGTACGTTCAGGACCCCTAGAATATCTCAGAAGCTTCGGGCACTTCACAGGGGTCTTGTATACGGGGGATTAGTGGGATACTGTAGCTTCGAAACGCGATTTTAATTGAGAAAGTGCGCTCTAACGAAATTGGGATTAAAAAAGATCACAGGCGCCCAAAATTGGTAGGATACTGTAGCTTTGAGAGACTTTTGAACAATTTCAACTGAGAGTTCAGAATTTTATCTTACTGATCTTTCTTGCGTGTCTTATGAAGACTATAAGTTTGTTAAATTTGAAAAACCAATAGATGTTTTATTTTTTAAAAAAAAGTCAGAAATGCAGTTCTTTTTTCTCAGATTCATGTGCGGCAGTGTCTTCGGATGGTGCGGCTACGCGTTCTTCGATTTTGATGAACACGAATTTTTGATGTGGGTTTTTTTTTCTCTGAGGAAAAGTTCGAACTTCCAGCTGAAAACGAAAGAAAAAAGTTTATTTACACTTTTTTTTAGTAGAAGTAGAAGCTTTAGTAAAAAAATTCTTGAAAAATACTTTTTTTAGGAATAGGAGTTCTTTTTTGAATTTATCAATTTTTGAAGATTTTCAAAAGGATTTTTTCCATTCTAGGCAAGTTCGCTCCGCGCAGACTTGCCACGTCGACGTCGATGACGTCAGCTCGAATTCAAAGGCCCAGCCGATGACCACCATTGAAGATGAACAGTTCGTGAAGAAGGTTTTTCGAAGAAAATTAAGTAAAACAATGAAAAAACGGAGTAAATTTTTTAAAAATGGAATAAAACCTTGTAGAAATTGGGTGATATGGGGAAAAATGGAATAAAATGTTCGAAAGATTGGGAAAAAATTTTGAAAACTTAAAAAAGAAAGGACGAAATTTATAGAAAAAAATAGATAAAATGTTCAAAAAAGTAATTAAAATGTTCAAAAATGCCTCGAAACGTTGAAAAAATGAAATAAAAGCTTGTGGAGATTGAAGGAAACGTTTAAAATTTTGATAAAATATAGACAAAATGTTTGAAAAATTAGAAAAAATCTTGTGAATTTTTGAAAGTTAGAAAAAGTTTTGCACAAACAGGACGAGATTTCGAGAAAAAAAAGAGATAGAATGTTCAAAAAATGCCCCAAAATGTTGGAAAAATGGAATAAAAGCTTGAAGAAATTGAGTGAAATTTTTGAAAATTTCGATAAAATCTAGAAAAAATGGAATAGAATGCTCGATAGGTTGGGGTTAAGTGTTAAAAAAATCGAGTAAAAAAATTTAAAAAAAAATGGGGAATTTTTTTGACAATTAGATAGAGTTTGAAAAACAAAACGATAAAAAAAGAGATAAACATTTCAAAAAAAAAAAATGAAGGGAAATGTTGGAAAAATGCTCCAAAATTTTGAAAAAATGGAATAAAAGCTTGTACATAGAAGTCGAGTGGAATGGGGAATATTTTGATAAAATCTAGACGAAATGTTTGAAAAATAAGAAAAAATCTTGGGAATTTTTGAAGATTAGAAAAAGTTTTGAACAAACAGGACGAGCTTTTAAGAAAAAAAAGAGATTGAATGTTCAAAAAAAAAAGGATTATAATGTTCAAAAAATGCCCCAAACTCTTGAAAAATCGGTTTTCAGGCCTTTCCGTACCCGTCTTTCGCCACGGCTTTCCACACCGAATGGTCCGACAAAAAGTTGCAAAGGAAGGCCAAAAGAATCATTCCTTCTTCCTATTTTGCGATCAAATGTTAGTTTTGCAGGATTTTAGGGAAATTATAGTTTTTGATGACTTTTTCCTTGGAAAAATTGACAAAAATCGAAAAATATGCCATTTTTTAGCTCAAAGATTGAGATTGAAGTGAAATTTTTTTGATGATTTTTTTCATTGATTTTTGAATTTTTCTAGAATTTAAGCGACGCCTAGATTAGAATAATTAGTTTTTTTCAGAGATTCCCAGATTCTTTTTAATTTTTAAAGGCAAAAAAATAGAGTTTTTTTAGAATCAAAATTTTAAGTTTTTTTCAAAAATTCAAAAAAATTTTTCCAAAGTTATCTCTCTTTACTGTATCATCTCACTTTTTATATAATCTGGATTTTTAAAAATTCGTAATTTATTTTTGAGTGCATCAACCTAGTGAATATTAGTGACGGGGTCTGAAATTCATATTTATGATATTTATGATTTTTTTGAAGATTTTTTTAATTTGGAGCTCAAAAAAATTCCCAAAATGGTAGTTTTTTTGGTCTATTTTGTTCAGTTTTTGAGCGGCTAAAGCCTCATTTCTCTTTTTTTCTTAGAAACTTTTTCAATCTTTTGAAAATAGTAAGATTCAGCCATGCTCCGCGCCCAACGTGAACGTCTTCTGACCGACGACGAAGAAGCCAACATCAAAATCTTGAAGGAAATCTGGGAGGATGAGGTTTTTGGACTACTCAGGAATGCCAGAGTGGTCACTAGAGAGACAGCTTTTTTTTTAAGCCGTCATGATCATTTTTTCATTCTCTTCGCTGCAAAATGGCAGCGTGGTTAGTAGGGGCCCAGGAGTCAGACCCTAAACCGCTTCAGGGACCACTTAATGTTTAGCCCTCGAGGGAGCATTATTTGGTTCACTTTTTTTTTGTCACTGCTATAGTGACCACTCTGGCATCCTCAAGAGAAAAAAAAATGGAAAAATTATATTATTAGGTCCGCATTGGCAACCAGAAACCGGAAGAACAGTCCATTCAGCCGGAAAAGTTTGATCAGTGAGTTTTTGGATTTTTTAAAAAAGTTTTGGGTGCTCCTAAGAATTTGTTGTTCTTATTGTTTTTAAGCTGCGAAAAGCTTAATCTAGGTTGTTTTGAAGCATTTAGGAAAATATAATGAGCAAATTATTTTAGGCTGATTCTCTCAAAAAAAAAAAAACTTAGCCGTGAAATGATTTCAAAAAAACAAGTACAAGTTTGAATTTTTGGGAATTAGAGAGCACTGGAAAAAGAAAGGGCGTTCAGTGAAAAAAAACGTCTGCCCTTTCATTTTTTACGCTCTCTAACTTTGTAAGAACTCGAATTTAGGGTAATTTGAATGATTTTCAGCCTTTTCCCGCCACAATTGACGCCGACGGCTGCTGTTGTCGGAGGAATGATGGGACAAGAGGCGATCAAAGTCCGTTTCTGATTTTATAAAAACAAAAATTGAAAAATAAACATCCCATTTCCTCCAGTTTTCACGACTTCAAACGGCCAAAAATGACTTTAAAAATCGACTTTTCATGGTTTTCTGATTATTCAAGTCCAATGAGTTGTTATTTTCCTCTCCAAGTCCTTTTTTAAAAAGAAGTAGTTTCAAAAATTGAGAAAAAAACCACAGTATACAGAGCTTTTTTTCCCGTTTCGCTCCAAGACCTAAATACGGTATTCTGACCAGAAAAAGGCGCAAAGTAGGCTACTATGTTGGTGTGTAGCACATCAAGAATATGGATCCATATAAGTAGATATTTTAGGAATAAAGTGTATTTTTTGCTGATTGGCTTCATAATGAGCATTCAGCCTATTAAGAGAAAAGTCTGAAATTTCCGGCAAAATCCTTGAAGCCCTAATCCTCAAGTGGTCCCTTGAGAGATCTTTAACTTTATTTTGTTATTTGAAAGTTAAGAATATGTATGGGGACCACTAGCATGCTCCCCTAAAGTGGTCACTCCTACAAGCTTTAGTGTCCCTTTTATAAGGAGGTAAAGTGATCCCTAGAGGGAAGCCTTCAAGAGATTTCAAGGTTGCCCCTCTAGGGACCACTCTAGCGTTTTTAGATGGATCAAAAATCAATGTTTTTTGATTTTTTCTGGAACATATTTTTTTGTTGATTTGAATTTTTATTTTGTGGTCCTGAAGCGGTAAAAACTGGAGTTTTTCAAAAAAATAATTTTTTTCACAACTTTTAGTGATACTTTATTTTTTTCATTGTACCTTTCTTTCAAATAGTTGATTCAGACGCTGAGCGAAGGAAAAGACCCCCTGAAGAACATTTTCATCTACTCGGCCCTCGACACCACCGGCGTCATGTGCGATTTCCCGCCCCCGAAATAATCCAATTCTTTTTCTCTTTGTTTATTTCTGTTCACCTTTTTGTTGAATATTTGTGCTTCATCTTTGGTCTCAAAAAGGAAGTTATTTGATTCCTCCAACGTTTTGACCGGTTTTCTGTGAATAAATTCGGCTCGGAATGAGTTTTTTACTGTTTTTTTTATTGGATACCAATCAGAAAAGTTTTTTTAGAGTTGAAATGGTCGACTGGGGGAATTTTCAGTGGTCACTTCAGGGTTTAGACGTTTTAGGGGTCATTATAGAAGTCGATTTAGTGGCCACTTAAGGGGCTAAACTTAGTGGCCTCTTCAGAAGTCTAAGTGGTTCTAAGAGACAGCAAAATAATTACTATAGTGGTCACTAGGACGCAAAATAGTGCCTTCTATATAGATGGTTTAAGTGGCCCCTTTAGTACCCTCTCCAAGAAGTCCTTGACAAACCTCTTAAGTGACCACTAGAGTTTTCGAAGAAAATTAAGCTTAAAAGCCCCACATTTTTCTCACAAATCTATTTTTCGACGATATTTTTCAAAAGAAATTATTGATTAGAACGAAAATTTCGAATTCCAAACATTTTCAATGACTTCAAGTTTTGAAATTTCGCGTAAACTTGACCGGAAACGTCAAAAGATGGGAAAAAAGCCGGCATTTCTCACAAATTTGGTGGCGACTCGACGATGGAGGAACGTGAGCAGCACGACAACAACAACAAAGATTGGTTCGTTTTTCGAATTTCGATTTGTTTCGATTTAGCGTTCAATGAAATGAAATTGATCTTGAAACGCAACAGCTGATGGCTTGAAACATCGAAAATTGGGTCTTGACACGATGAAAATAGAGATGTTGCCTGGTTTTGTGCATGCAACTTTAACATATTGGAAAAGTAGGGCCTATGCGCCTTTAATAAATTGAAGTTTTTAGGTGGTATGCGCCTTTAATATAACAGGAACATGAAGATATGTGCGCCTTTAATAATGTGGGCGTTTTAGGCTATATGCGCCTTTAATACAAAGGAACTTTTGGACTGTATGCGCCTTTAATATAACAGGGATATGACGCTATATGCGCCTTTAATTTTACAGTATTTAAAGTTGTATGCTCCTTTAAAGTAACAAAAATTTTTAGGTTGTATGCGCCTTTAATATTACGGCAATTCTCGGGCCATATGCGCCTTCAAAATTACGGCAATTTTGAGGCTTTATTAAAGGCGCATGCATAGGAAGATGAGCTCAAATGGAAATAGCTATAGTTTCTTGACTGTCATGTTTTTGAAACAAAAAAATGCGTATGTGAAAAAGTCAACATATTTTGAAGGATCTTGCTCAGTAGCGAGGTCGAGAGCAAGCTTGAAGCTGCGAAAGTGGACAAGGAAAGGAAGAAGAGAAAGAAGAAGCGAGGAGGTTTTTTTGCATTGACCAGTCTGCGCCCTCTTTTCTCTCCTCTCAGGGCCGGCCCGTCAAGGCCGTTTACTGAGCCCGATTCAGCCCGGCCGAGCTAAGAAAATGCAAATTTTTACTTTGAATATCAACCTTTTGAACGAAAAAAAAAACGGTTTAGGTTCTTTTTTTGAAACTCAACAGGAAGTATGAAGAAAAAATTGTTTACTAATAAAAATTCTGGCCCAAGCCCGGGCGGGCCCAAGTCGCCCAATCGGACGCCCAACTGGAAAATTACTTTAGTGGCCACTTCCTTGAGGACTACTTGGAGAGGGCTCTAGAGTGGCCACTGAAAAAACTTCCATAGAAGCCACTATTTGCCTCCTAGTGGCCACTTTAGTAGTTCTCTTCTTGATGACGACTTATTTGACTGCTATAGTGGCCACTAACTCGTTAAAATCCTTAAGTGGCCACTAAAAATGTTCTCGGTAGCCTGGAGAAGGTCGGAGAGTGTTGTTGAGAGAACAGAGAGCGCAGAGAAGCTAGAATGTATCGAGTAGTAACGAAAATACTGTAGAAATTTAAGAAATCAGTGGTTTTTTCAGAATCTGAACACAAACAGCCACAATCAATGTCCAAGTTCAGCTCTTCTGGCGAACCCAGCAGTGAACCGGTTCATTTTACGAATTTTTAAGGCTTACAATGAAGGAAATCTTCTAAAAATAGGTCAGAATATTCCAACTTTCCAGTTTTTCAAAAATTACTCCTCAACGTCAAAGAATACCGTCAAAACCGTTAAAATAAGCTATTTTCAAAGCTTTGAGGCCTTATTTCTTGATAATTAGGTAGTTTTGAAGGTTGAGACTTTCAGGATCTACTATTAATACATCAAGGAATTTTTCCAGGGCAATCCCAACCACAAAGAAAAACGACCTCCCAAGTGAAAAATCAGTTGTTGAAAATTCAGCGAGATGTACTCTGAATTTAATTCTCGAGAGAACGAGCATTTTACCGTTTTTCTCAGAGTTCAAATGAAGGAAATCAAAATTTTCAGAGTTTTTGTTATTGGCTTCGAAGTCTCGAATCTTGTATTTTGAAGAGTACTGTATGTGAAAGCCCGCATTTTGGTTGTGCGTATTGCACATTTTTAGTGGTACCGTCTCCCCTTTTTTTCAGTTTGTTCTGAATTTTATGGAAATGAACTTGAGGGAACTGTTGACTTAAATCAATCATTCATTCTGACTTATTATAAAAAAAAACTAAAAAAACTTTGAAATGAAAAATGAAAAAAAGAAACAAAAAAATGGACGCGCAATGTGCAAACACGCCGAGTGCACGCGCCAAATGCGGACTTCCACATACAGTACTCTTTGCAAAAGGAAAACTCGATGGTACGATTTTATCTTAAGTCCGCAAATCTCCGGAGCCGTTATCTCAGAGTACCGTAATCTCAAGGCCCATAATCTCCGAAACCACTTATCTCCGAAAACAAAAAACTTCAATTTTCTTTCTCTTTTTTGCATTTTATTTTCATTTTTTTCTTGTGTTGTACTCAGAATACAATCTCCGACCGAAACTGCGTACGAAAGCCAAATATTTTTCGTTTTTTTCAAACTTTTTTTATTTTTTTCCACTGAGTGAAAATAATTTCAATTTTTTTCAAATTGATAATTTTTTTCAATTTTTTTCTTGTCCTTAAGCTTCTCTGATAACTTTTTCATGTGGAAAGCAAAGAAAAAAAGAGTGAAACTCGAACTTAGAAGTGGCTTAACTTAAAATTGTTCAGCTTCTCAATAAAAGTGGAAATTTGATGAATATAATTATTTAGGGTCCGGCGAAAAATTTGGATCGGAGATTGTATTCTGAGCACAACACAAGAAAAAAACAAAAACAAAATGCAAAAAAGACAAAGAAAATCGAAGTTTTTCGTTTTCGGAGATAAGTGGTTTCGGAGATTATGGGCCTTGAGATTACGGTACTCTGAGATAACGGCTCCGGAGATTTGCGGACTTGGGATAAAATCGTACCATCGAAAACTCGTTCTTGTCGTAGCACCATTTTCTCAAAGATTACCCTTTTTTTGAATTTGTTCACTTTAGCACAACAACATGATCCGCTTGATCGGAAATCGGAGCGTCCACCACGTCAGCGTCGAAAACTTTGCCGCCGTTTCGCAGCTCGTCCAGAAAGTGAGAATCTTTAAAATAAAAGTGGAAATTTCCGGCATTTGTAGTGAATTTATCAGTTATGAAAATCTAAAACTTTATCCAGAAAAATTTTTTAAAGAAAATCCACTTTTTTCCTTTGAAAAGAAAATTCTATCCAAAAAAATGGTGAAAATCGGTTGAGAGACAAGTAAAATTTATGCATGAAAGCTCAGATTGATGAAAAATTCTTTAATTTGAATAAAATTAGCTTCGTTTTTGGCTCAAAATCAATCGTTTCTCCTGAAACGTGGTTTAAAAAAAAGGTAAAAACTAAATTGATCGGTCATTGATAAGGCTAGGAATATTTTCTAAACTTCGATTTAATTCTCATTTTGAAAAGTTCCTTTTTTCAGCAGCAACAATCGGCGAAACTGATGACGACGGTGGACCTGCACCGGTTCAGCGACCAGGCCATCCTCGCCTTCATCAGTTTCATCATGAAAAAGGAGATCAAGGTTTCTATTTTCAGTGAAAATCTTCACCTACAGTAATCCCATTGAAATTGAGCTTTTTCGCTTCGAAACCCGATTTGCCTTTTTTTCTTGAATCTTTGAAAAATTTAGGCCTTTTCAGTAACTATCAACCAAAAAAGTAAATCAATATTTCTTTCCGAAAAAAAACGTCTTTTCTCAACTACAAGAACCTCTTTCAAATTGATAATTTTCGCTTCAAAACCCGCCATGTTTTTTTTTGCTTTTTGAGAAGAATGTCTTTTAAAAACTACAGTAACCTGTTGGAAGTTGATCATTTTCGCTTCGAAACCCTAATTAAGTCAAGTTCAATTTTTCCTAGTTTCTGTTGATGAAATATTATATTTTTTTGTACAACTTTGAAAATGAAAAATTTGAGAAAAAAGATGAAGTTTTTTTCCTCCAGACGTCATTGACATATTACGCTCTCTCGGAGATGCTCACCCTCTCCAAGACTTTTTATCATGGAGAATTTGAAGTCTCAATTGGAAAAAAAGTACCGAAATTTTCTGAAATATTCTAGAAGAAAAAAATGATTTTTTTCCAGAATATTCTAGAATCGGCGTGCGTTTCTCACTCGGACCTCTTGCAGGCCCTTATCATTTGCGGCGTTTCCTGTGTTTCTTATGAGGTTTTTTTATTAATCATAATCATCATTTTATCATAATTTTTTTGATTTTTTTCCAAACAAAATAGGTTCAAAATTTGAAAAAAATCAGTTTCGAAGACAAAAATATGTCATTAGAGAAAAAAATAACAAAGAAAGCTTCCATTCCTGTTTCAAAAGATCCAGTTAAACTTGAAAACACCAGAGTTTTCACTAGAGTGGAAACTTTATATTTTTTCTAAGATTATTATCAAGGAACCCCTGTGAACATCCCTATAGAGGCACTGAACCTTGCAAAAGTGTCCCCTGTAGGGGTTTTTGTTAGTGATCACTCTAGCGGAGGTTGCAAGTGGTCACCATCACAACAAAAATCTGAAATATCACTTTAGGGGCCACTCAAGCTTTGGTCTATTCAAACTTAACATGATTGAGAACGGGAGAGTGGTCACTACAGTGGCAACCTTACTAGTTAGAGGCTCTCAAAAATTTCTCTCAAGGGACCACTTGACCACTCCAGGGGAGCGTGCTCGGCGTCTTTTAAGTACGTCTTTTCATTATCAGACCAAAAAAATAAATTTAAAGACCACTATAGGGACCACTCAAGCTTTAGGGGCTTAGAAGTCAAACTCTGAACTCCAATAGGGACCATTTGAGACCTTCAGGAGCACTTTTTTGTCCACTATGAGGCACTTTTCTCCCCTAACCCCTTTAGTGACCACTCTGGCGTTTCCGTGAGACTTTTATGGGAACCTTCCGGACATTTTACAAACCTTACAAAATTTTTTTACTGCAAAATCAATGATTTGAAGACGGAAATGGCCCTTCATCGCCTAGCCGGCCAGAACTTTGTCAACCTCGCCAAACTGCCGGATTTCAGGTAAGAAGGGCAAAAAAAAGTTGAAAAAAAAAATAAAATTCTAGTTTCTTTCGCATATTTTCTATGACCGCGCCGCCAGAATTTTTTCCGATATCGCGCCAAAATTTTTCGCGACATCGCGAATGTCCCGCAAATGTTTCACTTTCAGCTCGATCCCGCTCTACCAGTTTGTCCAAGTGCTGGGCAGCTGCGACCTGAACGTTCGGCACGAGATCGTCGTCGCCGACGGCGCCCTCCTCTGGCTTTCCGGACAGCCGCATCCGTCGAGCTGCGCCCCGGCCGTCCTCGGAACTGTTAGTTATGCTCTTGGAGTAACGGCGATATCGCTTGGGTTTCACTGACGACATCGCAAAAGGGCTGTAGCCGTGTCGGTATTGCGTTTGTTTTCAAGTGTTTTTTGAGTTTATGAGAATCGCGGGAGAAATGCGATATCGCGCCAAAAATGCGATTCCGGCGCGGCAGCAATTCATTGGCTGTCGATGAACACGACATCGCTTATCATATCTCACGTTGGACTACTTTACCTTTAGTTTAGGCTTCTTTATTAGGCCATGTATAGGCCGCATTTGGAATGGCTATATATAGGCCGCATTTGGAATGGCTATATATATAGGCCACATTTGGAATGGCTATATATATAGGCCGCATTTGGAATGGCTATATATATAGGCCGCATTTGGAATGGCTATATATATAGGCCGCATTTGGAATGGCTCTAGCGATCCCTGTGAAAGAAAAAGGATGTTTGAAGTTTCGCATGACTTAGGTTAACACGGAAAAGGACTCTTCGTCTTGATACTTTTATGAAATGAGACCATGCGCCTTTAATAGCCCATGAGACCATGCGCCTAAAGCACTTTGAAGACTGGAAATATAATTTTTCTGGGACAGTATCTTTGACTCTCGGAAAATGAATAATCCTGAACCCAATAAGGACTGAAATCGACTTTTTTCCTTAGATCCGAACCCATTTCCTGAGCCAAGTCGACAAGCAGCTGATCGTCGAACGAATCAACACGTTGCATCTGTCGGAACGGGTGAGGAAACCGCGACGCATGCCTCGGTTGACGCGTCGCGGCTCGTTTTGCAGATCTCCCGATTGGCCCGCAACATGTTGGACTCGCACAACGGCGCCCGGATCTGCATGGACCCCACTCATTTCAAGAGGCAGCTTCCGAGGTCGCTCAGAGGCGCCAGAATGGACCCTAGAAGGGCACTAGAAGGCTTCTAGGGGTCACCTTGCCTCCCTGTACTAAAGCTCGCAAAGTGACCAGTCTAGGGGTTTTTGTAAGTAGGGACCTCGTGAGCTTTAGAGCCTTAGAAGTCAGGCTCTAAACGCCTATAGGGACCACTTGAATTTTACCTCTGTAGGGTGCACTTTTTATTCCATTGAAGAGTTTTTTTTCTTCCCGAACCCCTCTAGGGACCACTTTAGAGTTCTTGAAACATTTCTAACCTTTTTAAGGGGTCAGGAAAAACAGAAAAGCTCTTCGGAAGGTTGTTTCGAAGAAAAAACTTCTCTAGAGATAATTTTTTTTTTCATCTTTTTCGCTTCCTTGAATTCTCCGAGCTCAAAACGGAAATAATTTTCGAAATCTTAGCTTGAAATTTATTGGTTTTTTTAGTCGATTCCATTCGACTAAAACAACCAATAAACATTGAAGATTGATGATGATGGAATCAATAGTTTCGAATCAAATCTCTTAATTTTTTGCAAAGTTTTGAAAAGGAACTGTTTTGAAGGTGCGGGATCGCGGAAAGCACCCCACCGATCGGGGAACATTCCTCGTTGCCTCTGAGCCGCCCTACGAATTTTGATGCTCATAGTTGGTTATTGGTTTTTTTGTATTTGGATAAGTACTAATTGCTTTTAATTTTGAGTATTTCAAGGCTTTTTCCACTTTTTTTTTCCGAAAAAAGGATTAATAAGGCTCTCCTTAACGCTAAACGGGTAGAATTTGTCCGAATTTTACAAGTTTTATGGTATTTTTTTTAAATACTAGTACTTTTCATGTTGAAATTTTAAGATTTTCTTCAGAACTTTTCAAAAAATCAAATTCAGCCGCCAACGCCGTGAAACAGAGGGCGGATAAAAAGAAGAAGAAGACGTCTATTGAAGTGAAAAATCAACTTTTTCAAAAAAAAAAATCCTATTTCTTGTGTTCTTCAGAAGGCGAGAACGCCGAAAGTGATGGAGTTGATGGAGATGTCCGGCCCGGGGACGACGTCTGCAAAGCCGCCGATGCTCCACAAGACGAAAAAGTCCCGAAGCGAGAGAAAGTCCAGATGCGCCTGTGTCGACTACATTAAGAAGAAGCTTGGGACGTGAGTTTGTTGAAAAATTTTAAAAATTCGATGTTTGGAAAAGAAAAAGCTGAAAAAACTCTGATAGTTAGAAAATGACGCTATTTTCTGTGCGTGAACGCCGCAGTGCATGCACACGACACACTACATTTTACGGAAAAAGTGGTCATGACGTCGTAAAAAAAGCTTTTTTAAAAAATCAGTCTGAAAAAGCAGCAAATGGAGCCGCCCGTAATCTTCACCTGTCCCAGGAGTTGCTCCGTGTCCCAAATGACGCTCCTGGCGCGGCAATTTGAATTTTTAAAATTTTTTTTACCAATTTAGCGGCGTCAAAGCCCTTAAGTGATCCTTAGAAATGCTCAGAAGCGTCCGGAGATCCGAGAATAAGAAGGTTGTGCGTGGAGCGCAAGTTTTGAAATATCATAGCCTTTTTTTGCTTTTTCATAGGCTCAAACCGATGCTTTTCTTCATTCGAGCAAATTTTAAATTAATCTCCCAATGAATATTTATAGTTCAATTGAAGAAAGAACATAACCGCCCCTCCTACAGAAACCCGGAGAAGTCGGATAAGAAGCACCGGAAGACGTTGGGACGTCCGAAGACACCTCGGTCGGCCTCGTGCACCCAGGAGACGTGCAAGTCGGAGAAGGCCAAGGCCAACCTGAGATTCGCGAAGCCGCGCGTTCCGTCGCCCGTCCACGCGAACCAGTCCTCGACGCGGACCTCCTCCAAAGCCGTAGGAATCTCGTCGGCCAGCAGTACCGAGCAGGTACTTCTAGGCATGAAACGAGATAGGGAGACGTCAACTGGAGCGTCGTAGTTTTAAATGAAGTTGATTAGTTTTCATCGGGAAAAAGGACAAAAAAACTATTTTTCTGAAGTTTCTGGCTTCCATTTCGAGTAATATTCTAAAAAAAAACTGTAAAAGAAAGTGAAATTCGCTTTTTTTTCAAACCCTAAAAGTACCTCAAATCGATATGAACCGTATTTTCTGGCCTACAAATTTTTTTCGAAAAAGAAGCGGAAAAGTGAGTTTTTAGCTCGAGAGGTATTACTGGCCTTCATCTTCATTTTTTTTTCGGTAGTGTTTTGTATAATTTTAGGAGAATCAAGCCTTGGGAAAAAGAAAAACTTCGTTAAAATAACAAAAGTTACTCACAAATATCCACCTTTGAAGGCCACCGAACGACGTAACGAGAAGAGCAAGAAGGTATCCCACGCCATATCTTCCTCCAAAGATTTCCCGTCGTCGAAAAGCTCTTCCGTTTATAAATAAATTTTTCCTCACTGCCTCTCCCCGTGTGCATCCGCGTGCTCCTGCGAAGGGGTAAGTAGCGGCGGCCGCCCTTTCCCTGCATGCGCCTCGATAGCTCAGTTGGGAGAGCGTTAGACTGAAGATCTAAAGGTCACCAGTTCGATCCTGGTTCGGGGCATTTCTTTTTGCTTTTTTGTTTCTTTTTACTTCTATTTCCACGGTATGGATTTCAACTGTTTGAAATGTTATTAGCGGATCTGATTTCGAATAAAACTGGAATTTAAACAAGAATTAATAATAAGCACTCAAAAACAACACGTTCTGTTTTTGGACTTCGATTTTTCAAAATTTGCCACGAAAATTTATTTGATCAAAGGTTCGAAATCGACAGGTAGAATGCAGGTAGATCAAGTGAAGGAAAGTGAGAAGGGTAAGAAGTGGCAAAGTGAGATATTTTTTCAAAAGTTAATAATTTGATTCATTAGTTATTGGTATTAGATTTTGGAGGGAAAAATGCGATAGATGAAAAAAAAAACCGAGAAAAAACAAGTATACACATCATTTGACAGCGGGGTACAGGGGAAGTTTGAAAATTCAAATTTTAGAACGACAATTTGATACAAAAATCGGACTTTAAACAAAAACTTTTGAAAAAGGCCCGGATTTTTGGTGAAATGAATCCGTAATGCAGTCAATACAGTGGAAATCAACAAATTCAAGAATGGGTAAAAAAAAATCAGAAAAATGAAACTTTTTTTAAAAGTCCAAGTTCAAGAAGTAAAAAGGTTAATAATTTCAAACTGTGGAACTATCGGACCAAATTGCGACATCGATAGCATGATTTGAGTATTTTCAAACACTTCAATTTGATTGAAAATGAAGAAAAACCATGGAAAAAACGACAAATATATCTTTGGGCTCGGAAAAAAAAGCTGTAACTTCAAAACGACGAAGAAAACTCGAAGGAAAGTCCACCGGAAACCAAAAACCGTCAAAAACCGGAAAAAAGTGGTAATTTTTCCACCTGTCGGCTATGAAAACGTGACGAGGAAATTCAGGCCAAAGTCGGGTACTCTTGGGGGTCTTTCAGGGAACTTCTGCAGTGGATGCAGGTGCCGTTCCTTTCCAGCCAAACACCATAGCACTGGAAAAAATTCGACTATAGCTAATTCACGGCCAGCTTGAGACGCTAAGGGGCGTGTCTTGTCTGTGCTCACCACGAGCCAGGCGCTATCTCGTGCATTATCGTGTCAGGACCCTTTTTTCGATGGCTCAAGCCAGCCGTGAAGCAGCTATATTTTTTTTTGAATTGAAAACGAATCTTTTAACATGCTTATTAGGTGAAAATCGGAAAATTCCAGGGAAAAACGTTCTTAAGTGATCACTTGAGCGAAAAAAGATCCACTCGAGTGATTTCTTAACCTTTTCTACCGATAATTCGTACTGCGCTTCTCAAGAACGACAGAGTGGTCCCTAGAGGGATTAGAGGAAAAAAACGACCACTCTAGTTGAAAAAAGTACTCCCTAGAGGGCTAAAACTTAGGTGATCCCTATAGGGTTTTTTAGGGTCTCGCCCCTAAGCTCCAAAAGCTTGAGTGGTCCCTATAGAGGTCTAGAGGTTATGATTTGAAAATGAAAAGACGTATTTGATGAAATTTGATCGATCAGTTTTTTTTTGATACCTTTTCCACTTGAATTTACAGTTTTCCAAATTTTCGTCCCTAAAGCAAGTTCCCCTAGAGTGACCACTAACTAAAATCTCTAGAGCGGCCACTTTTGCAATCTTAAGTGTCCCCTATAGGGTTATTAAGGTGATTTCTCGCCTGGAACCTACAAGAGCCCCTCCAGGGACCACTCTAGCGTTCCTAAGTTGGTTTTTTTCGTTTTTTTAATTCAATAAAACTTTTAAAAAAATGGCTATTCCTTGTTTTCTCTCCGAAAAAGGAGGGCGATTTCTCCACGAAAAAAATGAAGAAACCAACCGTTGCGTGGGCGTAGTTGCCACAAATTTCGCAGGCCAAAAAGTCGGCCTTTAGTCATTTGGGAAGAACAGAAGGGGCAAATCTCGGTCCGGTCGAGCAGCGAAAAATGGTTCAGTTAAACTTCTAATAATTTCCCGTTTTTTTACAGTAATCCAATGATTTTTTTAAAAATTAACTGGAATTGAAAGAACTGCGGTACTTTCAGGAGTTCCTGGGCGAAGCGTTTTTGGCGCGAATTCAAAAAAATGGTATTTTTTAAGGAGAAAATTCAAAAATTGTCGTTTTTTGGGCGCGAAATCAAAAATTGCTATTTTTAATGACAGATATCGAAAAACTGTTATTTTTTTAAGAAGAAAATTCAAAAAAATTGTCGTTTTTTTAAGGAGAGAATTCAAAAAATGTCGTTTTTTAAGGCGAGAATTGAAAAAATGTCATTTTAAGGCGCGAATTCAAAAAATGTCATTTTTCGATTTTTCCCAGAATAAAATTTAAAAAACCAACCTCCACAACGTCCTCTTTCTTGTTATTCCCACTGTTTCTCCAAGGGTTCGCCGCAAAAATGTTCGGCTTCGCAGTAAATGAGCTAGTCGCTGTAAAGTTCAAATTGAAAAAATTCGAAATGTGATAAATGACATGAAATTGTGACAAATGACATACAAAACGAAAAATTAACCAAAAAAAATTTTAGAATTAAAAAAAAATCATCATCACCATCCTAAGTCCATTCATTTCGCTATGAATAAAACCTCTTCTGCACAATTTTTTTAAAATCGATTTTTTTAGAGGAAAAATCAAATCAAACAGTCGAGAAAAATGGTTGAGCCCGAACTCTTAAAATGGGCAAAAATCGCTGGGTGAGAAGAAAATTCATTTTTTGAAAAAAGTGAAAAAAAGGAAAAGAAAAAATCACATAAATTCGGCCCCAAAGATTTCCAACCTTCAATGATTTTTTTGGTAAAGTTTGAATGGTCAAAAAAAACAAGAAGGCGAGAAAATGAAAATTGAAAAGCTGGAAGCGTTGCGGCTGCGATGCGTACCGGCCCTTGTCAATTAAATTAAAAGTTGCACCCGACGTTCCGCGGCTTTCTCATGCTTTAGAATGCCAAAGCGCGCAAGTATTTTTTCCTTCGGGTGGGAACCGCCACGCGACCGCAACGCTTAGACTCATCCCTTGAGAGGAAAAGGGAACGAAAATAGGATTTTTGGCCTTCCAATGGCAAAAACGAACCTGGAACATTATTAGAAGCCAAAAATTCATGGCTCGAAGAGCTGGTCGGCGTTTGAACTTGGTCTTGAAAAGTTCCAAATTTTATTTTTTCAACTTTTCCGAAGTATACATTTACTTTGTAGAAAATAACCTTTTTTGAAAAAAAAAATCATTCTTAACCAAGTTCTAATGAATAAAAATGATGAAAAGTTCCAGAAAATATGCAATTTCAAATCATTTTTTCAAGTTTTCCCATGAAAAAGTTCGTTTTTAAAACCCGCTTTTTGAGGTCTCGAAGCGAAGGGCCCAAAAAAGGCCTTGTATACGGTAGCTTTATTTATTCTGTGTTTCGAAACTCACCATCATTCGAATCGCAAAAATCGTTGAAAATCTGGCGAATTCGGCGATAATCCTCATAGTCAGGTTGTGGAATTGGCGGCAAGGGTTGCATTTCGCGGAATTTCTAAAAATATCGTTTTTTTCTGGGAAAATTTTCAGTGGCCACTTTAGGGCTTGAATGTTTTAGTGGTCGTTGTTTTGTTTTAAATGATACTATAGGAGTGAAAATAGTGGCCACTTAAGTGGCTGAAAATTAGTGGCCTCTTTAGGACTCTCAGTCGTACTACTAGGCGACTAAAACTACTATAGTGGCTTCTTTAGAGGTGTTTTTAGTGGCCCCTTCAGTGTCCAGTCTCTTAAGTGGCCACTAGAGATTCACAGTTTCCCTCAAATGATATTTTGACGGACCTCCTGTTCGTAGTGGTGGATATTCTGGACGGCGATGGAATAAACGTTCAAAATCGCATTTTTCCGCATTTCAAGCCGGCCCATTGCTCCCAATAAGTTGACTCTGGAACTTTTGATTAAAAGAAAAAATTTTGAAGCTTTTCTGAGAATTGGGGCTCTAGGTGCATTAAATCAACCATTCTTTCGTTATACATGATCAAAGAAATGAAAAAATTGAAGGAATGGAAACTAATTTCACAACAAAATGATTTTTGAAGGCACCTTTTAAATTTTTTTTCTGTTTTAAGAGCTGAAAGAATGGACAAATAGAAGATTCAAACAAAAAACAAAAAAGAGATACGTTGGAATAAAATTTCAGAAAATCACGAAGTTAAAACTTACGCGGTCGCACAATGACGCAATCCTACACCAGAACGCGCAAAATTTGATTCGGAAAAAAAGAAAGCACTATAGGGAGCCATTTTAGGGTCCCTCAAGGGTTCAAAACTTAAGTGGCTCCTATAGGGCTTTCTAAACGGTCCTCTCAATCCCTGAAGCCTTAGGGCTCCCTAAAGCGAAGCGTAGGATTCCGACAGGTTTCCTTGATTTTGAGGCAACTATAGGGGCCATTTTAGGGTCCCTCCAGGTTAAAACTTAAGTGGCTCCTATAGGGCTTTCTAAGCGGTCCGCTTAACCCCTGGAGCCTGAGAGCTCACTATAGACGGAGCGGAGTTTTTCTGATGGGGTTTCGTTGATTTAGGGACCCCTACAGAGGCAATTTGAGGCTCCCTCCACGGTTCAAAATCTAAGTGGTCTCTATAGGGCTTTCTAAGCGGTCCACTAGAACTTTAAAGAAAACCGTTTTGGAATTAGTAATCCAGAGTGGTACCTATAGGGGTTAGGGGAAAAAGTTTTTTGTTTCTGCAGTGCCTTGGGAGTGCCTTAGAGTACTTCTTGCCCTCCCTTTAGATACAACTTGAAGTTTCTCAGTTGGGAAAAAAAGCCGGTGAATTTTTTTCCCCCACAGAGAGCCCCCTGTGAGTACCAACTAATCCCTTTTTTTTCTCGGAAAAAGCCACCTTTCGGCCATTTTCAGGAATTCGTCGAGCTCCTGCATGACCTTCTGCGTCTCCACGGCAGCCTTTTTCGATTCTTCGTTGATTTCCAAGAAACTGATCGAAATTTCCGGCTTCTTTTCGACCTTCACAACGGCCAGAGGCTCTAAAACATTTTTTTTCCTTCATATTTCCTCAAAAATCCCACCTTTTTTCGGGACTTCGACTTGAATCTTGCTTGGCCCGGCTCCATTCTAAAAATGCCCATAAAACCTCATAAATCCGGGTTTTTCAAACTTTTTGGCGGCTACTCCGATTTTGCTGACTTTTCGGCCTCGCCAGCGGATCTTCTTGACGGAAATAGGTGCAATTATTTGGTTTAACGCTTCTAAAAACTAAAATTATTATTCAAATCCAATTTTGGGCAAATTTTTCAACAAACTTATTTTGAGAAAGCAGTGAAGAAAAATATGGGAAAAATCAAGAAAGGGGTAACTTAGAACAAATTATCAACGGAGCGCACATGAAAATTTTCAGGCGGCTATTTCTTCATAAAATCCCAACTAAAGTCTATATTTTCGCTAACAGATGATCGAACTTTGTAAAAAAAAAAACCCAAAGATATGATAAATCTTTGAATTCAAAATACACTGAATTAAATGACTGAAAAAAAAATTAGTATTATCAATAGAGCGCACAAGTCGATTTTTAAGCGGCTATTTTTTCATAATTTTCAAACTAAAATTCAAATTATCACGAAATTGAGGGAAAAAAAATGATCAAATTAATCATGAAGTAACTATGAAGATTATCAACAGAGCGCACAAGTCGATTTTTAGGCGGCTATTTTTTCACGCTTTTCAAGACCATTCGAATTATTTCTAATCAAGGTAAGAATTAAAAAATTATCAAACTTCAAAATAAAAAAAATGAATTGATAAATCATCAAGTCTAAGTTGATGAAAAAAAAAATTAACTGCAAAAATGAAGATTATCAACAGAGCGCACAAGCTGTCAAAAAATAAAGGCGTTTTTTAGATAAATTTTTTCGCGCTTTCAATAAAAGAAAAAATAACATCAAAGTCAAATTTTCTGAAGTAGATATTTGGAAAATTCATGAAATTAATCTAAAAAAAATATTTTTTTGTCATTGAAAAAAATTGTCAATAGAGCGCACAATACAGTCTTAAATTGACTAATTTTTTTCATCAATTAATTTTTTTAATTATTTTTTTCAGTTTTCATAGCGCCTATCATCCATTTCAATTTTTCAAAAACTTCAAAATCAAAAAAATAATACCTGGCACTTTGAGATGGCGTGTTATCAGTTCGCGAGCCGTAGGTTCTTATCTTTAAAAAGTCAATTTGAAAGTTCTCAAAAAAATGAGGTTTTTTGAAACCCTAAATACTCTTCTCGGAAAATTAAAAGCATCCTTGGAAAAAAAAATGATTCGATAAGTTTAAAAACTATGAAAACAGTGCATACAGTTTTTAAAAAAAGCCTTTTGTTTTTTTGGTTCGAAATTTCCTAACTTTTGAAAAAAATATTTTTCATTTTTTTGCAAAAAAATCGCTTCGTGAAGCATACCTGCGTGTTTCCATTCATTGCGGGGTCGATCCGCCTGAAAAAATTATTTTTTCAACAAAAGCAATCATTTTAAAAAAATATTGGCAGATCAAAAACGGGAGTTCAAGAACAAAAAATCCTTCAATGGAGCTTAAAATTGGGGCGGCATAGCTCAGCTGGCATAACTCATTTCTAACGTCCGCGAGGTCGTAGGTTCGAGTCCCCCCGAGGTCGACCAAGCCTTTCATCCCTCCGGGGTAGATAAAATTGGAAGCTGCATGCAGCGAAAAGGCTCAATCTCTGCCATCGGCCCTTGGAAAGCCGGCACCGTACTTCTTCCTACGACCTCTCTTGTACCTGATGTTCTACGAGCGAAATTCACAACTTCTCTGCCTAAGCCACAGCTCCTGCCGTCCTTTAAACACAGTTAAAATCAATGAAAGTCGATTGCACATGTATTCTTACATTGAAGATGCAATAAACAGTTTTTTTTAAACAGCTTAAAACAGCAATTTTAAATATCCATTGAAGACATGATCTTTCTGGAAAAAAATCGGTCGGTTTTTTTGAAAACTTTTTGAGATTTAAAAAAATTTTTTTAGTTCAAACTTATTTTTCTTATTCAAAATGCGTAGAACCCTTGACCTCGCTCAGTTCGAAAGTTTCAAAAAATCAAGCCAAATTGAGAAAAAAAATTCGTGTTTTTGAAAATTTAAATTTCGGAGAGGCAATTTTGCGGAAATCTTAATGTACCCTGCATGAAACGGCCTTAAAGTAACCCATTTTCAACCCCAAAAAAGCTCATAAAAATTACTTCAACTTCCTGTTTTCCTCTTTTAATTTGATGACCAAATTGACGAGCTCAATCTGGGGCATTTTCATGAATTCTTCTTGCCTGAAAATAAGAATGATATACATTTTTGGGACGCCAGAGTGGTCCTTAGAGGGGCAAAGTTAGGAGCTCTTGTAGGTTCCCCTTAAGAGATCAGTATACTTTCTTCTATAGGGGTCTTTAAATCTTGCAAAAGTGGTCGCTCTAGGGGTCTCTATACGTCTTTTTCACATTGAAAGCAGAGCAAAAAATCAAAAGACCCTATAGTGACCACTTGAGCTCCAGAGGGTTGACTATAGGGGCTTTTTTCTCTCTAACCCTTCTAGTGACCACTCTGGCGCTCTCAAAATCGGGAAAAACAAAGTATTAAAAAAGCGAGGCTTGTGCGCCCCACGGGCAATTTTCCTTTTTTGATGAATTTCAGAAAAAAAAACAAACTCTGCCGTCAAATTTTCCTTCTTCTCCGCGGCTTTTGGGTTCTGGGGAACTCTGGAAAAAGTTTAAAATGAAAATTTTTTTTTTGCTCTCAAAACCTGTAGACCAACTCGGTTTTCGGGAAAGTTTGGCTCGTTTCGGGCCTAAAATTAGATTTTTATTCAAAAAAAAAGTTTTGTGGAAACCTTGGCTGTCGTTCTGGCCCAAGGGTAGGAGCAGGAGCTTTCTGAGAGATAATGAAAAAAATTATATTTTTTTATGACATGAGGATTTTTTATAGAAATTTGATAGAATCAAGCCAAAAAGTTTCCTTTTTTCACTGAAAAGTTAATTTTTTTCTGTCCCCAAAAAAACAACTGGGAAACTTCTAGTGGCCACTTCAGGGTTTTGACGTTTCAGTGGCCACTATAGTAGTCGAATTAGGGTCCACTTAAGTGGTTAAAAGTTAATGGCCTCTTTAGAAGTCTAAGAGATCCTCCTAGACCACTAAAACTACTATAGTGGTCCCTTAGACGCAAAGAAGTCTAAAGAGCTGGTTTCAGTGGCCCCTTTAGTGTCCTCTCCAAGTAGTTCTTAAGGAACCTTTTAAGTGGCCACTAGAGATTTTTCTCGAAACAGAAAGGGATGAAGAAGTGACATACTTTCCGGAAAAAGCGATTGTCGTCCTGAGGGATGAAAGAGAAACGCGCATTGACGCCTTCATCCTTGGCAAATTCGGAAAGAAGGTCTTTGTCGCCAGTAGTGAGCTGAAACGGGAAAAGTCGGTAGTTTTGGGCATTTTCGACTTTCTATCGGATATGAAATCGCAACGAAGGTCATTCTTCTCGAAAAATATGGATTTCGCTGATCAGAGTCATTTATAAGCTATGAACTAGGGTTGAAATCGATCCAGCTTATGAAATATAGCTCGGAGATTTCAGATTAAACTTTGGAACATCAGAGTGGTCCCTGGAGGGGTTAGGGTCTGAGCTCTAGGCCCCTAAAGCTTAAGCGGTCCCTATAGGGGTCTACAGTTTTTTTGTTGAGGAGTATGGGAACCAACAGCATGATCTCCTATAGAAAAACCATTTTTTTTTCAAGGGCCCTCAAGGTTGCTCCTCGAAGCAGCACTTTCGCGATGTCGCCAACGACATCGCTCTCTCTCAGCGCAACGCCTTTTGAAAAACGATTTTCAGAGTACGTGACCATTCCGAGAGAAATGCGAGGTAAAGCCGAAAAAATAGCGGTACATCAGCGATGTCGTCAATATACAGCGAGCGACATCGCGATTCAGAAAATAGTTTTTTAATACATGAAAATCGCGAACACGAGTCCGGCGCGGCAAAAAAGCGTTTAGCGATGTCGTCAATGTTCCTTTAGCGATATCGCTTTATCTCTCGCGGCAGGCTAGTTATCATTAATGTAACGGACAAAATTTGTGTTGAGAAACGTATTTTAATGTCAATTTTTCTCGGCTCTTTGAAGATTTTCAAAAAAATTTGAGAATGAGAAAAACGCGGGTCTGGCGCGACGACAAGGCAGCATTTTTGCGATGTCGTCGACGCTAGCGATATCGCCTTTCCATCGGCGCAATATCGCAGGAAAATATTTTTTGATGCTTGAAAAAGCGGGAAAAACGCGAGTCCGGCGACAAAGCACTTTTGCGATGCCGTCAATGTTACTTTAGCGATATCGCTTTTCTCCTGCGCCGGACTAGTTACCAATTGTGTACAGAAAAACTTTTGTGTTGAGAACGATATTCCCATTTGCATTTTTCACATCGCTTTGTAGGTTTTCAAAAATTTTTGAGAATGAGAAAAACGCGGGTCTGGCGCGACGACAAGGCAGCATTTTTGCGATGTCGCCAATGTACCGCCGCGACATCGCATTTTCGGAAAACACTTTTTTTAGTGCATGAAAATTGCGCGTCCGGCGCGGCAACAAAGCGTTTAGCGATGTCGCCAATGTACGCGACATCGCTTTGCTCTCGCGCCAGAGTTTAGGAAAACTTTCTCGTTGATGAAGTGCATTTTTTTTCTTTCGAACTCACGTTTCTGATGGCGGACCTGTCGCCGTCAGTCAGTTTCCAGCCGAGAACTTTTTCGATGGCCTCGAAAAGGACCCTGAGCGGCGACAAGAAGCTTGGAGTGTTTGACGCGATTTCGCTAAATTTGGAATTATTCTTGAGTTTCAAATAATCCCGGCAAACTTCAGGAAGGGCTTCAGCTTTTCGGCGAATTTTCGAATTTCCTGTTTCTTATCACCTTGTTCCATTATCTGGGCCCGGGAAATCTGGAATTTTTGAGGAATAAGGAAAACTTTGAAATGAAAAAAATAAAATATAAAGAAAAAAATAGGAGAAAAAAAGAAAAAAATTTTATAGAACAAAAAGGACACATTATTCCAAAAAAATCTTGTTCAAAAATGCCCAAAAACGGACCAATTTCACTCCTTTTTCTGCTTTAAATTGCTACACAAACATGAAAAATCTCCTGAAAAAAATTACATCAAAATAAAAAAATCAACCTTTTTCAAAGCCCAAATATTCAGAAGTCGTTTCAGCCTTTTTCCTGTAAGGAAAAAAATTTATTTTCTGAAATTCTATCAAAAAAATACCAATGGGTCGCTGGCAACTGCAGACTTGATTTCGACCGGTTTCTCATTTTTCTGGAAAAAAAAAATGTTTTTTTTCCAAGAAAGTTAGAAAAAGGAGCGATAAGAACTTTGAAACCCTTAGAAACGCTAGAGTGGTCCCTAAAGGAGTAGGAGGGAAAAAAACCCCTGTAGAGAAGGCAAAATAGTGATCAGAGGGCTTAAGTGGTCACTATAGGGGTTTAGAATCTGACCTCTCGGCGGCGGAAGCTTGAGCGGTCACTATAGGGGTCTGTATGTTTTTTTCGTTTTAATTTGAATTTTTTTCTTTTTCTTTTTGGACTTCATAACAATAAACGGCTAGCAAGTTCCCTAGAGTGGCCACTTTTGCAAGCTTCAGTGCCCCTTATAGTGAACAAAATAGTGCTCCCTAGAGGGCTAACATTTAAGTTTTCACTATAGGGGTTATAGGTCTGACATCTGAACCCCCTAAAGGCTGAGGGGTCCCTATAGGGTCATTCAACTTCTGGTTAAATTTTGCTTAGTTAAACGGACGTTTAGGGACCACTAGTATGCTCCCCTAGAGTGGCCACTTTTGCGAGCTCCAGCGCCTCTTTTAGGGGAGGTAAAGTGGTCCATAGAGGGGCTAGGAAAAACAGGGACCACTAGTAAGCTCCTCTAATGTGGCCCCTATCTAAAACCCCTGGATTCACCACTTCTGCAAGTTCTAGCGCCCCTATAGGGGGAGATAAAGTGATCCCTAAAGTGTAATTTTCAAAAACCCCTCTAGTGACCGCTCAATTTTCTATCAAATCTCCTCATTATTTCCATAAATCCGGTAAAACAAACCTTTTTCGGCTCGAATCCAGCGGGTTTTTCGTCAATTTTGAGCCCATTCGGCTTAAAATAAACGTTTGAGAGAATTAAAAAAAAATTTACCTTTTCATTTCTGGCAGGCAATCTGGCCGAAAAGTCCTGGGTTTCGGTTTTTGGACATAATTTTTCGGTTCAGTCTTTGACTAAAATAAATAAATTTTTTTGGGTTCTTTTTCAAAAAAATTCAGCCTTTCTACTGTGGCTCTATAATACTCAAAGAGTAAAAAAAAAATTTTTTTTTTGGAGCGCAGAAATTTTTTCAAGCCATTCCCTTTCCGCCAGGTTACGGTAGGATACCTGCGCATCTAAGAATTTTGCCTTTTTTTCTAGGCATATTGTATATCGATCGACAGGTAATGCAATTTAGAATTTCTTATAGTTAATACTGTCTTGGGTTACTGTAGAAAATTTTCGAGATACGGTACTTTTGCTCAGTCAAAAAAATGAAGCTAAAGATGGGAAAATTCTGGGATTTCCGTCCGGAAAAGATACTTGAGCTATTTTCCATCAATTTTTTGACGAATTATTTTTCAATAAAAATTTTTTATCTAGAAAAAAAGCCTACCACGTCATTTACCACAACGTTCAGAGCATGCCGGTTGGACTTTTCGGGCGAGCCCAGGTATCCCAAACATCCCAAAACAAGGGGCTTGCTGCTCTGTAAATACGGACAGGATGGTTCAAAATTGTTGTTTTACAATTCTTCACATGATATTTAAACACATTTATAATCACCTAAAGCCTTTTAGAATCTTCAAAATTTAGCTTTCGTTCAAAATTTTACCATTTTACCTTGGTTGAATTTCAAAATATCCATGTCAAGCTTGAAGTTGGAACCTTGCTTCTTGTGAAAATGGTTCGAAATCTCATATTTCGAAGCTCAGTTTTCAAGAAAAATAGCTTGAAATTCGGTCTAATTAAAAAAAATTCAGTTTTTGGACTTTGCTTTTTGTGAAAAATGGTTTGAAACCCAATAGTTGAATTTTTGGTTTTCAAAAAACTGGTTTAGGTATTCATTATTTTATATTTGGAAGCTTACCTTTTAAAGAAAATTTTTTTAAAAATTGAATTTGAAATTTTCACGGAAACGTGAAAAATCTTGTCGTAGAATAAAATGTATATTGTGCAATACACTCAATTTTTTTTATGCTTATTACTCGAAAAAAAAAATCACAAAAACGTGGAAAAAAACGTGAAAAAAATCTTGTCGTAGAATAAAATGCATTCTGTGTACTACACCCACTCTGCTTCACGTACTTCCTCCTACAGTACCCCAAAAAAATCACAAAAAAATAGTTTTTTTTTTCCGCAGAAACCTGCAAAAATACTGTCGTAGAACAAAATGCATTTTTGTGCACTACACTCAATTTTTTTATGCTTATTACTCGAAAAATCACAAAAAAACGTGGAAAAAAAACGTGAAAAAAATCTTGTCGTAGAATAAAATGCATTCTGTGTACTACACCCACTCTGCTTCACGTACTTCCTCCTACAGTACCCCAAAAATCACAAAAAAATAGTTTTTTCCCGCAGAAACCTGCAAAAAAATACTGTCGTAGAACAAAAATGCATTTTGTGCACTACACTCAATTTTTTTATGCTTATTACTCAAAAACAAAAAAATCACAAAAAAACGTGGAAAACAAAACGTGAAAAAAATCTTGTCGTAGAATAAAATGCATTCTGTGTACTACACCCACTCTGCTTCACGTACTTCCTCCTACAGTACCCCAAAAATCACAAAAATAGTTTTTTTTTCCCGCAGAAACCTGCAAAAATACTGTCGTAGAACAAAATGCATTTTGTGCACTACACTCAATTTTTTTTTATGCTCATTACTCAAAACAAAAAATCACAAAAACGTGGAAACAAACGTGAAAAAAATCTTGTCGTAGAATAAAATGCATTCTGTGTACTACACCCACTCTGCTTCACGTACTTCCTCCTACAGTACCCCAAAAATCACAAAAATAGTTTTTTTTTCCCGCAGAAACCTGCAAAAATACTGTCGTAGAACAAAATGCATTTTGTGCACTACACTCAATTTTTTTTTATGCTCATTACTCAAAACAAAAAATCACAAAAACGTGGAAAAAAACGTGAAAAAAATCTTGTCGTAGAATAAAATGCATTCTGTGTACTACACCCACTCTGCTTCACGTACTTCCTCCTACAGTACCCCAAAAATCACAAAAATAGTTTTTTTTTCCCGCAGAAACCTGCAAAAATACTGTCGTAGAACAAAATGCATTTTGTGCACTACACTCAATTTTTTTTATGCTTATTACTCGAAAAAAAAAATCACAAAAACGTGGAAAAAAACGTGAAAAAAATCTTGTCGTAGAATAAAATGCATTCTGTGTACTACACCCACTCTGCTTCACGTACTTCCTCCTACAGTACCCCAAAAATCACAAAAATAGTTTTTTTTTTCCGCAGAAACCTGCAAAAATACTGTCGTAGAACAAAATGCATTTTGTGCACTACACTCAATTTTTTTTTATGCTCATTACTCAAAACAAAAAATCACAAAAACGTGGAAACAAACGTGAAAAAAATTTTTGTCGTGGGATAAAATGCATTCTGTGAACTACACATCACGTACTTTCCTCCTACAGTACCTTAAAAATTCAAAAATTATTTTTTCACTCACCGAGTCCTTTCTGTCTTTTCTATTGATCGTCTTGTGGATTCCTGCGCCTTTGGAGTATTTTTCGACGACTTCGTCTTGTTTTTTCTCAAGCCGGACCGTTTTTAGGCCCGCCTCGTCGGGATTGGTTATGATGTTCTGAAACTATTTTCTATCGCTTTTTGACCATTTTTGCGTCTTAATAAAGCCAAAAACTATCAAAATTTTTGCCTTATTTTCCAAAAATCCTCATTCCTTTCCCTACACTTTAGACTCACTGAATCGTACGAAAAATCATCTTTTTTTTTTTGGAACCCTACCTTGGGCTTCAACTCGGGCTCAATTTTCGTCTCAGGCTCGGGCTCGAGCTCGGGCTCATTCTCGACCACAACGTAACTTTCGAGCTCATCGATTGAGCCGATTTGTGAGACTGAAAAATGTCCTTTTTTTTTAGTTTTGAGTTCAAAAATCGAAAAGAATAAACAAGAAGTGGATAAAAAGTATGAAATCTGTGAGACGTGCACCTTTGAAGTGGGAAATTCAGCTAGACTTGGCAAAAACATATTTTAAAAAAAATCAAAAATTCATTTCGTAAACTTCAAAGTTTATTAAACGAATTCGATGACAAAAAAAGAATTTTTCTGGGACTTGGCTGTCGCTGGTCTCGCCGGTCTCCTATGTATGGTGTTGACCTTACAAATTGATGAAAATTACATAAATGAAGCCCCGTTTCAGGGAGAAACTCACCTAGAACTCGCAAGAAGCTAAAAAAAATGGATTTCGTCCTTTTTTCAAGTTCTTTATCTTATCCCAATAAGCCCAAAAAGTTCAAAGCTGAATTTAAAACTTGTTAAAATAAGCCCAAAAAAATTTACAAAATATTACCCTAAAAAAATTCATAAAAAAATACTTTTTCAGTAAAATTTAAAACTTGATTAAAATTCAAATAATAAACTTTTTTTATTCAAGTTATTTTTCTTGTCCGAAAAAGTTCAAAACTTCAAAATGAAGGCCTAAAATATGATAAAAATGAGAAAATGTTCGAATTTTGTCAAAGAATCAGTACAGTTTCAAGAAAAATGGGTCTCGAAACGATGATCAATGGAAGAGAACTACAGTATCTATCGCAACTTTATTCTACGAATTTTCCCGTAATGAAGACCAACCCAGACGATTCCTCTTCTTTTTGTCTTCATTTTTCTTCGGCTTGGTCGATTTTGAATCTTTTCCTTTCGATTCCGGGATCTTTTCTTTAGTCGATTGATTGCAGAGAAGAGGCTTCAAAATGAAAAATCAGTTGCGGACGTTTGTAAAATGCGGACCTTTCCCTCGGATCCATCGGCATGAAGATCCGTGATGCGGTCCAAAGGTGCTTCACAGCCGTCGGTGGGACAAATCGCGTCCTGGAGATTTTTGAAAGTGGTTTTTCTTATTCGATCCGTAAAAAAGTGATTTTTAGACTAATAAAGGTGAAAATGAGAGTGAAGGCAATATGAAGAGGCGGCAGAGAAACGAGAAATCCTCTCGTTGTCTGTTGTCTCTTCAGCTCAAAGTTTTCTATCAAATTTTTTTTCAAATTCAGGATCCTTACTCCCAAGAAAGCATGTAAAATATTCCTGAAAAAAGTTTTTTTTTCAAATTTTTGAAATTAAGTTTATAAGGCTCCCCTAAAGAGGTCCCTCACTGAAACTCCTATGAAGAGTCCCTTTTTCGAACTCCACTGGGGGAATTTATAGTGGCCACAATAGGGACTACTTGAAATGGACACTAAAGTGGCCACTATTTTTCGTTTTTGTGGCCACTTCAGTAGTTTTACATCCAGTATTCCTTCCAGTAACTCTGATAATTATAAAACAAACAGATTGGACCAATTATGTTGATTCATTGACCCCTAAAGTGGCCACTAAAATTTTTAGTGGTCTAATAAGAGCACTTAGACCTCCATAGTTGCCAATAATTTGACTACTATAGTGGCCACTAAAACGTCAAAACCCTATAGTGGCCACTAAAAATTCTCCAAGCAGTAGCCCTCATAGGGGGAGGTAAGGTGGTCCCTAAAGGGGCCGAAGATTTCTAGAGTCGCCCCTCTAGGGACCGCTCTGAAACCGATAGGGCGAATTTGCACCCAATTTTTTTTTCGACCGTTTTCTACGGATTTCCTGTCATACAGTTCTCCAAACTATGGAATAAGTCAAAAAATCACTTTGAACTCCTTCTTTCGGGTCAAATTTTGAACTGCCATCGCATTGGTCATGCATGACCTGTGGATGATCATTGTACAAGGCGGGCGACCTTGACATGAAACCTAAAAATATATTTCTTCACTTTATAAATTTTCCTATTTTCGAGCACCTTCGAAAAACCGGCCTCTAAAGTGTCCAAACTCAAGCAAATGGAGCATTTTTCGCGAATCGGCTCAAAAACGACGGTTTTCACTTCAACTTGGGGCTCTTCTGGTTCGATTACACTGAAAAAATAAATTGAAATGTGAAAACTTCGAAATTCTTCCTTTGTAAGGATAAATGGTTCTTATTTGACTATAGTCGATTCACGGCTAGCTCGAAACGAAAAGGGGCGTGGCCTAGTCAACCTTCTTTTTTTTTTAAACGTGTCAGGACTCTTTTTTTGAAGCCAGCTGTGGAGCCGCTACAGCTCGAGAAGAAAAGGGGCGTGGCCTAGGCACTCTTTTTTTTTAAAACGTGTCAGGACCCTTTTTTTGAAGCCAGCTGTGGAGCCGCTACAGCTCGAGAAGAAAAGGGGCGTGGCCTAGGCACTCTTCTTTTTTTTTGAATCGTGTCAGGACCCTTTTTTTGAAGCCAGCTGTAGAGCCGCTACAGCTCGAGAAGAAAAGGGGCGTGGCCTAGTCAACCTTCTTTTTTTTAAACGTGTCAGGACCGTTTTTTGAAACCAGCTGTGGAGTCGCTACAGCTTGACTGAAAGGAAAAAGGGCGTGGCCTGTCTGGGCCCTCCACCAAGCAGGCACTATCTATTTTTTAAACGTGTCAGGACCCTTTTTTTGATGTCTCAAGCCAGCTGTGAATCAGCTATAGCTTGAGAAAAAAGGGGCGTGGCCTGTCTTGAGCTTGAGAGACTCAGGGATCAAACCCTAAACTCCTTTAGGGCCCACTAAAACTTTTTTTCGGAAACAGTTCATTATAAGTTTTTATTCCCTAGCCCCTCTAGTGACCCCTTTCGCGTTCTCAAGAAAGGCTTTCTCAAGATTACTGTAAAAATTCGTCTCAAGACTTCAAAAAATCACCTGCATTCTTCGAACGAGCTCTCGGAGGCCAATTTTTCAGGAGATTCACTTTGAGGGCTGAAAATTTGAATTTGTTTTTTGATCTACCTGCTCTAAATTACCTTGTTTCTGTCGAGGATCTAACGATTCTTTTGAAGGGTCTAAAAAAAGTTATACATTTTCCTACGGGAAAAAAATCACCTCTTTTTCGATTTTTTGTTGCGATAGCTCTGTTTTTTTCCGAGGTGGAGCTGAAAAATAAATGGGAAAAATCATTCAAAAAAATAGAAATGTTTAGACTTTTTTTCTTCGTTTTTTTAAAGCTAAATGATAATTTTTCTGGTTTTGAGTCTATAATCTTTTTGAAAATCGCTAATTTTTCGGGATATTTCTTTCGCTTCGTTCACTTTTTCTTCAGTTATTCGTTCTTTTCCCAAAAATTTTTTCAAAATTCTCTTTTTTTTCTCATTTTTCTCTAATGAATTCCTTTTCTATCATTGATTCCTAGTCTATTTTCAGATATTTCCGTTTTTTTTCTCATTTTTTTCCAGTCTTTTTTTCATTTTTTTAGGTTTTTTCCCTTCTTTTTCTAACTCTTTCTCTACCGGATTCCCCTTTTCTTCTTTTTTTAAACCTCCTCTGAGATCCTGACGAAGGAGACGATTCTTTCGGAGGCTGCCGACGAGTATTTTGGAAGTTCGACATTCTGAAAATTGATTTTTTTTTAATTAACAGAAAAAGATCCATCTTTTCTGTTGTTTTTTTCCCATTCTGGGTGTTCTAAAAACGTGTTTAATCTAATGCAAAAAAACTTGATGAGGTTTTTGTCACGATAATTCCCATAAAAATGACTATTTTGATGAAAATTTAATTTGCAAAGGCTACTTGTTTCAAATTTTCAAATGGATTTTTTTTTTGAGAAAATTTTCTGCAATTGATCCCACAAAGCTTCAAAAATGTCTTTTATGAGATATTTAATTTTGGAAATTTATCCCGTCTATTTCATCTTTTTAAATAAAATTATTGTCATTTATGATAATACACAAATATTTCAAAAAAATTCGGATTAAAAAAATTATTTATGCTCTTTTTACTATACTACATCGATCCACAAACTTCGACTCTTATCACCGCGCCCCTATTGCATTAAGCAGCGCCTTTGATTTTGATGAATCTTCATCCAGTGTGATAACCCATCATCAGAAATGCGGTCGCAGCTTTTTGAGCCATTCCCTCTTACTACGGTAGGCAGGTGGGCGCCTGCGTGTCTAAGTAGTGAAGAGTTTTTACTAGGCAAGTGATATATCAATCGATAGGCAATCCAATTTCAAGAACTTTTACAGTACATGCCATCTTGGGTTACTGTAGGAATTTTCGAGTTACGGTAATTTTTGTGTTTGGAAAGTCGGTTTTTCGGTCACCCTGGTTGTCGGCATAGAATCGCATCGTGATTACTTTCATGGAATATGTCTTGTAGTATGTTCTAACCAATGCCACAAAAAAAGTTCAAATTTCTAAACCTAACATCTCGAGATTTCACTCCGAACGCGCGCAACTTGGTTGGTCGTGGTTGACGAAATTTCACATTTTTCTTTGGTTAGATATTGGTGTAAAATCTTTTTAGATTATAACTACAGTATGTTTTGTAACATTCAAAGGGATTTGAAGAGACCTATAAGCTACATATTCGGCCGAAACTTCGTTTTGAACTGTATTTTGGTTTGAAAAAACGGGATTCGATGCTTAAAAGCAGCGCATTACTGCAATAAACCGCGCCCCTATTGCATTAAGCCACGCCTACTAACCCTATCTACTGTGCTTTCGAGACCCTCCCCTGGATTTTCAAAAAAATAAAAATGACCTCAAAGGAAGGCCGTGACGTCTTTTGACAAACCGTCTTGCTTTATGACCTTTTCCTCCGGGGATAGAAATATCACTCCTTGAAAAATTCAAAAGATTAATCAAAACTACAATTAAATCTAACCATTGGGAAAGGTAATGTCCAATTTGAGCTCTGAAAGAAAAAAAGTTTCATTTGGAATGAAATTTGCGAGATAAAAAACGAACGTCCTGTTAATTCCGTTTTCCATTTCCATTTCCCAGTCTTCTTTTTTGTTTCTCTTCCGAGGACTGAAATTTTGGTTCCGACCAGGGGAAGTGAACGACTCGGATTCTTTTTCCGTAGAGCCAAAAGTTCTGGAAAAAGAAATATGGTAAGTCCCGAAATTTCTGAATTTTTTTTTTGCAGAGGTCTCAGGGGAGCTTCTAGGTCTCAATTTTTTTGATTTACCTAAAAATTGACAATGTCAACGGATCTTTGAAAAAAAGGGCCATTTTGACCTCTAGAAATATTTCGAAAAAAACCGATTTTTAAATATATTTTTTTGATAGAAATCTCCAAAAAAACTTCTGAATTTCGATCACGATTTTTCAAAAAAATTCTAAAATTGACCTGCAAATTAACTGGATCATCGAATTGTTAGGAAAATGAAAAAGAATGGAATAAAGAGGGTCCTTGTGATCTACATTATAGTATTTGAAAAAAAGAAGTCTTAAAATGTTTGAGAATCTAAGACCTCACAGTGTGGCTGAAGATTCGGGTGCCGATTTTTGGAAAAATCCCAACATCGACCAAAAACAGACAGGATCATCGAATTTTTGAAAAAAATGAAATAAATCGAATGAAAAGGGCCTTTTTTTGACCTCTGTAATTATTTCGAAAAAAATAAAGCCGATTTTTATAATTTTTTTTTTCATAGAAATCTCTAAAAAAACTTCTGAAATTCGATCGAAATTTTGAAACAAGTCCAAAAATTGCCCTGAAAAATTGAATGGAGCAGAAATTTTTTTAGAAAATGGAAAAAAATGGAATGAAAAAAATCATTGTGACCTATTCCAAATTATTGAGAGAAAAAACCGATTTTTAAGATTTTTATTTCGAAAAGATCTCAATAATACTTTTGAACTTCGAACTTAATTTTTGAAAAAATCCAAAAATCCTAAGATCGATTTGGAATGTGACTGGATCATCAAATCTTTGAAAAGGGAGATTTAGACCTATCTTGAAGAAATTTAAAAAAACCGAACTTTTTGAATTTGTTCTCCATTATAAGTTTTTTTCCAACAGGATTTTTTTAGAAAAATCTTTTTCTAAAAAAATCAAAATAGTAATCTTATCCCACTCTATGGAACTAAAGCCGCGTTTCTTTTTTTGATTTATTCTATTTTTTTAAAACCAAAATTTTTGCTTTTAACAATCCGTAGATTGGAAAAAGAAATTTTTTTCTTTGAAATTGTAGAAAAAAAGCTTGGGAGAAAGTTTTTGCAAAAAAAGAAAGGAGCTTTTTTTATTTTTTTCAAAACCCTTAAAAAGGACCAGCAAGTCTCAAAAAAAATTCTAATTTTTTTCTCCGTCAAATCTCACCGGGACGGCTCCTGAGCTTCCACCATCTCCTTGAGAACCTGGGTCAGGTCATCTTTGAGCTTGGATTTTTGGGCGACTTCCTCCGGCGTCTCTCCTTCGACCTTGGTGTCCATCTGCTGGTGGAGGTCCTCAAGTTCCTAGGAAATGTACTGATGAATAAACTCTAGTGGCCACTTGTGTGGTTTTTCAAAGACTACTTGGAAAGGGCGTTAAAATGGCCAGGCTTGTGCGAGGGCCGGCCCGTCACCCTCCCCCCCCGACCATTTCATAAGCCCGGCCCGGCCTTAGAGGGGCCTCAAGAAAAAAATGACCCGCCCGGCCCGAAGCGCGCAATTTTTTTCTAGTCGGATATCAAGTTTTTTTACGACAAAAATTACGTTTTTGCTCATTTTTTTTCTCTTAAAGTTTAACAAAAACTATGATTTCAGAAGTAAAAGTCACATTTCGGTGGAAACTTTTCAAATGAAATTTTAAATTTTTTTTTAAGCCCGGCCCGGGCCGGGCCGCCCGGCCTGACGCACAAGCCTGAAAGTGGCCACTAGAGCCATCAATGTAGTAGTCACAGCAACTGTGCTCAACGGAAAAAAATTTAATGGATTACCATTTTTTTTTTCTGAGCTAGTAATAGTAAGGCGATTCAGCTCCCGTTTGGACTCGGAAAAAATTTAAAAATAAAAGGAAAAGGTCGAAGAGCAAGAGTGCTCTATGGAGAACATTTTTGGGGTGTGAATGTATTTTTTTTGGGACTTTTTGTTTTATCAGCGGACTTGAAGTTTTATCAAAAAAAGCCGTCTCGACCTGGAAAAAATTCTAAAAATGAAAGGAGAAGGGTCAACAGCAAGTGTGCTCCATGGATAACATTTTCTGGGTAAGAGTGTGGTTTTTTTTTCGAGCTTTGCAGGTGAAATTTAACTTCAAAAAAAGCCGTCTTGACCTGGAAAAAATTCTAAAAATGAAAATAAAAGGGTCAACAGCAAGTGTGCTCTGCGGAGAATAATTTCGAGACGGGATATTGAATTTTTTTTTTTTTTAAAGCTTTTTGACCCAATATTCGAAAAAATCATTGTTTTTCTCTGAAAATCTGGAAAAGATACCTTATCGACGGGTTCAGGTTGTGCGACAGTTGGTTCCAAGGCGGAAAGGGCCGCTTCTATTTCTTCTTCCTGCCTGAAATTGCGAAAAAATTGTTGAAAAAAAAAATTTGTTCGGTCAAAAAAATCCTTCTAACTAAAAAAACGCCTAAAAAAAGCGGTTCATGACGCAAATATCATCACAAAAAAATTTTTTTTCAATCTTTAAAAAAATTTGTAGCCATTTTTTTATCTTTCATCGACTTTTGATAAAAAAAATTAGCTTAAAATACTTTGACTAATGCCTGAAAAAGCGCAGAAAAATTTCGCGAATTCCCTAAAAATTTTTTTCTTTTTTTCTAAAAGTCGGTTCGAAAAAAATCAAGCTGAAGAAAAAGATTTCTTTTTGGAAAAAAAGTTTTTTTAAAACGCGAAAAATCTGCATCCATTTTTTTCATCATTTTATTTTTTTATTTCTAAATCAAAAAAAAGTAAATATAAATTTTACAAAAAAACCTAAAGAATCAAAAGCTGAGCCAAAAAAATTATGCAAATCCACAAAAAAATGCCTTTTTTTGCGCTGACGGGCCGACCCTGACTCAAGCCCGGGCTTGCCCTCAAAAGTTGACGAAAAATATTTAAATGAACAAATGAGAAAATTCGAAATAATTCTGATCGGCCATTAGCGTCGCCGTTTTTTGGCATTTTTGAATATTCCGCGTGGTACCGAGAATGGAGGAAATAGCGTTGGTTAGAGAAAGATAAAGGGCGGCATTCGGGAGGCTGTCGTGGAGCGCGGAATGACTCACGAATGGCGACGAAAACACAGAAAGATTGTCGAGAAAGTTGCCAAAATATATCTTTTTTATCAAATCTTGCGTCAATTTTGAAAAGGTCCGAAAAGAAGATTTTGAAAAAGACAAAAGCGAAAGAAAAATGGTTGGAAAAAGTCGCCGGACGGCACAAAAAAATCGTTTTTTTCTTTTTTTAAAAGATTCAAGCTAAACAAAATATGAAATAATCGATATTAAAAAAAATATGGATTTTTTTCAAACTTTTTCAGAAACGCTTCTAATAGTCAACTGTCATAATGGAAAGTCTAATAAATAACATTTCTAATGTCTAAATTGTTTGAATCATGTCTAAAATTCAGAAAATGAACCATTTTTAAAAAATTCGTGAAGTCTAAACTACATAAAACTGAGAAATTTTCCTGTATAACACTGGAAAAAAAAAGCTTAAAACAGTTCCTTGGAAAAAAATGATGAGAAATAACCTTTTTCTAGACTTTTTACTCAAAATTATCGCAAGAAAACGGAAAAAAATACATGGAATAAACTGAAAAACCTACTCTTCTTAATCAAAAATCTAAAATGAAGCTGGCAATGTATTTCAGAAGCTTACCGAAGAAAAATCGACAAAATGGCAATTACTAAAGAAATTAGCCAAATTGGCAGCCACGGAGTCATTGAGAAAAGCAGCCGGCTCGTAGAAAATACATTTCGAAACTGTTTTGTTTTGGGCAAAATGCATAGACTTAGACAAAAGAGAGAGGGATATAGGAAGCGCGTTTTTGAATAGACAAGAAGACAGAAAAGACGGTTCGCGTAGAGCCTCCTATAGAAATTTGGGAACACGTGCGTCCGACTTTTTGTCTTTTTTTCGTCGAAAATCTCAGGTTTGTGCCCTATGAAGTTTGAATTTGCCATCTTCAAAATTTGATGGAAAAAAAGACTAATGCATAAAAATGACAAAAAAACATTTTTAAAAAAATGGAAGAAGCTTTTTAATCAAAAAAACTACGATTTCAAAAGAAAAAAAGAGACATTTCTGATTTTTTTGAGCAATAAAATCATTGATTTAAAAAAAGTGGAAATTTTTCATCATATTTTTCGTTATTCATTTTTTTATAAAAAGTTTAGAAAAAAATCCTAAAACAATGAAAAAAATACACAATAAAACAACGAAATTACCGACATTTTAAAATTTTTAAAAAAAGCACGATTTTTTTCAGAAGTTTTTTTCAACGATGGAATTTTTCGTAGCAATTCTAATATTTTTGCCGAAAAAAACCTAATCAGTAGTTATGAAATCTGAACGTCTGAACAAAAATGGTTCAAGGGTTTTTTTAAAAAAATTAATTACCCCTGTATCAATAAGAGAAGATAAACTCAAAAAAATCCGCACATTTTCATGCAAACGGCATCAAAGCAAACTAACTTCTGATAAAAGATATTGAAAATAAACTAACAATACATCAATAACAAAAAAAAAACAAAAAAAAACAAATTATGAATAACTCGCGTGACGGGAGTTTTGAGTGCATACACACTGCGTACAGCCGAGTTATAGTATCGATCGGGAGAATTTTTTATTTCCAAATTATTTCTTTATTGTTTCCTTTTCCTTTTTCTTTTTACTAAAATTATTCTAATTAGTCAACTTTTACCTGATTTTGGCACGGATAAGGGCTGTCACTTTGGGGGCTGAGAAGCCTTCTGTCTGTAAGAAGTTAGTTTGAATATTGGGATAGTTTTACAAATCATTGTGAGCTTCTAAGCCCAAAATTTCATTTGTTTCACAGTTTTACCGGCTTTTTAACTAACTAGAGAGAAGAACATGTAAATTGAAAAAATGTGAAAAAAAGCGCAGAAGCGACTTTTTTTTGATACTGTTTTTGAGGAAAGTAAGCTCCGGATTTCGAAATATTTGCTCGGAATTTTCGAACCAAGGACTTCTGTATATCGTTTGTATAAGGAATATGTTAAAAATTCGAAAAGAAAAAACCTTTTGAGCCTTTCTGATAATGTGATCAAGCTGTTTTGCGTCGAACCCCAACGATTTCGTCACCCGGAACATTTCCGCGGCTTGTGCCTTTACTTGTGCGAAAATCGCGGGATTTTTCCGAATTGCAAATTTCAAGGCTTCTTTCTGGAGCGAACTTTTATCGATCATCTGATTTTCTTGCCCTTTCTCCGAGGCCACATAAGACGATCCCAGGAACTCATCACATTCCTTAACAATAATCATTTTTTAAATTCAAGGTTGATTGTGAATAAAAACGTGTAAAAAATGACATTCGATTTTGATCTTTTCGGAACGTGAAAATAATCATTGAATCTCAGAAAATCGTCACCTGAAGAGGTCCAGTAGATTTCCATTCCCAACGTTCCGGGTACAGTTGCATCGCCACAAACTTCATGTTGAGATATTTGAAACGAGCTGAAAAATGATGAATAGTTCCTTTTTCCAACAGTTTCGAGGCTATCGAAACCTTATATGAGTAAAAATTGGATAAAACATAATGTTTTCTCCAATGAGAAACGTCTCTCATTGGCTAGCCACGCCCCTTTTTCCGTTTTTAGGCTATCAGATCTTTGGAGAGCTTGAAAAGCAAAAGTAATCAAGCTAAAAAAGTTCGCTCCATTGATAAAAGTCTTCCATTGGCTAGCCACGCCCCTTTTCTGGCAATTACAAGGCTTCGAAAAAATTTTTTATTCGAAAGAAGTTCACGATTATTTTTTTTCTCTTTAGATTTTTGGTCTGGAAAAGTTAACGACGAACTAGCGACAATGGAAGGGTCTGGAATGTAGAAATGTGGTTCAGTTTCAGAATCAGGAAACGTTTCCGCTTCAGGAAATTCGAGCGGACTCCAAGGGACCTGAAGAAAAAATACGTGAGAAAAAATTTTTCGCGTAAAATCCGCTGTTTGCGTACCAGACACCTCAATAGGCGACAATTTTTAATTTTCGTAATTTTTCTCATTGAGAAGTTCAGCGTTTTTTTTTTCAACTAGTTTCCTTTCAACATTTTTTTTTTGATGATGAGAGAAAAGAAGGTGTAGACAAGCCAAAATTTTCGGTCATGATGAAGAAAATTTTTTAATTTTTCGCGTCAAATGTGCTGTTTGCGTACCAAACGTTTCAATCTACGAACACTTCAATTTGGTCTTAATTTTTTGACCGGTTTTGAGAAATAGTTTTTTTTTCAACGAAACTACAAAAACTGCGGAAAGGATGTAGAAAAAAGTGACTTGCGATTTTTCTTACAGTCTGCTGTTTGCGTACCAGAAATCTCATTTGACGACAACTTCAATTTTCAAAGACTCACCAGGAAAAAGTTCTTCACCGACGTTGTACCTCGTCTCTCATCGGGCGCCTTTTGCGTATCCTAGAAATATATTTGTTTTCAAGATCGTTTTTTGGATTTCCTACTCTTAGCATTATAATGAGAACGTTTTCAGTTATCCCGTGAATTTCGTCGGTCCATTTGAAGTCAACATTTTCGAGGAATTTCTGGTCAAGGTACGGTTCGCACCATCTCTGCAAAATACTCTTTCATAGAAAACGTTTTTCGAAGCATCTTTTGTTAATTTTATTTTTTTATTGAATTTATTTTTAAAAAAAATAATTTTTTTCCAAAAAAATATTCATGGAGCACACAAGATCGAATCATTTGCAGTTATTTTTCTACGATTGTCAAATTTTAAACCCTCTAATAATTTTTAAATACTTATTAGCTAACTAATTTCGAATCGTTCATGAAGCAGTAAACTCAAGGAAAGTTATCCAAATCCGCAAAATTTCAGTAAAAAAACCACTCACGTATCGATCTGATGAAAAAAATCGATTACGGATGGCTCCTATAAACAAATTTTTTTTATTATCCAAAGAAACTAGAATAAATGAAGACTTACTTGGTCCATTCGGCTTTTTTTGAATTTTTCTTTCAGAGTTCGGAGAATTTCCAGAATTTGCAAGTAAAAAGAATGCTGAAAAAATGCTGAGCAACGTTTTAAAGAATATAAAAAAGGGTTCAAAAAAGATTTTTACGGTTTTTAATACAACAGAATGCATTTTCAAGCTGAAGAAAGCCAGAGAAAATTCAAGCAGGTTATTAAAGGAGCATGAGAAAAATTAATATAGGTCTCGGAACGAAAAGCCTTTTTCAGAGTTATTTCAGATAAATCTATATATTTACGGCTTGAAGCAAAAAAGCAAGATTTTTTGAACTGAAAAAAATGAAGGAAAACTCAAGAAGATTTTTAAAGGCGCATGAGCAAAATTGATGAAGGTCTCAGAACGAAGAGCCGTTTCCGGGCTTTTTCACAGTTCATTAAGCCTACTTCACCTTGAATAGTAAAACAAATAAGAGAAAGCTTTAAAAAAATAATATCAAGAAAGATTTTGAACTGAAAAAAATGAAAAAAAAAATTCAAAAGGTTATTAAAGGCGCATGAGCGATGTTAATAGAGGTCTCAGAACGAAGAGCTTTTTCGGAGGTTATTTTCATTTTATGATACCTACTGCATCTTGAAAAAATGAAATATATAAGAAACAACAAAAATGAAGAATGAACGAGGAATTTAGAACAGGAAAAAATGAAAAAAAAAATTTTAAAAAAGGTTATTAAAGGCGCATGAGCGAAATTGATAAAGGTCTTAAAAAGAAGAGCCGTTTTAAAGGTTTATTTTCAGTTTATTGAGCCTACTTCACTTCAGAAAGTAATAAAAAAAGTATAATAAATCTAAAAAAAATAAAGAATGAACAAGGATTTCGAACTGAACAGAATGGAAAAGGCGAATTCAAATCGATGAGATTCTCAAAACGGCGAGCCCAGGCGAAACTAAAAAAGGGTGGCCGACCAGAAGCCGCGTCTTGTGAAGAGACGCAGACAGTGGAGAGGGAAAAAAAGAAAAACTGTCGGGGCAACTTTCCTGCGTGCCCTGAAAGCTTTCTAAGTGATTTCAAAGCTTCGTACAGTTTTAATTTAATTTTTCCTTGGCCTGGGAAAAATGAGGACAACAAAACGTGTGGGTGTAATTGGATTTGGGAGAAGAGTGGGACGAAATCTTTTATTTTCCTTTGCAAAAAAGAAATCTGGTAGAAAGTCCGGAAAATTCGGCACGATTTCGAAATGTTTGGTCGCACTGGGAATGGCTCAATGCGCCGGACCAAGAAGCGATTTACGCCTGATGTCATTTGAAAGCTCAAATCTTATATTTGTTATCCAATAAAAACACGGTAGAGAGAGTGAGAAAATTCGATCCATTTTTTTAAACTTTTGGTCGCGCTTGGAATGGCTCAAGAGCTGCAGAGCGGTCACTTAATGATGCACCGGACCAGGAGTGACTTACGCCTGACAACACATCTGGTTGCACTGGGAATGGCTCAACACGCCGCGGTTGCAGAAATGTTCCTCTATAAGCGCGCCGGACCAGAAGCGATTCACGCTTCATGGCATTGAAAATCTCAATTTTTTTAAAAATCCAATCAGTTACATGGTAGAGAGGCTAAGAAAACCTACCCCGATTTTGAAAAGTTTTGGTCGCACTGGGAATGGCTCTATGCGCCGCGGCTACAGAGCGGTCACTCTAAAAGTGCGCCGGACCGAAAACCGACTTACGCCTGATGGCAATGAAAATCCCTAATTTTTTCCAAACAAGTCAAATAAAAAAACACGGTGGAAAGACTGAAAAAATTCAGCCCGTTTTTTCAAACTTTCGGTCGCACTGGGAATGGCTCAAAGCGTCGCGCATCGCAACCGCAACGCATAAAGCCATTCCAAATGCGGCAAAGCTTTGAATTAGAATCGATTTTAAGGGTTTAAAAACGATGAAGAGTTAGTAAAACAGAATTTTACTTCCAAAAAAAACGTCTGAATCATCGGAATATTTTTCTCATTTTTTTAATCAAAACTTGGAGAAAAAAAGCATTCAACTGGAAAAATTGCAAATCTCCGGGAAGGAATCTTCCCTGTTGCTAAGGAACCCGTTGATGATTTTTCATTATCGACACTTTTTATTTTCTATAAACTTAATGAGGACTAATTCAAATGAAAGGTTGACGATGTCCTAATTGGACCTCCTGATTGGGAAAATGCGGATTTAAAGTTGGGATTCATGAGAAATTCTTTGAAAATTTTGATCTGAAATGAAAAATGTACTGAGCAAAAAGAGGCTAAAAAGTGAAAAATAAAATTTTTTAATGAAAAAATCTTTGAAAATTTTTTTAACCTAAATTTCAACAGAAGCTACTACACTAAAAAGAAAAAAAGACGGCTGAAAATTGAAAGAAAATTTTTTTTCTTAAAAAAATCGGATCTTTTGAGCCTTTCTAGTGAATTTTTTTCAGAAAAAAATTAAATCGTAAATTTTTTTCTTTACCTGAATTTCAATAGAAACCATTGCACTAGAAAAAAATATTTTTTTCACCCAGTTTTTCTACAGAAACTGCTTCACTAAGAAAAAAACAGCTTAAAAAGGAGAAAAAAAATTTTTTTGTTTTTGAATAAATCGGATCATTTTGAGCTTCACAAAAATACTTTTTTTCAAAAAAAGTTGTGAAAAATTTTTTTAACCTGAATTTCAACAGAAACCATTGCTCTAGAAAAGAAAAAAAGACGGCTAAAAAAATTGAAAAAAAGTGTTTTTTTATGAAAAAAATCGGATCTTTTGAGCCTTTCTAGTAAATTTTTTTCAGAAAAAAATTAAATCGTAAAAATATTTTTTTCACCCAGTTTTTCTACAGAAACTGCTTCACTAAGAAAAAAACAGCTTAAAAAAAGGAAAAAAAATGTTTTTTTGTTTTTGAATAAATCGGATCATTTTGAGCTCCACAAAATACTTTTTTTCAAAAAAAGTTGTGAAAAATTTTTTTAAACTTAATTTTTCTACAGAAACTACTGAACTAATAAGAAAAAAAGACGGCTGAAGATTGAAAAAAAGGGTTTTTTTTTTCTAGTGAATTTTTCAGAAAAACAAAATCGTACATTTTTTTCTACCTGAATTTCAATAGAACATACTGCACTAAAAAAAGAAAAAAAGAAGGCTGAAAATTGAGAAAAAAAGTGTTTTTTTATGAAATATTTGGATCATTTCGAGACTTTTTTTAGTGAAATTTTCAAAAAAATATCGTGAAATTTTTTTCTTTACCTGAATTTCAACAGAAACTACTGCACTAAAAAAAGAAAAAAAAGACGGCTGAAAATTGAAAGAAAAATTTTTTTCTTAAAAAAATCGGATCTTTTGAGCCTTTCTATTGAAATTTTTCAGAAAAAAATTGCGTAAAATTGGAAAAAAAGTCCTCAAATATTATGATTAAACTTTTTTTCGGTGATTCCAGGAAAATAGCGTGTAAAAAAATAAGAGGTTCAGACTTCGGGAAATCAAAAAAATCGGCACCGGTTTGAAATCGATGAGATCTTGGGAAGGAAGCGAGCACAACTGAAACAGAAAAGGGGCGTGGAAAGGAGAAGCCTCCTTCCCGGAAGAGACGCAGACGGTTAGAGCGAGAAAAAAACAGTCGCCGTTGGGGCGACCTTTCTTCATGTTCATTTTGGGAGGGGTTTGAGATTCTCGGTTTTTTTCGGATCAAAGGACCAGGGGGAGGGGGGAGAACAAAAATGATGAGAAACTTGGGGGTGCCCTTAAATTTATAAAAAAAGCGGGAAAAAAAGTCTTTCACTTTAAATTTCCAGAAAAAAATAAACCTACCTTGAAAAAAAATAAGCTCAAAGCGTCACGGTTGCATAGCGGTCACTCTAAAAGTGCGCCGGACCAGAAGCGACTTACGCCTGATGACATTAAAAACCTCAAATTTTTTTAAAAAAACAAATCAAAAAAACATGGAAAAAAAGCTATGAAAATCTACCAGAAAAAAATTTTTGGCGCTGGAAATTTTTTTCAAAATTCGAGAACTAAATTAATGGCGATAATACGTTTGATGGAAGATAAGAAGCAATAGTCGATGAAAAAACTTATCAGTCGGAAAATGACTGGGAAAAAGTCAATAAAGGGGTCACAACAGCCCTTCAGAAAAAAATCATTGTCAAAAAAAATTGATTTGAAAACGTTTTTCAGTGCTTTTTTTATAACAGGAAGATTTTTAGAAAAATCGAAAATTTCAAAAACCTAATCACTTAAACGACGGCTAAATGTAGGGCCAACAGACCAAAAATTTCAAAAAAAATTCAATTTTTTTGGAAAAATAAAATGAAAAAAAGTGATTTCAAGAGCATACAATATCCCTTTTAAAAAAAGTTTAAAAATATAAATTTCAAGTTTAAAAAAATTGATTTTGATACTTCTGCAGATCATATTTGGAAGATTTTTAAAAATAATTTTTAAAAAAATGAATTTTTTTAAATTGAACTTTCTCAAAAAAATAGTGAAATTTAAAAATTCGAAAAAAATCGCTCTGAAAAATTTTTTAGAAGTTTTTTTATAACTGAAAAAGTGCAAATAATCGAAAAAAAATTGAGATTTTTTTGAAAAAGTGAAATTTTTATACCTCTTAACTTAAATTTTTAAAATCAATAAATGAAAAAAATGCTTTAAATCAACCGAAATTTTTAATTTTTAATACATGCTTCCAAGTATGAAATCCTTTAAAAAAACCGCTCATTTCCAGAATAAAGCTAAAAATAATAATTTTTTTCTCAAGAGTAAAAAAATTGAAAAAAAGATGTAGACAACACGCCATTCCCATTTATTTTTATTCGTTTTTCTCGTACAACACGCGATTTTTTTTTTTAACAATTATAAATGTCTTTTGTTAACGAAATTTTTGAGAAAATGGGGAAAAAGAAATTCTCTATTTCTCCGACTTTTTATCTTTAATTTTTTTCCCACAGGGTAGTGAAAACAGTATAAAAATAAATAAAATTACAGTTTCCGGTTATTTTTTTCAAGCTTTTCCTCCAAGGAAACCCGATACCCTTGGTTCATTTACACGTGTCTGCAACATGTGGCGGATTGACCTCTTCATTATCGGCTTACGTAATTTCCAGGTGATGACCGATATCTTGTTACCGTTCCTACCGTATTACCTTGCACCTTTTCTTATAAACAACTTCCAGACACCTAATACATGGAAATATCGAACAACCAGAGACGACTGATAGAGTAAAACCTGTGGATGAGTAAAAAAACTTGATAATGAAGATGGGGGGGGTATTTCGAAAAACTTTTTAAAACCGGTAAAATCAGATTCTTCGAACATTGTTCAAGTGACCTTTTAAGGGAGTTTCTTTATAATTTCCTAAAAAAAGGTGGAAAAAAATTAGTTTCAAGCTTTTTTTCTCCCCTTTTCAAGGAAAATACCATATAAATAATGAAGCAGTTTTTCAAAAAAATTTCATATCGGAAGAAGAAAATGTGCATAATCTGATTGTACTGGCTTTCTTTTTGGTGTCACATTTTTGATTTTCTGTTTTCACTGCTGAAAATCGCCTTTTATTCAATTTTTTTCCATTTGACCACTCTTTTTCTCGTTATTTTGATCTTTTCTGTGGATAAATACATTCTTACTAGTATTATTAAGGCATGAAAACAAAAAAACTAACAAAAAATCATAACAACATGAGGAAAAAAAGTTTCCAATTCAAGTTTCGCGGGTCAGAAGTTTATCGGCGTTGGGTGGGAATATTCGCGCTGAAAAATTTTTCTAAATTCGTTATTTACTTATGAAAAATTTACTAGAATTCTAATTTGTTTGAAGATTTTTTTAACGCTTGAAAAATTCAAAAACTGAATATTTTTTTGAGGAACTCGTTCCTTTTTTTCAGGTCTGAACTCCAAAAAGAACTTTTTTTCCTTCTATGAGAAAAATGAAACTTTTATGAGAAAAATAGTATACCTTCGCTTTGCTGGGAGCTTCGTAGGCGTTTCATTTTCTTCTTGTTTCGACGGGCCGTGATAAAAGCCGAGCAATTCGTTCATCGAAGTTTTCTAAAAATTCTTTTTTCGAAATTCATCTTTGGGAGGTTTTTTTGAAGTTTTCTGTTCAATTCTGATTGCAATGAAATAAATATACCATCTCCAATTAAAAAGAAAAATATAAAAAAAACAATTAAAAAAAAATTTGGTCGTGAAATAAAATGCATTTTGTGCGCTACAACTCAATGCTGTTCACGTACTTTCCTCCTACAGTATCCCTCAAAGCTGAAAATATATTTTTTGCTACTCACCGGCTCTTTCTTGTCTCTTACATAGATCGCCTTGCGGTTTCCTCCGCCTTTGGCCCATTTTTCCACGACTTCGTCGACTTTTTTCTCAAGCCGAACCGTTTTCAAACCCGCCTCGTCGGGATTCGTTATGAGGATCTTAAAACGTTTTTTCAAACTATCGATTGATTACTTTTTAAAAATCTTGAATCTGGAGAAGTTCTGAAACCAAAAGATCAGTTAGAATAAATATTTTCTAACTAGGGATTGGGTTCAGCTCAAAGTGGAACTTCTGAAAGATACTATGCTATCTAGATGTAGATTTTCAGGCTGATTTCGAATCTGGTCTTAAAATTTGCCATACAGGTCTGTGAAAAAAAGTCGAAATTCGAAAAATTCAGTGTCCAGATTATGCTCATTTTTGGTTTGTAAAAAAATATTGTCGCGCAAAAGACAAAGTAAAAAAACTCATCCTAAACCCAAATGGCGCAGAACAAGTCTGCGCCTAATTGAGCCTAGTTATGATTCATAAAAGCTCCGCCCAAAAGTAGAGAAGCGGGCGCGGAGTCCTATTGCGATTCGGCGGCTGACTACAGCTTCGGCAATCTGGCGCAGTGGAAAGACTGCGGTATGGTGGTGAGAAAGTCGCAGGTTCGCTCCCCACTCAGCGCAAACTCTTTTTGCAAATATTCATTTTCCAGAAACTTTCGTTTAAGTGCTCCTTTTTGAGTTTTTAAAGGTGGAAACATCGAAAAAGAACCCATTCAGACATCTGGACAACCTTTTTCAATCTAATATTTCGAGAATGACAGTAAAACCGAGTAAAATTTTACTTTTTCCGCATTCTTCAGATCTTACCTTGGGCTCCGGTTCAGGCTCGGACTCAACTTCGGGCTCCAACTCGGGCTCATTCTCCACAACGACGTCATTTTCGAGCTGGTCCATTTTCTCGTTTGGGGAAGAATTTTTTTCGATAGAAAAATCTGAAAATTCCTTAAAACTCAAAGTCATCTTGCAGTTTTATTCTGGAAGTCAGTAATTTTTCTAAACCTTGATAAAAAGAAAATGGTTACACCACTGTAGTAGTCGAAACAGTGACCACTTAAGGGGCTTAAATTCAGTAACCTCTTTAAAAGGCTAAGTAGTACAACTAGACCTTTTAAAATACAATAGGGGCCACTGAAACGCAAAGTAGCGGCTCCTATAGAGGTGGTTCTAGTGGTCACTTTAGTGTACTCTCCAAGTAGTTCCTAGAGTTTTTCCAGTATATTGTTGATTTTGCCGTGTCATTGAGCCTATGGACGTTAAAAATGAAGTTTTTCCCTATTTTCTTCCAAAAAAATCCCCTACCCAGACGATTCCTCTTCTTTTTGTCTTCATTCCTCTTCGATTTTCTCGATTTGGAATCTTTTCTTTTCGGTTCGCGAGCCTTCTCTTTAGTCGATTGATTGCAGAGAAGAGGCTTCAAAATGAATAATCAGATTCGGACGTTTGTAAAATTCGAACTTTTGCTTCGGATCCATCTGCATGAAGATCCGTGATGCGGTCCAAAGGTGCTTCACAGCCGTCGGTGGGACAAATCGCTTCCTTTAAAGTATGAGTTCAAGTGAGAAATAATTATGAAAAAAAGTCAAAATCTTGGAAATTTCATAATTATCCGTTGAGCGCAAAAGCTCAGAGGTAGGATTTTCAAATTGAAATACTTAAGAACGTCAGAGTGGACACTAGAGGGGCAACTTTAGGGGTACTTGGAGGTTCCCCTCTAGGGAGCATCTTACCTTCTCCTATAGAAGGAAAAAAAATTGCCGAAGTGGCCACTCTAGGGTCTTTAATTTTTCATGAACTCTATTGGAAATTCAAACACGAAAAAAATAGAAAGAACCCTAAAGGGACCACTTACGCTTTAAGGGCTTAGAGGTCGGATTCTGAACCCCTATAGGGACCACCTAAACTTCACCCCTCTGGGGACCACTCTGGGATTCTTAAGTAAAATATTTAAAAAATAAAGGATTTTTTGACTATTGAATTTCTGCTCTTAAAAGGTATTTTCATTTAAATAATGTCAAATTTTCGATAGAGCGCACAAATTAACGTTGGAAGTAGATGATGAATTTGAAGAACAGTCATGAAAATTCACTTTGAGATCCCTCTTGGACTTTAAATTTTGCCCCGCCATCGCTTTCATCAAGCACGACTTATGCATGGCCATCTCACAAGGCGGGCGGCCTTTGCAGAGAACCTGAATATATATTTCAACTTCTGAAATGTTCCCTTTTCCAAGCACCTTTGTAAAACCGGCCTCCAACTTGTCGACGACCGAACAAATCGAGCATTTTTCGCGGATTGGTTCGGAAACGACGGTTTTCACTTCAAACACGAACTCTTCTTGTCCGATCGCGCTAAAAATAAAAATGATAGGAGAAACCTTAAAATAATTTAACTTTCCGCAACTTCTGAGCTTGTTTTTTTAAATTTTTGGATGTTTTTAACTTGAAGAAAAACTACGTGTTTCTGTTTCCAAAAATTCGAAGAAAATATAGCGGAAAGAATCGATTATAGTTTTTATACCCGAAATCAATTTAAGCGGCCAATTTTGGATCAAATTGGAAAATGCGCGTCAAATAAAAAACTCAAAGTACCCGACACGCTCTACAGACTTTCAACCTACCGTAACCCCGAAAAAATCCTTTTTTTCCTTGAAAATAGATTTTTTAAAAAAATACTTCTTTTTTTACTTTTCGGTGGGGATCCAGGCAAATATTGGATAAAAAAACCAAAAAAATGCGCGTCAAATTAAATAGTAAAAGTTCCATATGCGTCTTACAGAAATCCGACCTACCGTAACCCGATAATAAAAAAACGCTTTTCTCTTGAATTTTTCATTTATGATCGTGAACTCCGTCTTCTTTTTTTGAGATAAATTTCCTTTTCAGGCTTTTCAATGATATTTTACCAGTAGAAACGGCTAAAATTCTGTCTAAAACTGGAAAATAAATGAAAAATGACCTGGATTCCTCGATTGAGCTCTCAGAAACCGATTTCGGCGGGATTTGACTCTCATTTCTGAAATTTATTCTATTTTTATTTGTTTACATTTTTTCCAGTTTACCTGCTTTCCCTTCGAGATGTTCCTGACTTTTCGTGACTGAAAATAAATTTTGAAGCTCGGATCTATGTACTCTGTTTCAACATCTTTATAAGAACAAAAATTCATAAAAAGACAACTTTTTGTGTCTTTGAAAAAATACAGAAATTCATAGTTTTTTAGATAAATTGAAAAGCCGAAGAGAAAATATTAATCCTTCAAATCAGAAGAAAAAAAGTTAAAAAGACCACTTAAGGGACTACTTATTTTTTTGGGCGAGAGTCTTAATTTTTAATGCAAAGTTTCCTTTGATATCTAACTGTGTTTTTCCGCAGTTTGAGGGGTCTCGAAGCGGAAGCAATAAAAAAAAGCTAGGCTTACGGTAGTTTTTTTCGGCTGTGCAAACTTAAAAATTCAAAAAAACCGGTTTTTTTCTTCTTTTTTTACCGTATAAATGTTCACATAGATTATTATTTTGAGGATCAATTTTTCAATTTTTGAGATTTATTTTTTTACTGCAATTACTATCTTTTTCCATTGGATCTTACCTTATTGAATTCCTTATCGTTTGGCAAGAAAAGTCGGCTTTCTTTTACACGATACCTTCCTTTATTCAAGTCAGCCTTTAATGTGCGCAACACTTCTTTCGAAGACATGACCTGGAAAACTTACATTTTTCCATTTTACCCTAAAAGATTACAAAACTTCCAAAAAAATTTTTTTTTGGTTGAATTACCTTTTCGTCATCTTCCTCTTCCGTGTCTGAAGAACCCGGTTCTCCTTCTTCTTCCAACCATCTAAAATTTATGAGAAACGTATTTCGTGAAAAAAAGAGGATTTTATTCTCAAGTGCGTGTACTTTTCTGAGCTATTTTTATGAGGTCAAATCTAAAAAAAAAGAATAGATAAAAGAATTGAAAACCAACGAGAAAAACAATCAAAAGGAATTTTTTTTTGAAAGAAATCTGGCGTGAGATGAGTTTCGAGTGGATACACACTGCGTACAAAGCAACTACCGTAACCACACTATGTGAAAGATCAATTTTTATTTCCTACAAAGTTTTTGGTCTATTATTGATCACCTATTTATTAGTATACCTGAATTTCTCTGAGGCGTAGATGAGCCTCATAGACGGTTTGAAACGTGGCGGCGGATGCGGAATCTGTTCTAAACGAAATTTCGATTAAACTTGAATTTTTTCTCTTATCCCGTACTTCTTTGATAGGCTATATCTTGATCGATGGTATTGGCCAATTTTTCCGGAATAGCGAACTCGTAGGGACAGAAAAGCCCGAAGTTTCTCAGGTATCCACGGGCTTGCATTTGACTCAAATTCTCTTCTTCGACTAATTTCGCCACGTATTTTTCTGGGGTTTGGCACATCGGGAAGAAAGAATAGTCTTCCGTCTGCAAAAAATGACTGTAATCTTTGAAAAATGGGACCTTTTTTAAGCTATGGAAAGACCAAAAACAAGATGAGAAGAAGCGAAAAACGAAAATATTCGTTTTAGGACAAATTACGGACCTTTTTATATTTTGAGAAGAAAATGTTGGCTAAATTTCAACAGTTATTACAGAATTCCACCAAAGAAAAAATGGCAAAAATAGTCCTCGTCAAGGGGATTCGAACCCTGATCATTGGCTCCGTAGTGCAACACGCTAGCCACCACACCACGCGGCAAAGTCGTATAGAGGCGCGTGCGGGAGACATATTCCTTATTGCTGCACTCTTTTCACGTGCAAACTATGAGTCGTCATAACTCGACTACGAGGCAAAAGTCAAAAAGTTTTATTCTTGATTTGGAATCAGCATGCCTTAAATAGGGCTAAAAACGGTTCCCTTGCAAGCCCACCCTTTTTTCGGTATTTCCAAGTGCCAAAAACGGATAAAACCTTTCTAGTTTCTTGAGTGACGTAGCACAGCATGTTGCAGACGAAGTTGATCGGCAAAAAAGGCCCAGCATTTTTGGACAGGAAATCGGCGAGCATTTCCGCTGACTGCATCGGCATTTCGGACATTCCGTTTCGGAGAGCCGCGACTACCGAAGATTTTACGGTCATCATAGTTCCTCGGACCTTCCTCAGCTTCACGTCAAAACTTTCTATCACCCTCTTGAAGTTCTTAAAAAAGGGTTATTATTTATTATCAATATTAATATGAACAAATCAATGGGATATATACTTAGAGAAAAAGTAACGGGCAACACGACTTAGGAAAGGAAGGTCAGAGGAGTTTTTAGAGGGACAACTTTAGGGGCTCTTGTGAGTTTCCATTTAAGGACCAACTTACCCACCACTAAAACTTCCAAAAGCGCCCACTTTAGGGGAACATGCTAGTAGTCATTAGACGTCTTTTCAACATTCAAATCAGAGAACACTATAGGGCCCACTTGAGCTTCAAAGGCTTAGGAGCTAGCTTCTAAACCCCTATAGGGATCCCTTAATTCGCCCTCTAGAAAGTTCTTTTTATTTTTGGCTATTTTAGTGGCCACTGGAACGTTAAAACCCTAAAGTGGCCTCTAAAAAAACTGTTCCCTGATCTTAGATCTCAAAATAACGGCGTTTCGCTTCGAGACCTTTTTTTGGAGGTCTCAATGCTCCTTTAAAAGGCTCAGAAACGGTTTTGAAGCCAGCTTTTTCGCTAGAGACACCTCATAAAAGTTTCTGCAAGATTTTTATGAACCACTATGCTTTTTGTTAAAATTAAAAAACCAACCAGATAAAGCGGTTGCTTGTAATATTCGAGGAATTGCGGGAATGTCATCTTTTCAAAATCGATGCTCCGGAAAATGAAGTCGGGTTGGTCCGTGTAGCATCGTAGAAACTGTCCTGCCTAGAAGGAAAAAATTCGCGTTTTGATCTCAAATGAAGCAGAATTTTTTCACTTGTTTAGATTTGGTAGATTTCCAGTCCCATCGGTCGGGATACAGTTGGATCGCGATCATTTTCAGGCTCAGATAGTCAAAATGGGCTGGAAAATGGAAAAACTTTATTAAAACGAGAGCCAGTAACAAATTGGACACCATATAGTGGACCCTAAAACAAAACATCTCTATAGGGAACCCTCAGAAATCCCTCGGAATGTGATGAATCAAGTGCTATTATTTAAATCGAGCAAGTTTGCTCCAACGAGAGTCGTCTTTCAATGACTGGAAACTTCAAAAGAATAAATACATTTGGAGGTGAAAGGCACATCGATGGAGAAGCGTGTTTCAAAACGCCAATCCGGGACAATTTCCGCCTCGGGATCTTGGAGTTTCGTCGAAGGGACCTGGAAAAGGGAACTTACTGCATAATATTTTAGAAACTGTTTCAAAAAAATTGATAAATTCAAAAAATTCAAAAAATTCGAAATTCTTGATTTTTGCGTCAGATGTGCTGTTTGCGTACCAGACATTTTAATCGCCGACACTTTTTTTTTTCTGAAAATCTCACCAAGTAAAAACGTTTTTTTCCAATTTTTTGCCGTTTCAAGTTCAGGAAAAATTCAAGGGCTTGATAAAAAATTTGCGATTTGCGCGTCAAATGTGCTGTTTGCGTACCAGACATTTAAATCGCCGAAATTTTTTTCGATTTCTCCGAAAATCCCATCAGGTAAAAAAATTTTTTTCCAATTTTTTTAGCCGTTTCAAGTTCAGGAAAAAAAAATCAAAAAGCTTAATAAATGAAATAATTGTGATTGGCGCGTCAAATGCGCTGTTTGCGTACGAGACATTTCATTTTTACGATATTTTTTTATTTTTCCTGAAAAATCTCACCAAGTAAACATTTTTTTCCACTTCTTCGCCGTTTTGACTGGTGACTGGCTTCAGAATTCCCTGAAAAAAAGACCGCTTGAAAATTATTTCTGCAAGTTCCTACATTGTGAATCGACGCGAGAACCTCATTGGTGGTATTGATAATTTCTTCGGTCCAATGAACGTCCGTGTTCAACACGAAGAATTGGTCCTCGAAAACTTCGCAAACTTTCTGAATTATGTTATTTGAAAGAGAAATACAGAATTGTCTCGATGAGTGTGAAGAGAGAGAGAGAGAGAGAGAGAGAGAGAGGCAGGGAGAAGAGACGCCAGAGAAAAAGAGTGCCGGGACTTCTCTGGCGTCTCCGAGCTCTCACTGATCTCTGGCTTGCTCTTTTTTCATTGGATTTTAGTTGAAAAAGTAATTTATAAAGTTTCGAGAATTATTCAAAACGTTTAAAATTGGTATGAAAACAGAGAATTTCTCTAAAAATAAAAAAAAAGTGACTCACCCAGCGGATAACTTCTACAGAACTGTACTCGCGATCCTCCTGCAATGAAAAAAACGTATATTATTTCTGATACTCCTCGTACTAATTAAATTAATTAGAAAGAAAAAAAAAACATACCTCGTCCATTTTTTTCGGCGTCAAAGATCTTTTTTTAGATAAATTCTTTCGATTTTTTTCTGAAACTTCGATTTCTTTTTTTATTTTTGAAAGATAAAAAAATGATGAAAATGGGGGTTAGGAATTCAGAGAAGGAAGAAAATAGAAACAAAAAACATAAAACTGAAAAATCAGGCTTGATAGAATCGTTTCCAAATACAGTTGGACTAGAAAAATTTCCACGGGTTCATTTTTTTTTTCCCTCGCATCTTTTTTATTATTTTCTTTCAAAAACTTGCTCTGGTTTTTGAAGGCGCATGAAGCAATTTTATTTAGGTTTCAAGACGAAGAGCCGTTTTCAGTGTTGTTCAAACGTATTAGGCCTACTGCGCCCTCAAGCCCAAAAACCAAAGATTTTTGAGCCGAAAAAATATGAAAAAAAAAATCAAAAAAGGTTATTAAAGGCGCATGAGCAAAATTGTTAATGGTCTCAAAACGAAGAAAATTTTTCATATTTTTGGACGGCTACTATAATCTCAATATGCTCATACGGTGTACTTTAATCAACTGTGTTATCTATTGTATGCCCTATCCGGTGATGTCATTCGAGAGGCTTTTTTTCTGACCTTGAATCGGTTCTAAACCTTATTTATTCTTTTCACTTTTTGGGTAAACACATCATTATTATTAGGTTCAATCAGTATGTCAAGACGAAAATCCGTTTTTAATTTTTGATTTTCCGGTTCATCAAAAATTGTGGAAACTCAAAAAAGGTTATTAAAGGCGCATTAACAAAATAAAAAAGGTCTCAAAACTAAAAGCACTATTCATTTTTTTTCCAGTCATCCAAGAGTTTTGCGCCCTTGAAACAAGAGAGCAAGCATTTATGAACTGACAAAAAGACGGGAAAACCGAAAAAGATGGCGAGTTCAAATCGATGAGATTTTCGAAGCCGAGCCGACACAAAAAAGGTGTCGCTGACCAGAAGCCGTTTCTTAGGAATAGACGCAGACGGCGGAGAGGGAAGAAAAAAGAAAAAACTGTCGCCACCGCGCCATGTTCCCACATCGTCTTGAGAGGTTTTGAATGGAACGTTCAGGCTCTTCGTTTTTTTTTGTTTGGATCGAAGGAAAGACAGAATTTGTTGAATGTGGGAAAATGTCGAAATTGAGAATCTAGTCCTATGAATTGTGTCTGTGTAGATTGAAATTAGGGTCAGATATCTGGAGCTCTTAGGAACGCCAGAGTGATGCCTATAGGGCCCTTATGGGGGTTAAATTCAGAAGGATTGACCAAACTTAGGGACGCCGGAGTGGTCCCTTTAGAGGTTTGTAAAAAAAGAACGCCAATTCATGGAGGGCATGTGCTCCCTATAGCGGTAATTTTGAGGGGGTCCCTATAGGAGTTCAGAGTCTGGCTCTCAAGGTCCTAAACGCCAGAGTGGTCCCTAGATGGGCCAGAGGAAAAGCAGCTCCTAAAGGGGTAAAATTGAAGTGATCTTTATAGAAGTTTAGCGCCTGATCATTAAGCTCCTGAAGCTCAAGTGGCCCCTATAGGGGTTTGGGAAAAAAGAACGTCAGCTTATGGAAGACAAGTGCTCGCTAAAGGGGTAAAATTGAGGTGATCTCTATAGGAGTTTAGCGTCAAGACCCTAAAGCTCAAGTGGTTCCTAGAGGGGTCTTACAAACTTTTATCAGGCTTGAAAATAATATTTAATAAAATTTGATCGATCTACATTTTTTTCGCTGATTCATTGAGTTGATTCACTGACAATGAACAACTCTAGAGTGGCTACTAGCTAAAACCCCTAGAGTGGTCCCTTTGGCAAGCTTTAGGGGCCCATAGGCGAAGTGGTCCCTAGAGGGGTTTTTTAAAATTTTTTCAGACTTGAAAATTATTTTTAATAAATCTTGACCTGTTGATGTTTTTTCATCAAAAAACGCTAATTTATAAAATTTTCCGTATGTAGATTCTTATCATAGATTTCATGAGAATAAACTTTCTAGAGGGTCCACTAAAAAAAAAACCCTGGAGTGGTCACTTTTTCAAGCATTAATCCCCCTAGGCAAGAGGGTCTCTAGAGGAGGAACTTCAAGCCTCGGACCCTGTAGGGACCCCTAGGGACAGTGAATAAACCAAGGAGAAACCGTAAAATGAAATGAGAAAAAAAAAGGAAGAAACATCTCCAAACCGATGAGATTCTCGGAACTGCGAGCACAGCCGGAGCGAAAAAAGGCGGACCAGCAGAAGCCTCTTTTCTATGAAGAGACGCAGACGGTTAGGGGAAAAACTGTCGGGGCACATCCCTGTCTTGGAATCTGTCTGGAAAAAATTTTTTTCACCAGTTTTTTTTAGGATTCACCCTAGAGATATGAAAATCAAGAAAAAATGCTTTTTTTTTTTGAATAAATCCGAAAAAAAATAAATTTTTGATAATAGTCCATTCACCACTAAGCTAGAAAAAAAGGTACTTTGACGTCTAAACCTCTTCTTTTCACACACTGTTTCGCTGATCTTGTAAAACCAAAGAGTTCGTCCCACTTAGAGACGCCATAGGGGTCACTAGAGGGGTTAGGGAAATAAGTAGCCCCTCAAGGGGACAAAATAGTGCCCCCTAGAGGGCTAAAAATTAAGAGGTCCCTATAGTTTCTTGAATCCTGACCCCTTAGTGACCTCTATAGCGGTCTTTTAAAGTTTAAAATGAAATTTTTTCCTCATTGCCCTTTAAAAACTATCAGCTAGCTTCCCTTGAGTGATCCCTAGAGGGTAAATTTCAAATGCCCCTCTAGGGACCGCTCAAGCAAGTATTTTCCTATTAATGTCTCAGAATTTACCTGAAATTTTGGAAAAGCCCTCAAAAAAGGTACAGTTGATTCACGAGCCATCGAAAATGGGTCCTGGCACGAAAATAAGGAAATAGCGCCTGGTTGATGGAGAGCGCAGACAGACGACGCCCATTTTTTCCTTGAGCTCGCCGTGAATCGACTAGAAAAAAGAAAATGCGGAAAATTTTTTAAAAAATTTTTTGGTTAATGGAAATTAAACGAATTTTTGATGAAATTTCAAATTTTTGCTTGCTTCGAGCTATAAAAAAACACACAGACGACGTCCCAAGCTAGAAATCCGCTGAAAATCAATAATTTGAACCGTTTCTGATACGTTTTTCTCAAAAAGAACATAGGAAAAACGCCATCAGATAAACAAAAACGCATTGGAAAATTAGATTGAACCGTGGGAAAGTAAATATGAGAAATGGCGTGTCACGGGACGATCTAATTGATAAAAAGATGAAAGCGGGCCTCCACAAAAATGTTTTTTTTTCCCTGGTACCGTCCATTAGTTGAGAAGATAAAATCGAAAACAGACTTTACAAAATTTTCATCACTTACCACAGCTTCCCGTTTCACTGAAAATCGGGGGTTTGAGCTGATTTTTTGAGCGAAAAAAGGCGATTTACTCTAAGGTTTTTTTTCTATTTTCCTTCAAAATCAAGATAAAAATAAAAAACAAAATTCACCGAAAAATTCTAACACTTTTTCTTTCCATACAAAACCGTGCAAGATAGAAATCATAGAAAAAAAAGTGAAAAATTGTAAATTTTTATCATTTATCACAAATTCCCTTTTCAATGAAAATCAGGGGTTTGAGCTGATTTTTTGAGAAAAAAAATGTTACTTTTCAACTTCATCTTTTGACACACCTATTTAGAATTATTTCACTTAAAAAAATCGATGAAATAACATAAATTTCTTCTAAAAAAAGGCAAAAAAATAATCGAAAAAAAGGGCAGTTTTTCTTGGCTTTTTTTCTTTCTTTGATCACATATTGACAATTATTTTTGAAAAAGTAGGATCCGTAGAAAAAAACTTTTGAAAAAGGTCTAAAAATTTTTTTATCACTTAGCACAACTTCCCGTTTCACCAAAAAAATAGGGGGCTTGGGCTGATTTTTTTAACAGAAAATTGGAGATTTCTCATCTTTTTCTCCGTCAAAAAGGCGGAGGAATCGCATTTCAATTCGAAAATCCCATGAAAAAAACAAAGTTTGCAATTTAAAAAAATTTTTTTAGATCATTCTAAAGATTTCAAAGAACAAAATAACTTTTTTTACAAAGGGAATAAAATTAATAAAAAAAGCGAGAAAAGAGCCAAAAAAAGGAAAGATTCAAAAATGTTTGACTTGGCGCCAAAAACCCCATTTTTTTCGCCGTCATTAACTTTGACCTTTTTTTAGACTTCTTTCACGTTGAAAAATTAAAAAAACAACACAAAATTCATTTTAAAAAGGGTGAAAATAATCAAAAAAAGGCTATTTTTCTCAATGAATACCCAGTATTTCAAAAATTCAAATTGAGGAAAAAAAGCTTGGAATGTACGAAGTTTGAAGGCGAATCGAGATCAAATCACAAAAAAGGGAGGAAATTGAGAAAAATGGGGCATGCAGGACGATGATGATTGAAATAAAAATATGAAAAAGTCATGGAAAAAATCAGAGAAGTTGGAGTTTTCCCTGTTCGACGAGATGTCGGATCGGCACGAACGGAATCAGATGAATCTCGTCTTTATTCAGAGCGATCACGTGCTGAAAACGTTCAAAAATAGTATATTTAGTGAAAAAACAGCCGTCAGGCTAAAAGCTGTTCTAGGGCCGGCCCGCGACCCTATCTGCCCTCCAGTCATTTTTTGAGCCCAGCCCGAAAGGCACAAATTTTTTCAGTTTTTTGACGTTAAGGATCAAAGAGGGCCGGCTACAGAAAAAAAAAACGGGCGGTCCAGCCCGAACGACCATTTTTTTTTCTTAATTATCCGGCCCGTCACCCTGTCGGCCTTTCGGACATTTTCTAAGCCCGCTTCGGCCCGACAAAAGCCCAACAACGGGCGATCCCGCCCGAACGACCAATTCTTCTTATTCTCAGTCTTCCCGGCGTCAAAAATCAAAGAGGGCTGAGCCGTCACCCTATCGGCCCTTTGGTCCTTTTCTAAGCCCGTTTCGGCCCGGCCAAACCACGAAAAGAGGGCGGTCCAGCCCGAACGGCCAATTCTCCTTTTTTCTCAGGCTTCCCGGCGTCAAGAATCAAAGAGGGCTGGCCCGTCGCTCTATTCGCATCTCCGGCCATTTTTCAAGTCCAGCTTGGCCCGGGCATAGCTCAAAAACGGGCGGGCCGGCCCGAAAAGTGCAAACTTTGTTCAGGTCAAATATCTGAGTTTTTACATTGAAAAATCCGGTTTTGAGCTCTTTTTCGACTTAAAATTAGAGCAGGCATGTGTCAGGGCAAGCCCTATAGGCCATTTAGCCAGGTTTCATTGAACAGAAACGGGCGGGCCGGCCCGAAAAGCAAAAACTTTCCTTAGGTTAAATATCAGGCTGTTTGACGTCAAGAAACACGTTTTGGCTCTTTTTTTCAATTGAAACTTGAACAGGGCTGTGCGAGGGCCGACCCGGTCTTTCAGCAAGACTCCAAACACAAACGGGCGGGCTAGCCCGGAAAGCGCAAACCTCCTTCAAGTCAGATATCTGGCTATTTCGACGTCAAAAATCACGTTTTTGTCTCATTTTCGTTTAAAATTCAACAGAAACTGTGGTTTCAGAACTGCAAAAAATATTTGACATCAAAAAAATTGATAAAAACTCGGAAAACTGTTTCATAAGAGCCATTTATTTCAACTTCAAGTGTAATTATCTTTTTTACCTCCGAATTGGGGTCCAAATTATCCTGGAGAACGATTTCGCCCACATCCTCTTCCACAACCTTCACGTAGACCTAAAAAATCCCATTTATTCTATTTTTTTTTGGGAAAACGAACACATTCGATCTCTAAGTCTTCCCTGAGGAACCGGGATTTTTCTGCAGGGCCGTCGGCATGAATCCTGAATGAATTTTTTTCTATTTTTTTGAGAAATGAACCTAGAACAGTTTTCCCAAGGAGCTGAGCCTCGGCGTTGACAAAATTCTTGGTGAACTCCAGCTCATTATCGTCCAACAAGGCAGAAAGGCCTGGAAAACCACCGTTTGAATCATTTCGATACAAAATCGAATCATTTTTAATGAGATATGTTCATTTTTCGGGAAAAATCTGCCTTATCTGTTTTTTCTACATGGTCCTCTTACCTATGGCGGAAGTCAAATTCAAGTTTTTTTACATGAAAATTTGATTATATTGAAAAAAAATGATTATGACGTTTTGCAGCCTTTTTTTCATAAGCTAGCTATGAATGGACTTGCATAAAAATTAGTTTTTTCAAATCACTTTCCCCAAATTTTAACCCAGTTGGTTTTTAGAAGCATTTTTTCTTAATTTTTGACAGAATCCTCAGATTTTTCTTTTCATCAAGATCAGAAACGCTTCGAAAACTACTTTTGGAACATTTCGGTACAAAATCGGATCGAATTTAGTTGACAAATGCGTAAACTTCGAAAAAATTTGAATTTCCCACAATTTGTACATGGTATTCTTACCTTTCGCGTCAAGCCTTTACAAGAAAATTTGAATATAGTGCAAAAATGAGAGGTTTAGACGCTTTTTTAGTATTTTTCCATAAGCTAGCAATGAATGGACTATTTTCGAAAAAGTCGAAGAAAATCATTTTTAGTCCTTTTCCAAGAATCCAGATGAAAAATGAGCAATTTTCAAGAAAATTCGAACTTTTTTTATATTTTCTACATGGTCCTCTTACCTCTGGCGGGAGGTGGAATTGAAGCCTTTCCAAGAAAAAAATATAACGCAAGAAAAAAAGAGGTTTAAAGGTGTTCATAGTACTTTTTCCATAAGCTAGCAATGAATGGAAAATTTTCAAAAAAGTCCTAAAAGGTCATTTTTTGTTCCTTTCAAGCCCTTTTCTCAAAACTCAACCCAAAAAACTTTCTTAGAATTTTTAAAAAAGTTATTCAACTATTCCTGCTAAAATTTTTCCCACGAGTTAGTGAGAACAGCAATAAAAATACAGTTTCCATTTATTTTTCGAGCTTTTCCTCCAAGGAAACCCGATATCCTTGGATCATTTACACGTGTCTGCAACAAGTGGCGGATTGACCTCTTCATTATCGGCTGACGTAATTTCCAGGTGATGACCGATATCTCGTTACCGTTGCTACCGTATTTCCTTGAACCTTTTGTTATAAACAACCTCCAGACACCTAATACATGGAAATATCAAATTACTGGAGGAGACTGATAGAGCACCTGTGGATAAGTAAACTAAAAAAACTTGTAATTTTTTTGGGGGGCTGAGTACTTTACCTTATTTTTGAAACCATTAAAAAAATCACTAATGATGAAGGGGGGGAAGTGATAATGAATGAAAGGGGGGACTGCATTCATGAACAGCGAAAGGAGAAGGGGGGTTGAGTACTTAGATAATGATGAAGAAGGGGGCTGAAAAACTTTACCTTATTTTTGAAACCATTAAAAAAATCACTAATGATGAAGAGGGGGGAGGAGGGATTCCAAATCCTTTTTTTGGAAACTCTTTCGGAAACACGAGGAAGAGTACTAGTGACCTCTTAAGGGTCAAGGAGAGCTCCTTCTTGAGGTAAAATTTCAGGTACTGCAGACACAAAAAGTACCGTATCTCAATAAATTCTACAGTAACCCTTTATGCTAAGTACTGTAAAAGTTCCTGAAATGGCATTCCTATCGATTGATATACACTATGCCTATGAAAAAACTCTAAAGTCTCTAGATACCGGATTAAAAACTTGACTACAGTAAGCCGGGTACGGTAACATAATTTCTCGTCCTGAAAAGATTTTTGTACTAAAAATGGCTAAAATTTCCACGAACTTCGAAAATTTAATTTTAATAGGCTTTGAAAAAACCCTGAAACTGGATTTTAAGGATTATAACTTCGGACTCGAAAGATAAGGAAGAACCTTCAAAATATCAATTTTTATAAAAAAAAATGTGGGGGGAGGGGGGAAGAAGACTTCAAATATATAGCGAAAAAAGGTGTAACTTTAGAGGATTAACTCAAATTTTTTTATGACCAGAGATTTTTTTCAATTTTCCGACTCACCTTCAGCAACCCGTCGCTCATGCTCAGCGAGTACACGTCTCGGATTGGCTTCGATTTTCAGAAGTCTTGCTCGGACGTAATCCGACGTCATGTAGCTGATCCTTTGAAGCTCCATCCGGTGGAGCGAGATTTTCAGTTGGACCTGGAGAACGAAAAAATATTTATAACCATTTTTGTGGAACATTCTTGTTTTTTGATCGGAAAACCTAAAATAACACGCCGTTTTCAACTGCTTCAAACATAAAAACAGCGCCCGACTTGAACCGACTTGCGCGAAAGGCTATCTTAGAGTATCTGATTGGAACCGCTTCGCAACCGCGACGCTTCGAGCCATTCCACGTGCGGCCAGGGCGTTTTCGAAAAAAATCCCTTCCTTGTAAGGCTATACGTGGAATGGTTCAACAAGCAACAGCTCCTTCTAAAACAAAGCAGCACCCGACTGAAAACGACTTGCGCTGAAGGGTATCTTAGAGTATCTGATGGAACCGCTTCGGAACCGCGACGCTTCGAGCCATTCCACGTGCGGTCAGGGCGTTTTAACGAAAACTCCTTTCTTGTAAGGCTATACGTGGAATGGTTCGACAAGCAACAGCTCCTTCAAAAAAAAAGCAGCGCCCGACTGAAAACGACTTGCGCTAGAGGCTATCTAAGAGTGACTGATTGGAACCGCTTCGCAACCGCAACGCCTCGAGCCATTCCACATGCGGTCAGGGCGTTTTCGAAAAAATTCCTAACCGCAAATAAAATTATTTTTCCTGTAATTGAATCGGGACACATCATTTCTTTCTCTTTTCATTATTCTTTTGATCCCTTGTAGAAACTGTAAAGTTACTTTCTCTTGCTGCCGCGCGATGTTCTCCTCCATGCCCTTGATCTGGTCGAGGAGGATGTCGACGAGGTCCATCTCCGTCGGCATCAGACACGGCGCCGCCAGTTCGTTCTGCCACGCGACCGTCATCCGTCGGATCACCTAATTTTCATCAATTCATGGGCGGTTCAAAAGTCGCGGATATATCTTTCACAAGTTAAAGATCCCAATGTTGGAATGTTGAATTATGGTCGCTAAAAGGGAGAGGTTCAAAAAAGGCCACAAAAAGGCTGAAAAAAGGCAGCAAAAGGGTTGCGAAAAGACAGCAAAAAGGCCACAAAAAGGCAACAGAAAGGCTGCAAAAAGGCACAGAAAGAGCCCAAAAAGGCTGAAAAAAGGGTGTAAAAAGACAGCAAAAAAGCTGCAGAAAGGGTGCAGAAAGGCAGCAAAAAGGGAGCAGAAAGGGAGCAAAAAGGGAGCAGAACAAGAAGAAAAAAGGCCGCAAAAAGGGCCCAAAAAGGTCGCAAAAGGGCAGCAAAAGGGCCCCTTTATCGAGTCTTCCATTTTTCTTGGATTTTGAAGGTTCACGAAATGGTGAAAAAAGGAGAGGCAGCAAAAATGGTGCATAACAGCCCATAAATGGAGCAAAAAGGCAGCAAAAAAGGTTCCTTTGTCACCCTAAAAGGAACACTTCGCCTTTTCGACTCTTTCCAATTTCGCCTATGATCTTAAAACCCATAATTTTCAACTTTTAAGCGCAAAAATTCAAATTTACCCAAAAATACGCATGAAAGTCGCCATCTCGCTGTAGGAGCCTTTTTCACCAAAATTCCAAGCTTGCGTAATTCGGGAAATCATTCTCAACGGAATTTCGAAAGTACTGACATTTGAAAAGCCTCACGCAATGGGAAAAATAGAAAAAAGACCGTTGGACAAGTGCGCTCTACGGCTAACGGGCGTCAAAGTCAGAATTCAAAATTTTGGAAAAATTTTTTTTAATCGCGATTTTCATGTTTTGCCAAAGTTTTGAGAAATAATTTTTTTTCAAACTTTTGTTTTTTGAAAAATTCAATTCCAATGGCGCGAAATTCAAAATTTTTCAATGAAACGATAAATTGAAAAGTGACACTGCGCAGAAACGAAAATTATCTTTTGTTATTGGGTTATATCGAATTTCTGAAACAGCAATATCAGGAAAAAGCTAAAATTTCGAAAAATTTGTTCAAAAAGGGTCATATTTTTTTATTTTTATTTTTTTATTTTTTTCATGGGAGAATTTTTCTTTGAAAATCCCCCTTTTCTCTATATTTTTTTCCTAAAATTACCTCAGTCGGGGTCAAGAACTCCTCGTCGTCCGTCGACTGGGAAGCCGTCGAGGGTTCCGCCATTTTTTTATCCAAAAAAATAAAATTGGAATAATTTTTGTCAAAAAAATATGAAATGCAGTAGGAAACAGCAAATATCTTTTTCAAAAAGACGAGAAAAGGGACAGGAAAACGGTTTTATTCGAGGATACATTTTGGGTTACCAGCAGAATCAGTTGGGAGAAAAAAAATGATAATCAATCGATTCGGAAACTTTTTCTACACAATGTCCAGTCACAAAAAACAACCCAAAATGGAAATTATTGAAAATTCGATTATAAATTAGGGGGGAAAAACTCGGGGCTGTACGAGATCCTATCGTTGGGGGCACAAGTAACAGTTTATTAGATTATTCCATTCAAAACAATGATGATAAAAAATAAAAAATAAAAAATAAATAGTTAATAAAAGACGGATGAATATGAATACAAGGGGAGGTTTTTTCGGAGGAGATTATTCTTGTTTGACGTCCGGTTGGCCTGAAAAATGCAGGAAATTGGATGAAAAATGAGAAATTCTGATTAAAATGGATGTTTATTTTTTCAAAGCGTTACCATGATGCATGGGTGGCGTGGCGGCGTCGGCCGAGTCCATCTGAGCCGACGGGGCACTTGGGGGACCACCCTGGGGAGGCCCTTGAGGGACTCCTTGGGGCGGATAGCCGCCCGGCGGCATTCCTCCGTACTGGCCAGGCGGTCCGTAGTGTCCTGAAAGTCGATTATTTCCTTCTGGATTATAGGAAGGAATAAAACGGGGGAACAACAAATGAAATGCTTTCATACAGAACTATGACAATAAAAAGCAATTTCTATCCTATTTTTGAAGGGTACTGTATGTTGAAAGTCCGCATTCTGGGCTGTAGGTGTACGCACTTTTCTTGCTTCTCCGAGTTTTTTTAACTATGAAATAATTTTCGAATTTTTCCTGCCTTATAAATCCAGCTGAAAATTAAAAAAAAAGTAACGAAAGTGTAAACACACAACGTCGAAAAATGCGGACTTTCAACATACCGTACCATTCAGAAATAGATTCGATTGATTTCCCTACCTTGATAGCTACCGTATCCAGGTCTTTGGGGCGGGGCTTGGTAGGGTGGCTGTCCGGGCTGTCCGTAGGGCTGTCGTTGGGGTGGCGGGTAGGCTCCGGGCGGGGGCTGACCTTGTTGGGGCGGGTAGCCCGGTTGTTGCCCTGGAGCTCCGTAGTAGGCTTGGGCTGCTGGGGCCGGTTGGCCTGGGTAGCCTGAAAATCAAAGTTTCTTTTCAGAGGACTCATTTTGTGGATGTCAGCCAATCAGAGGGGTCATTTCAGTGTTCTCTCCAAGTAGTATTAAAAACCACTCGAGTGACCACTTGAAATTCTCCCGGTAGGTCGATTCCAAGTACTATTCAAGTCTGTGGGAAATCGGACAAAATATGATTCGAGTTTGAAAAAATCTTGAATTTTGGACTAATTATTCAAGCTATAGCCTGTGTACCACGACTTGGAATTTCACGGAACGACATTCCGCCGTTCCGCTGCGCGCCTTTGCGAAGCTTGGTCGCGCTTTTAATTTTTTTCTTTGATTAAGGTACTCCACTTCCATGTGCTCCCACAGTAATAACAGTAAATTGAAAGCGTGACCTAGATTCGAAAGACGCTTCGCGACCGCACGCAGCGGAACAGCGGAATGTCGTTCCGTGAAATTTCAATTGGCAGCAGACAGACTATACACTGTGATAATCACATCATTTCGAACCCTCACCTTGGCTAGGATATCCGGAATACGGCGGCTGTCCCTGTGAAGGATAACCCCGCGGCGGGGGCGGATAGGCACTTGCGGGATATCCCCCAGGAGGCCCGTACTGCTGCGGGGCCTGCTGCTGGGGCTGCTGTTGGGGCTGCTGTTGTTGTTGCTGCGGCGGTCCTGGGGGGATGGCTGGCGGCGGCTGCTGCTGCGGTGGCTGCTGAGGTACGGACGGCGGCTGTACCGACGGTACGCGGGGTGGCGCCGCGGTCGATCCGATCGACGTCGCCATCCCGTCGCTCGTGTCCATCTTCTCGTTTTCTGAAAGGAATGAGTCTCTTTGAAGATCTTGGTCTTTTCAGAGAGCAAAAATAAGTATCGAGGTATAGTCGATTCACGGCACGCGAAGGGGGCGTGGCCTGCCTCTTTTCTTATCGTGCCAGGACCCTTTTTTATGGTTTAACCCAGCCATGAATCAGCTATAGAATGACCTAGAAAAGCATTAAAAATTCCTCTTCGAAAACTTAAAAATGATCTTTCTCAGTACCTCTCGGTCCTACTGGAGCCCAAAAAATACCGATCGATTCAGAATTTCTTCCTTCTTTCAACCGCATCAAAATAAGATCGACTTCACGCAAAATCACGATTTTTCATTTAAAGGCATGCCTCGTGCTCTTTGAAACAGTATAGCAAGAAGTCTCAAAAAAAAAAAAATTCTAAAAATCTACGAATTCTAAAAAATTGAGGCCTTTCTAAAAAATTTTTCTGCCGGCCCGTTTTTCCGCTTTACTTTCACTTGGAAAAATAATCGTAAGCCATATTTTTTTATTCCAAAAAAGAGCCGATTCAAGGCGACTTGAAGTTTTTTCTCTGCGCCCTCTCATATCACGTGCTATTTTCATGTTTCTCTGACTTCTGATGGTGAGGGAACAAAGAGACGCAGACAATCAAAAACTACCAATTCGCGGCAAACCAACTATAAAAGTCAATAAAAAACGAACGAGTCGGATCCTGACTGGACGGAATCGTCTGTGGCGTCGGCTGTGGAGGTCCGGTCACTTCGAAGCCCGGCGGCAGGCCTGCCGGAAGCTGAAAAATACCCGTTTTTGACCTAAATTTGACTGAATTCTCTTGAAAATTTCACTTCGCTCAAAAGTGAACGTAAAACTATGATAAATTGATATACTGAAATAAAATTTTGCTCGGACATCGTTAATAGAAACCGAATATTCCTGAGCAAATCTAGGGACCACTTAAGGGTCTTGTTGCCGCTAACGTGATCCCTAGACATGGTCAGAAACGTCCAGGATCCGAGTACACAATTAATTGCCATTGAAGCGTAATTTCACTTGATTTCAAAGAAAACAAGGTCTAGGGACCACTTAAGAGTTCTGACGCCGCTAAAGTGATACCTAGAAAAGCTCCAACATGTCAGATCCCTATCATTTCTTTTTTTGAGTAAATTCCAATTTTGGAGTCTTACGGGACACATTTAACTCAATACAACCAACTTGAATTTGTATAAGAGAAAAAACGGTAAAACCATCTAAATAACAAAAATACCTTTTTTTATTATCTTTATTTTTTTCCGCGAAGTGCTGAAGTTCCTAAGCCTTCAATGCTTGCATATAGCTAACGGCTCAAGTCGTTTCAGGTCGGGTGCAAAAAAGGATGCGTTCATGTTTCTAATCCTAGGAGAAATCCAATTTTTGGCTAATTTTTTGAAAAACAAAACTTTTTTCAAGAAAAAAAAAGTTATCGCTCTGATACTTTTTTTTGCGGTCAAATGGAATACAGTAACCTCGAAAATTGCCTGAAAACTCATTTTTCAGTTCATTTTGCATACCTCAAAACTTGAATTATCTTCAATTTAAAGCCGTAAAAAAATCCTTCTTTTTTTCTAAATTCTTGGATTTTTATTCTCTCTTTGTGTTTGCGGTCAAATGGAATACAGTAACCCGGAAAAAAATAGCTAGAAATCAAAAATTCTCGATTTTTTTCTTCAGTTCAAAAAAATTTATTTATGGCTCGTTGAAAACCGTAAAAAAATTCTTATATTTCCTAAATTCTTGGTTTTTCATTTTTGACCCTGTAAATGCCCCTAAAATTAAGTACAGTAACCCGAAAAGCTAAAAAAACTTGAATTATGACTTATTTGAAACCGTAAAATATCCTAATTTTTTTCTAAATTTTTCAAAACCAAACCGTTCCGGCGGCTGTCATCCTCGTGTGGGCTTCGTGTTTGGCCCGATTTTCCAGATATCTGAAATTTGAAAAGTTCTAAAATGGATATTTTATTTTTTATTGTACTTTAACTGATCCATATGGAAGGCCTGTCGTTCCAGGATCAACTGCTGTCGTTGATATTCCAACTGGAAAAAAAAGAGTTATGAATTAAAAAGATATTTTCATAATTTTACCGCTTCTCTCTCCTTGTCCATGATCTGCTCGAGCTCGTCGAAATGTCTCAGTTTCATCTCCAGCTTCTTCATTTGAGTTTCTACCAACTGAGCGACCAGGGATTTGATTCGGCGTTCTTCAATCAGGGCCAGGTGCTGGAAAAGGGAATATTTATCGAAGATAATCATATTTTGGGTCATTTAATTGAAGTTTCCTTAAATAATACGCCTTAAAAATCTTAGATTTTTTGGAATATCTTGATTAGAAGGTCAATATTTCTTGAAAATCTTCAAAATTCGCCTCGAAATTTCGAAAAAGAAGCTCAAAAATCGCATCCTTGAGGTCAAGAGGGGGTGAAAAAAAAATTGAAAAGAAAAAAATTTTGAGAAAAAACTACCCTAGCGAGAAATTCTTATTTAAGTAGCCAATATCCTGAAAAATGTTCAAGTGGCCACTTCAGGAATTTGACGTTTCAGTTACCACCATAGCCGTCGAATTAGTGACCACTTTAGTGTCTAAAATGTATTGGCCGCTTTAGAAGTCTAATTGATACGACTAGACCACTAAAAACACTATAGTGACCACTTAGACGCAAAATAGTGAAAATTGTGGTTGGAGCACATTTCTACATGAAAATAACGCTGAAAAAAAGTTTCTTTCAATTTATGGAACTATAGCCACAATATCAATGGAGGGAACTGTGAATAAATATTTGTAAAGCTGAACTTCGAAAAAAAAATCATTCAATCTCTAGAACTCAAGGCCATGGATTTGACGTTTTAGTGGCCACTATAGTAATCGAAATAGTTGAGTGGAGATGAAGTTTATTGACCACTTCAGAAGTCTAATTGGTACTGCTACACCATTAGAAACAACTATATTGGTCACTAAGGCACAAATTTCGTGGCTTTAGTGTCCTTAAGGAACCTCTTAAGAGGCCACTGAAAATTTTCCCAGTTCCCTTAAATTTCTTCTTTCGGTGTTTATAACTGTTACCGATACAGTTGCAAAATAAGGTAATTCTGTGTGAAATATTCAGTGGCCACTTCAGGGATTTGACGTTGTACTGGCCACTATGGTGGTAGAATAAGTGGGCACTTAAGTGACTAAAATTTATTGACCTCTTTAGAAAATCTACTAGACCACTAAAACTACTATAGTGGACACTAGGACGCAAAACAGTGGCTTCTATAAATTTAGTGGCCACTTTAGTGTCCTTGAGGGACCGCTCAAGTGGCCACTGGATTAGCTCTTTTTCGAGCCTCACCTTGGCCTTGACGGCGGCAGCTCCGAGAGCCGTAGCGGCAGCAGCTTGAACGGCTTCTTTGATGGCTCCGCGAGCCTCGGCCGACGTGGTCTTCCTGTTGGATTCCGTCGTGTCCATTCTTTCTTCGTCTGAAAATAAATCTTGAAAAATGTTATTATTTTTCCGGGACCTTCTTGCTTGGCTTCCTCGTCGGTGGCCGCGATTCCCGATTTGGAAAGTCCGACCGTCCCGTCGACGAATCCAGTTTTATCCGCATGAGCTTGGACATTCTTCACGTGGGCTTCGAGGACAAGTGGAGGGATCTAGAAAAATAGAAGATGAGGAAAAAAAAACCTTTCGATTTTTTCTCCTGACGCCAGAGTGGTCCCTACAGGGGCTCTCAAAAGTTCTACTTTAGGGGCCACTTCACCTCTCCAGTAGGGGGCCACAAGGTGGGATACCAAGACATCAGAGGAGGATTAATCGATAAATGTTTCAAATGTGAAGAAAAAAAGAAGTAAAGACCCCTTTAAGGCCCACTTCTGGGTAATGCCCCAATCTCCTACAAGGACCAAAATAATTTTAGCCCTTCAGTCCCCTCTAGGGACCCCTCAGGCGTTCCTAAGCAAGTTATGCAATAAACCAGGCGAACAAAAGTAAAATTAAGGAAGAAAGCGGTTTCAAAGTTGGATTTTAATCAAATTTTCTGAAAACTCCTAATAGATGTGCGATATAACGTCTTGATTTCAGTTGAACCGAAATATACGAATTTCATGAGAACTTTTTTGAACCGAAGAAACTGATAAACTGATAAAGAAAACCAGTTTCCTCAGGATTATTCTCAATTTTAAGGGGTTCAGAGGATTCAAAAAATTAATCTCACTCATTTTTTCTGAGCTTTTCAGGGGCTACTAAAGCTTGCAAAAGTGGAGTATCAACAGATCAACAAAAACTTATAGAGACAACATAGTTTAACCCCATATAGGGAGCCTTTTTCTGACGCTTTTGGAGGCTATTTCATCTCAGAACCCCTCTAGGGACCACTTTGAATTTTCTGAAACTCTTTTTTGTTTTTAATACTTACCCCACGTGGTTTTTATGATAAAAAATAGCTAAATAATCTCGAAAACCCACGTTTTCTGACACCAAACTACACAAATTCTCCTTCATGGAAAAAATAATATTTTCGAAACTTTAAAATTTTTTTTCAGTGTAACAAATCTTGTCTAAAATCGAAATGTCACGAAATTCGTAGTTTTTCGAATTTTAAAAATATCATAAGAAGGCCAAAGTGGTCCCTGTAGGGTCCCTTGAAAGTTCCCCTCTAGGGACCACTTCCAATGCCCCTACAACTTGCAAAACAGGAGTAGTACCAGCTGAACAAAACCCTATAGGGACCACCTAAATTATAACCCTATAGGGAGCGCCTTCCTTTTTCTCCCTGACCCCTCTAGGGGCCACTCTGGAGTTCCTAGGATCTCGAATTGTTAGCTGAGCCAAGACCAAACGACCCACCTCTTCTTTCAACTTGGAGAACTCCTCAAGGGCGCCCTTGGTGGCGGCAGCGGCCACTCTAGGGTCGACGGCCGAGGCCAGGAAGGCCACGGTCGACATGACCGGATTGCCGGACTGGGAGAAGGGTACGGGCTGGTAGGAGAGGGGTCCGAGGACCGGGCCGCTTTCTCCATTGCCTCCATCGTCTTCGTTGAGGTAGGGGTCCTGGATCGGGAGCTGGAGGAACCTCAGGATGCACTCGTCCTGGGTTCGGGTGCCGACGTGGTCGCACACCTGGAACAATTGTTGGTTTTGAGCATGTCGAGGGTGTTGATCACCTTGTTCCAGTCGTCTTTGAACATCTCCAGGCCTTCCAGCAGAAGGACGGTTTCCTGGTCAGTCCAGTCGCGGCCAGGCAGGGCTCCCTTGGTCTGAAAATAGTTTCCTGTTTCTGGATTTTCATATATAAAAATGCGGATGTAAAACTGATGATTCTCTTTCTTTCATTTTTTTAAAAGTCCAAAATATGCTTGATTGCGACCTCCAAAAACATCTCTGACTGAGATTGAGAAAAAAGTACGTTTATACGATTTTTTTAAACAAGAGACTTGGGCAAGTTTCTAGTAGATCAGCAGAAGTTTCGGCTCAAAAAAATCAAAATTTCACCTCCTAACTGCTTGAAAAATACTCCAAAAGAAGATTTTCAACTGTGAAAAACTTTAGTGGTCACTTAAGAGGTTTCTCAAGGGCTACTTGGAGAGGACACTAAAGTGGCCACTAAAACAACCACTATAGAAGTTACTTTTTTGCGTCCTAGGGGCCACTATAGTAGTTTTAATGGTCTAATAGTACCACTAACTTTCAGCCACTTAAGTGGTCACTAATTTGACTTTCCGATTAAAACTACAAGACCCTAAAGTGACCCCTGAAATTTTCCCAGGCTACCTTTTGGAACTACATTGTTGATGATAACAGTGATTCTTGATCAACATTTGGAAAATTTTTTGAAATCGACCCAAAAAACCGTTCAAAATGGAGGAAAACCATAAAAATTGGCAGTCTAGCTAACTCAAATTCTCAAAAATTGATTTGTTGATTGATTTTTTTCCTGATTTCAGCTTTCTCTTACCTTCATGGCGGCCAGCTGCTTCTGGTACTGGTCCGTCTTCAATCCGACTTCACTGATCGATCCGGGTTCCGCCTTGACGCCACCTTCTCCGTTCCCCTTCTTCTCGTCCTTCTGAATCAGAAAATTCCTATTTTTTTCAAAAAATCGCCAGAAAATCTATAAATCTCAAGCATACTCCATTCGCCACAACTCTTTTATCAAAAAGCGTCGAATATTCGAAGCTAGAGAGCACTGGTAAAGGAGAGAGCGTTTAGAGAAAGAAGAAGACTACCACCCTCTCATTTTCTAACGCTCTCTAACATCCGAAGGATCAAACATAGACTCCATAGTAAATGTCAGAAAATAAAAATTCAGAAAAATCCGGTTTTCTAGCTTCTCTGCGCCCTCCTCGTCTCTCGGCAACCGCTGTGAATGGACTAAAACCGACTGTGCTTGAAAAAAACTGGAAAAAAAGTCAATTTTTTTGGATTTTTTTCTGAATTATCCCAACTTAATTTAAGATCCTTTCTTCCTTTTTTTATCTTTTTAAAAAAACTCTTTTTTTCGGAATTTTTTTGAATTTTCAAAAAAACTCGTATTTCTCTCCGAATCGACTATCTACAGGCAAGACGAACCAAGGAACTCGGCGGCATGGGATTCAGTGGCTGGACTCCGGTGGGCGTGTCGGCCAGAACCATAAAATGAGAGGAAGGGGGCGGAGCGATGGGGGCGGGGCGACTCTCGGCGTCGACTTGGTAGTTGATCAGGCCCCATTGTTCCAGGAATGCGTGAAGTCTGGAAAATTGCTTTTGAAACTGTAAAAATCGAACAAAAATCAATCAAGCATGCTTTTTAAAAAGAATGAAAAAGCCCAGATTGGTTTTAAAAAAAAAGAGTTTTTGATTAAAAGGTACAAAAAAATCTTCTAATTTTTTTTTTTTTTCATTCAACGGGTCCTTTCTAAGAAAAGGCTTCATAAAAATATTCTTGTCATTTCAATAACGAAACGAAAATTTCGATTTGTTTTTTTAAAATCAAATTCATTTTTTTCCAATACCTTTTTTTAGTTTTTAATTTTAAGAGTTTAATCTTAACTTTCAAATTTTGAAGCCTAAAACGTAGAGTCACAGTTTCTCAAATCAAAAAAATCCATTTTTTTCTGGAAAAATTAAAAAAAATCAAGTTAAAATGAAAAATTGAATGCTTTGAATCCAAAAAAAATCAACTACCGAACTTATTTAGCGATGATAAGGCTCTCCTGAAACGTCAAAGTGAGATAAAAAATAAAATTCATCAAATGTTGTTTCTATCACTCGTCAGCTGTTGTTTTTGTTCTTAAAAGAAGGAAAAAATTTTTTTTGAGCAGTCATGAGAAAGTTTTTGTTCCAAGCTTTGTTTTGCTGGTTTTTTTTTGACCAGAATCTTGGACAGAATTTTCAAATTGGTTTTCCATCATGGATCCAATACTTAACTAAAATAGAACTTTGACATTCTTTATAAAGCGCCAGTGAAACGTCAATCTGTGATAAAAAGTTCGATTCGAATAAAAATCATTTTCTTTTGTTACTCGTAGCAAAATTCTTGGCCATGAACAAGGAGACTTTCTTGGGCTGTATTTTTAGTTATTCTAAAGAAAATGAAAAAAAGAATGTAAATAGCGGAGTAATTTTTTTAAAAAAACCTCAAAATTAACAAGGAACACGTTTTTTTCAGGTAACTCCAAAAATCAATATCAGGTCCGAAAAAAATTGTGTTGAAGAAAAAAATTTTTTTCGAGCGAAAAAGGTTACAGTAACGGTTTTTTTGTGCACTACACCGTCACGCAGAAGCTCATACCGCAAAATTTTTTTTATCGTTTTTCACCGCTGTTTTTGTAATTGATAGAGAAAAGCTGGATTGATTTGTTAAAAAAAAAAACAATATATCTATAAATCGATAAATTTCCATTTGAAAACCAAGCAATACCTAAAAATACATCAATATCCTACAAAAAAATAATCAATAAATACCTGTAAATCGATAAATTTATATAAAAAAACCATTAGATGCCTTTAAATCCATCAAATTTCTATTGAAAAAAAATCCATAAACACCTATAAATCGATAAAATTCCCATATAAAAAATCGATGAATACCTATAAATCGATAAAGTTCCTAAAGAAAAGCTCAATGAACACCTATAAATAAATAAATTTTTAATAAAAAAAACCAATCAATACCTGGAAGTCCATCAATATTCTATTGAAAAAAAATCAATAAATACAAAACCTACAAATAAATGAAAATTTCTACATAAAAAAATCAATGCATACCTATAAATGGATCCCACGTCTCCGGCGAGATTCCTTCGGCAGGCGGTCGCCGAAATGTACTCGAATGGGTTCAATCGATAGGTATCGATCATGAAATTGCGGTAGGAGAGGAATCTGAATCGATTTTTCTTTTTTAATTTCGAAGACTCTCCGTACACTTCCGGGGTTTTGCTCTTGTTCTTGCCGTTGAAAAACTCGGGGAGGGCGCGTTTTTCGATCTGATGAATGGCGTTGTAGTCAAACCAGGCCGAGTAGGACGGGACCACGATGAAATGGGTTTGTTCGATCAGGTTTCCCTCGGGTTCCTGAGCAAAAATCGTCATAAATCAAAAGTATTTCCATTTCACAATAATGACAAGGAATGTGATTTTTTTCTGTTATCATAATTTTTAAAACATAGGAAAAGTCGTAAAGCATGAATGAAATAGAAAGCGCCTTCCTGGCGCTTTTTTTTCAGTTATAAAGTATTTTCGGATTGAAATTCATTATTTTTAATTAGATTTTTCATTAGACAAAAGCAAGATCCCATTCCTCAGGGCAAATAAAACCACAAATTAAAATTTTTTTCTCTTTGAAATACAAGAGAAACGCTTAAAAAAACGGGCTCAAACAAGTTTTTCCGCATAATGCTATTTCAAAACGTATAATTTTGAAATTGGTCTTTTTTCAATGTTTTCATGCAACTTTATGCTTGAAAAACTCAATATCTCTCCAGAATTGATTGAATCTTTAACAAACCTTGTTGCCATTGGCGTTACTAACAGCCGCGACGCCTTCATCGTCTAAATCCGTCAGTTTTTGGCCCTTCGGAGCTGTGAATTCGGGTTCTTTTTCTTTTCCTGAAAACAAGTTTTTTAAAGTCATCTTTGAAAAAAAAATCTGCAAATCCTCTTCTTTCTGCGCTTTTTGTTCGTTTATTTTCAAAATTCATTTTTAACCTGACGTAAAAGTTTTCGAAGTGCCAGAAATAAGCTTTTTTCGAGATGACGAGGTGCCTTTTTGGATTTCTCATGGAATATCAAGGCCACCTTTGGGAACTTCGACTTTAACGGCGCCGCTTCTGCTGTCGTCGTCGTCTCCCGTCATGGAGACGTCGCCGTCGTCGTCTTCCCTTCTGCGTTTTGAACCTCTGCAAAATAAATTATATAAGCTTTGGAAAAACAAGCTCTAAATTTCCTTAATACGACAAAATCTCAAGTCCGCAAATCTTGAGGATCGTAAGCCTGTGTGCGCAGATTCCAAGAAAACCACAAAGATAATAGAAAGAAAAGTGCACCGAATAAGACAGAAATAAAATCTTTTTGCTTTCTAAGATTATGAGCTTTGAAATCTGCGTACACAGGCTTACGATCCTTAATAATTGCGGACTAGAGATTTTGTTGTAAAATCCTTTTTCCACTAAAATTCAGAAAGATCTATGAAAAAACAGCTGCTTTTTTCGGCAAAAAATACGCAAAAAAGGTTTTTGAAATCATTTTTTATAAGCTACAGTTAGCTATGAATTTAAGAAAAAAAACTATTTTTAAAGTTTTTTCCCACTTTCTCTTTCAAAATATAAAAAAATAAGTTGAACGTACCCCTTCTTCATGTTTGAAGCCGTTGATTGATTGACAAAGACTGAAAAATTGGAAAAATTAGGCAAAAAAAATAATGAAAACACGAGTCAAAGACGGAAAAAATGATATTAAAATAAAACGAGCAGATATTTTCAAATTCGTACAACAACACTCGAAATGAACCTCTTATCCCCTATTTCTTATAAAATTTAACGAAAACAGTAAAAATGTTTAAAAAATTTCTCTCGTTCAAGAAGAATTATTTATAGTACAAGCCACAAATTAATTAGATTTTTGAAAAAAGCTTTTCGAAAAACAAAACAAAAAAACCAAAACATTCCCCTTCCTAATGAAAATGTAAAAAATTGAAAATCATCGAAAAAAAAAATATACGAGAGCGTCTCAAATTGCATTGGCTCAGAAAAATTTTTTTCAAAAAAAGCATAAAATCAATGAATTTTTTTGAAAATTCGTATGCAAATGGGAGAAAGTTAATAAATTTCATAAAAAAATGCTTTGAAATCGTCTAAAGTTGATATTTTTAATCGTAATTTCTGTCTCGCACAAATTCTAGAAAAAAAGGCAAGAATATAATTTTTGAGAAAAAAATTTATTGAAGAAAAAAATAATCAAGCTCCTGTTGGGGAAAAAAATCTCAAAAAAATAACGCTCCCAGACGGCAATATGTCCATAGAAGCGCGGCAAAAGTTGCAAATTCAAATAACAGAAGCATTCAGAGGAAAAATTACAAATTTAGAATCCATTTCGTGACGAAAAACTTGTATTTTATCACAAGAAATGTTGAAATTTCGCAGAGGGGATCAAAAATATGAATAATATGTAATTATAACATGTAAAAACTAAAAAATAAGAGAAAAGGCAGAAATTCAAACGGAGAATTGGGTGTTCCGAGGCGTGGGGCCGCCGCGCAGAGCGACGAGGGTCCTCGAAGAGAGCGTGCGTCGCGCAGAGACGCAGAGAAAACCGGCGTGCGAGGCGTCGAGACGACACCCCAAAGACTCCCGCTTCCAACGCCGACATTTACCTTATTTTACTCACCTTTGTGTAAAGTAATATAATATAATATCCAATCAAATGAGGAAAGTCACTTTTACATAGTAAGATGTCAGATATAAATCGATAAATTCTCTAAAATCGATAATAAGGAGAATCTGCGCGCTGGGGCGTTCGTAACCTTGAAAAAAGATCATAAAAAGTTACAGTTTGCCCAAAAAATGTCTAATGCCGTGTTCGAAGTCTGCAAAGTTAAAATCATCTCTGAATCTCCAAAATTCAGTTATATTTTCCACTCTCTGACGGATATTTTGAATTTCGCAGATATTTGAACACGGCATAAATTAGGTCTAATGCCGTGTTCAGAGTGATTCCGCGAAATTCAAAATAGCCGTCAGAGAAAGAGAAAGATAACTAAATTTTGGAGGGTCAGAGACCATTTTGCATTTCGCGGAAATTACTTTGAACACGGCATAAAAAAATTTAAAAAAACAAAGAAATAATGAGAATTTCTTTCTAATTGTCACAAGAACGTAGAAAAAAATCTTCTTTCTCCCATTTTTGAAAAATAACTTTTTAACCATTTTATATCATCTTTATTGTTGAAAATTTGAGTCTTCTTTTATGAACGACTTGAAAAAAAAACCTTCAAACGATATTTTTCAAAAACTTATCAAACTACGCGAAATTTTATGTTTTTAAAACTAAAACTTATCAAATTACGTAAAAAAGTGTTATAAACAGTTTTTTTGGATAAAAATCTTACTTCATTCTTGTATCTTTCGAAACGTTCCTTCTCGATCCTCAGCTGAAAAAAGTGCAAAAACATCGAAAAATCCTTGAAAAAGTCCAAATTACTAGAAAACACCCTATCCACAAAAAAACTTTAAAAAATAAAGAGAAACAAAAGTTTCTTAATACGAAAGCTTGTGTTGGCCAAAAAGCTTTTTTATTGAAATCAAGATTTCCTTTAGAACAAGCGATATAATCCTGAAAAAGCGAAAAGATTTACGTTAACTGAAAAAAAAACTATGAAAGAGGTTGAAAAAGACGACAATTTTGAAAAATTAAATCTTAAGATAATAAAGTTCCATGGCTAGCGAAGTTTTACACGATGTAAGCCTCGTATAAAAAAAACTTTTTACGTAGCAAAAAATACAAAAAACAAAAAGAAAAGTTGAAAAAGACGAGAATTCACGGCGTTCTTGTCAGTGAAAGAAAATGCAGAAAAAAAAATACCAGGGGCGGGCGCCGTAAATCGTACGGCAGCAGTAGTTTTGATCTGTTCAGGACCCGTTTTTGGATTACAATACCCACCCTTTAAAGCTCTCGCAAGATTTACGGAAAGAGTTAATTGAAAAACATATTTTTTTGCTTTTTTTCTTTATTAATACTTCTTTTAACGTTTTTTCTATAAGTAAAAGTTATTATCCAGTTCCTTCGGCGTAGTTTGAAACCAGTTTCGTGTAAATTAGAGCCAAATTGAATTTGCTGATGCAGTTTGAAGATTTTGTTATATGAATCAGCTAAATTATATATTTTTTTTCTAGTTGTTTCATGGTTTTTCGGGTTTAAACAAACATTTCGCCATACGAGGTTTTTTTTTCTGAAATTTCTGCTTTCTATCCATTATTTGTTTTTCTGAAGCTAGGTTTTCAAGCTATATACAGGGTGCGCAATAAGTATTGAAACGCGTTTGAAACGTTATAACTTTCTCGAAAAATCAACCAAACACCACCAAACTTGGAACAAATTTTATTCATACAATATAGAAAACAAAATTCAAGAATAGTTTTTCGAAAACGTCCTCCTTTAGCATTGATAACGGCCTTCAGTCTCTTCGGATACGCACCGATCACGGCACGAAGGTAGTCGTCGTCGATTTCGTCCCATTTCTTGATGAGCGCGGTCTTCAGGGCTTTGATACTTGGGTAGTTCTTAGAAGAGACCTTCTCGGTCAGATATATCCACACGGCATAGTCCATCGGGTTGAGATCGGGCGAGGAAGCAGGCCAATCAGCAGCCGAGATGAACTCGGAAAATTGGCGCGATACCACTCTTGAGTCCCTTTGGCACGATGAGCGGGGCGCCGTCTTGCTGGAAGGTCTATGGTCGGTTTCCGTAGTGAGAATCGGCTCAGGGCAACACCCTCAACTTCAAAATCTACGCCCTGTAATATACTTGGTTCACTTTGACTCCAGGATCCACAAAAATCAGCGGAGTTTTGCCGTCAGCGGTAATTCCGGCAAAAACCATCACGGAAGCCGGATGCGAAGTTTTATTCAGAATTTTTCCTTTTTCACAGGCACTCTGATAGTCAGTAGCGATGATCGGATGGTTTTGGCAGTTCTTGTTCGTCTCCACAGTGAAGATTTTCTCGTCGGTAGATAGCGTCGTCAGATGCGAGCCATCTTTCGTGCCAGCGAGCAGCTTTCGAGCCTTTTTCATCCGCAATGTCTTGTTTTTTTGATTGAGGAAGGCTCCTTTCTGCATACGGTAGGATCATCTTCAGCTTGTCCTTGACAATAGTTCTCATCGATTCTCGACTCATTTCGTATTCTTTTGCCATCTTTCTCACGCTTCTTGCCGGATTGCGTCTGATTTTCTCTCGAACGGCTTTGACTGCTTCTGGAGTCGTGACGGTGACTGGACGTCCCCTTCTTTGCATGTCATCTGAAGTACCGAGACGCCGATAGCGTTGTGCAGTTCGAAAAACGAGAACACGAGACACTTTCAGATTTTTAACGATCTCTGAATTCGTCATTCCGTTTTTGACACAATCAATGATTGCGGTACGGTACGGAGATGGGGCCACCATTACCTGAAAACTGAAAAGTGTGAGCTGTAACTTCAAACACATGATAAGTGAGCATGAATAAACGAAATAAACAGAAAAATTCAAAGGCCAGTCCATTGTGCAAAAAGCAGCGATCAAACAAAAAACGGTTTCAATATTTATTGCGCACCCTGTAAAATGTTTTTTTTTTCATTTACTCCTCGAATTTTCCTTATTTCAATATTTTTCGTATTTAAAATTGCCTATTCAATGGGAGCTGATTCATTTTCATAATATTTTTTCTTTCTTATTTTGTAATTAGTAATTTAGAGTTTTTCCCATTCGAAATCGTTCCTAAATGTTTTTTTAACGTAAGTGAATGTTTTTTCACATCATATTCTTCAAACTGACAAGGTTTCGAACATTGCAGGAGCTATTATCCTAAAATTGCAAATTCTAAAATTGAAAAAAACAATTTTGAGTATGCGACAGTGCGTCTCGGTGTGCTTACACCCTAAGCATCATACTTTACGAGAAGTCTTGACCTTGCGTAAAAAAACGCCGTGAATTTGAAAAAAATTTGTAAAAAGAAGCTGACTGTAATCGCGCTCTATCGCTAGGGGAATTTGAAACTCCCGCGAAAATTGAGAAAAAAATTATTTCTCATAAATTCAGCTTTTTGATAAAAAAAGAAATAGGGTTTCCTTATTTCTTTTTTCTCAATAGAAAGGGAAGAAGAAATAAAAAAATGGATTTTTTTTTTTAAATCTTCGGCCTTCAAAAAGTACGTTCAGAATATCAGAAAACTTATTCAAAAAAATAAAAAGAACTTTTTTTCCAGAATTAATCTTTATTAAAGATAACACAAAGGCGCAAATTATAACGAAATCCCTTTAAAAAGGTGCGCGAAGATTGGATCAATGGGTAAAACGTCATTCTTGTAACAAGAAGTAAGGAAATAGGGTACAGAATTCACTTGCTGATATATAAAAAACGAAGTTAATAAACTGGGCATTTCTCTGAGCCTCATAGGAAAAATTTATCAATACTTAAAGTTGAAAAATGGCCATTTAGGCTGAAAAAGAAATATTAAACTGTACAAAAAAAGTGTGATAAACTTGATCATAATTAACAGGAAGTTTTCTTAAGAAAGGAAAAATAAATAATTTCATAATTTTATAATAAAATGGCGCGGCAATAGACGCACGTGTTGTTTCGTTGCCGCCACTGAGACATGCACTGAAAATAAATAAATGAATGGTTTCGAGAGGAAAATTACAGTAAGAACCTTATCGTGGATCATTTTAGTGCATTGTCGGCATCGGAAGAGATTTTGACGATTCGAATCCATTTCGCCGAGGCAAATCGCGCAGGGCTCTCTCCCGTTGGTCATGTCGGAGAGCTGAAAATTCTAAATTTTATTGGCATAGTTTTGAAAATCTTCAAATTTCCTGTCCAAATAAGCTGAGAAGAAAACTGCCTAGTCTGAGGCGATAGAAAGGCGTTATCGCCGGCGACATCGCAAAATTATCGCGCCTCCCTAGCACGCGATATCGCGTTTCTCTCGTGCTCAGAAAAGTTGAAAAATCCGAATAATATCGCGGCAGTTTTCTTGTCAAGACCCATATCTCCGTTTAAAATCATTTCTGATGCTTTTTTTAAAAATAAAACAACTAACCACCGCAAAATCGTTCTGAGCCATTTTTCTCGTTTCCCTAGGTCGTTCAAATCCATACCTAAAAACATAAACTTCAAAACGAACTCTTCTGAAAAAGTTCTCTATCTCTGACTTTATTAAAAGTTAGAAATGATCCTTAATAGAAAATTAAGAATTATAAACTTCTCTAAAATATTCTGACCTGTCTGCGCTCTCTTTTCTCTCATCTATAAGGTCATATAAACATGAAAATAGCTCGTAAAGCGAGAGAAAAGAGGGCGCACAGAAGTCAGACAGTTTTAATCTTCAAAGAATGACTAAATTCTCCAGAAAATTTGAAAAATTCTGAATTCTTGTGAATGAAAATGTATAGTGAGTCCGCGAAATTCAAAACTACCAACAGAGAAAAAAAAAATAAATTTTGGAGAGTCAGAGATAATTTTGAACTCCTTCACTATAAAAAAAGATAATTTTCCATTCAAAGTCATATTTTTCCTCAAAATTTAACCAATTTGGTGATTTTTCAATGTTTTCTACACACCTCCTTCCGTGATTTTGGCGCGGAGGCTGAGCGAAATTCGAAAAAGCTGGCCGCCATCTCTGATCATCTACTGGCTACAACACGATTTCGAATTAAACAAATTAAAACGTTTATTGACAGAGTAATCCAATGATACTTAATAATGGCAGTGCATAAAAAAATGTTAGAAAATGCATAAAATTTAACAAAAAAAATGTTGATTAAATCAATTTTAAGGACCAACCCGACGCGCCTGGAAGCCCATTAAGTTCGGGTCCTAAATTTTTGGTTTTTTCAAATTTTTCTTGGGGAAAAATGCAACTCACATTGTATTGATTGGGAGCTGGGAATGATTGATATTGTCCACTAGGTCCTAAAAATTGGAATTTCTCTCTTTTGAGTTTCCATTTCTGAAGAATACGGTATGTAAAAGACCGCATTTGGCATGTGTACGTGTGTGCACATTTTTTTAGTGCTACCGTCTCGCGTTTTTTTGGTTTCTATTTTTGAAATTTAGTTTTTTTTTAAAATTAGTATGAATAGTTCATGTAACGCGACTGTTTCCTATATTTGGAATGGAATTCGATAAAATTTTTAAAAAATGCGAAAAAAAAGACATGAGACCACACAAAATGTGCAAAAACTCAAACCACCAAATGCGGACTTTATCATACAGAACCCTTCGAAAAAGGAAAAATTCGATCTTGGGACCCATTTTTGTTGATAAGTTATTTCATGTGTCCCTTAAGCACCTTGAAGAAATTTTTAAAGGCGCAAGGAAAATTTTGAAAAAAGCCAGTCTTAAAAATCTATTTCTAACGGTTCTTCAGTACAATATTATCAAGCGTCAAGGATCAAAATTACTCCAAAATCCTAAATACGCGACTTTTTTCCGTCTAATAATTTATCACTGTTTGAGCGTTTCAAAACCAAAAACCAGCCAAAAACTTCATTTTTCCAAACCTGGAAAATTCGGAGCGTATCCTGTCGGAACCGGAGCATATTCGACCATCGGGGGTAGGGCGAAAACCGGAGGCTTGAATGAATTTTATGAGAAAATCAAATCTCAATTCAATTTTGAACCTTCGACGCCGATTGGTTGGTTTCTTGGGCTGGTCTCAAAACGTGCTCGATTTCCAAAAGGGAACTTTTTAAATTGGAAAAGGTGTCGAGCAACTGCTGCATCGTCACACCGTAGATGCCGCTGAAAATTTTTCTTTTTCTTGGTGACGAGTGGGAACTTATGTGGAATGGCTCGACGCGCTGCTGTCGCGTCGCGGTTGGGTTGAACATTTAAAAACTTGCAAATACACTTTTGGCTTTTTCGATGCGGTGTTTGTCTGTTTTGAGGCAATAGTGCTTTAGAGAAATTTCCTTTTCATCGCTTGGTTAGTGATCACTTAAGGAGGTATGGAAAAAAGACGTCGATCCACCTAGTCCTACTTAAGTGATCACTAAAAAAGTTCAAATAGTCATTTCAACGAGATTTTTTTCTTAAGTGATCACTTGAAGTTTACTCCGTTCGCGACAAAATCACGAAATCGTGAGGAAAAGAAAGTCGTTAGTTCCAGAGAGCAATTATTGAAAAAAAAACCTTGCACAATTTCAAAAAACCGCTACGCGACCGCTCGCTTCAAAACAACAGAAATTTCAGAACAAGTTTTGAAAATTTCATCACAAAAGAAAAAGTTTGAAAACCACCCCTTTTTCAGGGGTAAACGGGGAAAAATAGCCCTTAAAGTGGGCAAAATAGTGCTCCCTAGAGGGGTAAAACTCAAGTAGTCCCTATAGGAGATGAGGGTCTGACCCCTAAGGCTTAAGTGGTCCCTATAGTGGTCTTTTATTTTTTTTTTCTTAATTTGAAAAGCTTCTTCTCATAGTTTATAACAATAGAGCGTTCCACAGAAAGCCAATTTTACGAGCTTTAGTAGCCCCTAGAGGTAAAGTGGTCCCTAGAGGGGTCCCTTCAATTGCCCCTTGAGGGTCCACTTTGCCGTACCTAGGTAAGACTTGCTCGAAAGATAGATTTTGGCCAAAAAAATTATAAAATGTTTTTTTCAACTTTTTAGTTCTTCGAAAAAAATGACATTTGTACAATTTTGAGGCTAACTTCATACAAGAGAAAAACCTACAAAATCTTATAAAAAAACCCAATTTTATTCAAATTTTCCATCAAAACTCAAATCAAACCTTTCGAGAACCGAGTCGATACCCGCAATCGATTCGTTCGTTCTCCGAGAAATTTTCTCCCTCAGCTGGAGATTTTCCATTTCCGCCTTGAAAATGCCGTTTAAGATGTGAATTATTTGATGAATTACCTTCAAAAGTTGGGCTTTCAGGTTTTTCTCCCTGAAAAATGACAAAAACTTTGGGATGGATTCAAAAAAAGGGGCGCCAAACATTTCGTTCTTATCAATTTGCGCACGAACACAGATTTTGGAGAGCTCTTCCAAGTGTTGGCTTGTCACTTCGGAGAGCCTACGAAAATCAGTCGGTTAAAATTATTTTTTTGTGAGTCTATTAAAACAGAAAAACTGTACTTTAAACCGTGTTCAAAACAATTTCGCCAATTTTAAAATTCGGTGTAAATCATTTCGCAAAATATGCAAAATTGGAATTTCGAGAATCGTCGGGATATATTGCGATATCGTCTTTTACGTGAAAATTTGAAATTTCTATTAAATCTTCCGAAAAAAATTTGTAAAATTTGCTTTTTTTCGCTGTAGGACAAATTTTTTTCCAATGGCTCCCGAAATTCCAATTTCGCGTATTTCGCGTCAATTTTGAAATCGCGGAAATGAACTTGAATCCGGCATTAGCCTAAAAAAATACTTTTTAAGCGTTTTTTTGACACTCGATTTACACAAAAAAATTGGAAAAAAACATTCCAGCAATTTTTTTCAGTAAAAAAACTTATGAGTACACTAATTTTTCCAAAAGAAGACTAACATCTTCGAAAACAAAATTTAATAAAGCTTTCAAAAAAATTCCCTTTCCAAAATACCCATTCAAAAAAATTTCAACGCAAGCGTTTCTTAGAAAAATCTTCTTTCCTATTTTTTTGAAACTTTTTTGAATTCATGCCCAAAAACTCCTGTCTGAACTTAACTATCCCTCACCGGAAAAAAAAAAAAAAAAAAAAATAAAAAAACCTTTGATACATCCGCTGGGACTCAGAAGAGCTTTCTTGCATCATTGGTAGACTAGAATTCAATGAAAAATTGAATGAATTTACAACTTTGATCTTTTTTTTTCAGCATTTCTTGACTTGATATCTTCTGGTCGCATTTGGAATGGCTCAGTGCGTCGAGTTTCAAGTTAAAACTTCAAATTTTCATTCGATAAAAAAACACATGTTTTTAACGTTAATCCCGCTAACAAGGAAGTTAATTTTTAACTCATGGTTGGGAATTTCCTGAAAATTCTTCATTGATGTATCAGAAACAATTTCTGAGAATCTCTATTTTTTTAAAAAAATTCTTAGATATCCAAAAAAATAATGATTGAAAATGGCCTATTTCAACCATGGGTTTACGTTGACTTTGAAAAGACATTTCTCAAAAACTAAAAAGTTTTGAAAATTGAGGCTTACAGGATCCTTTTCTGGTACACCAAAGAGTGTTCTGGTCGATTTTCAAGAAATTTCCTGTCATAAAGTAAAATTACCTTCCTTGTGAGCCATTCCCATGCGACCAAGTTTCTCAGAAATCTTTTTAATTCTGGCTAACTTTTAAAATCGAGGAAAAGAACGGTTGAGAGAAAAAACCACCTCAAGATCGAAAAAAGAGGAAAAATTTTGATAAAGCTAAAAAAAAAGCTTCAAAAAAAAAACTGCAAAAATGGATGAAAAATGAGCTTTCACTTCTGAAAAAAAAAAATTTCAATAAACTCCAAATTTCGAAAAAATTCCAAAAAATTACCTTTGCGACTCCGTAATTTTCGGAAGTTGGAACGTAGGAAATGCACGTCTGAAAGTTTTCTTCATAATTTTTTTTTGAAAATCATTTTTTACCGATCCATTTCGCCGTTTCTTATCTCCACGATTGGCTGAAAAATTTTTCAACAAAATAAATATTTTTTTAGAAAATATTTCACAGTTTCAGGAGCAAATTGATCCTGTTCCAGTTGAGAAGCTTCCGAAATTGATCGTTTGTCGGTCTAAAAATGATTTGAACGATTTTTAAGAGGGGGAAATTGAAAAATGAATGAAAATTGGATACATTTGTCGTTTCCGAGTCGAATTTCTCGAAGGAAGAAGCGAAAGAAACGTTGTTTAAGACGGGTCTTTGAAAAGTCGACTCATCAGAAATTGAGATCAGCTACAAAAAGATGATTTTTTTAGAACAGGAAAAAAATGAACAATTATTTCATTTATTATTGAAAAAAAGCGTCTTTGGAACGCACGAGAAATACGAGAAAAAAAATCAAAAAAATCAAACAAAAAATTACGAAATTACATAGAAGAGAAAAACTTTCAAGGAAGAGTTTTTGTTGGGAATGTAGGAAAAATCGGTGTTTTTTTTTTAATTTTTGAAGTTTTTCACGTTGAAAATTATCCAAGTTTCAAAATTGTTAGAATTCTGGATTTCAGATAACTAAGAGGCCGAAAAGATGAGATTTTTTTTTTCTGAGTAAATTTTAGATCAAGCCTTCCAATTTGACCCGAAACATGGTGTGTGCGAAAAACTGATGAATAAATTCGGATAAAATTTTTCGGCGGAGAAAAAAAAATCCAAAAAAGAGAGAATTTTTGAAATGAATGACCAGCCATGGATTTTGAAAATCAGACTTCCAACTGGTCATATTTTAATGAAATACGTACTTAAAAACCATTAAAAAACTGAAAAAATGTCTAAAAACCTTTTCAAAACTTGAAAAATTTGGAAAAAAGCCAATTTGAAAATTTCTACAGACTTTTCCAGCGCGCTACTTTTTTCAGTAGCTATCCTTTCATGATAATATTCTTCTAAGGAACTTCAGAGTGGTCCCTAGAGGGGCAACCTGATGATCCTAGAAGGTTTCGCGCTAAAACTTGCTAAAGTGATCACTAGAGGGGACTAGCTGTCATGAAGAGAAGCATTTCCATTTGAAAAAAATCAATAAAATGCTTTTTTTGAAATAAAAAATAACAAGAGTGGATGAATTTATCAAGTTTTTCTGTTTAATCTCTAATCTGAAATAAAATTAGAAGTCACTATAGGGAGCACTTAGGTTGAAAGTCAGTTCCCATAGAGAAAATCTAAACTTCAGCCCTATAGGGAGCACTATAAAGCCTCATTTTTCCCTGACTCCTATAGGGACCACTCTGGCGTTAAACCGAAATGTTCATCATTATCAAAAAAGTCTTCAAAGAATTACTGCCTGGCTTGAAACGGGGAGTTCAGATATTGGCTCCTCGTCCACTTCGTCCTGGAAAACCCATCATTTACTTTCAAAATCTGATATTTTGATGGAAATTCACATCTCCAGGAATCGAATCGTACTGTTCGATTTCTTCTTCCTTCTCGTTTTCGACCGAATTATGCTCGACAACCGAAAAATTCATCTAAATATTAAATCCATATATGAAAATGTGACAAAAAAACATTTTCCAGAGCTTTTTCGACTTGTCGTTGTACCATAACCATAGGCTGTGGAGCATTTTTCTTGAAGATTTTTGAGGCTAAAAAAAAAAAAATTATTTTTTTCAAGCTTTAAAACTTCTTACATTTTTTTAAAACGATCATATCTTACTGGTCGTGGATTCAGAATTTCGATAGAATCCGTCTGGGAACTGCTTTTTGCTCTAAAATTCCCCGAAAAAAAGTCAAGAATTTTTCAAAATTTTTCAACAAAAAGCTAAAAAAATCGTTTCTTCCTACCTAATCAATGACGTTTCTGTAAGATTATCGATTAAATTTTTAAAACTTAAAGCCGCATTTAGAATGGCTCGATACGTCATGAAAAAAATTTGCAGTAAAAAAAAATTTTTTTGGGAAAGTTTAAGACCAAAAACCAACTTGAACGCACGAGTATCGAATAAAAAAAACTACCAAAGATTAATTTTTTTATTTCTTTTTTTCCACCGCAACGCAGCCGCGACGCTGTGAGCCATTCCAAATGCGACATTTCAGGATTCCAAATGATGATTACAAATCGGATAATTACAGCTTTATGGAACAGAGGAATTAAAATGAAAAAAACTTTGAAATTTTGAAAATTCCATTATTAAAAAAAACAAGCTTAAAAAAAATTTTTCCATAGGATTTTTGTGTCAAACAAATGAAAAATTCTGTCAATTTCCCAGTTTTATTTCTAGTAAAATACGAAAAATCGAGTTTTTTTAATTTTTCGAACCTAAGACCGCAGTTGGAAAGGATCAATTTCTGAAAAAAATTCTCAAAAAAAAATTTTTTAACCTTCAATTTTTTTGAAATAATCAATTTTTTTCAGTTAGATAAGCCTATTTTTCCATTGAGTATTCTGTCAAAAATTGCAAATTCTATTTATTTTTTTGTAATTATATACATCTGAAAAAAACCAGAAAAAAATCACATTCTCATAAGACGATTCAGTATTTTTCCGGAAGCGAAAAATTGATAATTTTGTCCCGAGCTCGATCTTGTACTGTTCATCTGAACTTTTGAAATTAATAATTCCAAGAAAAAAAATTATACATTTTGTTCGGGCAGTGCAAAGGAAGCATTGGAGGCTTTAGAAATGCTGCTCGATCGTTGGTCCAAATTTTGGAGGGGCTGAAAAAAAGATGATAAATTTATTTTTTTAACAAAAAAATTTGGCTCAAAAAAAGTTGAAAAATAGCAGTCTAATAAAAAAATGAGTCGAGAAAAAAACTACTACTTTATGAGAAAAATCATGAAAAAAAATTTTTGTTTAATTTTTTTCCTACTTCGACTTCTAAAGTGGCCACTAATCCGACTTATTTAGGGGCCATTAAAAACGCTTAAAAAAACCCTTAAGAGGTCACTTAATTTTAGCCACTTGAAAGACATCAATTCGACTACTACATAATAAAAAGACATCAATTCGACTACTACATAATATGATAACTGAAACGTCAAATTCCTTAAGTGACCACTGAAAATTTTCCCAGTAAAATGAAACTTAATCACAATATTATTTGGGGGAGTGGGAGATCTATGAAAACTCGTATTTGTCGTCGTATTCAGTGAAGCTCCGTATTGGGGCACCTGAAAAAAAGAAAATTTTCCCAATTTTTTCAATTTCGAAACCTTTTTGAAAAACCGACGGTCGCCTTGGATTTGGATGTTGAACAAAGATTTGATTTCCGGGAGATAAGAAAAAAATTGTAGACAATCTTCCGGTCCATCGATCAACTGCAAGTGTGCGTTACGGTCAAGTTACAATAAAATTAGACGAGAAAAAAAAGCTACCGTAACCACGGCTCTACAAAACTGCAAGAAAGGTCTCGAAGCGAAAACTTGATCTAATTGGGTATACGGTAGTCTTGGCCGAAAAAAGGATCAAGCTGACTTGCATTAGGCAGCGCCCTACTGCGATAACCGCGCCTCTTTTGCAATTAACCGCGCCACCATTGCATAAAGCCACGCCCCCTGACAAACACCTGTCAACTTTTTAGAAACACTATATAATTTGATATACGGTCATTTCATCAGGTAAAAAAGACAAGTTAGCGCAGAATAATCCTAAATTCCAGAACCTTCCTGATAAGCGATTCTTCTTGGGCTGAAAACTCATTGACAACTCTGAGCATGTCGAAAAGTTCGCTGATTTCTAAAATATCGTCTGGCAAGTAGCCAGTTCTGCATATCGTCCTAAAAAAATCCTTACTTCCTCAAAAAAAAATCCCAAAACTCACCGAAAATGGAATACGTGTCGCTCTACGAATTTCTCAATTTGAAGATGATGATGCGGAAAATTTTTTCTATGTGATCTCTGCAAAGAAATTCATGAGAAAAGGCATAAAAGTTTAAAAAAATACCTGTAAAACACCGTCTCCCAACTCCAACATTCCAAAGGAACAGCTGAAACTTTTCAAACGAATAAAATATATCCGGAAGCTAAAAAAATTACATTCGAAGGGAATTAACAAAAAAATGAATAAACTTGCAATATTTTTAGAAAAAAAGTCGAAAATTCTATACAAGAATTGTCCCCTCGTTCTCAGGATATCCCCGAAGCCTTCAAAAAGAAAAAAATTTCATTAAAATCAGCGAAATTGAGCTTTTGTAAGCGAAAACTTCATGTTTTTCAGTACCGATTTGGTGATAAAATTTGATTAGGTAACATGAATTTGCAAAAAAAAATTATAAATAGCTGAAATTCATAAGAACATTATGAAGACTTCAAAAAATCTCAAAACACCAATTTAATAAATAGATCAAAAAATCTTTATTTATCAAAAATGAACGATCAAAATGAATTTCCACCTCGAAAAAATTCCTGGATTCATCTCGTCATTTTTGATAACTTTCGTGAATATTTTTGAAGAAATGATAAATGATAAATCACGAAAAACGTGTAAAGCGATTACAAATCAAAATAATTGCGCGTCAAAGAGTTGCTTGCGGTTACTACACAGGAGTTGACTACAGTAACTTGTAATTTTTTCTTTTTTTCTGCTTCTATCTTTTTTTTTTTGAACTTTAAACTTCGTTTTCTGCCATAAAATCAGGTCTTTTATGCTAAATTTATTATTGATAGTTAGTTGCAGCAACTCTTGTCTGAATGTTCAAACTGTCTGGAAATAGGAACCGCAAAGGGGCTCTTCATTAGTCGAACGAGTTGAACCCGTCACAAACATGTGTTATTCGTGTCTAGAAGCTCAAGATCGCCCGAGGCCAGTCTTTTTTTAGCCGCTTGGCAGTCGAAAATAACTTGACTTGAAAGATGTGTCCATGTTTTCGGGTTCTTTAAAGAAACGAGTATATAGTGGATGAAATAGGTTCCGCTTTGAAAAAAAAAACTCATTTAGTCTGGAAACTTTTTTTGCAGTAAATTTAGGCAATTTGCGTAACAAATCAGGGCGGAGAAAAAACCATAAAAGGCGGCGATTTGCGTGTGAATTCGCTAATGACGCCACATGGGCAAACGTGCATCCGATGCGATTTCGCCAGTTCTGCCACTGATTCAGTCGCCAGTTTCAGCTTCAACCTTCGAATAAACTACTAGAAAATCATCATGATTCGCAGGTAACTTTTATCACCTTTAAAACTTATTTGAACTCATAATGCTTTTTTTGGAAGTTTCAATCAAATCTTTTTAATCTTTTTTTTTCTCAAAAAAAAAACATCTAGACGAATATTTACAAACGCCAGAGTGGCCACTAGAGGGACAACCTGAGGGGCTTTTGAAGGTTCCGCTTTAGGAGCCACATTACCTTTTCTTATAGGAACACTAAGCTTGCAAAAGTGGCCACTCTAGGGGACCATGCAAGGGGTCTCTATACGTCTTTTTGACTTTAAAACAAGAACAAACATTCAAAAGACCACTATAGGGACCACTTAAAATTCATGGGCTTGAAAGCGAGGTCCTAAACTACTATAGAGGCCATTTTTATTTTAAGCTTTGAAGAGCAATACAGGAATTCCATGAAAAATTTTTACTAGACTAACAAGTTCACAATATAACGGCCGATGCCCTTTTTTCAATCAAAAAAGATGAGAATCAAATGTTTTGTCGTGTCTTTTAAATGACCTAGGAAGTCCATTTTTCAGACTAGACTTTTTTCTTGTTTTTGAAGTCTCTCCAGAATTTTTTTAGAACTTACCGTAGTTCAAAAACGCTATAATCGAATCAGGATTTCACGTTCACAAGGATTAATCCTGTGTGACATTCTTGTAATTTTTCTTATTCCTTTTTTTGAACTGAGAACTTTTCTTGAAACAGCAGTTTTGAAATAGATATAAATTAGAAAAAAATTTTTTTGAAAAAAATTAAAAAAAATCTCCTCGCTGCGTATCCACCTACAATATAGCTCAGCTGATTTCGCTGCGCATCAACTTTGAAAAAAAAATTTTCAAGGGAAAATATCATGAAAATTAGAAAAAATCCCTTTTTCCCAAAAAAAAAAGGGTGAAGCTCGAAAAACGAAGCTGTCAAGTGCCGTGTTTGTTTCTGATCACTTCTGATGCCTTAAAAAGATCCTTTCGCTTGTTTTTTCCATGTGATCTTTGTAAGAATTCTCCGAACTATGCTTTATTTTGTCTATATTATTTCTATGAACAAGTCGGGTTCTCAAAACCATTTTAATTATGCGAAAAAAAGGGGAATTTCAGCTGGGGAAATTCAAAAATATCGCACTTTTATTTGCCTGAATGACCTCGAGTTCCATATAAATCGAAATTTGACCCACTTCTAAAAAAATTTTTTTCTTTTTCGATTATAAAATTGAAAAAAAGCTCTTTGGAGCCTCAAAAAGGTTTCGAAACCCAGAAAAAAATATCCTATTTCAGTTTTTTTCTTCCATCTTTCAAGACACTGGGGAGATTTCCAGTGGCTACTTTAGGGTTTTCGCGTTTCAGTGGCCACTATAGTAGTCGAATTAGTGACCACTTAAGCGGCAAAAATCTATCAACTAAAAAAATTTGCTAGAAGGAAAAATATTGACCTTTTTAAAAAAGATGAGCTAAAAATTTCCAAAAGAATTTTCCTGTCTTATTTTTTTTCTTCTGCAAAGTATAGCAATAAATAAATCTATTTTTACCCTCCAAAAAAAGGCCAAAAAAATAAGAAAATGTTGCCATTTTTTTCCTGCGCAGAACTCTGAGCCCTTCTTCAGGGTAAATAAAATTTATTTTAGCTGCTTCTTTGAGTTTCTTTAATTTGACGTTTTCCGTTGGATTTAGGTTATTTTTCGCTAAAAAAAAATTTTTCCGAATGTTTTTTTCGAGGTTTTTCTTTGAAAAATTAGAGTTTAAAGTTCATTTTAGAGTTCTCAAATTCATCAAAATACAGTTTTTAATGTATTTATTTGTTTACTTTGTTAAATTTGACATTTTTTCCGTTGATTTTCGAGTAAAAAATACGTTTTTTTTTTGGCTCTATAAGGCTTTTTTTTTGCAATTTTTCCTTCGAAAATTAGAGTTTAATGTTCATTTTAGAATCTTCAGATTATTTAAACTACAATTTCAAGTCAGACGGATTTTCCCATCCTCTTACTAAAATTAGGAAAAAAAGATACAATTTATTATTTTTGAAATTAGTTCCTCGTTCATTTATTTTTTTATTTTTTTCGTGCATTCCTTCTTCTTTATTGAGACTATTTTTTTGAATAATTTCCTTTTTTTCCGATTTCATCAAATAAATCACGTTTTTTTGAAGCTTCATTCTGATGAAAAAAATTCGAAAAAAACTAATTTTTTTCCACCTAAAACCGTTTTTAATGTTTCGAAAAAAACTTTTAAATATCGGAAATGTTTTTTTGAAAAAAATGTTTATTGCTTAAATGTTTTTTTCTTGAATTGGAATTGGTCTTATTATATAACAGGAGTGGTTTTTCTTTTTGAGGAAATCTTCTAGATTTTTTTCCTAATAGTTCTGCAGTTATTTTTCGGGCGAACAAGAAATTTTTTTCCAGAGTGGTCCCTAGAGGGACGACCTTAGGGACGCTTTTTGAGGTTCGCCCTTCCCCTATAGGGGACACTGGGGCGAGCCGAAAATTAAAATACCACTATAGGGGTCACTTGAACTTTTTGGGCTTAGTAGGCGCCTCCTATATCCTTCTGAAAAATACTTTTTGACTCCTATTTTTCTCCTAAGCCCTCAAGGGACCACTTAGGAGTTTTAAGTATAACTATGATAAAGCGTCGTAAAAAGTGACTACTTAAGAGACCACTTAAAAAGAAAAGTTTTTTTTAACACCTCATTTTGGTTCAATTTTTCCCAAAAAAAAGCGCTAATTCTCAGAAAAAGACAAGTACAGCCAATCTTTTCATATTTATAGCCTTGGACTCTCTTTTTCTCGCTTTCTGCTCATTGCAGTGGTTGCAAAAAATGAGAAAAGCCTCGTATAAGATGGCTAATTGAGTGCGGGTAATGATTGGAGATTACTTGTGGCCTACGTGCCACCCCCAAGACGAGATTCCGAAGCAACGAAGAACGACCAAAATCCTGGAAATTTGCATTTTCTCCCATTTGTACTTTGAGAAACGAGAAGTGTTCCGGGAACGGACTCAGACGAGATTTCCTCGTTTTTTTTGGAATTTTTGGGCTTTAAGCTCTTCCAGATGCATGAATAAATGTTTCTTGGAGTTCAACGAAATCAAGCTCGTTGGATTTAGAATTCTCGAATTTTATTGAGCTGAAAATTTTATTCAACTTGCTTTTTTATTAAGAACTATTCGCTACGTATCCGCCTACAATACGGCTTAATCGAATCCGCTGCGCATCAACTTCGAAAAAAGATTTCAAAAAAAAATCATAAAAATATTGAATAATCTCGGTATGTATCCTGATACGGTATCCACCTGCAATATAGCTTAGCTAATTTCGCTGCGCATCAACTTTGAAAGCGAGAATTACCTGTTTTACAACGTAAAAAAATTCTATTTTTCAACACTAATTTTGAGCAAACTTTTTCCAAAAAAATTTGATACCATAGTTTTTTTAAATAGATCAAAATAATCAAAAAAACTCTACAAATGCGCTCCAACGAACAGTATTGCAAATCTAATCATTTTTTTCCCATATTCTGAATTTTTTTAAAATCATTCAGAAACTGTTTTAATTTTTAAAAAAATTCAGCAAAATTTTTAACTTCAAAATTTCGATTTTTCCAATCAAAAAAATCTTCCACTATTTTTCAATTCTAACCCCCAAAATCACACCAAATTCCCTCCATTTCCCGATTGGCTAACCTTTGCGCCGGAAATTCGAAACCGGAACCCTTCCCACACACTTATTCATCGAAAAAAATTTAAAAAAAAAACGTTTTTTTTTTTCTTTTTTCAGCTTCTTGGACATTTAATAATGTTTGCAGGACTTGCGTGTTCACGATTTTCGAACAAAATA